GCATTGAGGCCGTTGAGAACCTGGCTGGTATCGCTATCGCCCGTGTCAACGAGCGCGTCAAGCCCGAGGTCATGGCCAACAACACCCGTGTCGACCTGCTCGCCCGCCTGATGGAGGGCAAGGACGGAAACGGCAACACGCTCGGCCGCGAAGAACTCACCGCCGAGGCCCTGACCCAGCTGATTGCTGGCTCCGATACTACCTCCAACACCGCCTGTGCGATCCTGTACTGGTGTATGCGCACCCCCGGCGTGATCCCCAAGCTGCAGAAGGTCCTAGACGACGCCATTCCTAAGGACATCGAGGTTCCCACCCACGCCATGGTCAAGGATATCCCCTAGTAAGTCAATTACAGTCTATTTCTTTGAGGTTCTTCAAAACTAACCATCACAGCCTGCAATGGGTCATCTGGGAGACGATGCGTATCCACAGCACATCGGCAATGGGTCTGCCGCGCGAGATTCCCGAGGGCGCCAGTCCCATCGAGATCGCGGGCCACACGTTCGGGCCCGGCGATATCCTCTCCGTGCCTAGCTACACGATCCACCGCTCCAAGGAGATCTGGGGCGCAGACGCAGAGGAATTTGTCCCTGAGCGCTGGGATCCAGAGCGCCTGACGGCTCGCCAGAAGGCGGCCTTCATTCCCTTCAGTCACGGCCCGCGCGCCTGCGTCGGCCGCAACGTCGCCGAGATGGAGCTGCTCGTTATGGGCGCTACGGTCTTCCGGCTCTTTGACTTCCGCATGGAGCAGGAGGGCCCCATGGAGACTCGTGAGGGATTCCTGCGCAAACCGCTCGGTCTGATGGTTGGTATGCGCCGTCGTACCCCGGCATAGGGCGTATGCGTGTGTCTGGTAGCTATGTGCAGAGGGAGTGAGGTGGTGCTGGAGTTGGTTGGGACCTAGGGGGCACCGGTTTGGAATCAGGGTTTATTGGTGTTGGCCCTTTTTATTCCTGTATCTTTGAATCTGTGGCGTGATGGCTTGACTCGAGACATTCGCTGATCCAGATGACATTGATTGATGAGTGATGTGTGTGAACTGCCGATGCAATTTGACATGGACTTGTATATATTTTATGGTCTTCTTCTCTGTTCTTATTTTTATTTTCCTTCGCCTGGCAAAAGGTCCGTCCGCAACCCGGACTATATGTTAGAGTACTTAGTCCGACTAGGCCTACACCTACGCGGCAAAAAGGAGAAGAAACGGGGGAAAAAATTCATTGAGTCATCATCATAACTAACTATCCTTGCGTTATCGTGTTTGCGGATTAAAACGATACTGAAAAACACCACCGAACCTCCGCCGCGCAAACAATTGTACCATCCGACTACCAGTGCGCGGGACCGAACTTCACGCCCTTAATCTGGATAGCCGTATCCATGGCATCGACTGTCTCAGCAGCAATTTTGGTGCCCCACCAGCTGGGGAAGCTAGTGTTGGTGAGACTAAGCGTCAGGAAGATGAGAATGGACGAGAGGACGAGGCCGACATCGAGTCCCGCAGAAAAGACGTAGTTGTACTGCATCCACCAGCCACGGAAACGGCTACGAATGTACTTGTTGAATACGAAGCCGACAATGCCCCAGCTGAGATAGTTCAGCGGCGTGGCGGGCGGGATGAGACCTGCTCCACCGAAGAGAATGGGCGCGTTAATGTATCGGATCGGGCTCTTAGGGAAAGCACGGGCGAGGAAGTACACCACCACCGGCAAGACGGCGCCCACCGCAAAGAAGATCAGAAGCGGCGAATAGAGCTCGTGAATTGAGAACATGCGCTTGGGTCCAATGAGGCCCCAGATGATTGAGGCGTTGAAGAACACCCGTCCGTTCGGGCAGCTGTAGTGGTTCGGCTGGTCCTGGGAACACACGTCCTTGATAGCGCCTAGGGCCCAATTCATAGTGGCGATCTGCACCAGAGAAGACCAGAGACCGGCAACCATCTGTGCCGTCCAGGTGAGGCGGGGCGGAACTTTCATGTAGTGTCCTAGTTCCAAGGTTAGCATGAAAACAAAAGCAAGAGACCCGGTATGGTATGTTACTCACCCAGCTTCAGATCCTGAGAGAAGTACATGCCCTGGTACATGGTGATGTAACCGTATGTCTTGAACAGCATCATGGCCATGGGGCGGCCTGGCTGCATGTAGCCGATAATGAACTCGGTGATGACGTTCAGGCCTAGGTCGATGTTGGTGGATGCCTTGACAATTCCCAGCGGAATGAAGAAGACGGCAGAGATCAGCAGGGCGATAACGAAGGCCCACCAGCTAAGATGGGTTGGGTAGCCGATCGAAACCCCGAGAGCCATCGCCGCCATGACCAAGAACACGACAAGATACCACCAGATCGGAACAGTCTTGTACTTGGCCATCAGCCGGCCATGGACGTCCTCGGTCTCCTTGCCGAAGTTCCGGAGCCGAGCCCAAATGTCAGGCCCATGGAAGATTGTGGTGTGGACGAGCACAGCGGTCATGCTGGCAAACGAGAGGCCGTAGTTGAGCATGAAAGTGGTCGAGAGGAACAATGGGGAGTAGTTCTGGTACTTGGTGGCGTCGAAGGTGTAGTCAGGAGTGAGAATTCTGGTTACATTGTAGAGTTGGCCCATATTGTCGTAGCTGTTGGAGTCGCTGATCGGCAGATGCGCAGAGTAAAACTTGCCCGAGAAGTGAACGCCACAAGTGACGATCCAGAAAAAGATGACCATGCCCAGCAAGGTGTTAGCGATGGCATACCAGGGGGCAATCAGCGGGCTGAAGTTGAAGCCAGAGATCTGAGACCAGTCGAAGGTCATGGGGATGAGTGAGAGGCCAGTCCAGCCACCGAACAACTGGTTGATCACGACATTCTGCGGCTTGATCCAGGTGACCCAGGCGAAGACACTCAGGAACGGGGCAATGTAGCCCGGGAACCAGTACCAGCAGAACGCGGCGATCATTGTGTAGAGGAACAGGCGGTACTTGCCAATCTTCCATCCAGAGACCTTGCGTGGATCAGGACGGGAGTGGTCGTGCAGAGCCGTGAAGAGAGACGTGTTGATCAAGGTGGACGGCCAGATCATGGCAGCAGGGGTGACCAGCCAGCGCGAAAAGAAGCCAGCCATACCGAACCCGAGCATCTGCGTCGAAATGCACATGAAGATCTCAAAGGGCCAGCCATAGCGCTGTTTGTAGAAAGCACGCTGGGCCAGCAAGGTATCAGTCGCGTATGCGGCGCCTCCACCAAAGGTGGCATTGGCCATGATGACAATGACTGCATGCTCCTTCTTGTTGAAGGGACCGGGGTTCAGGATAATCTCACGACCACAGAAGCGGAACGTCTTGTTCGGCATAACCTTCTCCCAGGCCCTGCCCACGGGGTAGGCGCACACTTGAGCGATGTAGGAGGGGATAACAATGTACGGCTGGCGCATGGAGAAGAGCATGTTCAGGGCAGAGCCGATGGTCGCAAAGAGCAGGCCGATGACCCACGCACGAAGAGTATTCGCGGAACCACCTTCATCAATGTTGGGCACGGCAGCGCGCACTTCGACATAGGGAGAGTTGTCGAGCAGTTCGCGCGCAATATCAATCTGGGCACCTTTGTCCGTCGTATTCAGGGCCTCATCGACCTCCTCGAGCACATCGTCCGGCAGGTTGGGGTCCCAGTGGTGATGCTCCTTCAGGTTGCGCAGCTGCGTGAGCGCATCATCTGGCACAGCCTTCTCGTCCACCGTGGCACCGGTAGTAACGGCGATCTCAGGTTCGTTCTTCTCCATGGTGAATGAGTCAGGTGGAGAAGTGAGAGTGAGAAAGAAAGGAAAGGGAGAAAGATGGGAATGATCAGGGAGAAGGGGTGAAAGAAAGGAGAAGGGTATAAGAGAAGTGATTTTGATTTAAGGAAGATTAACGAGTTGGTGCATTGATTGGACTGAAGAAGAGTGTAACTTGGCCGATAGTTCAGAGCAGTGCCAATCAGTGGCAAGCAGGAGCGAGGGTGGATGTCTGGCGTCTGCCTCGCTAACTACCTAGCTTAGGTCGCACAGGCGCGATAACTACTATGGTGCGTTAGCGTTCCTGGGGTTACTTCTACTTGCACGGCTCGAGCTTCAACCTCCCCAATCGGGGGGTCCGACGCCCTTATCATGTCTATCTTAACTACGGCCCCGTGGCTCGTGCACCATTCCCTGCGCCATTTATAACGCCCGCTCCACTAAACCTAACGGGAGGATCCTGTTGTGGCGTGATTAGAGATAGGCTAACACCGCTAGCAGGAGAGCTTTGCTTTATCCGGGGAAAGCGTGGGGCCCGCTAGCCCTAGTGCGGTTTCGCAGGGCCGACGGCGCATCTTTCGCGCTGTTGACCCTGCCACTTGGTCCGCCGGCTAAGCCCGTCCTCGTGATAACTCGCTGCTGCCAAGAGTGTTTTACCTTCGGCGCGTAAAAGAGTATTAGGAAGGTGTTTGTGCTTCATACATGGTCTGTGGCGAATCGTGGTGCATAGTCCAGCGACTCTTTTTCTATTTCACCGAAACCCCTTGCCGATCCCTCTCAGAACCAAACTCGGCATTGAGATAGGATCGCCTGGCCCTATAATGCGGGGAAGCAGCTCTTATCAATGACTGGCATCGGGGAAATGCCATTTTCAGTCTGGAGCGCCAACAAGGAATAATAACTAGGTTGAAAACTACTGCTAGCTGCATCTTCTTCGAGCATACGCATTCTTTGTTAGCTGGCACCCGGCCTTCCAGCCCTAGTTAGGGTGATCAGTGGCGAGGACGCTCCAGCATTCATTGGCGGGAAGTCGGCCAAGACGCGACGTAACGTTAGTTAGGACATGAACTAGTAGGGATGTCCAAGAGGCATCCCGAGATTGGCCGACCTATCTAGAAGTTCGATCGAAACTGTCAATCAAGATGGCTGTCTCTGATTCTGCTCGGAAAGTAGGGTAGTGCTAATGCCGAGCGATCCGAATGCAGGTCGTATCTGATATCGTACAATCATAATCTGAATTATGCGCGTCATATCTTTACAGCAAATTAGTGGTAGACGGCCACGAAACCGAATCCATAGAAAACAAAGCATCGTCTCCGAGCGCCCACTCAAAGTCAGCGAGGAAGTTCTCGTCTAACAAGAACGACTCCTGTCGGTCTGCCGACGCCCCGGCGGACTGGATGGCACTGGACAATGCGTCTCGATTTGAGTCCACGCCTGTACTCTCTGGATCATTAGTGCCTGTGCCACTCCGCGCACGGGGAGGAACAGTACCATCACCCGGTTCGGCCTGGGCCAAGACCACCGACCGTGAGAGGGGATCGAACTCGTCTCGGAACCACCACACGGCATCCACGACGGCGCTGATAGCCAGCCGACTGCGGATCCTCAGACCTGTATACTCGGAGCCGTCGGCTTTTCGGAAGGCTTTGCTGCTGTTCCATAGGGCGTTGAGGATCGTGACAGTCTTGGAGGCCATGTCGGTGCTCTCGACGGACATCTGCTTGGCTAGGTTGATCGCGGTGAAATACGATGCTCGGGCCCGTCCAGTGTCCGGAACCTGGCAGGTACTGCTTTTGAGGATCCGCAGTAATGCGACAGACGCGATGAGGAGCCCGAATCCGTGTTGGACGGGCGCCATCGAAGCTGAGTGCAGTCGGCTGGTGATGCTTTGAATCAAATCAATCATGTGGCATGCCGTGGCCAGGAGCCGAGGAAAACAGCCACTGGATAGGAGCGTCTGGGTTTTAAAGAAGTGGAAAACCTGGACTACCATCCGGCACATGACGGCATGATACCGCTCGTCGTCTACATCGGGACGGAATATTTAGCAAAATTGAAATCAAAGGACAAGAGTCACATACCAGTCATGGCCTGTAGTTCTACCTCATCCACCTGGCTCTCATAAGTACGCAACAATATATCCAACGAGCGCTCCTGGTCCACGGACATGTTGCGCACTCCATTCTCCTGAACGGCCTGGCTGCATCGCGCCATGAGCTCCTGGCACCGAAGCTTCAACACAAGCGACGAAGCAATCTTGTCAAATAGAAGCTGCCGCTGTGTAGGGTCCTGTGCGAGGTTGACCAAAACTCGTGGCGACTGTCCTTTGATCACGCATGCGCTGCTCGAGTGTTAGAGAATTGACGGCAAACCTACCAATTGGACATACCGTTGGTACACAACAACGCAATGAGCCCACAGCTCCGCACGCCGGACCATGTCAGCTTCTGAGGGTGAGGAAATTTTCACGCGGGAAAACTCATGGCTCGACATGGGGATATGCAGTCCATTCTGCATGGCGATATGGAGCAACAGCCCACTCATGGGAAACGTCACATCGGGACGGTTACCCTTGGGAAAAGGCCATGTTAGCAGCAACAACAGTCCCTGGATCGTGTGCCATGGTGGCGATGGAGATACGCCAGATAGGAAGGCCATCTCCGTGATGCTTTGCGCCAGCGCCATCAGGAGAGTGGGATTGCGGGAGTAGTTCCGGCATGACACCCCGATTACGGCCCAGAAGAGGAACGGTGACTGGGCGTAGTATGTATTCGGGCGCGTCTGTGGGTCGAGTATGGGCAGGAACTGTGCATAATGACAAAAGAATCTAGACTTTCATGTCAGTCGCGAACCTCTTGAGACACAGCAGGGGTGCCTACAGCCGGAACAGATCATCAATCTCCTCTCCGCTCACCCAAATGCCGTTCACTGATCGGGGCTTGGTGATATCAGTCGTACTCCCTTCTGCCCAACCCGGTGCCGGACCGGAGGTGGTGAGCGGGTACGCAGGAGCGGCGGCAACCTGGGACACCGGAATGTGAAGGTCACCACCCCCGGCAGACGGACCCTCGCGCACGCCCATCTCCGCCGCCGCCGTCAGCAGGGCAATGGGTGAGGGATTAGGCGACTCGGCCGACTGCGAGGTCCTCAATTTCCGGCGCAGCTCCTCGGATTCCTTTTCCAGCTCCGAGAGACGTCTGCCCATGGGATATGGTTAGCATGAGATAATAGCTTTTCCTCCGGTCAAGACATACTTGCGCTTGTGTTCCCGCTTGAAGGGGTCAGAGATGACACATTCTGCCTTCATCTTCCGGCAACGGGAGCATGGATGATTCACATAGACATCGCATTTGGCCTGCCATTGTTAGATCTGTCCGTCTAGCATGAGCAGAAGCTCGCGAACCTTTTGCTGACGACACTCGGTGCACGCCTTCTTGCCCTTCTTGGGCAGTCTGTAACTCCTCATGTTAACACGGATGCGACGTTTGAGGATTGGAGACAGAACCTACGTGGTGGATGGCTCGGACATGGTCGGTCGGGACCGGGTTGAGGGCCGGGATCGGTTGAGCGTAGAGAGGGTGTGCCGGAGTGACCGCGCAAGTGCGGGAATGGGATGAGCAGAGACAGAGTAGAGTAGCGCTTGCCTGTTTAGGCTCCTGTTGATCCGGGCTGCGACTTCCTCCAGCGATGCAAAGAGGAAAAAGGAAGGCGCGGCTGTCCCGGTACCGGCATGTCCAGGTCCGCCCGTGATTGGTCAGCACCAAGAGTTCACAGAGTTAAATAACATCGAATGCCCCTTTGTGTCTTTCCCTTTTTGCTTCTTCCCTGGAGTTGATGAATGAGGGAATTGAAAATAACATTCCCGTACCGAATGACCGTACCAGACTCGTGCGGTGCCTCGAGGGTGATATCCGTCCTACTCCACCAAAGTATTGTGGGCTCGCCCCGTAGCACTCGACGGGATGAACATGTTGAACGGTAGCAGTCACACCCGGTCAGTGTCCTCAGCGTCGGATCATTACCCCTAGAATTTGTCAACACCGTGCAACATTGGTGATTGATGGTTTCATGGTCTATTCTATACTATATTTGACATACTCTTGACTAAATCCCTTCAGTTTGGCTTCGCGCTAGATGACTAGAAGGATGGACCTCGATATCAGTCCTAGAAATGAACTATGAAAACTCGTCATGAAAAGACACTATCCCTCATGACAGTTTTGAAATAGAAAGGGGAGACGAATATATGTCTCGCAGGTAAGGGGTGGGCTAAACACGCGCGCCCACATGTCTTTATCTAGTCAATTATAAGAGTTTGTTTGAAGGCGTAAATTTTATTCTTCTGTGGAAGATACGGGAGTTCAATCGCAAGAGATCATATCGTTAACCCTTCCGTAGTACCCTTGTCTCGCGTTCTGATTAAGTACTGGTACCTTTCTTTGGTCTTCTTTTTGCCAACTGAAGACTTTCGACAATCCTTCAACCTATTCCCCTGGCCCATTCTTCTCAAATAGAACCGACAACCAACTACTTTCAATGTCTTCTGCGGCGTGATATTCGTCACTACATGGCAACGCCACCAGGGGCGGCCAACCGCCATCGAGTGTGTTCACCGTGACATCACCGCTACTATATATATCATACCCGGGATCTCTCCTCAAGAATCCAAACGGAGCAAATGAGCACGCCGCCATGAGTTTCGACATCCCTAGCGTCAGCGAGCTAAAGCGTGCCGCCGAGTGCGGGCAACGCATCACACCCGAAGACGTGTCGGTGATTTCGCAAGCCGAAACCGAGCTGACGGGCAGTGGGCCAGTTCGGGGCGGACCAGCCGGTAGGTCTTGAGAGAATTTGACTTTTCTGCAAATATGCAAGGCAAGGTACGGCAAGGTGACCCACGGAACACAGCCACGGCGCAGAGCCTGTCGATGCGCCAGATGAACTTTGATACCAAATTCGACGAGGTGTCGCGTAAGCCCCAGAGCCATATCACGCAGGAGGATGCGCGGGAGATCCAAGCCACCGAGGTATGTACGGATTGGTCGAGGGTTATGTGTGGAGAACGGACTTGACTTACCCAGTGGTGATTATCTAGGGCCGTGCCTTCAATAGACCGCCCGGGGTGGGCTCAGTCTCGGCGCAGGTGCGGTCAATCGCCAATCGCAACGAAGCCTTGGGTCTGCCTCCGGTTGCGGCGGATGTGCCTGTGTATGTGACCAAGGAGGATGCACGGATTGCGCAGCGGAACGAGTCCCTGCTGTATGGCGGACAGAACCCGAGTGCCGGAATGGCGGCACAGATGCAGGTGAGTGGAGAAGTGAGAGTAAGCGGTGGACGAGGCTGATGATGATGGTGGTGGTGGAGAGTGCTGCGGATAAGATTGAGCATGCCCGGAGGGGCAGTGAATACCAGTAGGATATATCATTTCCACGTAGTATAGGCCGACCCGGCCGAGTGGATTTGCCCAGGAGAGCTTACTTTGTTCCCACCGCATTCTGTGGTCCGGAGCAGTGGAGCTCCCTCAATTTGTCATGGGCTTGCATTGCGAAGGAATTTGGAATCGAGAACGGATTTGGAATTGGAACACACATGACGCAATCCATTTATCAATTCATTCGGTTCCTTCTTAAATATTCCCTTCGCTCACTCTCAAGGTCCCCATTCCCCCAAGTTACCCTCTCTCTCCATCATGCCTCTCACCGGTCACTGTCTCTGCAACGCGGTCACATACTCCGCCGATGTGGACCAGCCTCTTATCACCGCCTATGACCACTGCGATGACTGTCAGCGCCAGACCGGCTCCACCTATTGTACGCTGGCCCTGGAAAAGAATAGAAAATAATTTCATTACTAACTGTTTTACCCAGCCCTGGTCACTGTCGTACCCAAGGCCAAGCTGACCATCAAGGGCCCCGTCAAGACATGGTCCGGCAAGGGCAGCTCCGGAAAAGCCGTCCACCGCCTCTTCTGCCCCGAGTGCGGCTCGCCCATTGCCCATGATCCCGATGCGGCGCCGGAGATTATTGCTCTGAAGGCTGGCACGCTCGACATGGAACTCAAGAAGAACCTCAAGCCGGTAGGTAGCAGACAGACTTGGCAGACACCAACGCTAATGATTGCATGCAGGACACTGAGATCTGGACTGTCAGCAAGCTTCCTTTCTGCCAGGAACACCTTGCCAAGCCCTTCACACACATGCCGGAGTAAGAATGCGGAGGGAACTGCGAAAGATGGGAGCGTCGGACGGGAGGCATTCTCACGAGGGATTACGAAACGCAACAAAAGCATCGTTAACTAGCTCAATATGACTATGACCTTATTCGTGTACCCCAATTATTGGCCCGGTGTCTACATTATCCAATTACCTTACCCCGGATCTACCTAGGGTAGTTCGCAAGCGCAGGAGTACACATGTCACAGACCCACGGTGACATTATCTACCGTCGGAACATTTACCCCGATCGCTATCGGATATAAGATCCAGAGCATGGTTTGTATCCCATCACCCAGATGGTCAGCTCTCGCCAGCATCAATCATGTCGACCGGCACACTCTTTGTCCACGACTCGCGCACCGATCTCCACTACGAGATCCCCATCCACCGCAATGCAGTGCGGGCAACAGATCTCCAGGGCATCCGCGCCCCGTCTGCGGGCGCAGACCGAGCAGACCAAGTTGCCCACGGATTGCGAGTCCATGACCCAGGCTTGCAAAACACCACGGTGGTGGAGTCTGCTATCAGCTTCTCGTGAGCTTGCGGCGGCTGTGATGCTTGCCCTCGCAGTGTTGACCATGCCATACATATCTAGTGACCATGAGCGAGGACATTTGCTATTTCGTGGATACACCCTCGAGCAGCTGCGGGACGCTGACTTTGAAGGCATGTTCCACCTGCTGGTCTGGGGCACGTATCCGACGACGCATCAGAGAGCGGAACTAAGTCGGACGCTGGCTCAGCATATGCAAGAGATTCCAGATTCAGTGCATAAAACTATCCAGAATTTGCCGTACGGACTTCTCACCTTTATCCTCATACCATGTACCGCGTATGCGAACCGTCTAACCCTAACTGCAGACCAACTACAAGCCCGTTGCCGCTCATACTGGCCGGTCTAGCAGCCTACCTATCCAGCGTGCCAGAATCCATCCCCGCCTCATCAGACGCGAGCCTTTACCAGAAGAACATTGACACTGCTGACCATATGATCTTAAAAACCACTGCAGCCTACGCTGTGGTATTCGCCGTCGTCCACTGCCACCGCAAGGGCATTCTATGGCAGCCCGCCTCCCCTAACCAGACCTACTACGAGAACCTATTTACCATGTCCTGCTTGCTAGACCAAACGACTCAACGTCCAGACCCCGTGCGGCTGGCGTGTTTCCGCCGCTTCGCCATGCTGAACGCAGACCATGGAATGGCACTCTCTGTCTTCTCGACTCTCGTCACAGCATCCTCTTTGACGGATCCGGTCTCGTGCCTGATGTCCGCTGTCAGTGCCGCTCATGGCCCGCTCCATTTCGGTGCGACCGAGTCTGCGCAGCGCGCTCTGCGCGAGATTGGGGATCCATCGCGCGTTCCTGCCTTTATCGAAGAGGTTAAAGCCGGAAAACGTAAGTTGTTCGGCTACGGCCATCGCTCGTACAAGGGTACGGATCCGCGCGTTCATCCCATTCGGAACATTCTAAAGGATCTGGCTCCGGAACCGAGCCCGCTTTTTAAAATCGCCGAAGCTATTGAGATGGCTGCGAGCAGGGATGAGTACTTCCTTTCTCGCGGGTTGTATCCGAATGCCGATTTTTATGGAAACTTCGTCTTCACTGGCATGTTTGTAGACCCTCACATAGAAGGTGTTGTGAGCGATGTGCAGGAGGAGATTTGGCTGATGTTCTGCATAGTGGGTTCGAGCCTGAGATCATCCCAGCGGCTATGCTCTCGCATCGGATCATGGGAATCATGGCCCATTGGCGTGAATACATGGGTACGTACGCCACATGGCATGAATCGTCCGCAAGGCTCGGTGACTTCTTTGCTGACCATGTGTAACTAGTCACTCGCGGCAAGATTTTTCGACCCTCTCATATCTATACTGGTAGTGCAATGCCAAGGCTGGATGCTGTCGCGAAGATTTAGTCGGCTGTGTGGGGGTTTGCTCTGCGAGCAGGTCTCTTCAGGATTTATGTTCTTTGCTACTTACTACCTGCTCTTTAATCAAGATGCCATGTTGTATGATTTATTTTATTGCACATATTATTCGTAGCAGCACGCTTCTCTCAATATGCAACCCATCACAAGTGAATGTCTGTCTAGCACCGTGAGCGAAGTCACCGATACGACGCCTTTGTTGCGGGCTACCACTGATCGATATTCTGTTTTCACCACCACTGGAAAACGACTGATTATACTGACCGCAGCGCTGGCCTCAAGTTTCTCCCCTTTATCTGCAAATATCTACTATCCGGCCCTGAATTCCATTGCGAAAGACTTGCATGTCGGTCCGTCTCAGATAAACCTGACAATCACGACGTACATGGTATGGCCTGCTGAATGTCACTATCAGCCAAACAGCTAACTTTTTGTATACAGATATGCCAGGGCGTCGCACCAGCGTTCATGGGCTCCTTAGCCGACCAAGCAGGCCGTCGACCGGCCTACATCTGCTGTTTCATGATATATATCGCGGGCAACATCGCTCTCGCCCTCCAACGCCACTATTCCGCGTTGCTGATTCTCCGCGCCGTTCAAAGCAGCGGCAGTAGCGGAACAGTTGCCTTGGCATCTGCCGTTGCTGCTGATATCATCACTCCGGCCGAGCGAGGCTCTTATATGGGTCTTGCCTCGCTTGGTAATATTCTCGCGCCCTCGCTTGGCCCTGTTCTCGGTGGCCTGTTGGGCCAGTATTTGGGATGGCCGGCAATCTTTTGGTTTTTAGCCATTGCAGGTGCTGCCTTTTCTGTGCCGCTGATTCTGTTTTTCCCTGAGACTTGTCGGGCTATTGTTGGGGACGGATCAATCACTGCACTAGGGTGGAATAGGACCTTTTGGAGTTATATGAAGCGGCCTTGGAATCAAGCTGCCAGCTTCACCCGTCAATCTCCTCCTCAGTCGACAAAATGGGCCATCCTCAATCCTTGGTCCTCACTGCGACTGCTTTCTCATAGACCGGTAGGCCTAGTTTTGCTGGTGAATGGTGTCATTTTCGCAAGCTACTATGCTGTCACTGCGGGTATTCCTTCGCTCTTCAGGGCGCTTTACAACCTTCACGATCTCGGTATAGGGCTAAGCTTTATTCCCGCCGGACTAGGCTCGCTGGTTAGTGCAACTGCCAACGGCGTGTTGGTTGATTGGAATTACAGACGAATGCGCGCAAAAATAGGCCAGCCAGTACGTAAGCACCAGCGTGAAGACATCTCCGACTTTCCAATTGAGCGGGCTAGGCTACAGATTGGCTTGCCTATGGCGGTACGTCTTATTATATATAGTGTATGTCCTGCCCTTCTGGTTTCAGATGTTGATATTCTAACGTAGATATTTGCTGCCGCCTCGATCACTGTCTATGGGGCCATCCTGGCTCATGGAGCTCCATTGTGGGCTGCTCTTCTGATGATATTTTTCATTTGCTTCTTTATCACCGCCGCATACAATGTCATGAATGTGCTGATTGTGGACTTGTACTACACAACCCCGGCCACGGCTATGGCCGCGAACAACCTGGTGCGCTGCTGTCTCGGTGCGGGCGCCGCCGCTGCGGTGAACCCATTGATTGGGCGGGTAGGTGTGAAGTATGCTTATATTGTCGTGTCAAGCGTTGTAGCGGTGGTGATTCCGTTGCTCATGCTTGTTTATTCTAAGGGCTGGGCGTGGCGACGAGCACAAATGGAGCCGCCCTAGAAATCTGCCCTGGGAATTGCTGACTACTCTACATGGATTTTCAGGTGGTGCAACAGAACTGAATTTTGTAGTCGGTAAATATTTGCAGGACGGGGTGGTATATACAGACGAAGATGATTGGATTTTTCGTGCGTTGCACGTCTATATAATGAAATCCACTTGGACATTTTCACATCCGAATCATACGTATATTTATTGACAATGATGTTAGAGGTGTGGATTATATGGTTTCTTGTAGCAGGCATGACAGATCAATATCCACTGCTGCCCATGCAACAACTCCAGGTTGGTTATCCAGGAGACATGTGGGTCTGGCCCGGAATGACATTAGATGTTCAAGGTATGAAGACAATCCGGGATGCTTGCCGAGTCTTGCTAACTGTGCATCAGATACGAAGACCATCCCCGATATTGGTCACGCTGGTCTGCACTGCGGCACTCGCTACCTGATCCTCTTCCTCGACCTCGACGTCATGATGCCCGGGGCCGCAATCCAGACGGTTGTCTTACACTGGTACCAGTCAGGCCTCATAGTAAACTGCACAGACACAGACTCGCGGGGTCACCTGGTGCCGTCCGCGGATAGTGGCGGGCCGTCTTCGCCCATCGCTGAATATATTGGACCTCAGCCTCCTCCCGGCTCGCACCACCGTTATGTCTATCTCCTGTATGTGCAGCCATTCAAATATCGCTTTCCAGCTTGCTTTTCGCACATTCCGCCGAAGATCATGGCCGCGCGTGCTGGATTCGATGTGAGGCGGTTTATGCAGGCGGCCGGATTGGATGTCCCGCTTGCGGTGAATTATTTCTTTGGCCGCAATGAGAGTCCTGGCCAGCCATCTCTGAGTTGGTTGAGTGCAACGATAACATCGTTCCAGTCTGTGACCTGTGACCCGGCTCCTACTGAGGTAATGTGGAAACGAAGTTGGAAGTGCGAGGACTTCTATTAGGGTGGTTCAGTATGAGCTGAATAGCGACTTGCATCAAGCCATCTATTTTCCCCGCATCGTATCTGGTAGAGCTTTCGCTTGAGGATATCTAACCTTTATCTCGAGCATATAACACCTTGCTATCTGTCTAATACTCAGGAGATGTTAAGGCGCTAGATAATGTATTATATACTACCCCTAGTTACCTCTTTTCCCTTGAGTAATCAGGTCTAAGTACGGGGGTCGACAATTTGTCAATATGTACCAAAAAGGGAACTTCAATGCTCCAGATGTGAGTATTACAGAGTGGCCTTATGGTGGCCTTATGTTCACAAGAGCCCAAAGCTTTAGCTGCCTTCCAAAAGACCCTATGTGCTCTCATTTAGCCCCCTGCTAAGTAGGGTATCAGATTCGGAGATGTGAATATGACTGGAACAGAAGATTATGAGACGAAATTGCAATACCATACAGCTGCATAACCGCAACCTAAACGATTGCCAATTCTCCACCTTTCAGCGCTGCCGTCCCCTCAGATTGGAGCCTTTGCGGTTGATGACATTATGGTGAGCCACAAGTTGTACTCCTGTATGCTCGGGTAGGACAGAACCTACTTGTGATAAAGGAACCTGCATGATGTAACTCTGGCGCCGTCCCGGCTTGTCGTGCAATCGTAGCAGCCCACTTTAGACTGGGAAAGGTATAATGGCCTTTGAAGTGAGCCTAATTTCATGCCTGTTGATATCGTACCTACGACAAAGATTGGGTGCCTTGATGAAGTAGATCTACGGAGGTACACGGTTACGTGCGCAACGAGCTCATGACGCCTTTACGCCTTTATATGAGACGAGGGTGTCGAAACCAACTAGCGCCACTGCTCAAAGGAATTCACGCGAATTGCTTGTTTAAATATGAGCATGTCCAAGTCATCCAAAGAAAATGCCAGTACGCTTCCCAAGAGTGTCAAAGTACGCTCTACCTGCAACGCTTGTCAACAAGCCAAGATTCGCTGCAGCCATGAGAAACCAACTTGCCGTCGGTGTCAGAAGCATAAGATCGATTGCGTATACAGCATGTCTAGGCGATTGGGACGACCAGCGAAGAAGGGAGATTCTCAGTCGCGGCTAGAAGAGAGTGGTGCCAGCCCCGTTCGACAGCAGCAAGCGGTGGATTACCAGGACCTCGAAAGGAAGACGACAAAGGCGACAAGGAGAAAATGCCACCAAGAAAGCACAGAGACCGGGATTCAGGCCCCGAATCGGGCCATGAAGAGGGTCTCCAAGGGAATGGGGAACAAAGTGCCTACGTCAATTGTTTCTGACGACATTTCCAGTTAGTAGCGTCCATTTGTGATTGTAGTACAAAAGACTGACACGATTCAACTAGTGCTGGATGTCGACATTGCATCCGAAGTCTGGCTGCAAGAATTGATGTCGACTCAACTCAACGAACCCGTTCTGAATAACATTGACACCGGATACGATAATAATAATATCGATCTTGATGATCTCACTGATCCTTTTAACAACACGAAATATCCGGGTCCATTTGTTGACTATTCAGGCACGGACCCGTTTCTTTCATCGATTATGACGGTACCTGAACCGGCGACAGTGCATCCAGTTGCAAGCAACTGTCTTACAGGTTTTGAAGGACTTCAGGACCAGGCAATAATATTATCAGGATCTCAAGATATGGCTTTCTTCTCTTCATCTTATACATCGAGTGTGGATTCCAGGCAGCAAATGCAGTCTCAATCAGACCTATCTGCCATGAGCGGCGTCCCAAGTTCAAGGACATTGATGGATTCATACAATCACAAATCTCCGTTTGAGTCGCCAGAAAATAGTATTTACTCTTCAGAAAATATAGATACTGAGTTGGTCCCGGAAACGCCAAAAGGTTGCAGCTGTACACCGGACACCTGGTCAATAGGAGAGTTGGTCCGAGCTGGGCTGAAGCCGAGTAAGGATGAGACCAATATTGACAGTCTGTTGGCATACCAAAAAGAGCTTCAACGGCAAGCGGAATTGGTCCTGCGATGCAGAGTCTGCTCGAAGACGGAGTCTCGAGCCAACCTGCTCATGGTCATCATTGTGAGCATTGATAGCCACCTGACCATGCTAGAGGCAACTGCAACATCTGCCAAATCGTTTCTGCAAGAAGGTCAAGTTCTTTCGAATTTACAGTGCGGGGCTAGAAAACAGAGAAATGTCCAAAATAGTGTTGATCTTCATATGGAAACTTGCCCTTTACTGGTGGGAAACTTTCAAGTTCCGATTGAAGACAAGACTTGGTTCATCCGATGCATGCTACAGACACGACTATCTATGTTGCTATCCACGATTCGGCGCATTCGGGTTTATACACAAGACTTCTTCACTGCCACGCCTTATAGGGGTCGATTGATGATGATAATGGAGACGGACCGACGGCTGCAGTTGATTTTAATGAAGGTCAGAATGGTGACTGGCCGCTGAAATCGGCGGTGACATCCTTGTAGAGAACAGTGTAGCTATATGGCATAGTTAGATGAATATAGCTGGTCGATAATAAATGGCGCAGCCATTCAGGAAGACTGCTCGAGAATGGTAGAATAGAATCGGGCGGCGATGAGTTCCTAGTCGACATGGCGGCACGCAGAAATGAGAGCGATAAACGGTTCTGCCTGATCTGCCAATAGAAGAGCGCACAAGTCTATCAACCTGCCGAAGAAGCCCGTGAAGATGAATGGTGTGACTTTCTGCAGGTCAAAAGCAAACTCAACGAGCGCAGAGGTGGGTAGAGGCCCGCGGCCATTCGTGCTGGCCGCAGGCCTGTAAGACAAGTCAACAACCATCCATCCATGTACGTCAATGACGCAGGGGATTTATGACAGATTCTGGTGCTCCATAACTGAGGCAGCTGCACTATCAACGGATGGCGGTAATTTTTGGGAAATAAAGAGGGTGTTCTGTCATTTGCCAAGTCACAGATACTGCTACCTCAGTGGACGCCAGACAGCAAGCAAGACTGACCAGATCATCTTAACTCCAGATGAGCTTCCTTTCCGGAGAACCACCATGAATACTGAAAGGAAATGTCGGTGTTCCATGGATGCCCTGCAAATAATGACGGAATTGCGAAATGTCCATACGGTAGTCGACGTCGAAACCATTTTCGAGCTGGTCCACCGTGTCTGTCAACAGGGCTCCATTATGATCAACTGTACCGACTGCGTCAAGACACCCCAGCCATCGATGGTGACTATACCGGCACTTTCCGAGCAGTGCCTGGCTTTATTCGAAGCCGTGTGCGCCGCATATGACATCTCGAGCCAACCAGCTCTCTTCGATCCCAGTATCCTTGCGTTTGAGCAGCCTCCAGGCCCCTTCGTCTGTATCCGAAGTAAAGTCGTTCTTGGCCAAACCGAGCTCGATGAAGATGAGGCCCGACTGTTGGTTCGCACGCTCCTCGGCCGCACACTGATGCGTTTGGTGGAGCTGATGGAGGACCTGAGAGGGATTGTACGTGTTTTATTGGAGAGCGCACAGCATAACCGCACGGGCACCACCACGTTGAGGGCTTGCGAAAGCTCTGTCGACTGCACCATTGGGCGGCTGGCCGTCTTTTTGCAGCAGATAGAGGGCAAAGAGGGTCCATTAGCCTGAAGAGCAACTTCAGGAACGAAATCATGGATTGGACGTCGGAACCAGGTTGGTATAAGAAGCAGGTAGACCATGTATGCATATCATTGAATTCGCAAGACCCGTGCCAGGGACAATTCTTGAGAACACTGGTTAAAAAACAAAGAAAAAAAAGTCGGTCCGCATCGTAAAACATTGGGTATCTCATGCATCCAGTTCGAACGCTGCTCTAGCACCTCGATATCTCTGAATCATAAATGATTCGCCGTGACAAGCGATGATCGCCTAGGTGGACCAGGGCCGCTCGAAGACGCCCGTCCACTGGCCCCAGCCGATGATCTTTCCCTTCATGGCCTGCTTGATCTCCTGCTTGGTCGCCTTTTCGGGAGATTCCACTCCTAGTGGGGCATTGAGAGCGATGATGGTAAAAACATAGCGGTGACTTCCGTGGCCCAACGGAGCGCCTGCACCAATGTATGGTTTACCCATAATGTTGGGAAGGAAACACCAGCCAGCTTTGGTCCGACGAGTTTGAGCGGCATCTTCGTGCGGCTGGACATCTTCTGGCATGGCGGCAACCACAGGTGCGGGGATGGCCCAGAATAGACCATGGTGGATGACCATGAACGGGACGGGAATGTCGATGTCTTCGCAAACCAACATGTATTCCTTGACGGGTTCCGCGGACTCTGGGGCACTCCAGTGCAGCTACGGCAAAGCACCGAGCCGGTCCTTTGCGAGCATGCTGCAGCGCAGAGGCAGGCTGGAGCCGGAGGGACCACAGTCGGACTCGAGGGTCATGTTCGGCTCGGGCAGGTGCTGGAATGCGGGCCAATAGATCAGCTGGCGCGAGTCATGGGCGCGAACGGGGTAGAGCAGGCGGCCGATGGCAAACTGCAGGTACTCAACAATGAACATGGCAGCTGGGATTGGGCGAACGAAGAAGCAAAAGAGAAAGAAGGAAAGAAGTTGAGGTGTTTGTAGTGGTTCAGCGTGGGGAAGGCGCGACCGGGCCGTTAACGGGAAGTGAAAGGAGGAAGGAGGGAGGAGGAAAGAGGGAAGGACGAGGAAAGAGCGACTGACCGTGACTTGAACACTCCGTCTTCCATAGATCCCTTCAATAATTGGAAGTATGAGGCTGAATGGGTGACAATGCAAAACCCGATGATGCCCCACTGGTTACCCACTGTTCCTGATCTGCGATGACAACATCCGCCCGCATCCGGTCCAGTTCCCATCCCTGGCGCCTGCGCGGGTCGGAAAATCACCCTCTTCTCTCTCACGGGCCTTCATGTTCGCCTCGCTGCTGGACGCTGTCAAGGTTCCTCCGCCCTCCGAGGGCGTTCAACAGCGACCTCCGCGCTATGCGGGCGAGGACACTACATCGACGAGCCGCCGCGAGATCCTGGGCTGGTATGCCTACGGGATGGCGGCGGAGGTCTTCGCGGTTTGCGGTGTAGGTTCGTATTTTTTTGAGATTCCCACAACTCCAACAAGCCCAGGGGCTAAATGATCGCCCGTAGGTTCATTTCTGCCCCTCACTCTCGAGCAGCTGGCCCGTGAGCACGGCACCTTACAGATGAGCCACCTGCCCTGTGTCGGCGACCAGACCGCAAACAATGGCACGCAGCCTGTGGAGAATGAGCAGTGCCTGGTTGGCCTGCTGGGGCTCCAGATTAACACTGCGAGCTTCGCCATGTATACCTTCTCGTTGGCGGTGCTTGTCCAAGCTCTGACGTTGATATCGTTCAGCGCCTTGGCGGACTACGGTATGATTGCACACCACGACAAGCCTATCCCAGCAGCGGTATCTATTTGGACGTGAAGTTAACAACATTTGTCTCGTTGAATGATGCAGAGAACAATCGCAAAACGCTGCTCATGACATTCGGTTTCATCGGCTCCGCTACCAGCATGCTATTCATGTTCATCCCGCCGCCGGTGTTCTTCCTCGCCCCAATCTTGGTGGTAATCGGTGTGACGTGCCTCGGGTCGTCATTTGTGGTGCTGAATTCTTACCTCCCCGTCCTGGTGGCCAACGACCCGTCCATCCAAGAGACAAAAAAGGAAGAGGGTGAAGAACTGTCGGAGTTGCATCGGAACGAGGATACTGCCGATTGGAATTCATGGGGCGATGAGGAAGATAGTTTGGATGGCGTTGCGGAGGATCGCCAACAACCCCATGCCCCGAACTCATCATCGCCGGAGCTCCAACTGTCGACCCGGATCTCATCGAAGGGAGTTGGTTTGGGGTACTCGGCCGCGGTATTTGTGCAGTGTCTCAGTATCCTGCTGCTGGTCACTCTCTCGAAAACATCCCTGGCAAAGGCATCCGGGACGCTTCCACTCCGGTTTGTGTTGCTGCTAGTAGGCATCTGGTGGTGCGCATTCACCTTGGTCGCTCGTCGATTGCTACGCCCTCGACCTGGTCCGGCGTTGAGTACATCCACGCCAAATGGCTCTCACAGTCGCTGGCGGGTGTGGCTCCGGCTGATGGGATTTGCGTGGAAGTCCTTGTGGCGAACGGTGAAAGTGGCCATGCGGCTGCACGAAGTGCTTCTCTTTTTGGTCGCATGGTTCCTCTTGTCTGATGCCATGGCCACCGTCTCCGGCACAGCGATTCTTTTCGCTCGGACGGAATTGAAGATGAGTACGACGGCGGTCGGACTGCTGTCAATTACCGCCACTCTATCGGGCATGACCGGCGCCTTCTTGTGGCCGCACGTGTCCCGTCGTTTGGGACTAGAACCCAACCACACCATCATTCTCTGCCTCGCGCTGTTCGAGATCATCCCTCTCTACGGAATGCTTGCCTACATCCCATTTATTAAGAACTGGGGCGTCATTGGACTACAACAGCCATGGGAGATCTTCCCCCTGGCTATTGTGCATGGAACTGTGTCTGGCGGTCTTGCATCATACTGTCGCTCCTTTTTCGGTCTTTTGATCCCACCCGGCAGCGAGGCGGCGTTCTATGCCCTCTACGCGGCCACGGACAAGGGGAGTTCGTTTATCGGTCCTGCCATCGTTGGGATGCTCATCGACGCGACAGGCCAGGTGCGCTCTGGGTTCTTCTTCATCGCGGTGCTGATTGTATTGCCGATCCCGCTCGTCTGGATGGTAAATGCCGATAAAGGCCGTCGCGAGGCTATGACTATGGCCCAATCCCTCGACGCTTCTCACGGGGGACCTGCAGAGGATGCCCAAGAGGTGGAAGGGCTTTTGGCCCGTCATGAATAGATCATATGAGGTAGACTTACGAATATAGATACAATCTGACCATTATTTCTTGTTGATAGTTTGGACTTTGGAGACGCCCAGAGCTGGCCCCTATGGAATGCACTTGCTTTGAGCGACATGGTTCGCGGATCCATGCTTTGTATTTTTGCTATGGCTTCAGTTAAATCTAATTAGCGATCAATAATGGAATCGAAGCAGGGATCGAGTCACACGACTCCCAACTCCAAATATTATCTCACAAATGAGCCACCAAGCGATCTCATAGCAAGTCAGATGCTGTCTTCGCTTCCCGGGTCATTTTCACCACCTTCAGTCATCACCCCCTAGGAACACCCTAATTGGCATCCACCCGTCTCCAACAACCTTTCCCCGAGTGGTGATGTCGGTCAGGCTTTGGAATTCCTGTTCACTCAAACTCCAACCATCCAGTTCAAAGTTCGAATCAATTCGACTAGGCGTCACACTTTTGGGGATCATGCTAGTCCCCCTTTGGAGCCCCCACATCAATCTGCCCTCGTTAGGTTATTGTTTTCTTTCTTCCTGCGCGAATAATTGACTCACAGGATTTGAGCTACGGTCTTTCCTTTAGTTTCTGCAATCTTGAGCACCACCGGATCTTCAATCAAGTCAAGCGAAGAATTAATGGCGGATGTAGTGTGGCCGCCTAGGCAGGAGTATGCAGTACAATGTATTCCATTTGAATTGCAGTACTCCACTAGTTTGCGTCTGTTCGATTTTTGGTTAATAATTAGTTTATCTAACCATCCAGGAATTGAACGGCAACTTACGATGGATTGTGGGGATGAAGCTAAAGCAAGAAAAATGTCAGTGAAAATTGATCCCCTCGAAAAAATACTGAAATACCTCGATCTGGTTGACAGCCGGGACCACTTCGCAGGAAGGATCATTGAGAAGTTTCTCTAGGTGTGTGATCTGGAAGTTCGAGACACCAATGTTCTTGACCTTTCCAGTATGCAGTAGCTTCTGCATCTCTTGCCTGCATTTCCTTAGCACGTTGTAGAAAATACAAGCGACTGGACAATATCTTACCAGGTGTTGATGAAATTCCAATCAACAAGATGCTTAGATCGATCATCCGGATCTGTCGAGCATGGGAAATGAATCAAGAACAGGTCAACATAATCAAGTCCTAAATCATTCAGAGATGATTCGAGCCCGTCCCGTACGCGGTGATGCCAATGATTGTCAAGCTTAGTCGTGACCCAGATTTGATCTCGCGGTACTCCCGACGCGCGTACACCCTCGCCGACTTCTTTTTCGTTGCCATAATTCAACGCCGTGTCGATGTGGCGGTAGCCGTGTTTTAAGGCATGCTTCACAGCTTCTCTGGTATCGTTCTCTTTCGACTGCCACGTCCCAAGTCCGATCGCTGGGATAGCATTTCCGTTGTTCAGCGGGAACTTTTGGGTAGTGAAATTAGGCTTTGCCATTGTCGGGTGTGTTTTGGGGTTTTTTGATGGATGGGGGAGAGTTCGTGTTTTTGCGCGATATTCTTGGGTTGACGAGAGATATATTTCCGGAGAACCACCCTGCTGATTCTTATCTTGTCAAGCCCCTGTCTGTTAGTCTCTGCGGCTTTGGTTGGCCAATCTCAGTTTCAGATTTTATTGTCAAGCTCATCTTACCGCCAGGAATTAATACTGCACTTTCTGTCGAAGCCATGATCTCGGTAGAGAAATCCCCGAGTCCAGCATGTGGGGTTGATCGGCCAACTGCGATCGGCCAACTTAAGGAGAGAATGCAGATCCCCAGACGATAACACGAGATAGTGAGGGGGCGCACCAATAGCCTCCGCATAGGGGGTTTAGCAAGGTTGTGCGACGATAAGCGACAAATATGTAAATACTGACACCACAATTATCAGGATCCTATGTTCCACAACCCTCGAGACCTGCACCACCACCCCGTGGAGAAGCGAAACAAGATGGGCTGGTCATGGTCGCAGATCAAGTGCAAGCTTCAATGGTGAGTGTGGGCCCATACAGTGAATGCGTGAATCGCTCTCTCTGACTGTGTTATGCTACTAGCCCGAAGGACGAAAATGCATACTATGAAAACACCACATGGTGCAACCGCGACCTGATTCCCATTCCACCGGACCGGCGCACTTATGGAGTCTGGTCTTATTTCGGTAGGGAAATAACACCAGTGGATCATTCAAATGAGCAAATTAACATCTTTTCAAGGGTACTGGACTGTCTCAGGGTCTTGCATCTCGGCTTGGTCGACGGGTAGCACTTTGCTGGCCTTCGGGCTGAGCCCGCAGCAGGCCATCGCTGTTGTGGTGAGTGGTTGTTATGCTTCTACCATGGAATAGACTAATAGAATGTTTTTCGATTAGATTGTTGGTGGTATACTAGCTGGCCTTCTAGCCGTCGCGTGCGGGTGGACGGGAGAGAACCACCATATCGGATTCACCGTCTCGAGTCGATTTTCATGGGGGATGCGAGGGTCTTACTGTCAGTCATCGGCAACCGACCACTTTCCCAGATCCAATATTTAACGCTAACTTTCTTGTCAAAACAGTCCCTGTTATCCTGCGATGCTTCGTATCTTGTATGTGGTTTGGCATGCAAGCATTTTGGGGTGGTCAAGCAACGAGAGTCATGATCGGGGCTATTATTCCTGGTGGGTGGCCCTGAATGAGTCCAAGTGTGTTCTCAAGTAACACAGACAGGATTCGCTCACATGCGCAACTACTTTGACCCTGGATCGCATCTGCAGACGAATGACTTTATCGGTTTGGTAATCTGGATGTGTGCTTTTATCCCGGGTCTTCTCATTCGCCCAGAGAAGCTCCAGATACCATTTGTGATCTGCTTCGCCTGCTTCTGTGGAGCATGCTTCGGTATCCTGATTTGGTTCGTGCCTTTCTAATGCCTCATTATCGAATACTAAAGCGGTTGCTAGGGCCGTGTCAAATGCCCACGGCGCAGGCAGCCTGTTCCATGAACCAGCTAAAGCCCCCAATGTTGGCTGGGCGTTTATGTTTGGCATCACGGCTATCTTGGGTTCATGGGGATCTGGAACCCTGGGTCAATCCGACTGGACTCGTTATGCTAATCGACGACTTGCCCCAACGCTATCTCAGCTAGTTGCATCCCCCTTGACTATTGCGGCCACGGCGATTATTGGGATTGTTGTCACCAGTGCTTCGCATGATGTGATGGGCGGCGAACTTCAATGGAATCCAATATATTTGCTCGCAGATATCCAAGACTATTATCACTCAAGCTCTGGTGTCCGCGCGGGCGTCTTCTTTGCTAGCCTTGGGATGGTGTGCTCCCAGTTTGCGGTATTTCAGGTCCCACAGAAGCCAAGTTGATAGTCTGACCAGCAGTTCTAGATCTCAGTTGTTCTAAATTCAGTTTCGTGTGGTATGGACATGGCTGGTCTTTGGCCGAGATATATTAACATCAGACGGGGCGCGTACCTCATGTGCTGCATTGGAATTGCAACCCAGTGGGTCTTTTCTTTTTCCAGGTACAATTGATTACATACTAATTGGCTACAGACCATGGCAATTAATATCGACCGCTGACAAGTTACTCTCTGTGTTAAGTGGATTCGGTGTCTTCATGGCACCTGCAACGTGAGTCTAATCTGGGCATATCCCCCACAAAAAGTCTAATATCAACAAAATAGCGGAATCATGCTTGCCGACTACCATCTCATCCGGCGATATAAGCTCCGCCTTAGTGACCTGTACATCGGCGACAAATCCTCAATCTATTGGTTCTACAATGGAGTCAATTGGCGAGCATTCGTGTCGTTCTTGGCAGGAATGTGGCCACTTCTTCGTGTGTAAAACCTCTTTCGGATATCAGGCCTCAGGCTAATCGTTGATATAGCTGGCATGGTCGCAACTGTTGACACTTATTCCGCGAGCCAATGGACCGGTTGGGTGCGCCTCTACAATCTCACTTTCCTTGTCGGTCTTGCCTTAAGTTTTTCAGTCTTCTGGGCACTGAGCAAAATATTCCCTCCTGGTGGTCTGGGCCAAGAGTCTCCGTTTGTTGGCGAGGAAGTTGTTCTTTATGGAGTCTCGAAGGCGAGTCCTGAGACATCCTCACATACCGAGAAACAAGATACAGTGGCTAATGTGGTCTAAATGTGGATTAGTACTGGAACATAATCAGAGCATTTTTCAAGTGCATTGCTTGACCTCAAAAAGTGGATGAATATGCTTCCGGGTAGCCAAGATTTAGTCATTGATACATTTGACATACAACATCGCGTATTAAAAGAAGCCCATCACAAATACACTCTCGTATTTACTCAAGCCATCAGTAAGTCGCATTCATCCGCATCGTAATATAGTCTCGGCTCGTGATAGGATCATACTTCTTGGGCCGATCCGGCCCAAAGCAACCAGGGATACAATCGATAAGTCTTTCTCTGTCCGGACTGATGAAATAGGGTATGGAGTACCTTGGACGAGTCATGCGGCCTTTGGAGCTATCAGAATCCACAAGCGGAGGTGCACGAACACGGTGCAAAGTAGACTTGAGCTCGTCGTTGCTCCAGCGCATCAGAAGGTCCCCAATATTGACGACGGCCGAGCCTGGAATAAAAGGCGCCGGGTTGAATTTGCCTTTCTCGTGTATATCTTCGACCTCCAAACCGCCAACCTCATCCTGGAAGAGAATGGTCATTGTGCCGAAATCAGAGTGCGCCGCAATTCTCTCAGCTTTGCCCACTCTCAAAAGTTCTTCCTCTACCGCGGGATAATGCAACAATCGGCACTGGTTTGTTTTGTTCTGGTGATAGTCGAGAAAGAAGTTCTCGTCAATGCCCATCCCCACAGCAATGAGTTTTAGCATCAACTGCTCAATTCCGTAGCATGTTTCGAAAAACTCCGTAAAGAATGCTCGAAATCCAGGGAGCACTTCTTCCGGGACCCAGATATTGGGCATACGCTCGTCTTTTTCGTTTCCTAGTTCGAATGATTCTTTGACATCGGGAACCTTTCGTTGCTGGGCAATCTCGTTTTTATCAAAAACCATCTGCGAGACTTTCTCTCTGCCGATGCCCGAATATCCACGGTGATACCAGCCTTCAGCAGGATGCGGTGCCTTGTCTTTATCACTCTGGGGGAGTGCAAAGAACTTTTGGCTCTGATTTCGTACACGACGTCAGCTTCGGTGGTCATTGCATGTTCAAACAAGCCAGGCCCGTACCCACTGAAAGGCCTCGTCTACCAATTTCTGCGGAACGCCATGATTTTTAATATAAGCAAAACCTTCATTTTTAAAGGCCAGGTAAACAATCTTCGCGACTTGCGCAACTTCGTCGGCGTTCCCGCTTCGCGCTGGCTCCAAGTCGATAATGGAGATGCTCAAGGTATCAATAGCGGCGGAAACCATTCTGCAATAGATGGATCAGAGGGTGTCTGTCGTAGGTTACTTTCGCAAGCGGAGCTTTTATGTCGTAAGTACAGTTGAGGTAACCTAGATGGCGTGGACCGAGCGCCGCCTTCGTTCTCCGGTGACTACAGATCGGCCGACTCCTTGTTTGGTAGTAAGAAGTCCCGTAAATGAAATACCGACTTCTTTGAATACGACGCTAAGACTACACCACCTGATTTTTCCCAAGACAAAGGCCTAAAGGAATCCTAAACCTGAGATAAGCCCCTAAAGTCCCCAAGCTTCTCTATTGCCTAGATATCCTAAAGTTTCAAGGGCAAAGGGCATGATAGTTATGATAGTTCTTGTATTCAACGGGAAACACCGTTATGAAACACTTATGTGATGCTGATCATCGGTCACCTCATCTGAATCCTGATCCTGTATTCTCCGCGCGTGGGGGTCGAGGCCAGAACAATTCGGACACAGAGGCGTGTAATTGGAGGACGACCGAGGCTATTTCCTCGACCTTCTTGAACAGGATAAGCTTGGTGCCACCGGAGAGTTGCCGACGCCTTTTATCAAGCAATTTGCCTATCGCGATCGGCTAACTTCGTCGGCTGACTGATTCCCCCACAAATCATTTTGTTTGGAGATAGGTTAAACTCTTGTAGCCAACTGATACCGCGGTCACCCGTGCAAACCGACTGCAAGAAAGAGCCACGATCGGCAGTGTCACCGACAATAGGTAACACATTAGCGTGGATATAGGAGGTGAGCGAATAATGCTGTACTTGTTACGGTTGACCCTCTTTGCACGTTTTGATGTTATTCCTATCTGATACCACCTAGCTTTTGCATATTGATCGTTGATCTCGCTTCTCGTGAGGGTTCATAACCCGCTTCGGTTGCCTTAAAGGGATGTCAGCACCCTTGGCCAACGTCTCCCTTGTAAGATTAGGTCAACATATTAGTTGAATATACTGTGTCGCTTCAACATCGTATCGTCATCGCTTCTTCACCTGATCTACAGGCTTACTACTCTGCCAAATAGTTCCTTTACGGGGTGGCCTAGAATGCGCCGCCATCCTTGGTTAGGGCAAGGCCAATAACAACTCTCGAATCCATAAGATAGACCATATCTATAGCGTATTAGAGGTAGAAGAAACCCTTAAAGATAGCACGAAGGCAGTTCTTAGTGTTCCGTTTGAAAAAAAGAGAACACTTTCGTCGAAGCTACCACTATGGATGGTGAAAAGAAAGTCCTAATAGCTATTCTAGATCTAACTGCCGTCATAGACTGGGAGACGGGTGCGGAATTAAGGACACTAGAGTACAAGTACGGTCTGAAGGTACTCATCATTGCTATTGCAGCATCTCAAAGATAGATTGTCACACAGAGAGTATAGAGGTGGGAGGGGCTGGGTCAATAGGTTTCGAGGATATCGAATATACTCCGATCGGGAAGTACAGCAAGCCGCGGGGTGTGATCGAGGCCTTTGGATGATGTCTCGAGTATACGTGGGGCTTTCCCATGAAATGTTTAGAAATTAGACTTAAATATACTGGTGTGTAGTTGCAAGTAGCAGTCATGAGGCACCAGGCCGAGTACTTGGTTCCAACCCCGTCCTCATAATCTGCGCAGCCTGCGTAAAGAACGAGTCTATCCGCAAGGCAACAGGACGAAGTAGTCCAAGAGAAGCATCATCGTCGGCCCAGTCTCTCAGTCGCTGAAGCGATTCATGAAAGCTTTCTAGAAGCTGAAAAGCAGAATGAACTTGTTCCGGACTAGGAGCCAACAGAAAGAGATAAATCAAAAAATTTCCGCATAGTGTAAGTTGCGATCGCGCATCTACGAGCAGTAAGTTTAGTATATGAAGCTGAAGGAACTGTGGAATACTCACGCCCACCCCAAAATGCATGAAGACATGGTAGCGTGATCTCATCCATGAAGATTGTGAACTCTCGAAATTGAGTCACAGCTTGGTCGAAGTAGCGGCCAAGAGGAGAATTTGGATCAGATTTAGCTGCCATTTTGGCAGGGCTCATCAGAGCTCGGAAGAGCAGACCTTGAACGGCGAAGAACGCTAGACATAAAGGAGCTAGGACAATTGATTAGACCGTGCCATACCCATATGCACAAATGTACCTACCATTGTTCCGGAAAGCGGTGCAATCTCCAGAATAACCCATAGTAACACATTGAGGTCTCATGCATGAATACTTCTCAAGTTGAGATTTGATTTCGAGCAGCTTGGTCTCTCTATCAAGACAATTCGTAATACCTTCGTTATGATCAATACCAGAGCTGCTGGTGATTAGCCATTTAGATGTCCATTTCAAAAGCGAATAGGATACAAGCTCACAAATAAAGATCGATAAGCTCGTGTAGAATCCGGCTCAGCTTGACCATCTGCAGAAAGCGAGCACTGGTGGATATGTCAACGGTCCTACTTGACGCATCTACCAGATTATGAAACTCGTCAGGAACGTTTTCATCAAATGCCAAATCTTCCATATCTGTCAATGAAGTGGTGAACGAGTTAGGGTAGATATGTGGAGGATTCCCATGGCATATTGAAGACCAGAGGTCGGCCATGTAGGTGCCCCACCACAATTTCTTCCGCAATTTAATCTCCCAGGGAGCGATTTTCCATAATTTCGGATCACGGTGCAATCCTATCATCTGAGCACAAGCAACGGTGCGGGCAGAAAATATCCATGTGCGTGGTGTTTCGATCGTCGCATTATCAGCCGGCCTCTCATATAGTAGTAGGAGACACGCCTGTAAATTCCACAAATTAGGTGCATGGAACTCTCTTTGCAACGACGACTGAGCTTCTTCAAAGAGATCGTGCAAATTGAATGGTAGATTTCCTTGGAGGTCCGGATCGTGCTGCCAAAACATTGCTCCAAGACCATACACAGCACCACGCAGCGATGCCGGGATCTTGAGCTTATCTGTTGCGAATTCCTTCAGAAACCTGAATTTTGAAACCACACAATAGACAGGATGGACATGTTTGAAGAAGAGCCGAATCAATGCGGAGGAATGTGGCGACACCATAGACTCGATTATTTCAGATGCCCTCGCTTTGGCAATGTCGTCTGAAGGCTGAAACTCATCGTGCAGGATATTAAAATGGATCGGATGCTTCTTTTGGACTGGATCGCCGGGATATACTTGGAAAACATCTGCACTGACTCCATCCTGCTCGTTTATGATCACGGATCGAAATGATGCTAGGAGATCGGTGTCTTGCTCGCCAGACAGGCCCATACAATGGGCCGTGCGGTTCTCATTGTCCTCGAGGGTATATATCTGGGAATTTGGTGTAACAATAACACTGGCGAGTGATTGCCTATAGGATGATTGCTGCGTTTCTAGGCATGGTAAGGCTCCCGCAGGTCTTGGCGAGGTATTGGGAGGTCCCCCGGGAGATATATCAAATGAAACGTTTTCACTATTTGATTCTAGTAATGAGTCATCCTGATCACAGGCTGCTGGCGTATCTTCCGTCACAGACTGGTCCTCTAGAGGCAGTCGAGATGATCGAAATTGCCGCGTCCGCCCATCTTCGGTCGAGGTACATTGCAAGCCTCTCGTTCGACAGAACCTGCCTTCATCACGGTCAGTCTGATGGATCCAAAATAAGCATTTTCCAACCCACAAGGAGGCTCTGTTTCAATGACACATGCAGTCTTCCGCCTCCGACACGTATCGCACGGCCGGTTCTTGCGGCTCCTCCACTGGCGGGCATCGCCGAAGCTCGTCTTGATCTTGAAGGAACGCCTCCGCTGGCGCTCCATATTCAGGCGATCTGTGGAGTATGTCCGCCAACATCGATTAGGGATCCGATCAGAATGCGGGGTTGGAGATGAGGTGTTGAGTCCATAGCCTTCACCCTAGTTGCCCCACTCTGTTTACACATTCTATCAAGTTCCGGCGACCGGTTTCTTAAAAGAAATAAGTCCATGCTCGTACACCTGGAATAATAAAAATGAAGTTCAAACAAACAAATACCATATTTCGCGCTCTACAAATCTACTAAGCTACCTGTGGCGATAAGCGGGGTCCAAGGGGCTAGCCTCGGATATCTAACGTACGGTACGTGCTAGATTTGACAAACGTCAATACACTTATCAAACATTCAAAGAATTTGTCACACCTCATCAGGCTTTATCCCCCCAAAGTACGGAGAGGCGCAATTCACAGGATACTTAGCAATAATGGGCTGTAACAAAATCAAAATCGTGCGACCACGCTTTGTTAATGGAACGCCACCTGTATTACGGTTTGGTAGAGATCGACAGTATATTTACTACTATAGGGTAGGTCAAATAGTCGGAATAACAGTGATCCTACTGGCATGTGCTTAGATTTGCTTGAACGTCCTTCGCTAGTAGTCATTCAATCTATTTTGGCTATATAACAGACGTATAATAATGATACAATAATAGCAAAAATATTGTTGTGAAAATACTAAAAATATTCTATCAGCTATATTCATTCTACTAGCTACGTATTTATAGGATAAGTTGGTTGGTAGACAACCTATAGAATGAGGCTAGCCTAATAGCATGCCTCCTTTAGTATTCTATTTCAATCTTATGGCCAAAAATAAAAATGAAAATAAAAATAAATGGTTAACATCATAGATCGACACAGTATAGTGGGAATTTTCACCTAACGGGGACATGCCTCTCCCAACTGCGTCCACGTCGGCCCGTACTTATCTGGCCCACAGCGGATTGTGACGGCGCTTGACGGTGGCTTCCTACGGGGTGTTCGCGGAACGAGAGCCGAAGCAACGGATGCGCCTCTCGTTGATAATTATGGCAGATATTGGGTTCTTTTTTAGCCCATGACAAACACTGCCCATATCGTGCCCATATCGTTCTACGAATATGGGGCACGCTGGCAGATGGCGGTGGTATCCACGTGATATACTAGCCATTCGGCCCTTGGCGAACAGACAGGAAGTTTCATGGCTCGGTCATCCGAGGCCCTATTCTATTCACCCGGCTTGGAGAGCATAGTTAGTAGACCCTACCCAGTATTGAGGCGAGCGCTAGAATTATCCGTGGTTCGGCACTTTAACATCGGGTATATGTTCATAGTAGCAATTTGCCGCTTACAAGTTCAAATAGGTGATCACTACAATGCTAGAATTATCTCCTCGGGACTCCACACGCCGATCCCCGGCATCTGAGTTTCGCACTAAACCTTGATTGACTCCTTTGACCTCAATGCGCTTCAGCAGGACAATAATAACGGGGCGGTCCGACACCCCGGCCTGTTCGCGTCGCTTTGAGACGGAGTCGCGTTCTGGAGAAATCATTAACTGATGGCTTCACGGTCAAGATTTCCCGTCATTTCGAAGCCCCCCTTGCCGTAAGGAAAATGTGACCGCGGCTCGGCCGCGGCCTCCGCTCCGTATTAGGCATAGGGGGTGTTTGCCCCCTCGGAGGCGTCCAATCAGGATGCCCTCCAAGACTCAGTAAGTCGCTTCCCCAGTGTCTAGTCGAGTCGACTTCGAAATGCTCCGTTTTTCAATATGGCCCGTTCGATTGTCTTGAGGTTTCCCTACCAGTGATAGGTGCAAAAACTTGCACCCCAGGCAATCTGGCTTTCCAGACCTGGCTATCCGTGGCGGCACACGACTTAATGCAAAGATGACAACTGCTCTCTCCACGCGGTCCCGGGATCGGAGCTTTGTTCCTCACGTGGGGAAATCCAACATGTTGCATATATAGCTAGCGACCCTTTTTCCGGAGCCCTGTGTCGTATCTCGCGACGATAGACATCACGACTGGTCTGCGACCATCTGCCTTCTATGGCGACTCCTACCGAAACCGAGATTGCGCTGGAGAAGGCTGCCGCCCATCATGTCGAGGATACACTCGGCCAGGGAGCGATTATTGAAGCCAAGCAGGCTACCGATGAGGAACACGCCCAAACGCTGTGGCAGGCTCTCAGCCAGAACCGTAAGGCCGTCGGGTGGTCTGTCATGATCTCTATGTCGATCATCATGGAAGGCTACGACACGATCCTCATGGGAAACTTCTTTGCGTATCCCATGTTTACAAAGAAGTATGGCCAGTACTACGACGAGAAATCTGGGTACCAGGTGTCTGCCCCGTGGCAGTCAGGTTTGAACATGGCAAGTACTGTCGGTGCTATTTTCGGTTAGTCGCTGCAACACTCCCATCAAAACACTTGAATTGACGTATTGTGTAGGTGGAATTATGAATGGATATTTTGCGTCTAAATTTGGATATCGCTCGGTCATGGTAGTTTCCTTAGGTTTTCTGACAGCGTTTATCTTCATCACCTTCTTTGCAAACTCGGCGGCTGTCCTTCTCGTTGGTCAGATCCTGTGTGGGCTCTCATGGGGAGTGTTCGCGACAGTTGGCCCTGCCTACGCCTCCGAAGTCTGTCCGACCAACCTACGCGGTTACCTGACCGTGTATGTCAATATGTGCTGGGCTATCGGCCAGATGATTGCCTCGGGAGTGCTGTATGGCCTTGTCAACCGACAAGACCAGTGGTCGTATCGGATTCCGTTTGCCTTGCAATGGATATGGCCTGTTCCCTTGATGCTTGTTTGCTGGCTAGCTCCAGAGAGCCCTTGGTACTATGTCCGGAAAGACCGCCTGGAAGACGCCAAACGCAGTCTCCGGCGCCTAGCTGGGGGGAAGACGGAGGAACAAATCAACGGCCAGCTGGCCATGATGGTGCACACTACAAAGATCGAGTCCGAAATCGAGGCAGGCACCAGTTACTTCGACTGCTTCAAAGGCGTGGATCTTCGCCGGACGGAGATCTGCTGTGTCACTTTTCTTGGACAGATTCTCTCAGGCAGCTCGTTCGCCTACACCCCGACCTATTTCTTCGAGCAAGCTGGCATGGATACCAGCCGAGCGTTCCAGCTAGGCGTCGGATGCACGGCCGTGAGCTTGGCTGGGACTGCCCTCTCCTGGCTTCTGATTTCTAACTTCGGACGTCGCACATTGTACGTCTGGGGCCAGGGGTCCCTGTTCGTGCTTTTGTTTCTAGTCGGTATTATCAGTGCGGCATCGCGAAGCCCCGGAGCCATGTGGGCTCAGGCAGCACTGTGCATGTGCTGGCTGCTCGTTTACTCGTTGACTGTTGGTCCAATTGCTTATGCCATTGTCTCAGAGGTTTCTTCTGTCCGCCTGCGGCCGCTGACAATCTGCCTGGCGCGCACAGCCTATCAATTAGTCAACGTGATATCGCAGGTGCTTGAGCCCTACTTCATGAATCCCACGGCATGGAATGAGGCCGGGAAGACGGGCTTTTTCTGGGGCGCGACGGCGCTCTGTGCTTTCGTGTGGGCTTTCTTCCGCCTACCAGAGCCCAGGGGCCGCACGTACGCGGAACTGGATGTCTTGTTTGCCACCAAAGTTCCAGCGCGCAAGTTCGCCTCAACCCCGATCGATGTGTATGCTGTCGGGCAATCTAGGTCACAAGAAGGGTTAGTCCGCGAGGAGGCAGTGCAGGAAGTCAAGTAGTGACCATGTCGGTAAAGAGATTGTTGGATGCGTGATGTGGACTCGCTGAATCTGACAGGAGCTATGTGTGGTGTTGCTCGGTGTATGCACCACTACATTGTGGATAAACAAGTGCAAACACTCATTCGTTTCAGGTGCCTCAATGAACCACATCCGATCTGAGACGCTATTGAACTACTTTCTAGACCTTTTCTCTTGAATTCGACGTCTATCACTGACCACAATTGTAGCAGTCTAGAATGATAATGATGAGAATGACAATGAAATTGATTATAATAGACAAGGCTAGATCACTAAGACATGGGCAGAATACCAGTTGGTGAAACCTCCCCCATCTCGCTTACCTTGATCTTCACCGGGGCCATCGCGATCCGGCCCATCCCGGAGATCCTTCCCGCAGTAGCGATGGTGCTTCTTCAGAAATTTCACTATGTACCCGATTATTGTTGATGTTTTACAACCTTAGCGGGAGGAGGTTTGGAGGGGGTTTTGGGGGGTTGTTGGAGGGGGGTGGGGGGCGGCGCGGGCGACACATTGTGCATATAAAGAATTTTCCAGACATTGGGTATAGTACATTATTGTTGATCAAATACGTAGCATCTGTTCGAATGCATTGACTTCTCAGTCAGCATCTTGCACCGATACATGAACGGATCGCTCCACTTTCCACCCCTCATAGCTGGGATTGAGATCTTCCTCGCTGCTGCTAATCAGCTTCGGGTCTCGACTGCCCATGATAGTCGTTGTCACCCCTTGGTAATCGTCGTTTTCACTGAGGTCCCACAAGTGGTGCGTCTGGTTAGGATCATCCTGTTTCGAGCGCGAAGGTCGGACAACGCCGGAGGGCATGTTGTTAGAAAGAGGATACGTGCCGGCATTGCGATTAGGACTCTGGGATGTGGAGGACCCTTCGCGGAAAAACCGGATGAGGGGTCGTAGTGTTGTGAGACAGCCGGCTGTGATGCCCAGGCCGGCCTCGATGTTGGACCAAATGGAGATCTGGTAGGTATTGTCTTCAAAGCTTGTCAGTCAAATCGAAGACGAAACAATAACTCCGTCAAAGTAAGCACATACAGAGGAATTGCTTGTCCTTATAATGACTAATGAAAGGAATCCGAATAATGACGGCGGCACTTGCACTATTATGGCAGTCAGGAATTGTCCTCGAGTTTTCGGGTATGCCAGAATTACACACATGCAGCCAATTCCCAGAATGCCAATTATAGCTTGTTTGTTGCGTCGGCTCATCCTCAGATTCCAGATAAACGCCACGGGGAGAAGCCCAATTGTCAGGTCGGTAATGGCGGCACCAACACTGTATAAATACGCGATTGCAAGCAACACGTCCGGATCAATACAAGTGCCCTGCTCCGAGGTACGATTCCAGAAGAAGTCAATCGGCTGGCATTCGAAGATAGTAAAGAAGAGGAACACAAGGCCCACGGCAGAAGCCAGAGCGATGGCGCCATAAAGGATCCAGGCGTGGATGCGGTCGATCGTGATACGTAACAAGGTAATAATGATCGAGACTTTGGCGGCAACACAGGTTATCACGTAGAAAATCTGGCCCAGCCACCAGCACTGATTTCCAATGTTAGTGCACGTAATTGACATATGTACAGGAGCAGAGCCGTACCAGCATCGCTCGGGGGAAGTCTTCGGGGTAGACAATAAAGTAGGCTAACTCCCTGCCCATCCCGTATTGACACCCAACAATGCCACAAACTGCGAAGGCGAGATTAAAGGCCTGCCAGTCGAAACCATTAGCCCCCACCTCGCTGTCGTTTCGATCTTTGTCAAACGTACCATTGCCAGCAACATCGTAATATCATCCCACCCAAACGACCGCACGATATGGAGGCGTACAAAACATCGCAGGCAAACGCTGACGGCAGAAACAGCGAGAAAAATGGCAGTTACCGTCGAAATCGCCTTACCGTGGCTGTCGTCCATGGTGACGTGATGGCAGTGCGACAGGCATCAATGGATCGCATGCTCGATACAAGATCTTTGGCGGCGAGGCCCCTCCAGTTTTATTCCCCCTGCACAGTTCCCCACACAGACCCCGTATTTCGACCCAGAAAACATTCAATAGCTCTTGGCTCTAATGATGGTGCCGAGCCTATGCGTCATGAACCCACCACATTGTACGGACCCGCTTAGGTCGAGTCTAATCGATGGATCGGCAGGGGATCTGAACCCATTCGGCAACAGCCGCGGTAGGGATTGCTGGGTGCACATGTTCGGATCCATGTGGCTTCACGGATTTTTTTCGGAATGTGCAGTAGTCATCATCCATGACAACCCTCATCCCCGGAGTCGGGAGGGAATCGCCTAGGGCAAATCGGCGGACTGTCGGACCTCCGCACCAGGCGTAATGCACGGAGTGGCGCTCCCATCTCATTCATATGCCATTCGCGGGAGTTCACGTGCTCTCAAATAGTGAATAAAAGGAGTAAATGAAGTAATTGATGTCTGATCGCGCCATGATCGACACGCTATGCTGCCGCAAAGCCTCCACAGAAGATCTGACCCCTTTGGGACTACATATAATGATCTACGCACTATTGGATCGTGGCTACTGCAGGGCCCGCTATGAATAGTATGTTTGACGGAGTGGTCCTCCGCCATTAGGTCTAATTTATACTAGTACAATCTGACGAACAAGCAGCGAAGGATCGCGCAGGATCTACCACACCCGCATGGGGTAGAATGGCTCTAAATAGCGGAGACAATAATAATTGAGCTGCCCCTATTCTCGTAGCCGCCGTTTGCATAATGCTAGGCAACAATGCTGTAGTATTGCTTGTGGGTAGTCGGCGGTCGTGCTGATTCCAAGCCAGCCGTCATTGAAGCCCTCGAGGATGTAGAGAGAACCTCGAAACGTTTCACATGGCGAAGCGGTAGTTTCAGCTCTGTATTTGGATATTCGTGTTGAACGAAGACTTTGAATATATATTACAAAAAAACAGATTTAGCTCCTACTTCATATATATATCGCCCATATACTCATAATCTCATATCCAGGACTCACCCCGGTGGATCTTCTGCCGTGCAACTGTTTTGCCTTCTGTCCTACCTCCCAGCCGCTCAGCGCAGCACATCAATGATTCCAGCCTGAGAACGTACATCCCATAGGCAAGGTCTGAGATGGGTAGGACGGCGGGTTCAAGCACACGAAGCACAAGCTGAGCCAGCTTCAGCTGAGGATCAGATTCCTTAGAAATATAAAATAGACCCTTTTGGCTTTCCTAATTCTAGATAACACTATTTATCTAGACACCCCGTTTCTCTACTTACTTTAAGAGCACGCCAGCATGTTTTACACCAGATTTCTCACCATCACTTCCGGGCTCTTGGCCGCCACCAGTTCGGCCTTACCCCTCTTTAGAGATCACTCAGTGGTTAGTAGTAAAATTTGTTTATTAACAGGTGTGTTGAATTAGACTGAGCCCCTTCGTAGATCGAATACTGTACAGGGATCCTTGACTGCCATTTCGAACGCGTTCACGAGAATCAGTGTTTAAATTGAGCCATACGTCGGTATTACTTTTCGATGTGTCGAGGTTGCCGTTAACAACTTAATGTAGTGGCGATGTACATTGGGTTGGAGGCTCTGACGACTGTTGGTTGTACGGGTAAGCAGATACTTTTGACCCTGGACCGCCTACAGATTTTGATGAACATAGTGATGATGAGTGTAATGGTGATGACAAGTACTCGCTTGAAATCCTTCCAATCAGTTTTGATCCACCTGTCAACGGCATGGCGGTCTACTGTTCGTGAGATAATCCACGTTATCGGGGCGGTCTTCAGAAAGCCATGGAAACTAGAGAGTAGTACTTGTTAAACTTTCACAGGTTGCCTTCACGCCGGGCTCCGTTACATTATTAGTAGAATGGAAAAGTTGTTGAAACAATCAGACTGCTGTTTTCTCCAAGTCTTGGTCCTGGAGCATCTCGCCGTGTGGATCAAACATAGATTCCCGCATAAACGGACTGCGCCGTCGAATTTCCGGCCCCTTCAGCACCAGCACTACTGGAACAACCGAGAGAGCAACCCCAACAAATCCGAGTAGAGACCCGGCCCATCCGTAACCAAGTGTCTCAAAAAGTTCGTAGGAGGCCAAGGGAAGAAATGCACCGAATGAGTTACGACCCAGCGAGGCGGCGGATAGCGCTGAAGCGGCATACTTCTCGTAAGCGTCGGTCAAATAGTTGACCACGGCCATGTAAATTGAGTAGATCCCCACACCGGTACATCCAATACCTAGCGTTGGGACAATCCAGTGGATGGAACCGTTTCCGACACTGCCCCAGCCATACCAAAAGAGACCGGCGGCAAACAAAAGACTTCCCGGAATGGAAGTGTACAGGCGAGCTTCGGGGATGGGCTTGCAGGGCTGCTCATAGTTCCTTCGCGCAGAACGAAGGTAAATCCAATCCTGAAGGGGGTTTATGACGGTGCCTATCACAGCCCCAGCCGAGATGGCCAGCTGGATTAGGCCTGTGGTCAAGGTCCCCCAACCGTAGTTGTGACTGAAAGTTTGACCAACACTTGAGAAGAAGAGAAAAAGGATGCCCCATGCAAAGCTGACCCAAAGGGTAAAAAATATGACCACGGGCTCTGTGAGAAGCATGCGGGTTGGGCGTTCAAAAGAGACTTGCATTAGCTTCCACACACTCGTCGTGTTCAAATCAGCCTCGGCGTAAATAGGGCGACCAGTTTCGTGGCGAAGCTTTTTGGCGCGTTTTTTGAGAATGACATCTCCTCGAGTCTCGCGGAGGATGAGGTAAAAAACCGGGATCAAAGCAGCGTTGTAGATAATTTGGACGTAAAAGATCCTATTCGGATATTAATACCAATCTGTTTCCACTGGTGCGTAGAAATCGTACCATCTCCAAGGACTGCTCTTGTGAATTTCCTGAATGGCAGAGCCTATAAAGGGCCCAGCGCAATTCCTACTACACTGGTAAACCCAAAAAGAGACATTGGTAGACTTCGTGCTCTGTCGCCATACCAAACATCGCTAATGCTCCGGCCAACGATGTTAATCGAAACGGACGATGCGCCACCGCCGAAAAATCGAGTGACAACAAGTGTAGCGAAGTTATGTGCAAATGCCGACGGAAATAGGGAGATGACGAGGATGAAGTACGCAACGAAGTAGCCGGGCATCCGCCCTGACGATTCGGTCAACGGAACGAATATGAGCGGCCAAAATGCAGCCCCCATATTCCAGGAGGTGGTGGCCCAAGCAAGATTTGGGAAGGGTGTGTTTTGAACATGGAAGCGCTGCTCCATCCATTTGTTTCCTGCGCCATATGATCCAGCTGGCAGTCCAGTAAGGATGGAGCTGCAAAAAGTCAGTTTTGAAAGGTTAGCATAGAAACGAGGGAGGTCTAACTGACATGAAGCACACGGTCAGAGTCAGGGTCCATTTATATCTTTTGCTCCAGTTGAATCTGGAATGGTCAACATGCGCTGGAAGGTTCACTGTCAATTTTTTGGCACGCTTACGGGTTATCCGGATCATCAGGCCCATGCCACGTATGGAGTTCGATGTTCTTCTGGTCCCGGAGAGGATGCCGGCAGACATTGCCGATATGAGAATCCCGGCGAAAGAAAGATCGAACTCTGACAAACTATCATTAGCAATCTGTCTCGCAAATCGAGATATTGTTCATACCGTCCTAGGAAAGAATCACGGAACTCATTGTGATGGAGAGTGCTGGTAGTAGTTCGGACCGTAGATGATCGACGGATGGGTCCGGCCGTGGTCCCAGGGTTCGGCTGGGTTTGAGGCTCCAGTTGCTCGTTTTGTCCCTCCATTGTGGACGACTCTTGATCTCGGCATTTTGATTACACAGAAGGATGCACCAGACGATACATACGTAGACCGCCAATGACATAATACCTCTCCGGCGATAAGGCTTATCGTCATGATGATAAGTGGGTTGGTGATACTGGATATTGCAGATCTAGTCGTGCAAGTGCATAGAGGAATCCGGGTCATTAGTGCTTCCGAGACGGAACCCAGCATTCATTATGATTTAATTTTTCCAACCGCTTGTATCCGGCGGGACGTGCTATTTAGCCGAATAAGCTTCCTCCCTACGATCGATAAGATACGTTCGGTCTTGGCGCGACATGGCTGGGCCCCCGCGTCGCTCACGAGAGAAAAAACAAGAACAACAAACCAAGTTAGAAGTTGGGAACGTCAAATTTCTTCAGGTTGTCTACGTCTTCGGTATACTCATGGAAATAACATCATGCACAGACGGCACCTGACCTGGGTAGCCCTAGACTCAGATCAATGCAATGGAGTCAATGACATCACCGCTCCGCAGTCATCCGCGTTGGACTGCAGACGACCCTATATTGTTTGACCGATAGTCGACAAATGAAACCTCTGACAGTACGAGGAAGGGAGGGGCCGAAAGCGCGCTCAGGCTCGAGGACCTCGGGGGAGCAGCGTATCATATGGTGGGATGCATGCCGGGGCATCCCAACAACATTTAGGTCATTAGGTCATAGGCTGGCACTAGGTGGGAAATATAAGTAAAACCAGTTTCCCCCCACTGCAACTTCTTGCATCCTCCGCTTCTCTCACTCTCTCACTTTCACTTCCATTTCCACTCCCACTCCCAATTCACTCACCCAACCTCAATTGTCTTCCACCACCACCATGCCGATCCCCGTCCCCAAATCCGATAGCCTAGTGGAACTCCTCAGCCTCAAGGGCAAAGTTGTGGTGGTCACCGGAGCTTCAGGGCCCCGCGGAATGGGCATCGAAGCTGCTCGCGGGTGCGCTGAAATGGGCGCCGACGTCGCCATAACGTACTCTTCTCGTGCAGCGGGCGGAGAACAGAACGCCAAGGATCTTCAAGAGACCTACGGCGTGAAGTCGAAGGCCTACAAATGCGATGTTGGAAACTGGGACAGCGTCAAAGGCTTTGTCGATACAGTGGTCAAGGACTTTGGAAAGATCGATGCTTTCATCGCTAATGCGGGCAAAACGGCGAGCAGTGGCATCCTTGACGGCTCGGTCCAGGACTGGGAGGAGGTGATCCAGACGGACTTGACGGGTACTTTCCACTGCGCCAAGGCCGTCGGTGCTCACTTCAAGGAGCGTGGCACCGGCAGTTTCGTCATTACCTCGTCCATGTCTGGCCTCATCGCCAACTTCCCTCAGGAGCAGACATCTTACAACGTCGCGAAAGCAGGCTGCATCCACATGGCGCGTTCGCTGGCCAATGAGTGGCGCGACTTTGCCCGTGTCAACAGTATCTCCCCTGGCTACATCGATACGGGCTTGTCGGACTTTGTTGAGAAAGACATTCAGGATCTCTGGCTTTCGATGATTCCGATGGGCCGCAACGGTCAGGCGAAGGAGCTCAAGGGTGCCTACGTGTATCTGTGCAGTGATGCGAGCACCTACATGACCGGTAATGACATGCGCATTGACGGAGGATATTGTGTTCGGTAATCGGATCCTTCCCTGGAAGGATGTCTACTATGTTAGCTGTCCGCTGTGTAACTCGAACCAACGGGAAAGGACGTTTGTGAATCAAAATTTCGTTGTGATGGCACTTATAACTATTTCAGTAATGCCCCTCAAAATATGGTCTGCTATCTGGGCGCTGCGTACTTTGTGCAATCCAATCCAGTGATAATGCGATCTATTCTATATGAATCAAATATGGAAGCAACCAGTAGTAGGTCTTTTTAAAATTGAAGGAGAAATTCAAGATTATGGATTTCAAGACGCAGGCATCCGCCCATACTGTTTGGGGCTAGCCCGTCCAGCGACCCGCAATGATGGCTGTGATCGGAACCTCCCCGAAGTGTCGGATGAACACTGCCCAGCCGAGGCTTGCCGACATGCCAATCTGCCGAGATGAACAAACCAGCGATCCCGAATATCGCCCTTAGCGGCGGGTCCTATTACGCCATATACTAAAAGAAATTGTATACGCACAAATGGGACAACCTAAGCCAGTCTTGTACGTTGCTTTCCAAACTGTTCCTATATACATACTCCGATAAACTCACAAGGAAACCCATGCAATATGTCCAAGTATCCGAATAGCAATACCTATGTTTGTCGTCCTATCCTGCTTGGACCTTCGCTGCTTCTTTTGTCTCATCATAATCGCTCTCCCCACCTTTGGTCATGTCAAAATCCACGCCGCGGTTATCCGCAACGTGCATCTTCGGCAGGGTGCGCGCCAGACGAGGCGGGTCGAAAATAGAACGAGACTGTAGGAAGATTTCATCGATCTCCTCGAGTGAACGACCATTGGTTTCCGGAAAGAAGAAGTAGACAATCGGCACAATTGCGGCATTAATCACAGCGAAGATAATATAGTACCGCCACTGAATCGAGTCAAACCCGACCGGTGTTACTTCTGCCAACAAGAAGTTGAATATCCAAACTGCACCGGTCGAGACGGCGCTGATGGCCGCTCTCAACTGCAGAGGTGCCACTTCTGTTGCGTATAGGAAGGTCAGGCCCGAATATCCAACTGTGAAAATAAATTCGAAGACAAACAAGAAGACAACAGCAACGATCACGGCGCCGGTATTGGAGGGGACTGATGTAGTACCCGCGAGGATTGCCATCGAGGCGGCCATGCCACCGGCACTCCACAGCATCAGCGGCCGCCGTCCTAATCGATCAATAGTAAAGAAGGCCAGGAAACCGCCTAGTGGCTGTGTCAGAACCATTGAGGCTGCCAAAATACGCGATTGCAACGCATCTAGACCGAGATATTGTTGGAAAATCGTGGTCGCATAGATAGTGATCAGATTGATTCCGCAGATCTGCTGGAATGTCTGACCCAGGGCAGCGAGAACAGTACGGTGGAACAATCGCTGTTCGCCCATCTTGGTCAAATCCTTAAACGATCCGGATCCGGAAAGGGCAAGTGAAGTCTCGATATCCCGGATTTCGTCGGTTATCTGCGAAGACATTGGCTCGTCGTCTGCCAGGGCAGCCAGGATCTGCCGAGCCTCTGGCACGCGGCCTTTCTTGACCAGCCAACGGGGAGATTCAGGGAAGATCATGATGAAGATCATAACCATCAAAGACAACAAGATTTGCAAAGCCAGGGGAAACCTCCACGAGACCGAATTTCCCTTGACAAAGTAGAAGCCAAAGTCGATCCAGAGAGAGATTGCAATACCCGCGCCGATGAAAATTCCATCCGTGACGACGTGGGCGCCACGTTTTGTCGCCTTCGAGATCTCTGCTTGCCATACGGGTACTGTCGCCACGTAACCTCCAGTGCCAAATCTGGAAATCTTGATTAGGGAAAACGCAAAAGACGCAGGAGAGCCGCAAGAGAGAGGTCCTGGCTGGAAGTGAGAAGAGACATACCCGAGAACCAACCGTGCCACGATAAACTGGGCCATTGAGAAAGAAATAGCCATCAAGACAGCGCCGATGATGGAAATACCGGAGGTAATGAAGATGATTCGCCGCCGTCCTAGCACATCACCCAGATGAATGCACGCGAGAGAACCGAAGATTCCTCCGACTGCGTACAATGCGACCACGGTTCCTATAAGAAGTGCTAGATTTTAGAAACAGCCATCATGGCAACTTGACGTACTTACCCTGGATGTTCGAATTGTAGTGTTTCTGCGCCCCGTGGGTGGTAAGAGTGTTCATCTCAGGGAAGGTCACAGCAAACGACTTGAGGGTTAATAGGCCGCCCATTACGCCCTGGTTGTATCCATATGTGAGGAATGCCGGGCACACGACCAGCCAGATAATTGCCCGACTGAGCGCGGTCCCGCGAAGGCCGAAGTAAGGCGCCATGATGTATGTTATGATGATGAGAAAGAAGTTGTTATAAGATGAACAAGATATTATGCCATACCCGCAAGCGAGCTGCCCCGCCAAATCATCGCCATCTTGGAATTGGAGCGCATATGTATGCTCGATGGAGCAGCTTCTAAGCAAGCCTGGCGGCCAACTCCGTCCGTCGGGAGATCGCAAGTTCGGGCGCATCCACCGGGGGTGGGTCTGCACTCCACAGGGACCCGGGGCTGTCGCCACCGTTATTGGTGTGTGAAATGACCAAGAAGGCTGCAGGCCGACCTGGTTCTCGGATTGTGGAGCTAATCCTGCATTTTGAGTCCGAAGGTTGAATTTGCATTAGCTTAACGGAGTGGCTCGCCCCCTGGGCTGCGTTCTTGACCCCAGCCGGGACCCCAGTTTGTATAGAAACACTACCCCAGGAAACTCAATCCCAAGTTGCGAATCCTGGGTGCGTCCGACCAAGGGCATGATGGGCCGTTAACTTCTCGCCAACAGAACTCAATGCCAAAAGTGATCCACCATGATCCGTCGGAACCGGCCGACGGCATCTTATTGCTCTTCGCCCATCTTGTCTAGGGCCATGATAACAGTCGTGGGACGTACTACTTTGCTGTTGGATTCACGCCGATGTTACCCCAGAAGTAGAAGCATAATATACTTGTGAGCTTGGCTGCTTGATGAATCCCATAGCGTAAGCTTTGGGAGATGAAAGGGGAAATACGACAACATATCCCCTCCAGAGGCTGGTCATGGGCTAGGGTCGCGTGGAAATACTCGCGGATCTTGCTGATAATAGCTTATTTCGTCCCCATAGACATCCAGTCTGGAGCAAGTGCACATGTATTGCGGATCCTACATACAATTGACTTCCAACCTGACCGGAGGTCTTTGGTTTGATCACGCGGAATGAAAGTTCGTAGAACCCAGACTGATTCACAAGACCCATATTGTATGTATTGTCCTATTCCGGGCATCTTACGAGCAGATCAGAGGAACAGAGTGCAGCCGCAACTTGCGACCTTGCCAAAAACGCAAGGCTAGAATGCCACGGAGAAGCCAGGGAAATGGCTCCTCCCATACAGCGTAAATCACAGCAGCCACCCCGATCCTGTATGTGATCTGTTTCACGGCTCTCTATGCGTGGCCAGAATGTCCTCCTCCACGACGGAGACCTGAACCTTCATTCCCCAGCCGTCCCTTCCGCCGATCCAATTCTTCCGCTTACCAACTTTCTCAATTTTCTGCACGTCTTGTTTGAGTTCTTCCTTCAAATGTGTCGGGTCATAATCCACTCTTTGAATTGCAATCTCCAGCCGAACACCCTCCTTGTTTTTCTTTTTCCCAAAATCCTTTGCCCATCGGGCCGCAGGGGCGATGCGCGGCTTAGACGTATCAATGGATCCGGTTGGATAGAGCTGGGCTAAAACAAGACCCAGCTTTCCCAGATATCGAGTCCACCAGACCTCATCCGGGGCCAGGATCGCCTGCAGGTGCGATTTGAAGTCCATGTCACGAGGCGGTAGTTCCCCACCGTATCGCTCTTGGAGCATCAACGCCAAAAGAGCACGATGGGAATGGGGGATCCCATGAGTAGAGGACATGATCCCCGTACTGGTACTATAGAGAGCGGCGCTAGAAGATAGTTCTTTGGACATGGTCGCATGCACGTAGAGAGCATTTGCAAATGCCTGGATGAGATGCATGGTAATGGAGGAAGCGACAGATCGAGTTGAAGAAGGCCGGGGAAGCGAAGCTAACAGGAGAGAGGCAATGCCTTGTGCTGACGGAGGCGCATAGCGAGCGGTTGCAACCTCAAGAGGATCCTGTTGACGGACAATAGGCAACATCTCACGAAACAGCACGCCTTCTCGGACACCTCCCTGGCAAAAATGGGCTTCCCTAATTCCGTGGGGCAACGACTCGGCGAGTACATTCACTAAGAATGCAACCGATGGCACTTGCTTGCGCCGGCGATCGGACACCCTGAAGATCGTGTGGGCGGTGCGAGCAACGTCCTTAAGGGTCTCGGTGTCTTCAAAGTCTGCCTTCGGTGCGGAATAGCCATTGATTATGGAGATAGGATAGCTGCGACCGCGCGTCTGATGCAGATACAACAGCAGATATCCCCAGCCTCGGAATCCGCCGCCCGACAAATATAGCGGAAATCCTCCCTGCTCCCGGGCCCTCTTCAGCAGAGGCTCAGGGACATCCAGAGCTTCAAATGCTTCCCGGAATTGGCTGGCCATTTCATGCCGGAATTGCTCTCGGGCCTTCTGCGCTTCTTTCTTGCTCTTCCCACGCTCGAGATCGGCGAGCTTCTGCGTCAATGCTGCTGCGCCATACGGGAAACTGACTGACCCACGCGGACTCATGTGCACGTTCCCTGAGTGGGAGATGATCCAGGTCATTTGCATGCTTCCACCCCCCAAATCGAGTGCTAGGCCCTCGACATCTGAGAAGCTGCTAGCAATGCCCCACGCGCCAACAATGCCTTCCTCCTCTTTTCGTAGCGCCTGTACTGAAATACCAGTCTTGGTGAAGATGGCATCGACAAACGCGGCGCTATTGATCGCCGTCCGAGTAGCCTCTGTGGCGATGATGCGAATATTCTGAGACGGCACCCCCATTTCGACACAGATAATCTGGAAACGGACAATGCCGCTGACTACCCGGTCGATCACGGACTGCGGGATTGGGATGCGCTGGCCGGTCTCGGAATCGATTTGGGCCTCATAGAGGGAGATATTTATTCGATGAAAGTGAGCAGTCGGCAGCACCCGGGTCGTCGGGGAAGAAAGGTCTGAAATGGAGCAGCGGATGCCATTGCTAGTATCAGTGAGCACAAAACGCGTCCATTCGACGGACTGATGAGGTCCTCACCTGCCCAAGTCGACCACAGCATGCAGATGTGGATTCTGATCAGGACTGGCATTCTGGCCAGATAGTACCGGCGGAATATTGTTACCACCACCCATGATGTTGGTGGCTGGCGTGGTAGTTATGTTGACTGCGATCGACCAGAATGAAAAAAAGATGGTGGTGACATCATTTCTGCCTGTGGGGTGCAGTTGCCGCCTAGGTTATAAGGCGCACTTTTTACGTACAACTAGTTAATTACTATTTCTACAGCAAGCATCTTCATCAATCCTGATAAATGTCAAATTTCGAGATTGTCCTAGCTATTTGGATTCTAATAAGCAAAGAAATGGAAAGTACAGTCCGTCATTTCGTTTCCACCTTTAGGCGAAGACGCTCCCATTGAGAATGTCCGCACGTTTACCCAGATGGAAGAGAGGGATGTGCTCCACAGGCGCTGGAACCGTGACCGTTTGGCCGCCAGCATAGGTCTTGTTAGTCCACCAATACGTCCACGGCTGGGTAGCATTGTCCGCTGTCTGTGGGAGATAGACCGACCACTCCGTCACATTCGGGAGCGTCACAGGGCTCACCAACAATCGTGGTCCGAACATGTACTGCTGGGTGGTCACATTGGTGTTCATCTGCGTCCACGGGCCGACGCTGGGATCACTTCGCTCGAAGTCCATGTACAGCGGGCGCATGATCATGCGACCCGTCTTGTGCAGCCGGTCGAATATTGTGCGTAGGTAAGCCCCCAGCTGATATCGCAGGTGGATGTAGGAGACAATGATAGGTGTGTTCTGTTCTCCGTAGGACCAGGGCTCATTTGCGCAGGTATACGCATCCTGGAAGTAGCATTCCCGGGAGCCATGGGTGCGCATGAAGGGGAGGAAGGTCGCCCACTGTAGCCAGCGGACATACAGCTCGCGATACTCTGGCGTGTCGATGTTGGCACTCCACCATACCGTGGGATCGGCTTGGAAACCGCCTGCATCCATCGTCCACCAGCCCCAGCCAGTGGCTGCGGCCGACAATCCGCTAGCCACTTGGGCGCTCAACGTCTCCCACACAGCAGTTGTGTCGCCGGACCAGATCATACTGCAGAACCGTTGGGAGCCGATATATCCAGACCGACTCAGGGAGAGATGGTCACATGCTGAACCTAGATCGGTGGAGGTGACATTGCGAAAGCCCTCCTCGATGGCCTGCTGGTGAGCCCATGGATAGAGCTTGCCAACGCTGCGCTGAGTGCCAGCAGCATACAGCACATCTGGCAAATCGAAAGGGATTGATTGGATATAGGTGCTTTGACCGTTGTTTTCATACGCCTCACCCAGGGAACCTCCATCGGCCTGGTCAATCCAAAAGTTCTTGATACCGTTATCATAATAATTTCGCTTCAATGTGTCCCATAGGAAACGGCGTGCTGCAGGGTTTGTGGAGTCATAGTTGCGGATGTAGGATCCGTTCCACGAGTCCGTAGTGCCCGGGCCGGTGCGGGTGGCCGAGAGCAATCCCTGGGAAATCATGTCCAGGTAGTTCACGCTGTTGTCCGCCACGCTGGGCCACAGGGAGGCCATCATCTCGGCGTTAGTCAGTCTTTTCACCTGTTGCGCCATCCCCGAAACGTCAGGCCAGAGGCGTGGATCCAAAGCCCAATCACCTTGCTGAGCCCAAGATTGATAGTCAATGACGATCAGCGAAACTGGAATTTGGCTTGCATGGAAATGCTGAGCCAGCAGCTCCACCTCGGTCTGATTCTCATATCGTAGCCTGTGAAGTCGAGAAGACAAACACATTAGTCTGCGAGCATGCGACAATATGGAAATGCAAAATAACTTACTTGGATTGGATATAACCAAGAGACCAGTCCGGGGGAGTTGGTGCACGCCCAGTGAGGGCAGAGAGGCGCTGCTGTAGCGTGTCGTAGTCACCGGGGGTTGACGAGAAGATCACGTAGTCGACGACTGTCGCTGAATCCGCAGTAAATCGGTTGCGCAGCTGACCAAATTCCATGCGACCTTCGGAAGCCATATTCCAGATGAAACCATATCCTTTGTTGCTCATGAACACTGGTGTGGGGATGTGGGTGTTGAAGTTGATCAGATCGATGGTCTGGCCCTTTTTGTTGACAAGGTGGTCTTGCTGGGTACCGGTGCCATATATCTGCTCGTCTGGCGTGGTACTGAATGAGAATGCAGCGGCAAACTCGCTACCGGGTCCAGTCCAGGAGTAATAGCGGGGGTTGATCGACTTGAGTGGTGCATACTCGTTTGTGAGGAGGGACTCTGAGCCATTAGTTTCCACTCGGTAGAAAGCCAGTCGATAGCCTCCTGGATTGCCGCCCCAGCCGGATGTACGGACGATTGTGTTCCCGTTACGAAGCTCCTCGGACCGGTTGCCATTGAAGGCAGTATCGAAAGACATCCCATGGGCGTCACCATTTTCGGGCCCTTCGAGGGGTGGATCGTAAATGAACCCAATTTCCTGACCACTCGGCGGGCGATACGGCCATGCGCGGACACGGAAGCCATCGTACCCAAATGGCTGTACCAGCACGGTCTCAAAGCCATGCTGCATGCGAAACCCTTTAGAAGTGGGTTCGTGATAGTCGCGCTGTTGGACCGAGGAGGCCAAAACCGCACTCGACGCCCAAAGGGCGTTGAGTACGACAAGAGAGAGTCGCATCATCCTATTTCAAAAGGACCGAACGTGAAAGATGGAAATTGTCTTGCTTTCCTACCTCCGCGCTACTTTATACAACGCGTCATGGTCGATTTAGCCTAATGGTCAGTACTGGTTTCACTTGGAACCTCCACTGACTAGGTCTCCTGAGTAAGGATCGACATTAATAGCTGTTACTGTTGCGATTTGAGGCAGGCAATGGCAGACAAGCGAGGTACGGCATCGGCCGGAGTGCTCTGCACGGCCCACCGGAGACGAGGTCAACGGAGTGCATTGGCCCGACACAAGGCCGATCATTATCAGATTTCGTCATTTACCCGAGCTAGTGCGGGATGTAGTGCAGCAACATCGCTTCTCGGATGTCCTCCGTGCTGTGGAGTTGGGGATAACCGAGAACTTTGGGTGTGGAGAAAGGGCTGGGGACTATGCTGCAGATAGAATATGATCCCTAGATGTACACAATCACGAGCAACGGTGGGCCGTGTGGCAAGGAACTTCATCCAATGGTTTGTTATGTAAACGGAGTAAACGCAAGATATTATTCAGACTTGGGGCGTAGATTCATCCGCTTTACTCAATGGTAGACTTCCGGAGAGCTCTTCTCCTCTATGTGTTTTTTTCTCTGGATTTCCTGTCGGAACTTCTTGTCGTCCTCGTGTAATCGAACTATGATCTGCCGATGCGCTTGCCACACTTGACGTCAAAGAGACGGTCTATCGCTTCTAGAGGACCACCTTTCGTTTCGGGAACCAGGGGAAAACATACATGGCGACCAGGACTGGTCAATCATGAAGTAGTGATAAAGACACTATCACGTCTAGCTACTCGCGCGATCCCCAAACTTCTTTGCAGCCTTTAGAAGAAATATTTAGCATGTGTTCAATCCGACCTTGGTAGGTGGCCCGACGGTGCTTGCTGTCAATTGAAGAGCTATTAACGGGCCGAGAGTTTGCTATGTGTGTATTAATGGCAGCAATTCTGATAGTCAGCATTGTTGAACCAGCTCATCTTCTAGGCTTCCTGATGGCCCGACCCATTTTACAATGAACTCTCAGAAGGTTTGTATCCCATGGGGAATATTGGTGAGCCTCCTGGATATTGAGTTTCTTATCTCTGTTAGCTGATGGATTTCTAGGCATTTTTTGTCTTGCTGCTGCTGCTGGTCACCTCGTTTGATCGGTTTCGCCACGCGACATACGAGATATTCTTGGTAACATATGTTGTGCTGTCCATTCTGATACTCGTTGCATGTTTCTAGTGAGTTCTACTCTCCTGCGATTTCAGTTTGACTCCGATGCTAACCCATGCCCTTTTACTAGTCATAGAGTTACATTCGAAGGACACGAATACTGTATTTATTTGTGGCCATCTGTGGGTGTGTGGGCTTTGGATCGCCTTTTACAGCTTGTGTGCCTCTGCTATTGCAACGTCCATGTCAGCTCTCGAGGAGTTCTACCCTCGGTGAGCCGCATGGTTTATGATGAAGAAGCAGATGTAGTGCGTTTGGAAGTAGCACCCGCATCCATGCGCTTACGAGCAGAAGCCGGACTGTATTACTTCTTGTACCAGCCGTTTCGATTTACATGGTGGGAGAGCCATCACTTTACGGTCGGGGCTTGATCTTATGAGCTTGGTTCATTCAAAGGACCATCTGCGAAATTATTGGACAAGCCGAACGAATTGTTAGACATTTCAATGTTGCCCCTTCTTTATGGCGATGGTGAGATCAAGGCTCACTGGAAGAAAGCAGTGACACGGATGGTAGCCCAACCTTGAAGTTGATTTTTTGGATTCGCCCATATGATTGATGGACACGTCAACTTTGCCATAAATGTTTGAAATCGCCCACACGAACAACTGACGCAACGATCCTTCTGGAAGGACCGTATGGGGACACCTTTCCCCTTTGGCGGTATGAATTCGTGCTCATGATAGTCGGTGGAACCGGCATTGCGTCCGCTGTGCCTTACATCCAACACCATCTTCTTCGCTCGGCTGAGGATCGGAATCGCCAAAGTCAAGAAGAAGAATGGACTCAAATTCAAGATTTCGAGCTCATCTGGTCCGGATGACAGGCAGCTTTTTTCCGAGATGTGGCCCATGGAGAATTGAAGCCTGCTCTAGGCCGAAAGGAGTTCCGGGCTTCATTTTACAACACGGCGACTGCCGAGGCGCTTCTAGAGGATTTGGATGGGATCGGATGTGAGATTAAATCCGGAAGACCCGATAATTCTATCACTTATCCTTCAGCGTGCCCGGGATGCAGCCGACGCTGGTGCTAGTCTTGCCATTGTATGTGGACCGATGGCGATGCCAAGAGAGGCGCGAGCAGCGACCCATCTCGCCATGAGGCAGGAATACCGGTCGGTCAAATATGTCGAGGAGTCCTTCACATGGTAGACAAGGGGCCGGTACTCGAATTGGTAACGAATGCACGAGTTTACGTATGAACATTGAACATACATATTTTTGATATTTCTGCTCCTGTTACCTAGACAGATTATTGGGATCGCAAATGTAGGCTCAGTCTACTGAATGTATTTCCCTTAAATTAGCTGAATATGCTTACGATCTGCCGATCTGAGGCTGTTCGGTTAGGCTCACATCATACCCCATCCCGAGTATACAAAGATGACTGTGTGACACGAATAGGTTTTTTGACCCCTAGAATCGTAATTGTAATGAAATACCACTCCCAATTATTGAGTATAGCAGAGTTTGAACGGAAATGATTAAATTTCGCTGATCGTCGGTCTTCGGTCGTAAGGAACAGGAAAATGGTCGACGTGCAAACGCAGTGAGATCGACTGTATTGAAAACAGAATACTTTGAGTCGTTCAATTGCCATGTAATATGTAAGGAGTTGCTTTGTACAGCATAAACGTGTACAGAATCTGCCCCTGTTGTGAAACCTTTTCTTGCATTCGATTTACATGACGTGTGTTGGGCACACAATTCGATCGACAAGGACCAGATACATCTATCTAGTTACCCTCAATGATCAGCGAAGTTGTACCACGTAACACTCAATGATTTATATACAGCCATAGAAAAAGAAATCATTTTGTAAGAAACAGGTGACTTTCCAGCACTATTGATTCAATCAAATAAATTAATTTTACTTTGAAGAATTGTTGTGGTACCGCATGTCCACATTAAAGGGCATGGCAGTCTAATATGCAGGTATAAAAGAACGCGGAGTTTCCTGTGTTTTTGGTCATCAATTTAAGCCTGTCTCAAGCAAGTTCCAGTTTTCTAGCCACTCATTCAACTCTTGTGTCCTGCGCAACCAACAATCAAAATGCAGTTCTTCACGACCGTCCTGTGCCTCGCGGCTACCGCCATGGCTTTGCCTCAGTCTGGCAACGGTGTCGGAAACTCTGGCAATAGCAATGTCAGATTCCCCATCAGCGGACAAACTACCATGGCTCAGGGCAAGAATGCATGCGGCAATGACGCGAAGCTTTCGTGCTGCAACAAGGCAACCTACACCCATGATATCAACTCGGCCAACACCGGTCCTTTGGCTGGAGTCCTGGCTAATGCCCTCGGCGGTGGCCCTGGAGGTGATGGTCTGGGTCTGTTTGAGCAGTGCCAGGACCTTGGTCTCAACGGTGAGCGATTTCCAAATTGGAGTCCTGAACAAAGCTAATAATTTACCAGCTGTCGATATTGTGGGCCTGAACCAGTTGATCGACCAGAAGTGCAAGCAAAACATTGCCTGTTGCCAGAACTCGCCTTCGACTTCCGTACGTATTGCTTTCAAGGACTTGGTTCTGTGATATTAACTCGCGATAGAACAACAACGTCGTCGGTGTCGCCGTTCCTTGCGTTGCCCTGGGCTCCATCCTGTAACCTCAAAAACGCGAGAGTACCCTTTCCCATTTGTTTTTGTTGGGGATGTGAATGCTACCGACCAGCGTATTTCTCTACAATGGAAATGAAAGGAATCTGAGCAACCCACGGGTTTCCCATTTGCCTTCAATTTGTTGTCCAGGCCAAGCACAAGAATAGGCCACTCCGGCTGTCTGGATGGCGCCACTCGTTTGCTTCTTTTTGTTTGTCGTCGCTAAATTCTGGGACGTCCAGTTGTGTATCTGCTCATTTGTAATAGAACGTATTACTCAAAAATCACTGGCCTTGCTCGTATATATTTTCCTCTTATCATTGGAATTTGGCATTCTTTCGTTTCTTCGCAGAGCTGTTGAAGATCCACGGACTACTTATTCCAAATTCTTGACTTCTTCTGGGCTTGAAGTATCTTCCACTCCCCATTCAATATGGTCATAGCCATGGGCAGCGAGGTAATCCTTCCATTCTTGGTCGCCGTGGTCAAGGATTTTGTCGCTGTCCTGCAGGACAAACCATGCTAGAAGTGCGCCAAGGACAGCAAACCCCGAGCCGATGAGAAACACAGCCTGTGTTCCTCGAGTCTCATCACTTCCCCAGCTTGCCAAGATCGGCTTGAAGACTTGAGTACCAATGGCAGCTCCAGCTTTACTAAAGGCTGCTGCCAGTCCCACTGCATGACCACGAACGGCGGTTGGGAAGCTCTCGCTTGCGGTCAGGACGATCGTAGAACCAGGACCAACCTCTCCAAGTGTGAGGAAAATCCCATAGAGAACAATAAAAAGTGGCAGCTTCGTCTGGATGGGCCCCAATGCACCTCCCAAGATGAATCCGAGGATCGCCTGTAGCAAGTATCCCAGTGCCATTGTTCGGCGGCGCCCAATTCGATCGGACAAGAAGCCACCAATAAAAGCGCCCGGTATATAGAAACAATTAATCAATGTTCCCCACGCCATCGTGAGAGCCAGGGAAGATGAAGGGTTAACCCGCCCGACAATGGTCGACGAGAACAACCCGAACGGGTACGAGATGTAATTATAACTGATCCAATGAATGTCAGTCAAGTTACACCTGATCACGGGTACCCATTACTTACATGAACCAGGATCCGGCTACACCGAGCAAGGAGCGCCAATACTTCTTCAACACGAGCCAGTAGGGGATCCGTTGCTTCTTCATAGAGCTTTTCCGGTAGGCCGAGCTCATGACCATCCGATAGCGAAACCAGAAGATTGATAAGGGAGGAATGACACCCATGACCAAGGCAACCCGCCATACGGTCTCATAGTGCTGAACTTGCTGATGAAAGCACAGCAGCAGCAGCAGTGGAACGAGTGCACCAAAGGCAAAGCCGAGGGAAGCGGATAGATCGCCGATCATAGCGAAAATGAAACCTCGGTGTTTGCGAATGCCCGGTGCCTCATCGGTTGCTTCTGCAGCACCAGCCCCTGCCACCGGATATTCACTGTCACAGAAAGATCTTGTCAGAGACTTGACATGCAACGCGTTCAAAAGAGTAGCTCTACTCACCCTCCCGCCCCGACTCCTGCGATACCGCGTGCAATGATCAACATCCAAAACATGCCATCATCTGTTAGTCCACTGGCACCCGCGCTCAACGCAATCCCCAAAACCAAAATGATGGTGGTGAGGACGGCGCCGGTCTTGCGGCCAAGCTTGTCGGAAATATAGCCGAAGCTCAGCATGCCAATAATCATGCCAACCATGAATGCATTGGACAATCGAGCAGCCACAGCGGTCGTGAATGACTTCGGGTATATGACCTCGATCAACAACTCCACGTTGCCGATGATCGACGCGTTGAAACCATCCGATCCAATTGCTAGGCCACTGAACACTACCATCAACACCACCGAAGCCCTTGAATACCCACGACTGGACGCATGAGCATCCGTAGATAGAGGATCCGTCTTCTCGACATCCTCCTGGGGGGCCTTCTGGGCCGAGTCGCGTGTGTCTCCAAGCTCGATCCCCGACGGTTCGCTCATGATGGACATGCGGAAAGACTGCGATACCAAAATATTATTCGGCAGATCCCCGGCCATTATATACCGCAGTCGGGAGGAGTCACATCGAACAATGGCTTCCGTGGCGTATATTGGGTTTCGCCAGGGCAGGTCGAGGCGAATCAGGCCAATCAAGCATGAGACGGGGGTGGGCCGAAAAACATCGCGGGGAGCTAAGAACACGCCGGACCGCCTGAAGTGGGAACCTAATCCCGGTTAACGCAACCGGAATGGGTAGGCCGAGGCGCTGCGATGATAAGATACTGTCGTCCCCGCCGAAGTGATAGGTAATTGCTCCTCCATTATTCTCAACAGCAACCATGAAAGGACTCAGGCAGGAGGTGCACGACGTTGAGGCGCGCCTCTCGGCCCCGCACAATAGGTCCTTCTCCCTTGCGCGCCTTGCAAGCATCGCTGCGACCGGGGGTTTGCTGCTCGCAGGCTATCACTACAGCTTTCTGGGAAATAAGGATTTCGGAGAACTGCCTCCCGCACCGCACCGCTCGGCTGTGGCCAGTTTTCAGAAATGTGCAATCGACAATCTACTCAATACAGGTCTTCCTTTCCTTGAAAATGCATCTCCCATCTCTCTCCCGGACTTTGAAGATCGACGTGACCGCCTGGCCAATGCGCTGGTAGCCGAGGGAGTTGATGCCTTTGTGGTCGAGCCGGGCTATACTTTCAAATACTATGGCAATGTGAGCCAGCCCGAGTGGGAAGTGTGGGAGGTATGTTGTCTCAACATGAGTGAGCAGTCAGAATCTATGACTGACATTGTAGCTCAGCCCGAAGAACGGCCTTTCTTGATGATTGTGCGCCCTCAGCAGGATGAAGAGTCGGGCAAGATCACGGCCAACACGACCTTTTTATGCCCGTCCTTCGAGGCAGAGCGGGCACGACTTCTAGGAATGCCTTTTGCCAATTCCATCCAGATTGTCCCATGGGAGGAACATTGGAACCCGTACACTACGCTACAGCAATCAGGCGTGTTTGGAGATTTGCATCGAGTCCCGCGATTGATGGTCGATGAAGAAATGCGTGATTTCATCCAGCGCGGCCTGGCTACCGCCGGATTTGACGTCGTTGGACTGCAAGGTCGCGTCGAACAAGTGCGACAGAGCAAGTCTGATAAGGAAGTTGAAATTCTTCGCGCCGTCAACACGGGAACCGTTGAAGCAGTGCGGCAAGTAAGGAAATGTGAGTTAGTCACCCGTCCCTACAAGTGGAAGCAGCTGTTCATATTCGTCACAGGCTTGTATCCAGGCTTGACGGAGACCAATATTGCCGAAGCCCTCGACAATGCCCTGCGGGCTGCGGGTATGGAACCCTTCTTCGATATAGTTCTTTTTGGTATGTCTAAACCCATATCCATGGTGGGTTCTAGTGGCCAAGCTAATATAGCACAGATGAAAACGCATCTAATCCCCACGGTGGCACCAATGGTTCCAAAGTGCTGGAACCAGAGACATTTGTACTTATTGATGTCGGGTATGTTCTATTTCCCGAGATATTCCACCACCCTCGAAGCTCATGCCACAATAGGGCACACCTCTATGGCTACTCGTCCGATATTTGCCGCACATTCTTCCCTCCATTCCTGGAAAAACCGGCCCAGGGGGAGAAGCTGTCTCCTCGGATGGAGGAGAAGCTCAAGGTCAGTGCTCTATTGGTCGCGAACTGCTCCATTTTTTAACTCGAAGTCAGGTGTGGGATGTCGTGTTTGAGGCTCAAACACGATCGATTAACCAAATGCGAGAAAACTACACTGCGGCCAGTGTCGATATTGCTGCTCGAGAGGTTATCAACAATGCTGGTTATGAGGGAACCTTCACACATCGTGTCGGCCATGGCATCGGGATTAAAGGTGCGTAATACTATCCGCGTAATATCTCGCTATCCATCAGTCACGACCTAACGCCGACCTTGTACAGCACATGAGAGTCCCTATTTGCACAAAGGGAACGTGGAAACCCTACTCAAAACAGGTATGACTTTCACATCGGAACCTGGCGTGTACTTGGTCGACAAATTTGGAGTCCGACATGAAGACATACTTCTCGTCCAAGGAGATGGCGAGCCCGAGTTACTGACAGGGCAGCGAGCTGTTGGACCTTGGGAACCATAGTGACTGTTATCCTCGATGCCCCGTGCAGTAATTGGAATACTAGTGAGAGATTTTGCAGTATACCCTCGATTACACATGCCGGTTACGGTTTTCAATGCCCAAAACATGCCTCGGTGAGGAAATAGACATTATAGACCGAAAAATCATATATCCAAGTGATATTCTGTTCGATACAGCGTAGCTCTTATAGCGGAAAGAACCAGATACTTTATATACAGTTACCGATTAGATTGTGTCCATATGGCCATAGGCAGGCTCCTCTAAATTCTCCACGGAATCACTCAACGATGGTGGTCGGCACGGGCTGCCACAAAATGCACGGCGATAATTGAGCAGAGAGAGCATCCTGCAACAATGGCACACATTACACCGGCGGCTCCTCCTAGTCCCAATGTAGCGAACATGTCAGGGAAATAAAACGGGCCAAGCTAATGGGCCTTGGGTTAGTATTCTCAGCAAGGCAACGGCAGACGGAGCACTCACAAATCCATAAATCTGTCGACAAACATTGACAAAAACACCGACCTCTGCGGATCGCTCCCTTTTACTTTCGACTGCAAATGTCGTGAGAATTGTGGTCTGCATCTGATTGCCAAAACTGGCAATGGCAGCACCGACGCATGGGGTGACATTCCAGGTAGTAGCGTGCTGCAACTGAAAGCCCCAGGTTAAGAGACCGGTAATTACAGTAGCAAATGCAATATAGGACAGCCACAAGCGGTCAGCCGGGCATGATTGGCCCCTGGTCTGGCGAATGCGTTTCAAAAACCAGTCGGACATGGGCCCGCTTACTTGCTCTCCTAGCACACAACCGATAATGATTGCAATAAACTGCAAACCAATCTGCTGTGCATCAAAATGAAACTTTTCACCGAAGGCAATAGGCATCTCGACGATCAGGGCAATATTGCCGTAGCAAAACGTGATGGCGTGAGCGCATGCCGCGATCAGCACTCTAGGGTATTGGGCCAAGGAAAAGGGCGATAAGAAGTCTCGAATCTTGAGCGGGTGAGAATTGATCCGGCGAGGGATCACTTTTCCAAAAATACCGTTGGACTTGGGCTCGTTTTTCGGGTTGTAGATAGTCTCGTCACCAAAAGCTAGGTAGAAGAGAAATTGGACGAAGTTGATGATGGCAAAGATCCAAAAGATCCATTGGACACCAATATGTTTGGTCACAAATCCCATGAAAAATGGACCAGCAGGTGTTCCGATTGTGGTCATCAGAGTCCACCAGCCTAATTTCTGGGCACGTTTCTCAGGCTCACACAGCTCTGTCACCACGCCACTGCCGTTTCCGATAGGAGGTGATATAAGGAAAGCTGTAAGAACTCTAGTGGCCATTTGTCCTCCATAAGTGGTAGCACGAGCTCCACCAATATTGCATACCAAACTCCCAAAAACGGAGAGTAGACTGACATTATACCGGCCATAAACCGCAGTCACCGGGTTCCAAAGCAATGGCGATAAGCCTAGAAGGAGAATCTATGAAGAAGAAACGGGTAATCAGTAACTTAGGAAAAGCCAAGACGGTCAGAAAGTCAAGCGCCGCATACCTGAAATGAGGTCAAGTAACTGGCAGCTGGAACGGTGACATTATATTGCTCGGCAAATTCTTCGTAAGCGGGGATGATACCAGCCGCCATGAACGTGCCCATCATGGAGTGGAACGCGACCATCAAGATTTGGGCATTTTTCTTCCACCTTGGCCAGTTTCGTGGATCACGAGGAGAGTCTGTTCCCCGTGTCTCTTCGTCCGACTCATCCTGCCCGGGCGGCTTTTGCACAACATGTTCGAGGTGGATCGACGTCTCCGAGTTCGTGCTCTTCACGTCGGACCTATGGCTAGCCGGATCCGGGCTGTCAGGTAGTTCCTGGGTATGTGCGGCCATATCGTAGGCAAGTATAGCTGGTTATGAGATAGAAACAAGGGCTCGGAAAAGAAAAAGAGGGAGGGAGAGAAAGCGGCGTCCTAGGTCTCAAGTTGGTGGATGAAGGTGCGGTACCATTTATATTGGAATCAGACGAGGCCGGGGATCACTCCAGATTAAATCTGGACGAAATAATTGATACTATGGGTCCTGGGCACCCCATGGGGCAGCCAACAAAAGGGGTCCTACGGGGTATGGGATCTGACCCGACGGGAATCATGTCCGCGCAAATCCACAACTGACATCGCTTCATTGGAGTACTAGCCGACCTGGAACCACAATTCTGGGCAGATATGAATTAATTCCGCACTTGAGAGTGCCGATCTCCGTTTCTGCAGTCCCGATTTCACAGCCCGAGGTTGTTCGTCCCCGTCGGTTGGCCACCCGTCCCATTCGGGTTCTGTTCCGGAACCTTGGAAAATTCACTCGCGTTGGGCCCACAGCTGAGAAGGGTGCGATATATAAAACGGGATAAAATGTTAAGGGGTCTACAGTAGCGTATAGACAAGATATACTCTCCAAACAGTGTCGAGGGACATTGCCGTGTGTACGGGAAGCCACCGAAGAGCTTCCCGACATGAAGTATTTCACGAAGGCCGACGACTATCGACTCCAACCTGGCTGTCGGGTACAAAGACTTCAACCCCTCTTTTTTGCCACATTTGCCAACCTTAAGCGACGGAAACTCAAATGCACTGTAGGCTACCCAGAGTTTTTGCTCGAGCAGTACATGTATGAAGTGTATCTGCTGGGGCACACAAATATATATACATCTTCAATATCAACAGAACATACTTACACTGTGCCCGTGTAGTCAGTAAATATTTCTCAATTTTACTTCCCGTGTCTACTCATTACTCCATGCCCAAGTTGTGATCTATACTAGTTTGGTAGACCTGGAGTCGACGAAGTCGCATAGTTAGAAAATTACCGGGGTCTAATTGGCTATAATAGTAAATTACGTCATCAAAAACGGTCCAATCCCGCCATTCCAACCAACCCCGGGACGGCGTCAAAAGTCGGCAGTTGACGGGCCCCTGCTTGCTTAACCCCGGGATCCCGTTCCGAACGGTCATTCCTTCACTTTTACACTCATTTTCTCTAGAAAATTAGTCTTGTTGCGACGATGGGCCGCGAGGCTCAAGAGCTCAATCGCCCTGCAAAGCGGCGCAAAATTGCTATCGCCTGTGACGACTGTCGCACCAGGAAAGTGCGCTGCGACGGGGTGCAGCCCGGTATGATCCAACCTGGGCGGAATTTGACCCGGGCTGATTTGACGCGATATCAGTATGTGGCCCGTGCGCTAAAAGGACTGGCCGCGAAGTGCAGTGTGTGTATACTGGCGAGCAGGAGAAGAAGCGAGCTGTTCAGACGTCAGTCACGCAATTCTTGGAATATGAGCTGCCAAACTGACTTGGCCAACCCGCCCACAGATACATTGCCAGTCTGGAAAATCGACTAAAGGTCCTCGAGAGTCCCAGATCAAGCAAGACCGGAGAAACCGCCTCTCATAGTCCCGAAAGGGGTCTAACATCAGGCAACACTCCCGTTCGTGGCTTCTCTGGCGCTGCTGGAATTAATTGTACAACAGGCTGACGGTCCATAGCGATCATCCCTTCCCTATGATCCAGTATCCCCCCATCTGGCCGTCCACACACCATCTCTACCTACACCAGTCGATCGGCATCCAGCTATAGGCACAGTGCAGCCGTCTCCACCCACAGGTAGCATCTATTCGGATAATATTGGAGGTGAACATGGGCAAGGCATACGCATATGCGCCCCTCTGTCGTCCCACGGCGATATCCCATCTTCTAGCGCCCGGGGGAATGGAGTTAATGCGATGATGGGAGCTGTTGAGGAAGAGCGAGCCTTCCATGGATTCTTTGGCAGCTCCAGCGCGGCGGGATTTATGCGTCAAATCAAAACAGCAGTCGACAAAAGAATTGCCTCCCCACAGCAGCGGACTCCAGCTCAGGACATTGCTCTCCCCGCCGATTTGATGTCAGCTCGCAGCGAGAAACGGCCACCACGAGTGCCAGACTATGTTCTTCCGCCTCGAAAGACTGCTGATAGCTTGATGGAAGTATATTGGAACAACGTCTTCCCGCTGTACCCATTTGTCGACAGCGCTCAAATGAAAGGCGAATATGCGAAGATCTGGACAGGGGATAGTCTTGGATACGATGAGAACATGCTGATGTGCACATTCAACGTGATCTTTGCTCTAGCTAGTCAACTGGCGGACTTCATTAGACCAGAAGATCGAGAGGTCTCCGCGGATTCGTTTTTCTCTCGTGCCAAGGACCTTTTCCAATTCAATCTATGGAACACGGGATCTGCGGGACTTATTCAATGCCTTCTTTTGATGGCTCAGTATCTGCAGAGTACTGACTCAGCGCATCAGTGCTGGATTGTGACAGGGTTAGCAATCCGCAACGCGCAAAGTCTAGGACTACATCTGCCTCAAACTATTGCTTGTCTCCAAGGCTTTCAAGAGCAACAGCTAGCACGCAAGATATGGCATGGTTGTGTCCTAATGGATCGGTATGTACTGCACGGTAGGGTTCCTGGCATGCATTCTCACCTGTCTTTCATTACCAGGGTTATATCGATGACATTCGGGCGCCCGGCGATGATCTCAAAAGCGTCAAGCGAAGCAGTTCCCTTGCCAGCGGCCGTGGACGAAGAATATATACTAGCATCTGATGATGCTGAATCTGCCCAGCCTGCAGATCGGCCCTCAATGATGGCCTTCTACGCGAAGTCCTTGGAACTGTATGAAATCATGAATGATGTTCTGCTCAGTCTCTACAAACCGTCACCGGACGAAGGCGCAGAAGGAATCCACGATTTCTTTTTCAATCATGCTACCCATGAGGGAGAGCGTACTATCTTCGATCTCGACCGTTCCCTCACTCGATGGACCCTTAGCCTGCCGCCGCATTTAAAGGGAGCATCTGCTTTGGTGACTCGGAACCCGATTTTCTGTCGCCAAAGCATTGTTCTGAGAGCAAGGTAAGGACGCAAGCCTCTTATCTAGTCTATTGCCGACAGTTTTGACGCAGGTTCCTGCATGTGCGAATGCTTCTGTTTCGACCGACCCTTTCGAAATATTGCGCGGTGCGCGATAACGCAACTACGGATCCACTTATATCCGTGAATGATTTGCTTCCTCAGCGAGTGGCATTGCAATGTTCTATCATATGCGTAAAAGTTGCTCAAGAATCCATTGAGCTTATCTATAGCAACGTCCCTGCCGATGGCACTGGTGGGCCTCTGCCAGCATGGTGGTACAACATACTTTGTGAGCCCTGCAAATATCATACCCTAGTCTAGACCACTGACTCTATTAGACGTCTATACAGCAGCGACGGTTTTGATCGCAGGTCGTTTATGCCCTGCCATCCTAGAAGAGGTCACTGAGGCTACTGTCACTAGATCCTGGAATTGCGCTCTTGAGATTCTAAGGAAATATCAAAGCTACAGCACATCGGCACGTCGGTGCGTAGCGGCACTCGAGATTTTATACGAACGGGTGGCATCAGAAGGCTCGTCTGCTGATTCTATCGCACGCGGTGAACCTATTAACAACGTCCCTGGTGGATTTAACGAGATATCCTTTGGGGAAGGCATGAATGCGGCCATACTAGAGAACTTTGAGTTCCCTGATTTCCAGGATATGTCTTGGCTGAATAGCGTACCTAGCAACTTATTCTAGTAGTGATGCTGCAAGACCTCGAGCCCACAACTGTGACTGTTCATTGACTCGCAGATATGATGTCTTCGATCCGAGGAAATTCGCAAACTGCTGGGCTTACAACCACGGGCATCAAAAGACGATGATTTATACCTTGGAATTGGAACACGTTGAAGGCATCACCTGTAATGACGAGATAATGTTAAATATGAATGGATGTGTTCTTCCCAGGCTGCAGTACGGAATCCGAATCCGATAGAATAATCTAGTCTAGTTATCATACATAGCAAAGGTGTTCAGGCCAAGTCGAACCCTTTGTCTCCTTTGTCTAGCGTGTCTTGGTTAGGCATTTTGGGTGATGAGTTGACTTCAGGAAGCCTTGATAAGCGACAGCTAACTAACTAGTTAATATTCGGGTATTGGTAAGTTGTCCCGAGACTGCCGTCCAAGCGTCGAATGGGGATTTCAGCGGGCAAATGAGACACATTACCTTAGTTACCACGTGGTGTGTGGCTTTGACCAACCACCAATTGGCAATGCCAACCTCCTGAGTCTTGAAGGATCAGCTGGGTTTGGCCCTCTAGAGATGGGGGCCGACGGGCAAGCCTCCCCTAAACTGAGGTTGAGAACATTATTGGTACTCCAGAATGAGAACTACGTAGGTGCCGTATCCTTGTACTCGGAACGTGGATGTATCGATTACGTGCGACAGGAAATAATACCTTGATTACCAGGTTATGCGTTTCCACATATTAACGCAGAAACACCGCGCTGGTCTTTCGGGGCTACTAGCGCTCCTGTGCTTTTCCAATAGCACAATAGAAGGAATCAGCCCTCATTTCCTTTCCATTCCAACTTTTGCACCTGTTTAGACTCATAGACACCAACCCTTGATAATCTTCCCGCGACAGATTTCCGTAACCCAATCAGGGCTGATTTGTTTCTTCTTTGACTGAAAACTCGCCTACCAAAGACAATTGATGTTACTAACATTCCATAGCTTAACATAAAGATGTCTTACTGGCTACTCCGTACATACTTTACAGAAATGTCCAGTGAAACTTTCGCAGGGACTGAAAGGGGCGGGTGCCTCGCCCGTGCCCCATCATCATTATTGTGGAACTCTTTCAAATCCGCCCCATTTGAACTAATTATGTACGTACTTCCACGTACTTGGATTAGCGGACGCATTCGGCGCCCGACATTATTGCACTTTGTGGAGGCAAAATCCAATACTTACTAGTTACTGAATACGCACTGTACTGGGAAACAATAACAATTCACTTTATTATTCTATACTTCCGACAGACGATTATTGGTGACGGTCATGGGACTAGCAGCCGTTGTCTGTCTCCATACACAATTGATCCCACACAGAATCTCCACCTCAAGCAAAGAAAGCCCTGAGTCGTCCTGACCAACCCTTTTGTGGCCGTCGGGACAATCCGATGTCCGAAGCCTTTTTTGGACACTGATAGGGCCGAATCCAAGTAAGTTGGGTTGTATGTCTGGTATTTAGGGCCTTGAAGTGCCTGATTTTCAAAGCAGAAACAAGCTGCACTTCTAGTTATTGCAGATCAGTAATGATTGATGTACGTAGGAATCGAGCCCCTGACTAGACTCAAATATGTGACAGGAACTGCAGAGCACCTACGAACTAGGCCATTGACTATTCCATGGAAATGAGTTGGATTGTGCAGCCACATGCACATGCTCATATGTAAGATTGAGACTAACTCAGCGTGACGAAAAAGTGGGATTAACTAAGTTTGTTTACGAAAAAGACCTAGCATGGAGAGATTATTGGATACAGAAGCCCCAAGCTAGAGTGGTACGCCTACCTATCTGAGTGGCCATGCCAGCCTCTCCTTTCCATGTTCCATCCGGCTCCTGCTGTATCTGCTAGTAACCACAAGCCAAGACCCCTTAAAGTTATTCAACGGCTTTTGAGAAGGAGCTGCGAAAATAAAATAGCGATTAGCTCTCCTGCCCCGTTGTCTCGCTGTGAGGGGCCTGAAGGATTTGTGCTAGTTCCAATGAAGGATCATCTGCAGCGGGGACGGAAAAGTAGTGTCACATCCACCTGCAGATTACAATCATTTAAGCATGATGCGTAGGTGATAGGCCACACGTCGAAGCCTTTCCTGGTAGTGTCTTTTACAGGGCCTTTTGTTTCATCGACCGTCTAGGCATGATATATGACAAGCCACATGAATCCTTCCGACAGGGGAAACGGATAGACGCATCAGAAGAAGAGGGACACGAAACGCTTGTTTCCAAGTAGACTCAAAGCCTGGACAACCACCAGAGCCATGAAAGGGAAGAGTCTCAACGCCACTGACCTAATAAAGGCTATCTACATATCGATGCCGACCGTTGCTTATGGAGGGGATCGGCTATGGAGTGTAACACCCTCTTAGCCCCCACGGGCCGCGGCGGTCCTTGCACGATTCGGCCCCACGCTCCTTTGACACCAGGGCCGACTGGGCCCATTCGAGAACAAATCAGAGATCGTTGGTGTGGCGCTATTCCTGTAGGACGATTCCTGCAAAACCGAGGATCTCTTGTCATTTAGCGGAAACAGGCCGGTTATTGCTTCGAGGCCACAATTCTCCGTAGAGACAAGAGGGTGTTCCTTCGCAGTGGCAAAGCTAAATAATAATAATGTTAATAATGTTAATAATAATAATAATAATAATAATAAGAAGAAGAATAAGAAGAATAATAAGGCTACCCTTGTACCATACATATTGGAGAAAACCACCGTTGCTGAATACAGAACTGATCACCAAGAGTACTGCGATACCACTGATTCCGCGACGACACTAAATCCTTTGGAAATCCTTTACGGGACCAGTCCGTCTACGGGATTTGACAGCGTGTTGAGCACCTGCCAGTGGATTGTATATCCACCGCGGATAGCCCCAGATTCTCATAGCTTTAGACAAATTTGCCCGTCTCAGTGTTTGACCCTTGGTCTGACGTTTTCACTCTTTCAAACTTCCGGAGGGGACATACCCAACTCCTTCTCACCAAATATACCAGTGTCGTATCTAATGTGGTTGCACTCTTAACGACTACTCTGTCCCAGACGGTAAGACGGTGTCCAAAATTACTGCCCTGTCTCTTTCTGAACAGATTTTGATGCATCTTTTATCCAACAGCATTAATAGAGCAGCCACAATCCGATACTGACACAATGGGAGACCTTACGCCATGGCAGCTCCATGCCCTGGTGCTGACCGAAAGAGTCAACTCCTGTGCCTCGATAGTATGCATCCTTTTTGTTATGGTGACCTATCTTTGTGCACCGGGATTCGATAAACCAATCAATAGATTGATCTTCTTCGCCAGTTTTGGCAACTTGGGTTCAAACGTTGCAGCCATTATATCAGAAGCCGGTCCCGATTCAGGGAACGATACGCCTCTCTGTCAGTTCCAAGCATTTTTGGTTCAGATGTTCCTTGGTGTTGACTGCTACTGGGCGCTTTTCATGGCCATCAATGTCTACCTGATTTTCTTCCGCGACTATACGGTTGAGCGACTTCGATCACTGGACATCTTTTACCTTCTTCTCAGTTATGGCTTGTCATTTATCCCTGCCCTGACCTTCATCTTCATTAATACACCGAGTCGGGGACGCATGTATGGTGGGGCTATTATTTGGTGCTGGATTACCACCGAATGGGACTTTATGCGTGTGGTCTTCCTTTACGGTATTGTCTGGTAAGTGCTACCTGTCTGTCCTACGAGGGATTGTTGTGCTGAAGCAAAATAGGGTCGCCATCGCGCTTGCCTTTATTATTTACGGAATGACGATCAAAGTTATCTATGATCAGCGAGAACATCTTGACGGGTACCTGAATCCCCTCAACGAAAACCCGTTCGCCAACGTCACGACGGAAGTCAAGATTACACACGAAGAGCGCCCGATTGTGGACGATGCCGGTCCTCAGGGAATTTCGGACACTGTTGCCGCCGAACAAGACGTGTATGCTGTGCAGGTAGAGGCGGAGCCAGCGAGGCCTGAAAACGTCCACCACATCCCTGAAGCGCTGCGATTACGCGAAATCACTCGGCAGGCAGCCGAACGTGCGCAAAACCAGGAAGCATGGATTTACGCTCGTGTTGCCTTCCTATTCTTCCTGGTCCTTCTCATCACTTGGGTAAGTAACGCCTGTCTTTGAACGAGGGAAGCTCAGTGTATTAACTTTCCTCTGAAGGTGCCAACCAGCGTCAACCGTGTCTATGCCCTGGTTCTACCCAACTCTTTCAATTTTCCATTGAATTATGTTGCTTCGTTTGTCTTCCCTTTGCAGGCCTTTTGGAACGGGATTGTGTATATTATCACATCTCAATCAGCAGTTCGGAGACTGTCCCGCAACTTATTCATTGAGCCATTTCGTTCTTCCACCCGGCAGTCGGCACGACATGGCGGAAAGCATGACAACCGCAACATATACCCAACGCGTGGGAAGCAACGTCTAAGGAGCTTTTCTAGCTGCAGTGACCAGGGGCAGGATGACTTAGAGCTACGCAACGTTTCAAAACATTGATATGCGTGTGAGGGACACGTGTATTGGGCAATGAAAAAGTGGCGTTGCTCAGCAAAGATGGGCTGTTTGATTTATTTCTCTCCATGTCAGCTTTGAGTGCTGTATTGTTTCAAACTGTTAATATTATTCTCTTGACTAAAGCACATGTGAATCGCTGGAAAGCCATTTTGAGTCCCAATCGTGGGGATTTATTCGGCAATATCTATCTGCTGGCCTTCGTAAGGATGTTGAGCTGTATAATGATGTTTAATGATGCCACTCTTCGACAGTATTAATCCCAATTAAGTTATATATCAGTTGAGCCTGCCCTTTCGCGAAGAACATATGCTTGCCGGAATGTTCGGCACAAGGATTTATATCAAGCTGCTGTATCTGTAAGAAACGCTAATAGGACCTAATTCTTTCATCCCATTCCCCTGCATATTGATACACTTGACTCCAGCCTTTCACGACCAACCCCCGGACCCTCCTTGGTAGTAGGCGTAGATTAGCTGGAGACTGAACACTTTGAAGTGAAGTCTTGTCGACCAGAGTAAACTCATGATGACTTTCTTGCCCGGCCATGTAAAAGGGACTTTGTAACTTAGTAATTGATAGCCACGTTTGCGCAGACTCGTTTGCAACGAAGACCTCACTAGCCTGTGATTTCGACAGTGAATGTCAGATCCTATCCACTCAAGTACTGCCGATGACAAGAGTGAAATTGGGCCATGTTTAATGCCGGTATCCTTACTCGGTCGTTGACTAGCGCCAAGGAAAGTTTTTCAAAGACATGATCATTCTAGCTAGAAAAGTATCTCGGTAGAGGTGGTATATGTGATTGAATAGTACGAACGATGAATAACTTCTAACACAGAGAGAAAGAAAGCCCCAGCATCGACAAGATCTATGAAGCAGCGGTCGCCGTCGCATTCCCGTTGACACTTTCTAGATGTTCCACCTTCAAGGTTTTGCTCTCGCCTTCGGTGGTGTTTTCTGCGCCAGCCTCTCCGTTGGCCTCCCCATTGACCCCTTTGGCGTCTCCATTGGGGTAGAAGTCAACCTTTCCACCCTCTTGGATGACTCCCTCACGGTCCAAGCAGAAGCGAGCTCGAGTGTAGGGATCCAACTTCCAGTGGTTGACGCGTAGCCGCTCCGCTAGGAAAGCTCTCTGGCTCGCAGCCTTCTTAACCTCGTCCGCATTCTTGGATTTGGCGGCCTCCGCCCATGCGGAAGTTGCAGCAAGGAACTCTTCTCCAATTTGTCGCCGTTCGGACTTCAGAGCATCACGAGTGGTAGTATCTTTCATCTTGTCATTTTCCTCCGGACTGGGCTCGATGTATTTGTATTCCCAATCTTCGTCGCCACCAACTTCCTTGACAATCTGGTCTCGTTCAATGTGCTTGGTCAAATCGTTCACATTGTTCGTGAAATCGACCTTAGCCGCGATGTCGGGATCCATCCATCCTCGAATAATTTTCCAGATACCTTGAAATTTCCCAAGTCATTAGGCATATTCATATGGTTAAGGGTAACTCCAGATACTTACCTGAGAAGATCCACGGTGCGTTGTGGATGAGCATGATTCCCAGAGATTCAGGGTAGTTGGCCTCAAAGCACTTCAGAATGAATTTCACCGGTGGGTATTCCTAGACACAAGCCATGAGTCAGAACAGTTCATTTGCAACCCCGTCTCAGGTCAAGAACATACCATGTTCCCCAAGCCGAATCCAGTCATGTCGAAGAGAACGCACTGTTCCAGTGTCAGCGATTTCTATAGGAAGGATGATCTCGCTCGATGAACGGTACTTACCGCAGTCTCGACCGGAGGGGATAGTGTCAGTCGCACGGACTCGATGACATGGACAATATAACGCTCAAGGGCTTCCTCGGACTGCGCACCGGGCTTGTGCAGACGAACTCTGATCACAACGATTGGTCGGCCGAGTTTATCGGTACCATGCACATAGGCCTTGCCCATACGCATCTGGGAAAGAAAGTCGGTACCCGCCTTCTTCTCGCTGGGATTGGACGTGTTTTGCGTCTGCTTGAGAGCGTGCAGTTCACCCTTGGCCATCACATCATCGTCGACGTGCGCCTCCTTGACGCGCCACACAGTTGCATCCATCATCATGGCAAATGACTTGGGAATGTCCCATTTACGAGCTCGAAGGAATCGGAGGAGCATCGAATCTGGATGGTCATGCTTGAGTGTATCAAGCACCCCCTGGCGCAGCTCTGCGGGCGTGATCGCTGAGAGGGCTTTTTGGATGGCCTTGGATTCAGAGTTCTGGATGCCAAACTCCTTCAGAGTCGCCAGGACCCGTTGCTGGTATGCGGTCTGGGCAGCCGGGCTCTGCTTCTCCGAGAGGTTGCTTTGGGTGCGACTGAGCAGCGAGAGCCGCCGCTGCGGAGGCTCAGTCGGGCTGGCGGTGCCCTCTGCGCCGGCGGCGGGGGCATTGTCGCCCGTGGTGGACTCGGCGGCCGTGAGTACAACCCTCCAGAGCTGCTGCAGCTTTGTTTCTTGGTCCTGCGACAAATTGCCCAGGAATCCTGGGCGTGGTCCGTCGGCAGCCATTGTGGAATTTTGAGAGTCGAAGAGAATGAAAGTATGTGTGGGGAAGACAGTCCTGCAGACAATTCAGAGGGGCGACGGCCAGCGTCGTTTGGCGCGCTGTTGCTATATAAGTGCCCCTGGTGATCGCCGTGACCAGCACATGAAATTCCCCCCACGACGCCCCGGACTTTCTGCCTCGGTCGAGGAAAAATGTTGGGGAACTGGGCCCAAGCGCGTCTGGGGCTATTGCAGCGAAGATCAATTACAATTATTGAGGGATGTCTACTGGTCCTCCCCGGATTCCACTCCGCTCAAGAACCTCGGTCGCGTGGGTTTCCCTCTCCAAAGAATCATACATGTGGACTTCGCGCTCCACCCTGCCCACCCTATCACGTCATTTGGTGGGATGTTCCCAAAAGTCCGAATCATGGTCCCGCGATAGTCAACTGGTTCATTCAATCATCCTTTAACCGGTAACTAACTCATCCTGCGCTCGGTCCCTCTCGTCGGTCACCGCAAAGCCGCATGTCGGGCAGATCCTCTCTGTGGCCCATGACGTGCGCTGTCATCAGTGCCCATGCCGAGGGCAGATGAATGGGGCCCGGTGCCGCCACGGACGTAGACCGATGGGACTCGGACCACGCCGATCGTCATTGCCTCTCGCCCCCGACCAGGGGATGTAGATAACGGTTGACCGCTCAGTTGGTTCAACCCTAAGCCACAGCGCATTCGCTTGAGACTCGTCGACTAGTGCTCCGGGACCTACCGGGACACGAGATGCACCTCAGGGGTACAGAACCGAGTTCGATGTGGTGGAGCCCGAGGCCCCACCGGTGCCCATTTTTGCGGGCAAAATCACAAGCAGCTCGGTCAATGGTCCTCATGGTAGATGTGAAGACAAGAAACAAGTATCTTCTCCTCCAATCCCGGGCAGCCACTCAACCATATCACGCACATGCAGCACATCTAGCCCCCCTAAAAGGCCTGAAACCAAATCGAGAAATCCAACTTGGCTAGCCCAACGATTGCGCCACTGGGCCACCCAGATTGACTTCGTAACTGCAGCAGTTCGGTGAGCTGGAAAGATAATGAAGATATCACCACCTCAAAGTAGACAATTGCAACCATCGAACTGACTTTGATTCTATCCGTGATCGCACTGGACCAACCAGGCTTTGACGGCTAATATGGCTAGCTCCATTTCGACAGTTCAAGTTCAAGCTCACCATGAATAACGATGGGTCTACTAGTGGGTCTCTTGCGCTACTTAGTGTCAGTCTTTCTCGGCTATAGTGACTGTGTTGACATGAGCGTCTGATAAGACAATATAATGGAAGTTTTCAAACGCTATCGGTCTTATAATCCGGATCTTCAGGCAGGTCTACCCCCCAGAATTTTTGCATGCGCTCCCGAAACAACTCATAACACGCCCCCATTCGCAAAATCTTCATCTGACCGAAATCCATATTGATCGACGCCCTTCCGCCATATATATGATAGCGCTGAAGACCGTAGTCTACAATCAAATCCACCGACTCCTTGATCTCCTCTTCAATATCCTCGACGCGAAACTTTTGTCCGCTACCAGTCATGTTGGCGCTAGAGCCCACCATGAGCCGGCCTGCGTTATAGTTGAGCCGGCAGACTTCTCTCAGAAGCGATCCACCACCAACAAACATAGCAATGGTGCCGTTTTTCGTAACCTTGGCAAGGGTCTCTGGCGATAGCATCTGTAGCAGATGATGTCGTTCTTGATATGGCGCAACGATTCCCAGCCCCATGTCCAGCTCTTGGATTAGCACTCGTGTCATTTCGAAGCGCCGCTCATCTAGCATGTGAAGTTCGCGATGCAATTCGTAGGACCCGATTAAACCCTGTGCATGTCCTGGTTTACGTCGCTTTGCAGCAAATGCTCTCTCGATGGCTTCCGGAGAAGATGCCATCAATCCGTAGCCCACTTCAGTGGGTATAATAACGACCCCGCCCGACTGGAGAACCTGGAAAATACGCAACGCGTCCCTTTGGACGTTTGGGAGATCTCCAGGGATGGGAATTGTTTTGGCTTCGAGCTTTTCCATGCTAGTCATTAATTTGAGCTAATTCAAAACTCTGCGTATAAAATTGAGGTCCCAGGTCGCGTCCGTGCAGGCTGGAAGAAGAAAAGTTTTGCTTGGTGTTTGGGGTGGACTCCGGAGCCTACGCGAGACATCGCCCCCAAATTTATAACCAGCAAGTGATTGGGCAACAACCTCTCGGGTTCGTGAATTGGTTATCTTTCCTTGTCTGGAGTTGTAACTATGGATAGCAAGCACTAAGACCGAGGACAAAGCTGCTTGTAATAGACTGATTATAATAGAGGATATCAAATCACAGCACAGGTTTCTCAATTGAATTAGAAAGAAATCGAGAACCATTTCCTTATCCCTGCGAGCTTTTCCTCTTTTGTTTGAAATGAATCCACCACTCTTGTTCTCCCACCCATATTCACCTTCACGACATTGTCCACCATCATCAATTTTCCGACCACATAAATCTCATCATCTGCATTCGCATTCTCTGCAGAGGAGCTGTCGCCAAAAGGAACCTCATCGATCTCTTTGTTTCGTATGAATTTCACAACCACGTTACCTTTCTCTATAGCCTCCCAGCTCGTAAACCGATTGATAACTTCGAAGTCATCTAGGAAGAATTCTAGTTCTGCAAAACAGTAGAACGCGTTCCATGGTTTATCATGTGCATTTCGATACTGATAAATCCACACCTTCTGCTCTGCTCGAGATTGCTTGGAGATGTTGTCATGGACAAGGCGAACCTCTTGGTTGCCCAGGTTCCTAGTGATTTGTCCGGATACTAGTGGTAGCGGACTGACTGGGCCGTCTCCACCAAAAGCAGCATCGACGTGGTATTCCGAGCCAGAAGGAAGACGAACAATGTTGACAATGTGTGTCCTGTGATTGATTATGATCAACCCAAAAAGAACTCATAAGGGAGAACATTCATCCTACCATCCTCTGTACTCTCCTTGGGGTATGCCATCAATACGTTGCCTGTTTCGAACACCAGTCATATAGACATCGAACCCTAGGCCTCGCAGCACGTGGTTGAAAAATATGCTGACTTCAAGGCAGTAGCCTCCTCTTTTCGTTGGACTTGCATTCTCTAGTCCCATCACTTTTTCAAAAATCGAAGTCGGGTTGATGTCCACTATTTGCGTCCCGGAATAATGTAGTGTGAGATTTTCATACGGAAAACGAGTGATCTGGCACCGGAAAAGCGTTTTCAAGGCAGCAGCTGTCTTTGGAAAAGACTGTGGATTTTGCTGGTAAGCGTCATACTGTGATGGCAGGGACAGATATTCCAAGTATCTCGACAATTGTGACGATGTGTACACAGAACACATCTCGAAACCACTCGAAAGGAGCGATATTCCGACCAGGTACCAAAGGACTTTATGGTTATTTATGTTAGTTAGTTTTCGATCACAAGAATTGCATTTCTTCAGTTGCTCCTGAGATGACTCATCCTGTTGGTCGCAGTGATAGGGCGGGGCAACTTGCCATGATTAGTGTACATGAACCCATCAGCTCACACATACCAGACAGACAGTCAACGCCGGTAAAATGATCAAGAAGGCAACACGCTCTAGTGTCCCCTGACCTTCTGGAGGTAAAACACGTTTCCATCTTCCGGCGTTGCAATATGTTGGGCATCTTCGCCCCATCCTGAAACCTGAACCCAAACCCCGTCATCTGGGTTGTCGAGCGTTTCAACACCCTTTGCCTCATTGTCGTTATCCAATGCTTGTCTTGTCTTCTTCCAAACATCCCAACCACCTGGACATCTGCTATTCTTCCAATCTGAGGGTGATTTCCCACATGTTACGACTAGCTTGTCATTGAGGGGTAGCGTTCTGACATCAATGTCCAACTGTTTGAGCCAAACATGATGGACATGCTCAAAGAGCCGAGAGAGGTACTTTTCAGCGTAAACCTTGTCCGCCTCGGCGTTCAGCTCCTCTGACGGATACCCAGTAATCATCAGGAGTTGGGTTGGGTCATTGACATCTTGATACAATGCATGCATCTGTTGTGAGACAGGGTCCGGATTTGTATAGGATGAGCATAATTCAAGGATCTCGGAGAGGACTTGAGTAAAATCAGGCGTATTTGTACTTTTACCATCCTTCAGAGTGCTGTGCCAGAATTTCGTGATGGGAGGCATACTTGCACAAGAGCAAGGTAGGGCCTTTTGAGATATTTTGTCTGTTCGGGGTGGAATAGTGAGCAAATATATTCTTAAGGAAACCCAAGCCTATTTAAATCATGAGCGCTAGTGACCTACGTCAGCCTGCAAGGATAAACTTCCACGTAATATGTGGGGTCCACATGATGGCCAGCGAGCGTTGCCCGCTCCCAGCCATCACCACGTACATACTGTATGTAACTATGCGCCCAACCTGCTTGATATACCAACAAACAATGTATAGACCATATCTTGCTATGATGTGTAGCTCGATACAGTATAGTTACCTAGGATTTAGAATTAGAACCATCAAAATTTAGATCCTAAGGAAGGTTTACTTGCTCCTCCGAGAGCCCGAACCGGTTGAAGAGACAAAAATATTCCCAGATCATTCTTGTAACGTTTATGAATAATTCTCATGATGTGATACACCCGATGTTTGGAGTCCAGAATACCTCTACGACGGGCGTTCCGCTGGCTGGTCTGCTGGATACCTTGTATACACGGTAAAACGGATTTATCAGCATTGACACCGGTAGAAAACTTACCCACTCATATCAAGCTAATGCTCTAGCTATCCTTATTAGAGTTAATCCCTACATACCAAATTATATGTTTTATGCGGAGTAAAGACTAAACAAGACCGGGAGAGAGAAAGCATGTTTGACATCAAGTACCCCCAATCTGGAAAGAGAGCCAACTCGCAAATAAGAAAAGCCGGTTTAGAGAATGACCAACTGGAATGATTTAAGACATATTGATACAATTCTAGAGAATTCAGGAAATTGGGAATTGTAGTGATTATAGGGTATGTTATTTTCCATCATGCTTGAATATTTAGAGTCTATCAATCTAGTAAAGCTTTTTGAGGAATAAAAGGAACTTATTATAATCTTTCGCGAACTGGCAGCTCTTGATGCGTTACTTTTCCAACGCTTCAAGGCTAATTTGTTGTATGGCCTTGCTGTAGCGAGATGGATAGTTGTACTAACTGTCCTAAGCAGCGGTTTCGAGCCAGATCATTGACCCTCGGCCTATTTTGAAAAGGATAACTGATTGCGATGAAACTGCAGCAGAGTTTGCTCTTGAGCTCGGAAAATAAATGGTGACTAACTCTTCGGCAGTGAAGCGGTCCTCTCGGCTAACTTCCCCGATGATGAAATTAGCTCAGAGATGGCGACATTGTTAGCGTATCTCGCTTCTATCTCAGGCTTTCCAACCGCAAGCAAACGCCCATTCCAGCTTTAAATGCGGGATTTATTCAGATTAATCTTCCGTCAAAAGGAGCGCTAGGCTCATCAATCGGCCATTCAAAATATGGCTAAATGCAATATAGGCGAGCACGTCATCTACGCTATACTTGACAATTGGAAAAGAGTATATCACTATTCTATGAGAGGAGGATACATGATAAATAGCTGGATTCGCCTAACAATAATGAAGTACATTTGTGACAATTCTCATTCTTCCTCTCGACATGCGTCTTTTGATTTGCGCCCTAGCCATTGGATGGCTTAATATGCCATCCTTGTCTCAAGCTCGAACTATCAGCACAAGAAAAAGCGAATCTAATCTTTGCGCTGTGAATGGACGGCAGATCGTCCACAATGAGAGCAGTATCTGGCCTTGGCAGACTTATCGGTCATCCAACATCACGCCGCCGTACCTCCAGATCAATCGCAGCAGTGAAGAACTAGCACCTGGCCTGCTCTTCATTGGCCAGGAGAATGATGGTACTCAGGCTGGTGTCAAGCAGGTAGCTCCCTTCATACTGACCGACGAGAGTGAGCTAGTGTGGGGTGGCCCGGACGGCGACTCGTCCAACTTCCGGCAGCAATTTTGGGGGGGGAAAATCTGTTATCACTTTCTGGGTTGGCACAGGGAAAGCTGCATATGGCGCCGATGCTGGCCGGGGCTGGGGCGAGGTGCAGATTTACGATGAGAGCTATCGCCAGATCAAATCGGTATGCTTGCAGCTTAATTTGACATTGCCGGAAGGAACAACAACCAACTGTGATGCCGACGTCCACGAGTCATTTATTACGGACGATAACACTATTCTATTGACAGCATATAATGTCAGTCGAGCCGATTTGTCCTCGTTGGGAGGCCCAAGCGACGGATGGGTATACGACTCGATTGCAGTCGAGGTTGACTTGGAAACAAATGAAACGGTATTCATCTGGAGCCCCCTGGCGCATCTCTCTGTGAATGCGACGCGTGTGCCGTATACCGGCTCCAACTCGACTTCGCCCTTTGATTGGTTTCATATGAACTCAATCCAGAAGTACGGAGATTACTATCTCATTAATTCGCGACATCTGTGGCGAACATATCTGGTGAATCGTAAGGGGGACATTATATGGTATATCGATGGCCATAATGGCGGGGACTTTGGGAGTCTGCCTGAAAACGGCCAATTCGTAAGGCATCTAAAATCCTCTTGCCTTGGTATCTTCTTTCTCACCCTTTCACAGTCATGGCAACATATGGCACGGATCCACAATATTTCTTCCACCCAGGCCTTACTGAGCTACTTTGCCAATGATCTTGACACAGCTAATGGCACTGTCCCCTCCAAAGGCCTGACCTTACGCTTGACACTCCCACCGAGTCCTGTCAACCCGCCCGAGGTCATCACAGACTTTTGGGATAGCGAAAACCCAGTCTCGTCGGCTGCTGAGGGGGCGTTCTTTCCGCTTGCGAACGGAAACACCATCATGGGATACGGCGACCAGCCTTATATCAAAGAATACGGACCTTCAGGAAAACTGCTTTGGTCAGCGCAGTTTGCTGATTACAATCTCGGGCAGAGCTACCGGGCATACAAGCAGGATTGGCATGCAACGCCAAGCACCCGGCCCAGTTTGGTGGTTACAAGTATCTCTGCGGAAGATGACCTCAGTGATTGTGCTGGTCCATCGTCTAAGCTGCGTGGGTATGTGAGTTGGAATGGGGCGACCGATGTCACTCTGTACGAAGTATATGCAGGGGCAGACAGCAAGAGCCTTCAATCTCTAGGGAAAGTTGAAAAGAAAGGGTTTGAGACGAAGTTCTCGTTGCCTGTCGGATCACATGTGGTTCAGGTGGCTGCGGTTAAAAATGGTGAGGCGAAAAGGTCAGAGGTCTTTTATGTATGAGGCGATTTCTATATAACTTACAAGGAATGAGCGGGGAAAAGACTAGTTTCTTAAAAAGAAATGTTCTATTGTCTTGAAAAGGCATGGCCAGTGTTTCTCTTGACAATAACTAAAACAAGCTCTCCTTGATTTGAGTGAGATTTCGGTCCAGATCTAATGACGTAGTAGAATCATGAGAATCATAGGCAGCCAGCCACCAATTTAGGTAATATTACACGATCCTATGCATGTAATATGCATCATGCAGTCGAGCTATGCAGTAATTCACTATTTAGTGGGATCTGCGCTCGCTTAGAACAACAAGGAACTACATATTATGTATTTAGTTCAGATCTCTGTAATCCTGCGGGGTATTTAGTCTTTCTCGTGACCTCGCTAAAGGTGACATAACGCAGACAAAAGCTTTTGATTTGGTGATTGATCCTACCTTGATCCTGCGGGGTAGTTAGCTCCCGATCCTGCTTTGCTGAAGTATACCTCCGTAAATACAGGGGGTTCACAAAACATTATAAGAGACTAGGGAACACCTACACGAGAACTCCCTTTTAAGTCATATAAGACGTGATGTGGAGAATTCTTTTGTCAGCTATTGCTGCAATTTCTTTCCTCTCTTCCAGGAGCAATGCTAGTATCCTTGTTCCTTCGAAGGATCCCTGGTATATCCAGCCAAATAATATCAGCGAATACGCGCCAGGAGAGGTGATCCGATCTCGCCAAGTATCTCCTCAACTAGAACCGTTCATATCCTTCCCAGTGAATGTTTCCGTCAAGGCAGTCTATCAGTATCTATTCCGGACTACAGACAGCTTGGGTGATGCGGTGGGCTCGGCGGTTACTTTGTTAGAGCCGTACAACTCAGATCCGTCCAAGCTGCTTGGATACCAGGCATTCTATGACTCCGCCTCGGTTGACTGTAGCCCGTCCTATACCCTGCGGGCTAAAAAACAAGATTTGGGCTTTACGGTGACTGGTCTGAATGTCTCTGAAGACATTCCGTTTGTTAGTACCGTGCTAGTCATCTATCAAGTATTCCAGAGGCTAACAGTTCATCAGATTGGCGCGGCCCTCAATCTGGGCTGGTGGGTGTTCACTACAGACTATGAAGGCCTCGAAGCAGAATTTACTGCTGGACTTCAGTCCGGTCATGCCGTCTTAGACTCTGTCCGGGCAGTCCTTAACGAAGGGCCCCAAGTTGGTCTGTCTGAAAACCCGGCCTACGCATTGTGGGGTTATTCAGGTGGCTCCCTGGCCTCTACATGGGCTGCCGAGCTCCAACCAGCATATGCACCTGAACTTAATTTTGCTGGAGTTGCTGTGGGTGGGCTGACCCCGAATATCAGCTCAGTATTGCAGACAATCAACAACGGTTCAGACGCAGGGCTTGCCTTCTCCGGCATTGTTGGACAGTCAAGGGCATACCCAAACCTCACTGAATGGCTCGAGGCCAATCTAGTGCCCTCAAAAACAGCGTTCTTTTACGAGGTCGCTAGTGATTGTCTCTCGGCAGCAAGCTCTGCAGCCTCAGGACAAGACTTATATACTTATTTCAAAGATGGTGAGGCATCTTTCTATCAGGACGTCCCTCAGTCCATCTTCAAGTGGTCAGGACAAATGGGCGTCCATGGGACACCGACCGCACCGATGTTCTTTTACAAGGCGGTTGGTGATGAAATTAGCCCAGTTGCGGACACGGATGCCTTGGTAAAGAAATACTGTGCTGAGGGTGCCACTATTGAATACCATCGAGATCTGGTCGGGAACCATGAGTCAGAGGCTATTTCGGGATCAGCAAGTGCCTTAGAATGGCTCGCTGAGAGGCTGAATGGGGAAGAAGTTGGCAGCGGCTGCAGTACAAAGGATGTGATTCTTTCCTCTTTGGACTTGGGAACGGTGGTGGTGTTAGGCGAGGAGCTATTTACCATTCTGGAAACCATTCTAGGCGGGATGTTATAATGACAATAGGGATCACAATTACCACCCTTTTCACTGCATTATTGAGATAGATGCCAACATACCTAATGTCTTACTCGCGGCTCGGCCTATGAAACCAAATTTGGAGTAGTAGCCAGGTAAACAAATAAGCTGGGTAAACATCATTTTTAATTAACTTTGCGACACGTCTTACGATCTAAAGAGACAACTATTGAAGTAGCTTTCCTCACAATTGATCAATACAAGTCCTTCCCCTATGAGTCTGCCGAATTTTAGCCGAAAGATCATAGCAAGGTTATGGTCCGAAATAGCGATCGCCCTTTATCTAGTGTCGGCCCCTTTTTAGCGTCCGATGTCCGCTTGTCGATCCCTGCTAATGGAAGCATCGGAGTACCGGCGGTGATGGATAATCATTTATTATCGAGTAACGTTAACTGTTAATTATTGAGTTGATTATTAAAACTTGGCTTTGTTTGCGCCAACAGCGTCAAAACAATAATTCTTCATTAAATAGTTAAAACCACATACACATTACGGGAGAGTCGATTACAGCTGCCTATTATGGCAGTGGCTAGTCGAAGTTCCTCTATTTCCACTACTAGCGGCTGCTGCTTGGGCACCTCACCGATCGTCTGTCAGAAAATAGAGTAAACGGGTTACGAACCGGCGATTTGGATAACATCTCGTACCTGACAGCACAGGTGAAGCCTAACTAGTATAATGGAGCTATAGAATACATGCAGCCCTTTTCTGGTGCTAGGTATAAAGCGGAAGTGAGTTTTCGAAAGGTAGCTGAAGAGGCGTACTAGGAATAGCATTCCCCTAGTTGATTTCCCTAATGTTATTCGCATTTAAAGCTTGAGATTACTGTATATAACAGAGCTTTCTTACTCGACCTACCGTTGGAATGATGTGTACTGTCTTAATTCAAAATAGGGCAATATCAAGTTCGATTGACGAAATATAAAGGATGCAGGGCGATTTTTAATACAACTTGAGTAGGATAAACGATGCACTTCTGCCAACATCTCTCAATCTAAATTTCTTTATTTCAGTAAGCTCTCTCCTTGGTTCCCATCGCGCAGAATCGAACTTGCTTTCCAAGCATCACTAAAAGGATAGCTTGTATAACCGTCTGGGCTTTTCACTTTATAAAAAGTTTCACGCTGGTATTTCGTCAAGGAGATGTTGTTGGCCAGTCTAAATGGTAGGTCTGGGTTGGAGATAAAGTATCTCCCGAATGCGAACGCAACAGATTCATCTCGTAAGCATGTATCCAAAGATTCGCTCGCCTTCTTGAAAGAATAGCCTCCAGCTAAGATGATCGGGCTAGACTTTGCCCAAGTTTCGAGTGCGAAATCGAGACTTTCGTGCTCACTCGCTTCTTTGTCTGCATTTCCAGATACTCTCGGCTCAATAAGGTGCAGATAAGCGAGATTGAAATCCTTGAGCCGGCTTATAAGGTCCGAGAATTGCGGAATTGGGTTTTTCATACGCATGCCTTGAAATTCGCTAAATGGCGAGAGACGTACTGCGGTTCGGTGTGCTCCAATTGCATCAACGACGGCTTTCACAATTTCGATACAGAAACGCGAACGATTTTCAATGCTGCCTCCCCACTTATCAGTCCGCTGATTGCAAGTATCTTGGATAAATTGATCAATCAAGTATCCGTTTGCAGCATGGACTTCAACTCCATCAAAGCCAGCTTCTATGGCATTTCTTGCCGCTTGGGCAAACGAGAAAATGCATTCCCAGATTTCCTCTGTCGTCATTGGCCGAGGAGTAGGATGTTCGTTACTGATGGGGATGTTGCTGCTGCTGACCATCTGCAATCCTGCCTTGTCCAGAGCTTGTTGTCGGGCCGCTCGTCCTACATGCCACAGCTGCATGAAGATGAACGAATCGTTCCTGTGCACCTCTTCTGTGACACGGCTCCATTGTCGAATTTGGGACTCAGTGTAGATTCCAGGGGCATTTTCGTCCCTTCCACGTGAGTTGATAGAAATAAAATTGGCTTCAGTGATAAGAAGTGTGCCTGGAACTCGTGATCGTTGAGCGTAGTAATCCACCATCATCTCTCCAGGGCTGTGGTCATCGTTCGCTCTTAGCCGAGTCATTGGCGCCATCACGACACGATGTTTCAATGCACATGGACCAATTTGTACAGCATCCATTAAACTTGGCATTTTTGTCGCGGATCGAAGGGCTTTTCGGTTGCCTATTTTCGGTTGTCTATCAAGGACCACGATTTTGTGGGTCATTCAAATAGAACTCACGGATAAACCTTCTGTGAAGCCTATACTGTTGGACCACCTCTAACGTGTCTTTAGTTCTCACAGACTCGACTTCTGTAAGCAGGAATGGTCAGATATTTGTATATGCGCAGGGTGATCTGTGCAAAATGTGACTCCCGAGAACGTATGGAGAAGAAATGACTGTGGAGGTGTAGGAGAAGGGTGAAAGAGCTTCCGATCGGAGGCTCAGTTTCCGTCTGTCATTACCGGGTTCACACTCTTATCATAGTGGCACATATACCAAGTGCTTTTTTTCTTAATCCAGTGGACTTTGAAGGGTAAAGCTTTCTATATACTGGTAATGGATCCAATATGGCCTATGATTTGAGCGATGCCGTTCTCCAGGGTATTGTTATTCTTGGCACTGAGCACCATATTTGCACCTCTAAACTCAGTTTCATTTAAGACAGTCACCCCAGACTCCTAAGATCTAAACCCACATCGCTAATATTTTGGATCATGACCTAACTCGGGTCGGTGAAACCCAAGAACGACTGCGAAGTAAGCGGAGGATCAGTCTCCGAACACCGCGACCCCGCATTCCCCGCTCTCCTTCAGATACATGCATAAATGCTGTGAGAACAGCAATAATTGATAGGTGGTTCTTCAAAGAGGGATGTCAGGGGGAGAATAGCAAAGTGTCCATCTTTGTTGTAATCTGATAAGGGCCGTGTAAATACGTAGTTCGGGATCCCTCACTACATAATGATTGAACCAATAAAATGTGTGTGAACTGGTGGGTTGTCTCACATTTGACTTTTGAATCCCCGACTTTCAAGCCACAGTTTTTGAATTCTGGCACAGCTGAAAGAAACTTATAGAGAACGGCTCCTGCCCTCAGAACCGGGTGCCTAACCGCTCCCTTTATTTGGCATTACTGCCAAAGCAATCATCCTTCCCGTTTTGTTTCCAAATCACCATTCACGATGCATTTACCAAGTGTAAGTTTAAAATAAATACAAAGCGGCTACAACAGCGGTTGATCAGGTAGGAACAGTGCCTTCTCGCAATATCGCTAGTCGCTATGGCGAGCCCAACGATGTCGTCTACTTTCAAATCTTTTGAATTTGAATATTACAAACCAGATGCCTGTAACTCTGATAGTTTATCTGCTGTTATTATAAGCAAAAGGCATCATTGTTACGACTTGGGCTCCCCTGCGAAATCATTTCATATTAGTGGACCAAGTTCAACGGAACAAATCCATAAGGGCTGTACTGTTTATGGTTATGCTGATGCTGGATGTCGAGGTAGTATCAATGTTGAAATACCGGGTCCAAGTAAGGCCGACAAGTGTTACACTGTGGGATCTAACATGGGTGCTCGAAACCCGGCTCGGAGTGTGATTTTGAGATGCTAGATGGCCGCGGGAGATGGTAGTCAGATGTATCTATTCCAGCTATAAACGTGTCAGGGTCATAGGCACGTTCTACCCTATCAATAGATGTCAACACAGAGCCCATGTGGTTCTTCCTCCAATACCCGGCCTACGCTAGCCTTTAAGTGACTAGTTAAAATGTTGGCCCTCCCTAGATTTAATTATGACTCTCCAGTGTATGTCCGTCAGAGAACTAAGACTTGACAAGAATTAGCATGAGTGAGTCAGAAATATAAGCAAATATCCGCATAAGTTTATGACCTGAATTCATAGCGCGTACGCAATGCAGATTCTCATTATGCAATTGGTCTACAATGACATGGGTATTCCCGTACTGAAGGCGGCGATCACGTGGCGTCAATTTTTGCTCAGTCGCTCATCATTCTTATTCTCCTGCCATTTTCACAATTGACGGGAACTCACCCTCTCATGTTGTTCACGTCGGCCGCTAGTATGAGCCCTTCGAATAAAAGCGAGGCAAAACACGAATGATTCTTACACAGTTCCGAAGATCAGGTTTTTTTTTTTTCTTTCTTTTTGACCGGCCGACTTTTCCACTCCAACCACGCTCAGCCAATAGAAAGCGTTGCAGTCTTATTGAAAATGCAACGTCTTCCCCCAAACAGGAGACGAAACAAAGTACCGCCAGAGCAAAGGAAAAGGGTCTCCAAAGCGTATGAAACCAATCATCAAGACCTTATTTCGATTCTTGTCTAATCTCTTTGACATAGATGCAATAACTGCAACGTCCGGCGCATCAAATGTACAGGTGATAACCCGTGCAAGGGATGCCAATCGACACGACGACTATGTGTTTATCCGTCCGCTTCGGAAGAGAAGATCACAATATCCCGGGCAACTTATCAAGACCTTCAGGCCAACGAAAGCTTTCTGCAAGCATGCCTCAGAATCGCGGTGCCATCCGCCGAGGAGCGCATGGGGCTCATGAAACGTGTCCGTGAGACTCACCAGCGCGAGACAGACCAGACGGGTAGCTGTGAGCCAGAGGCACAATCTAAGTTGCCAAATCTACAGGAAATGGTTGACGGGGGTCGCTTTTTGGCTGATCCAGATGGCCAACGACGATTCATCGGGAACGCCTCGGGTGCTGCATTCCTGGACCAACTTCGAGAGTTTGCAAGCACTGTTCTCCCACTTGTCTGCAGAGGGGATAACAGCCTACGCCCGTCGCAAATTCAAGATTCATTTTCTAATCTCCTTGGCCGATATCAGACTCATGACTCTCGACCTTTGCAACTTCCATTGGTGGACCCCTACTACCTTCCCCCAATCGAAGAGGCAGAGAGACTTCTATCCACTTTGTCCGTTCCCACGGAGGGAGCGAGTAATGCAAGCTTCTTTTACTGGGGCCCATTACCTGATATCATGAGACAGGTCTATTCTGGGAATACGTTGAACGATGTCTATACCCATTCCATCCAACTCGCGACACTCAACGCCGCCATGGCCCTTGCCACCCAGCAGTCATCAACTTGGCTATCAGAACTGCAGACTGGAGAGGCTTACTTTGCGCGTGCCTATATTTTGCTAGGGAGACCACTAGACACTGCAACCCGAACTCATGTCCCTTGTCTCTCTATGATAGGATATTATCTCTTAGGCGCGAACAGACGGGACGCGGCTTACTCTTATATCCGGCTCGCTGGTCACATCGCCGTCACTTATGGCTACTACCAGAGCTGGATGACGACTGAGGCAGAGAAACGAGAGTTTTGGACAGTCTACGTGCTGGAAAGGTGATTATTCAAGATCATCCGTCAACATGTGCTAAGTAAATTTTACCTAGATTCGTGAGCTGTTTATTAGGGCGCCCACCAATGATTTTGGATGGAAATATCAGTGTCGATTTACCAAGCGATACCCCGTGTGTTATAATCCTCAGGGAAACAGTTTCTGCACCATGCTAACCAAGAACAGAGACTTACCTAATCCAGAGGGGCTGAGGCTCCATGTGAAGCTTGCTCAAATTATCGAGTGTGCAGTTGAGAAGATCTACGGATATGGTGGTCGCGGATCGAAGAACCCTGGATTAGCGCATATATACCATTTTCTGGACGAGTTGGGTAACTGGCGCTCCGAAGTCCCTCCTGCTTTCGATATAGATGGCTACTTGCTGTCAGAAGCGGCTCGAGATATCCTGTCTCTACATATGGCATACAACCAGGTATTTGCTTTGAAGAGACCCGGATCGCACGCTGTGTATTTCTTACTGACCGTCATCATCTTTCCTCTATGCAGGCAAGGATTCTTGTCACACGCCAGATCCTTTTTTCGGCGGTTCGGCAAAATGTGGCTAGAAGTTTCGTCCCCAGTTTGGGTAAAGTCCACTCCCCGGACCAACACCTTGTCAGAATTTGCAGAGCTGCGGCCTACGAAAATGTGCAGCTGCTTCATCATCTTTTTGAGACTGTTAACAGCGGAGACTCAACGTTTGGAATCATTGATTATCACAACGCCTTCAATGCTGGGATTATTCTTGAGCTTGACCATCTACACAGAACTGCAAACTCATCATATGGTAATACGGAACAATTCAGCTGTGTTCTGAACGTTCTTCAGGGTGCGGGACAGAATGGGAATGAATTCGCCCGAGACTGCTCCATCGTGCTAGCGGACCTCCACCAGCTAGGTGGAAAGCTGATACAGGAGATGTCACGCCAAAACCAAACGACCACTTTGCCATTGAAAAGCCAGACTGACCAAGAATCTGGTAACCTCCCTCCTCGTGCATTTGACGTACCCGATGCGCCGCTCGCGAGCCCGACACCGATAGACTCGTACCCAGAATTCAACCTGGAAAGTTTACTTGAAGAATTCACGAACTGGTTAGAAGCGGGCCCATTTTGATCATATTGTTGATGTAAATTAACATGTCCTGTATCAACCGGATATACTGTCATATAGCAATAATAATAAAAATACCAAATTATGGTAAAACATTGCCTGCGCGATCCTGAAGCAGAGCTGATCCGATCATGCACCCCGGCCAGCTGAACCAAGCTTTGCTTGTACATTCGCCCGTTTGTTTGTCAACTGCTTCCGAAAACAGACCATCAAAGAAACAAGTGCTCTTAATTCTTCTCCATGCCTCGGCCCGTGCGTCGGCATCGTCCTGCATCTCCGCAAAAACAAGCTCTTGGAAGTATCCCAGAGGCCAAGGCCCCCGAGTATGAACGCTGCCAAGTCCGCCGAAAGGTCCGCCACCATAGAAACCACCCTCGTTTGCTGAAGATAAAGCAAAATACAGGGTCTGGGCCCAGGCATCTTCTAGTTCGTGAGAAACACAAAATCCCCACTCTTTCGCAAATAATGTAGGAATATCGTTTGCATCGTGATAAAATGTGTGATTACCACGTCCATCAGTAAGATACGCGAACATCGTCGTTTCGGTCGCGGGATTTAAAGCAACAAAATTCTTCACTGTGGTGGTATAAGCCTCATTGGCAAGGTTGTCGAGTCGGGACGCTTGAAGCCGGTCGGTGTCTCCCAGATTCTTTAATAGCTTGGCCAAACGGCTGAAAGTGAGCCAAACTAGAACATGACTGGAGAAGTGATATGGAAACTCGACAGGGTCGTCTCCAGGCGTCTCGTCTGTTGGAAATAGCCCGGACTGTGGGTCTCGTCTCTCAGATAGGACTTCGACGATATCAGAAATAGTTGACTCTTGAAGCACCTCTCGCGCGAAGTCTTCCAAACCGGGAATAAAATCCAAAGCATCACATAGCTCTATCAGCGGGTAGCATTGTTGGTCAAGCTGAAAGATTGGGCCGTCTTTGGGTACGCCCATTGCTAGGTACGAGCGGTGCCAAAAGCGCTGTGGGCGTTGAGCATCACGGAATACCCAGTTCAAATGACCTTTCACGCTTCTGGAGATCTTTTCTTGGTACTCTTCGGCAGTCAAGGGATCTACGATGAGCCCTATATGTCGAAAGGCATCCATAAGGAAGCGTACTTGCCAGCTGATATATGTTAGTTTTGTCAAGTTACGCGATCGCAAGGAGGGGAGGTTTGTACTAATTATCCCTGTTCCATCCCAGTGGAAGAGCCACATGATCTGTGATGACACAAGTGCTGGTCTCGGATATCGGGATCATACAGTTACCTAACACGTATTCTAAATTGCCGTGGATGATACTTAGTGCCGCAGGGTCCTGCAGCTTCCAAGTAGGTGTGTGAATCGTATTCTTCCCAGTTTGCATAGTCTCGGGCGGATTGAAGGAATTATCAGCCCGGAGAAGAAATGACAGTGTCAGCGTGACTGGAACGCCGGGCAAAACTTTGATGCATGTTGTCGCCTTGGCCTCGATAGATCCGCGACGGAAAACTTGATTTGAGTCATCAAAATCCATGTCCAGGAATTCCTTACAGTCAGTGCTGAAGTGTCCTTCGACCGTTGCGCCTAAATTCGGGTTACGTGCCGTGAACCTGCTCCCATCCTTCGCTATTTGGAATAGATTGAGTGATTCTGGGATTGGGATCGGTCCTCCCTCTGTCAGTTGACCATAAGACGCACGATTGAGGCTCATTCCCAGACCAAAATGAACTGGAACGGTGACGGGTTTGGCGGCCGTAGTCGAGAGTACCGTAGTTTGGGTGACTGTCCCATCAGCCGCTCGTGCAATAGTCCTCCGAACGCGGATTCCCTCTCGTGTATCGTAAAACAGCTCAAGTCCTCGCCGACTTTTTGTGGTTACTGTCGCATTCTCGGATTTTCCGAGAATTTGCAATCCAAATCCAGGTTTGTTTTCTTTGACGTAGTTCAAGATTCTGGTCCGGTATGATCGCACATAGGTTGTATCGTAGAAGCGGTCACCGTCAAACTGCTCGAGAGCGGAGAGTAGGACAACGCCGTGACCCGAATGATAGACACCCAATTGCAGGAACTACGTCCTCGGTTGAAACGTTAGATGACCATACGGATACTAACATTCTGAGGGATTCTCACCGTCCCAAGTTGATCCAGCGACATCATGGTGCCGTTTAGGCCCCAGTCAATCGTTTTAAGCCTCTCATCCGATCGAATCGGTGTGGTAGGCGTCAGGTTGGCCATTTTTGCGTTTTGCTTGAGTGGTCGGCAGCTAGGGGCTCAGTCCAACAGGCTCCGACCGCGACACCTTCAGCAATTCATCAAAGATATATGAACAGGGTATCAGATATTTATCTCTTAGGAAGAGAATTGGGGTCAGCCAGGTCTTTCCCAGCACCTTTTGGCCGATCTATTGGACAATATGGTCAATGACCGGTTGCCCCACTGTGTTCCCTTCTCGCCTAAATGGTTTAAGCCCCTGTATGGCTGGGTGCGGTACCCAGGGGCTCACTCCGGGTGCTGTTCTCTTCCTTCTCTACCCACCTAGGGAATAATCTTTCCCGCTGATCTTGTGTACGGTGACTTGCCCCACCCGTTTCGCTGGTGGAGCTTCGACGGGGCCGAATGATTGCTCAACGATTTACTGGGTCTTTTCTCTCTATGGCTGGGTACAGTACCCAGGTGGGCCCCGGATTTTTGCTGCAGGGTACCGTACCCGAGACTCCTTATGCCCGAAAAATCTGGGGAAGACGCACTTGAGATTGTCAATGCCGGCGATGAGGCCGAATGCGAGAGCCCTGCGCCTTTTTTGACCCAGGTACAACCGCGGGAGAGTTCGGGGAGGGGAAGATATAAAGTGACAAGTCCCAGAAATAACCCGCGCCTTTTCCCCATACTTTACTGGACTTCAGGTGACAGCACTTTCATTTGCGACCAATCATGGATCCATCCACTGGACCGAAATCAACCTCAATCACCCACGATGAAGACATGGGATCCAAAGAAAATAATCAGCTGCCAGCAATGAGGAATGATCTCCCAGAAGGGTACTTTCCCCAGACAGAGGAGGAGAAACAGCTCAGCCGTTCCCTCAATCGAAAGTTGGACATGATTTTACTACCGGCTCTTTCATTTTTGTACATGTTCAATGGACTGGATCGAGGCAATATTGGAAATGCTCAAACACAAGGTAAGGGAATGCATCCAAGCTTCCTAGCACTTTTTACCACACTCTGCTAAGAAGAAATTTCGCCCTAGGATTTGCACATGATATTGGAACAACAGACAACGATGTTAACAATGCTGTATCTTTATTTTACGTTACATTCGTGATTTTCCAGCCCATCTCTTCCGCCTGTGGGAGGCTCGTTGGGCCTACTTACTGGATGCCTTTCCTCATGGTCAGTTCAACACTATTCCCATTTTCTATTGAAACTATCACTGATTTCACTCGTTCTTAGTCCACATGGGGAGTTTTGACATTGTCTAATGCTTTTATTCATGGTCGAAGTAAGAGATAAAATGGTGATGCGTACGAGGACGCTGTTTGCTGATCGACCAATAGGCCAACTCATTGCTCTTCGGCTCCTGATCGGGCTGTTCGAAGCCGGATTTTATCCAACAGTTCTCTTCTACTTGTCAACCTTCTACACAAGGTTCGATCTAGCCACCCGGATTGGCGTCTTCTATGGCCAGTACGCTATTGCCGGTGCTTTCTCCGGTGCTATCGGTATGTCTGAGGAGCTCATATTCCTGTTACTCATCATATTTTCAATTAAGTTAATAAAATCTGACATTCTCTAGCATACGGTATTTTCCAGCTCAACGGCGCTTTGCACGGCTGGCAATATCTTTTCATCATTGAGGGTTCCTTAACCGTCTTTGTGGCGCTATTAGCCTTCCTTCTGCTTCCTAAGGAGCCTGGGTCTGCCTGGTTTCTTAATGCCGCTGAAAGGGAGTATGCTGCACAAAGAATTCGCATCGACAATGAGAGATATGTCATGAAGGAATACGGAGCGACCAACACTGGTGAAGTGTCGCAAAGACTAACAAAGCGGGACATTATCGAAACCGCTAAGGACTGGAAGCTTTGGTCGGTGTTGATCTGCAATATTTGTGCCAGCGTGCCCAGCCAGGCATTTGGTGTTTTCCTCCCAGTGGTTGTGCAAGGCATGGGGTACAGCTCTAACCAAGCCAACCTGGTAAGCAACTTCTTCCCCATATCGAATTTGCTTCCCTTTTCCTAGTCTTCATGTTGACCATCTCCCCAGATGTCCGTTCCGCCGTTCGTGTGCGGCGCTGTTGGCTTGTACGTTGTTGCCTTCAGCTCTGACCATTTGTGAGTTCTTTTCTGTCTTGCCGGCCATGCCACACTCCTAACAAGTACTCCAGCAAAGAAAGAGGCTACCACACTATATTTGGACTTATTGTCTGCCTAATTGGCTTGATCATGGTTATCACTATCGAGCAGGATAAGGGCCGTTATGCAGCGCTTTGCATCCTTCTTCTCGGAAGCTATATCACCCCGTCTTTGACTATGGCCTGGCTTAGCGGCAATACTCCTGGTTAGTACAATATTCTTGATCCCTTGACCTTCTTGTTTTCCTTTTTTTTTTTTTTTTTTTTTTCCTAATATATCTCTAGCCCCTGGAAAACGGTCATTGGTAATTGGCGTCAACGGATTCGGAAACCTTGCTGGCGTTATCGGGTCCCAGCTCTTTCGCTCTGAATTTGGCCCGTCATATCTTGTCCCGCTCCACGCGACCCTCGGATTTATAGCCTTTTCCTTGGTCGGGTATACTGCTTATCGCTTCACGCTCCGCGCTGTCAATAAGTACAGAATCCGGAAGATGTCGACATGGTCGGAGGTGGATATTGAGAATGAGCGGGATAACGAACTTCGGCTGGGAGACAAGAAGTATACTTTCATATATAGTCTTTAGAATACAGTGGGCAAGTAGACAAGGCAATTGAAGTAGCTGAATTATTATTTTCCATTCTCAATATAATTGTACTCTCAGTATTTGTATAACTGACTGGTACGTGGTATTCCCGGGCGCTGCTATCTGGTTTCCTCAGATTCCTTCGTAAATTGTCGTGTTTGAAAACCCATACAATGTTAGAATAACGCTTTCCGTTCTCGCTTTCCCACCGAATTACAGAGCCAAGCACCGTTTCCTAAGCTTGGTTCCGAGACGCCCCGTCACCATTACCCAATGGAAGCGACTGTTTTGAGCTTGGGAGCACTAGAAACGTATGAATGTTCGCAGATGCATAAATTTTCGAGGCTCTGGAAAATTATTGAGTCACATTGGATCGGCCAAACGGGATTTGACTTATATCCGATGTACATTGCAGTTACCTAACCTTAGGCAACAGCTTCAGTCACGGTGCAGGGCTGGATGGCTTCCCCGCAGTCCTTCCGCGGTAAAGTCTTCCATACCATTCAGAATCCATGTGAGACAAGTAGGTTAAACCATAGCTGTGTGGAAGCAAAACAAGGATAAGCAACGAAGACCGAGGTTTCACCTGCTAGTCTGGAGCACTGAAAGTCTTGTGATTACCAACCTATGTACTGGTCAGTACATATAGGAGACATCCAAGCCTATTAAACTAATTTCTGAGTATTTTGGAACCGTTTCAAAAAAACTAAAAAAGGGTCGCACAAGATGTCTCTTTCAAAAGAACATTTGGTTTCTCTGATTCCTGTAACGGTTGCTGAAACCTTTGGGGTGATGGTTTCACGTCTAACCACAGAACGGCCTACCACTATATTCCTCTACGCCTTAATTATCAACCTATGTCTAATGTTGATATGGGATATCTTCATATGGCCGTTCTTCTTCAACCCATTGAGACATCTTCCAACAGTACATGTACTGAAACCACTGTCACTTTGCTTTTCTCATAATCCGTGTATCTAACTGATCATTAGGGTCCCCTAGTCGGAGCCTCTGTCTTTTTGCGTCACCCACGCGGTGTGGTTACTCAGCCATGGCTTCGCAACATCCCCAACGAAGGAATAATCCATTTTCGCGAAGCCTTAAACTATAGCTTTCTACTTGTCACAAACCAACAAGCTCTTATGGATGTTCTACACACACACAGTTACGATTTTGTGAAGCCATTGGGTGCACGTCAATTTCTAGCTCGGGGCCTGGGCTATGGTCTCATTTTATCTGAAGGTGATGCTCATCGTACACAACGCAAGGCTCTCACTCCCGCATTTACCATTAAGAATATTCGGGCAATGCACCCTCTCATGTGGGAAAAGACGCTGGTGTTTCTCCAAAAGCTGGATGGTGAAATCAGACGTTATCCCGCTCCGAGGGAAAATGGTGGCGAAGCCGGTTATGTCGAGATGATAGACTGGGCAAGGTACTGCATTACTTACTGCTTATCGTATGAAAGCTGATTGATACTCTACTTCCAGTCGTCTGACCTTGGATATTATTGGGCCCGCTGCCATTGGACGAGACTTCCAGTCTATGGAGAATGAGGATGAACCTGTCTCAAAAAACTTTTCAGCCATTTTAAAACCTTCGGCTGACTTGCTAATTCTTTTTGGAGCATCCCTGCTCTTCCCACAGTGGCTGGTGAGGCTGATCCCTTGCAAGTCTAATCTTGTTCTCCCTGGCAAGGTGGCTCATCTGCGACGTCTGTTTCATACAATCCTGGAGGAAAAGAGGGCTTCTCTGTTAATGAACAAGTCCACCGCGGACGTTGAAGGAGATATTTTAGGCACCATGATGCGGGGCGGGGAATTCAGTGACAGTGAGCTGGTTGACCAGATGCTCACTTTTCTGGCTGCTGGGGTAGGTTGATATCTATAAATCAGAGTTCCCTGATTATCATTATACTAAGAAGGTGAGACATAGCACGAAACGACTGCCGGCGCTCTCACTTGGTGTTGTTACCATCTCAGTTTGCGCCCAGATATCCAAGAAAATCTGCGAAATGAGATATGGGACACTATTGCTGGAAGGGAAGCTCCGGTATCGTGGCAGGATTTGGAGTGCATGCCCTACCTCAACGGCGTTTGTCAGGAAGTGCTTCGGCTTTATCCCACTGTTCCAATGTCAGGGCGAGAAGCTATCCGACAGACTAGTATCGCCGGCCATATAATACCCAAAGGTACTACTATTGCCCTGTGTCCCCAAACCATAAACCGGAGTCCTGGCTTTTGGGGGGAGACAGCCGAACAATTTTTACCCGAGCGCTGGATCGATACCGATCAAACCGGCAAGCAAACGCCCAACAAGCACGGCGGAGCCAGTACGAACTTTGCTCAAATTACGTTCCTTCATGGGCCCAGAGCGTGTATTGGGAAAGATTTTGCCAAAGCTGAATTTCGTTGCGCCGTGGCTGGACTTTTTGGACAGTTTTCAGTGGAGCTGCGCGACCCAGCCGAGAAGATCACGTTCGGAGGGACCCTAACCTCACAACCTATTCAGGGGATGCATCTAAAGTTGACAAAACTTCACAGATGGTAAAACAAGTCAATCCTGTCTTGAATAAGCCTTATAGGTCTAGAAAATGGCCTCTTTATTGAATCTGCTGCTGTGCTATTACGGAGATTTTCGGGAACATAGTTTAAGAAGTGGAAAATGATGTGCACATGACAAAGGGATTTTTTGAAAACATTAAATTACTATATATCATAAGAATAGTAAAGTTCATTCACATGGTCAGAGTCGTTGCACATTGAGTTTCTTTATAGCCGATGAGTAGCTATCGTGCCAAGCTGAGAGTCCAACTATCTCAAATACTATTCTTGAGAACATTCAGATTCTGGATGATGTTTTCGTCATTCTTTCCGGCAATGGCGAGCGCGTTAATGAGCTTGACAAGAATAGGTTCAAGTTCCACACCGAGGGCAATTGGGTTCAGCGTATTGTCAAGCTCGGTGTTGCGATGGCAGCCGCTGGTTGTTTCCCCAGCAAAAGCTGCTTCCACAAACTGAATGGCATCCGGTAGGGCAACGATTTCGGTCGTAGCATGACCTCCGTTGCCATATGTAGTGAAATTAACACTAGCACCGTAGCTACACCACGAGTCCACGAGGGTTGAAGCAGCGGCGTAGGGAATGATCTCGTCTTGAGTGGCATGATAAATGAACACTGGCGCCGTTGGCGTTTGACTTTTATGCAAACCCATGATGTTCTGGTTCAGGATCGAGGCAACTGTGGGCTGTTGGAGAAGACCAGCCCCCAAAGTCTGGATTGAGGTCGATAACAGCGACATCTCAGGAAAGTTCAACAAATCAGGGACAGCGCAGTTTGACTGGGCGAACTCGTACTTGGATTTGCCCAAGGGAGTCAGGATGCTATTGATAAGAGAGCTGAGTTCAGCGCCATATGCACTAGGTTTGGCGAGCCCAGCAACAGCAGCGGGCAAGAAGCCGCTGAAGGCCGTATCGTCAATAAAAAGCATGGTGGCCGTAAGATTCGCTGGTGTGCCACCATGAACCCACCCCTTGATATCTAGGTCAGGAGCGTACGATGGTTGCAGGGAAGCTGCCCAGCCTGTAGCAATGGCACCGCCTGAGTAACCAGTTCCAATAATCATAGGATCGGCACTGAGACCCAGAGTTTTATTGAAGTTGGTCACGGCGCGCATACCATCGAGGACGCCCATGCCCTCTAGGTGACCGGGAGAGAAAGCTGCATCCGGCCCTTCGTAATCTGGAGACGCGACAATATAGCCTAAGAGCAGATAGGCTTCCATGATAAGCATCTCAGCAGACGATATGAGATCAGTCTGTACAGCGCCAAGCTGGTAATTGTAACTGGGATTGCAGATCGTTGCCGAGCTATCGTATGCCGTGTGAAACGAAATAAAGCGATCTGTTTTCGCGAACAATGGCTTGAAAATCGTAGTCACAGTGGCGATTGCAGACCCATTGATAGCTGTTGTCCGATACAGCAGTTGATGCGCTTCCACAGGGTCTGGAATTAGGCCGAAAAATGAGGCGGCAATGCTGCGTTCACGCAAGATTGTCCCGGGTGCCGTGGACTCAAAGCCTGCAGGTGGCTGATAAAATGGATCTGTACTCGGATCTTGTGCACGCGCTACAGGCAATGATGCCGAATAGGCCCATGGACTCGCAAATATTGAGGCCAAGGAGGCCATGAAGAGGAGGCGGACCGATGTTACAAGGGCAACCATCATGGGCAGACTCAAGGGATTGATTGCGGTTCAATGGTCGGAATGAACTCACAATTCCATCTCAAAAGTCGAGGGAAAGACATAGTTATAGGAACGACATACTATTGTCCATATGCCAGAGAGCAGAGAGTGAATGTGATTTCAAGCCAAAACCGAGGCAACTAGTGTGTGTTGGGGCTTGTCGATCAGCCAGCCCCTTTTCCCGTTCCTAGTTTGGTCCCATCAGATTGTATCTTTCGAGACTCAGGTTTATGAATGAATGAAATTCGGCCCTAAAAGACTCAAATACACCAGGCACATCTTGAAAGGGACAGATGGAAAATCTCCCTCTTGATCTGCACATTCAGATGGCTCTGCGATCACGGGCGGCGGCTTTCTCGCATGCTCAGTTCTGTAAGGGCCCATGACAAATAATGTTCGGCTGTAAGCACGCCGAGCTGCATACCCCGCAAAAACGGAGCGAGCTGAAGGTGGAAGTGATCGGCAGATAATGTCCCATCGCAAGCGAGCCTACGTCATGTGCGCTCGCGGCCATCCACCGTGGACTCTGTAGGAGGACAATAGTGACAAGAGCAGTATGCAGAGGGAACCCGGTAGATATGCAGTGGGTTCCATCGAAAGTCGAACGAGACTCTCAGAGACCAAAGTGTTTAGCGGGCTGAGCAAGAAATCCGTGCATGGCTTGTTTGCAGCCTCAGGTCACAGGGTCTGAAAATCCTGCGTATTCGCGTATTCGGACTCGGCTGCGACATGAGCATCGGTGTACGATGCAGAGCCATTGGCATCTGACAAGTGAATTATTTAACTCCGTAGTTTTGGCTCATGTAAGACATCAGTTTCGGGTTGTATAACAGAACGAGATATATATCGGGATGGTTGTGGTGGGAGTGCAGAGAACGCTATTCTTTGTAAACATGGGGGTACCGTGGAAGTTTTACGGAGCGAGGAACTCGGTTGCAATAAGTTGTGAGAGTATCCCGCCAGCCTCCTAGACATTAATTGCTGTAGGCTACCATACCTCTTGGTCAGAATAAAGACCACCTCGGTCGCATTCAACATGCACATGCGTCTTGGAATCGCGAGTCGGTGTTCAGCGAGATGTCACCCGTGCATCCATGAGTGGCGTGGACATATGGATATTGATCTACTGGAGCTGGGCTGGACGATAGGCTTGGGAACTCTCTTTGATCTTTGGACGGCGAAAACCAAACGCTTTGCGTATGGTAGGAGATACATATCTTCATAAACATCGCATAAAAACCTTCACTTAGGAGATCAACGAGTGGGAATGAAGTGCTTCGAATCCGTCTCTTGCTGACTGAACGATTCAGGAAACGCTGCGATCCCACCAATGATGCCCACGGCCATTACCGCTAGCGAGATGAGGGACCAGATCACACCCCAGCACTGCGACGAGCCTCCATACTTACGGGCGAAAACACTCGCATCGGATGTGTTCACCTTCCGAAGGATCAAATCGTCACACTGTTCTCAGGTTAGCAGTGGAAGACGAAACCATGCGGTGGAGCGGTGCTTACAATATCCCACACACTGTAGAGGCCAGACATGACGCCGATGAAAAGCTATTGAACCCAGTCAGCACCTTCGCTAGGGCCGAGACGAGCACCAGAAAGTCAGAAGCTTACCACAACCCATCTCAAGGCCTCCCCATGGGCGATGAACCAGCATGCCACCAACAGCCCGACCGCCAGGATAATGGTCATGATGGTCAACCAGTCCTTGCGAGCCCACCAGAGGGTCAGAAGAAAGCAGACCCCGAGTACGATGCTCGCAATTTTGCTGGCGACGATATCAAAGCCCGCAAAGATCAAAAGAGCGCCGATAATGGAAGAACCCAAGTATCCCGCGGGGAGTGTCACGGCGCTGAGCCCGCCCTGCATATGGGTCACGCCTCCCTCATGCGGATCGAGTGAGATCGACTTCACCTTCCCACCTGTGCAGCATGCAGTGATGGCGTGCCCGAATTCATGAAACGCGATGACCAGCATCTGTAGAATGAATTAGCGTCGACATCGCCGGCGAGAGGGTGTGTGTTGATCCAACCTTGAAAGGCCATAGTGAATAGCGTACATATGGCAGATTCCATAAAAGCGCGATGACCACTGCATAGACCGCCATTACCCCAAGTGTGATCGCCTGTGTGTGGTTGACTGTAAGGCTGCGCTGAGCCAGATGGGGCGCCCCTTCCTCGGCTCTTTGCGACAACAAGACATAGGATGGAGGCATGGTAGAAACTCGCGCGAGGTGTGAAGGAATAATATCGTGGCAGCAAGAAAAACAATTTTCCCACGGGTTTTTTCTCTGGAGAAAGCGGTAGATGGTGGTTCTTGGTTGTTGTCGCTGTTCACGTAGGGAGGGACGCGCAGGCCTCCCTCAGATGTGGCGAGTGTCGTGGCTGGGCGGCTATTTATAGTGTGGTGGAACTCTGTTTCACCACACATTATAGCTATTATTATTGGCAGACATGCCAAATATGTCATGATAACATTCCTGTCATTATTGGAGTCAATAAGTATTTCAGATGTCCATACTAGGAACTCGCCCCCATGTCGGCCCCTTCCGCCGATTATTGTTTATTTACCCGCCTCCGACAATTCCCCTGATTCTGGCCCGAGCGCGACCGTCTTTTTCTCCGGCCCCCGCCAGAGTCTCATCTGCCTACGGGAGTTAAACATAATTTGGATGGAACCGACCCCCACACCAAAAAAGCTTGCGGGGAGATTTAGTAGTGACCCAATAACTGCAATGCCGCGCCGGAGGGATTTTGGAATCTTTAAATGTGTCGACTAATCCTGAGTCCGCATACTTTCTCCCCTCCCCATCGCAGCAGCCGCAAAACATGGTAGCTCTAGAGCCGCTTCTTCTTTCAGGGCTGGCAGTCACACTGTCGGCCCAGCCAATGAGTCATTCTGGACATGGCTACCATGCGAATGCCGGGGTTCTCCAATATGTCGATCCTCTCATTGGCACCGCGGGACCCGATCCCAATGACAATGGCGGCATGACACCCTCTGTTTGCCCGCCATTTGGCATGACTCGCTGGACGCCGCAGACGCGGGAGAACTTTATCTCACAGGCGCCCTACGCTTATGGTGACCAGCTGATGCACGGTTTCCAAGCCACCCATCAGCCGGCAATCTGGATGGGCGAGGCGGGCCAGGTCGTGTTGACACCGGGCATGGGCACGGTCCAACCGCTATTCCAGAATCGCGGACTGGCATTCAACAAAGAGAACGAGCGGAGCACCGCATATGTGTATGAGGTCCTTCTCAATGGCACGCAGCTGCTAAATCGGGACTGGAACTCCACGGCGGAGGCTGTGGGCGATGGTCCGGATGCCGGTGGCGGACAGGCAGTGCCGGAGGATGTGAAGGAGGGCGCAAACGGAAGAACTCGCAAGCGTCGGACTTTGCCGTCGGATGAATCTCAAGATCGTACAATTCAGGTCGGTAATCAAGCCAAGCAGTACGCTCCGAGAATTTCTGACGCAGGCTCTAGGTTGCGATGTCGGCAGATGCACATGCAGGGCACCTTCGCTTTGACTTTAAGGGAAACACGAATTCCTCAGAGCCGTGGGTGTTTATCCAAGCCTCCCGGCAGAACTGGACAGGAGCAGTTCATATCGATGTCAACAACAGGGAGGTGTATGGGTATAACACAGAGCGCCAGGACTATATGCTGGGGCCATTCAAGGCACCCTCCTTCAAGGGATACTTTGTCTCTCGATTCTCACACCCATTTGCCGCGTATGGTGTGGCGGATGGTGGGAATATCACTGAAGGGAAGCAGACGCGGACTGGCAACTTCACTGGCGCATACGTCAAATTTTCTGGAGACACTTCAAGGGTAGAAGTGCGGACGGGTATCTCCTATGTCAGTATCGCACAGGCGCGAAAGAACCTGGAGCTGGAGCTGCCTGACGATAAAGCGTTCGAGGACACCGTCGATAAAGTCAAGGCCGCCTGGCTTGAAAAACTCGGTCGCGTAACGATTGATGGTGTCAATAACACGGATCCCAACCAGAATCAGCGGACAATTTTCTACACCGGCTTGTTCCATGCCCTTCAGTACCCAAGCGACTACTCTGAGCCAACCTCAAATGACGCCGACGCACCTCGCGTGTTTTACTCAGGCTACACCGATAGCGTGCATACCGACAATGATTCGTACTACCAGTCCTGGTCCATCTGGGATACATTCAGAGCAGAACATTCGCTTTTGACACTGTTTGCACCAGAGCGAGTGAACAGCATGATGCGCACTCTGCTACGTATCTTTGACTGGTCGGGGAGGCTGCCCATGTGGGCGAACATGATCGAAACCAATATCATGATCGCAACCAATGCGGACGTTGTGCTGGCTAATGCGCTCGAACGGGGCTTCCGCAGCTTTGATGTTGGTAAGGCATGGACCGCAGTAAAGAAGGATGCCTATGAACCGCCCGAGCACGACATGGAGTTGCTTTACTACGATCGCGAGCCGAACACCCCACAAGAAGTTCGGGCGGGCCTCTCAGCGTATATGAAGCAAGGGTGGGTATCGGACGATGCCTGGGCTGAGGCTGCAAGTCGCACCCTGGACTACGCGTTTAACGACTATGCCTGTGCAGTGGTAGCATCTCACGCCGGCGAATCTAACGACACCGTGTCCGAGCTTATGGCTCGCAGTGGCAACTGGGCTAACCTGTGGAACAACGAGACACAGTTTATGCAAGCTCGCAATGGCAACGGTACTTGGGCCGACAAGACTTTCGGCTGGACAGAGGGCGACGACTGGGTTTATACATTCGACGTGATGCATGATGTGAAAAAGTTGGCTGAACTCTTCGGGGGCCGCGAGCAGATGCGGGACAAGTTGGATGAATATTTCCAAGGCGGTCACAATCAGCAGAGCAACGAGCCGAGTCATCACGTTCCTTACCTGTACTCAGTCCTTGGCTATCCGATGAAATCCGCCGAGACAATTCGTCCTGTCGCGTGGGACAACTATAACTCCACCAGTGCTGGTTTGAGTGGCAATGACGATCTGGGCCAGACAAGCGCATGGTATATCTTCTCTGCTCTTGGCTTCTACCCCGTCAACCCCGCAACTGATGAGTATATTGTTGGGACTCCGTTTTTCGACAAGGTGACGATTCGCCTTCCTCGTGGCGTATCGACTGGAGGAGAAGTTTCAGGCACTGAAGAGAAGACCTTGATAATCAGTGCCCCTGGTGCGCCGTCAAAGCCATATGTCAAATCCCTGAAGATCGATGGGACAGAAGTGAATGTGCCCGTTTTGAAACACGGGGATATAGTGAAGGCGGAGAGCATCGAGTACGAAATGAGCGAGGTGCCAACGTCGTGGGGTGGTGAACCGTCTTGGCAGGCCTAGACGGAACCCATCTTGCTCATCAAATCGACCAGCATTGACTGACCATTGTCTGAGCTGGGGCTGAGGTCTTTCAAGTGTGAAGATAGCAAACCAAGCCAGATTTCTTGCACTACATAATCCCTGAGCGAAGCCAGTAAAGCCTCAACTCTGGATGAAATTTACCATCAACTTGTTTAAGGAGCAGTTTCTGTTCGTGGTTCAGCGAGGTTTCAAAAATGCGGTACCTTCCGCAATTTTTGCCGCTAGCAGCATGTTGATGGGCCATTAAACTGGGGAAGAAACGACTTTGTTGTGGAGTCTTGCTCGACTCCTAATCGCTTTCCCGGACACTTTTCATGCCATTAGTTACATAGCCACTACTTGGCTCAATTCTTTTATTTTTGTTTTGCCCGCAGAAAGCAGAAAGCAGCCGTGCCCTAAGGCGAGGATTTCATATATTTGCCTTCAACTTGTCTCAATACTTATTTGAAGCTAGAGGCCGTTTCTAAGGCGAGTAACTAGTGATCGGCCACACCCCGAGTTCGGCTTCTCGATTCGAGCCGAGTCTTGTTCCGAAGTGGGGCAATATATCCCCATCACGGCGTGAGTAACCAACTGGGAGCATCGGACGAGCTGATCTTCATTTGCTGCCAAGAGTCGACGCTCTCATTGAGTTTACAGCTTGCGACAATCAGCCTTCTTTCGAATTAATATTGCGCAATCGTAGGTGGTTGGATAGCTGTTTTCCCGAGCTTGCGGCATTTATGGTTATAAAAGGACCGCACAAATAAGATCTAGGGAAACTCTGAGCAGACTTGGTTCCCCTTTGGATTTCATTTTGACCTCTGGCTTGGTCAGTAACATGCGCGCTGCAAAATTTCTTTCCTGGACCGGCCTCGGGCTGTCCAGTGTGGCTTCAGGACATTCCACATGGCCTCTAGGGAATGGTTTCAACATTGCTGTTGATAAACCAACCAACCATCTGTCTATCACTCAGCGAGACAGCATCATCTGGGATACGGTACCCGGTAAAACGTTCCTCAGTGCTAGCGCAGGTAATGATACTATCCTGGAATCCTCTGGCAATTTCAAAATTGAGCAAGTGGATCGGAACAAGTGCGAAAACCAGAAAGTCACCCAAGTGTCCCATCGTGCTTGGGACGACAGTTTCAATGATCATGCTGTGGTGGTTTCCGGCGACCTCACTAGATGTGGGGATGAAATGTCAAACTTCTTGATTGCGTTCTGGGTGCCAATCAACCTGCCAGACCGTGTTGCGTTTCATGTTAGCGTCAATCCTGTTGACACATCGGCAGATCCCCTAAACAAGATCTTTTTGGCATACCGTTCCTTTGAGACTGAAGACTTTTACGGTCTGGGAGGCCAAGCATCCTTTTCGTCATTGAAAAATCAATCAGTCCCCATTTTCTCGCGAGAGCAAGGAGTTGGCCGTGGTGATCAACCCACCACGCACCTCGAGGATTCCGATAGTTTCTTTTCCGGGGGGAATGAATTCACGACTTATACTGCTGTTCCACAGTATATTAGTTCGACCGCGCGAGTTTTCCACCTTACCCAAGAAAGCACCGCCTACGCAAACTTTGATTTTCGTGACCCTTTGGCAGTCACCGTTCGATATGACGCGTTAAATGTCTCCGGATATTTCATGCAGGGAAACAACATTCTCAACGGTATTTCAATGCTCACTGATTACACGGGCAGGATGGCAGAACTGCCGAAATGGGTAGACTCTGGTGCAGTCCTTGGAATCCAAGGCGGACAGGAGAAGGTGAACAGGATCGTCAAGGAAGGACTCCAACAAAATTGCCCAATTGCAGGAGTTTGGCTGCAAGATTGGTAAGACCATTCTCTCCAGCTACTCCGATCCGGTATTGACTTTCCAGGTCTGGGACACACGCACAAAGCGTTGATTGGATGAGCCTCAACGTCTCGCGGCTCTGGTGGAATTGGGAATACGACACAGACCTCTATCCAACCTGGGACAAATTTGTTCAGGATCTACGAGACCACTACGACGTACGCACTTTATCGTATATCAATCCGTTTCTGGCAAATGTAAGCACGAAGTCGGACGGATATCGCAGAAATCTGTTCCTTGAGGCAACAGAACAGGGCTATATGATTCAAAACTCCACAACCAACGGAACATCCATCATCTCAAGTGGTCCCGGACTTGATGCTGGGATTCTTGATCTCACCAACCCTTCCACACAGTCCTGGTTCAAAAATGTTCTTATGGAACAGGTCTGGAACGCCAACATCTCAGGGTACATGTGTGACTTTGGGGAGTATACACCTGTGCTTGCCGACACCCGCTTTGCCAATAAAAGCGTGGATCCGGCTTTCTACCACAATGAATACCCCCTTGACTGGGCCACCCTACACCACTCGCTTCGCAATGAACTTCCTCAGATTTCTGACGCCATCATCTTTCACCGCTCTGCATCACTCGGTCAAAACCGCCACATGAACCTTTTCTGGGCTGGAGATCAGGACACCACTTGGGGCGTGAACGATGGTATCAAATCCGCTGTGACTGTCTTGGGTCATATGGGCATGTCTGGATTCGCACACGGACATGTAGAAATTGGGGGATATACGACTACCTGGGACAGCTCTGGGATCGTCAATCGCTCAGCCGAACTTCTTGGCCGTTGGGGAGAGCTGGCCGCGGTCTCAAGCGCCGTATTCCGCTCACACGAGGGGAGTGTGCCTCAAGTAAACACACAGTTTTACACCAACACATCTACCCTTGACTACTTTGCGTACAACGCACGAATGTTCAGCAGTCTGGCCACCTACCGACGACGGATTTTGGATACCGAAAGCAAACCTTACGGCTGGCCCTTGCTCAGAATGCCTGTAGTTTACCACCCGGATGATGTGACTGCGAGACACATTAGCTATCAAAGCTTCTTCCTCGGTCCGGATCTATATGTCGCACCGGTTCTAGACCCCGGGACAACGGCCATCCAGGTCTATTTACCTGGCAAGGATGAAACATACACCCATGTCTGGTCAGCCAGGACATATCAGGGAGGACAGAATATTACCGTGGGAGCGCCCTATGGCAAGCCTGCTGTTTTCATTGTTGGGAATTTGACGCATTCAGCCTTGGACCCGTTCCTGAAGTTTGTTCACGAAGAAAACAGCACTATCGTCAAGGTCTGAGCCTTGGATTAAGTCAAAATATACAGCCTCTTTTTTCCTAGAATAATGTGTTGGGAGTTTGTCAAGATAATTGGATGGCCAAGTTCTAGAAACGTGTTCCAATTGGTACGGAAAGGAAAACAAGTAGTATGGTGGCCAGCGCCAGGTAACTAGCATAATCGCTTTTGGGAAGCTGATCAGTCGATCAATCGCCCTTCTAGCTTCAGTTACTTCGTGTTTCACGATTCTTGAGCTCTGCTGAGGACCGTTTTCCGAGCGGTTGCCAGTCGATGACATAGTTCGGTCTGAAATATCCCGTTTAAGGCTGCATGGGAAGGTCCAAGAGTGGCGTGGATTCGGCAAATTACTTATTTTTTAGGCAAAAGGCCGATGGGGGGACTGCTCCCCTCACTAATGATAAGATGATCGCCTCTGACATGGACAGTCTAGGAAACAGTGGTACATCGGCTGGATCCGCGTTATCAGGGATGTTACATTTCCCCGCACTAGGTGCACCGATCTACCGGAGAAAAGACAGCTTATATTCGATCCAAGGAACTGGCATTGTAGATTTTCAGTAGATGAATCTGACTTCCGTATCGCATGGTCAATTTTAGGACTTGTTATAGACAAACAAAGGCGCAAAGACAGGAATGCGTGTGAAGACTCTTGTGCTGGCATGGCTGCCAACACTTGCGGGTGCGAATGGGCTGATTACCGAAAATTCCTCCCCAGAGCGTGAGTCTTACTTTCGTGGTTCCGATACCTTGGATCAGGCCCCACTAATCTGATTACGAAGTTGTTCCCTTGGCCTTTGAACCGCTGCCACTGGGAAGTATTAGTCCGAATGGATGGCTACGGACAGAATTGGAAACATCTGCCGCCGGCCTGGGAGGGCACTTGTACGACTTCTGGCGCTTTGTGGCGGAGTCGTCCTGGATTGGGGGTGACTCCGAGTACAGTGTGCTAAATGAAGCTCTACCATACTGGGTAAACGCTCTTGTTCCCTTGTCTTACACACTGGGCGATGAGCGCCTGAAAGAAAATGTCCACTATGTTGTGGACACTATTCTTGACCGAATTCAGCCTGATGGATGGATCGGCCCCGAGACCCTGGCCAGCGGAAAGCGAATGATTTGGGCACGAACATTGCTGTTCCTAGGGTTAACAAACCTGGTCGAGGCAAACTCTACTTATGAAAAGCCGATAGTTCATGCAATGTACCGATTCAACGTTCTCATGAACTCAATGCTCAAGAATAACGGAACCGGTATGATTTACCATGACGGGGATCCTTTGTCACCCAATGACTTCACATGGTTTCTGGCTCGTGTCGAAGACATGATGGTCAGCTTACAGTGGCTCATCGACCGTTATCCGGGGAAAGAAACAAAGATTTTGAAAGAGAATATCGATATGCTTCATCATTTCGGCAACAAATGGGAAGGATGGTACACGGAGGGCAGCTATATCAAAAGAAATCTGTATGACTTCCCACCATCAGTCACAGATGAGCAATGGGCCTTTTTACACGGTGTCACAATTGCTGAAGGTAGCTACCCCTTGGCTGATTTCACTGTCGTGCACTAACTCTCTGACTTTCGTGGAGGCCTCAAATATGCAGCTGTCCTCCGACGTTCGACCTTCAATGACAGTCTACTCACCACCGCAAAAAATGGGGTTTGTTACTCACACATATGAAAAATCTTGACCATCACTAATTATACACCTGCAGGTGGATTGGACGTTTAAGTATCATGGCTCGGCTTCGGGGACGATTCTAGCCGACGAACGCATCGATGGGCTGAATCCATACTATGGATCTGAGCTCTGCACAGATGTGGAGACTATATACTCGCTAGCATACAACTATTTTGCCATTGGTGACCCGAATTACGCGGATCGTGCCGAGTTGACGGCCTTCAATGCCTTGCCAGCAGCCGTTTCGGGAGATTGGTGGAGCCACCAGTATATGACCGAGCCGAATCAGCCGTTCTCCAAAAATCTCTCAGCAACGCCATTCTACGATACAAATACCATAAGCCAAACTTTTGGTTTGGAGCCAAATTACCCTTGCTGCACTGTCAATCATCCCCAGGGCTACCCGAAATTCACCATGTACAGCTACCTCAAGAAGGGTGACTCGGGACTTGTCCACGCTCTGCTAAGCCCAGGTCGGGTGACAACTCAATTGAAAGGCCATTCAGTGATAATAGATTGCCAGACAGATTATCCATTCGATGGCCATCTGTCTTACACAATCGAAAGCGACACAAAATTCGATTTCTATATCCGTGTACCGCAATGGTCGACAGGAACAAAATTACGGACCTCTCATAATCTAACGACATCTTCGATGGACCCCAATTCACGTCTGTACCAATTGGAGATCCCATCTGGTAAAACGACTGTTGAGTATGACATTGGCATGGCGCTGAGAACAGTGCATCGAGCCAACGACACAGTTGCGATATACAGAGGCTCCATTTTGTATGGACTCCATATCCCACCCATCATATCCTCTGGTCCTCCCAAATTTTACAATAACGAAACGGACTACCCGGCTGGTACTTACCCGCCCCAAGCTCAGGACCATACTCTCTTGAACAGCACCAGCTGGAACGTGGCAATTGACCCGTCGACGCTTGTTTATCATCCAGGGTCAGGACCATTACCATCGCCCACGTTCGAGGACGGACAGTTACCCATGTTCGTCACTGCAAAGGCCTGCCTTATTGATTGGCCTCTTTGGATGGGGGTGGTACCAGACTCCCCCATTCCGAAGAAGGAACGCAAGTGCCTGGGAGATACATTTGAAGCGACGCTCCGGCCATATGGCAGTTCGAAGTTACACATGTCGGACTTGCCCACTATTGAGTTGGAGAAGTGAGAATGTTCCGTTTTTGTCAATATTGTTTAATTGCGCAAGCAGTCTACCCAGGGCTCTAGAAAGGCAACGACAGATTCTGCTGTCACCATAGCTAAGCAGTGCACAGCAAGAATCGCAAGCTTTTTGCAATAACTTGGAATACCACGTCACCTTCGTTTGACAAACTGTAATGGAACCGCATCGCGCATAGCTAGAGTTATTAACGAAGAGCTTTCGTTCAAGATCTTTTTCGCGCGTTGAAGTGCTGCTTCCTGGGTCTCGTCTTTGTTCCTCGCCAACTTGACCTGGTATTCCCGAAATATGACTGCCAATGTGACAACAAATTCTGTTTGCGCAAATTTTTTACCGAGACAAGCCCGATTGCCATCGGCAAACGGAAAATAGGCGCCTCGAATAGGCTTGTGAATGGTGCTGTATTCCAACCCAGGAGCTGTGAGTCCATCCATGTCGCCGTTTTCTGCAAGATAGCTCTGTGTGTTTCTTTTATCCCAACGTGAAGGGTCAAAATCCAATGCAGTGGGCCCCCAGTACTCTGATGCATAGTGTAGCGGAACGGCGTTTAAATTGACACCGGTATGGGCTGGGAGCAAGTAATGCTGGCCATCATAGACGATCTCTGCGGGGGAGCCCCCTGTCCATTTTGGCACAGTGACCACTGGTGGATAAAGCCGAAGGGTTTCGAGCTAATGGGGAGTGAGCTTTGACTCATTGGCCTGGCCTGTAAATACTGACCATGACACATAATGGGGCTACGAGCTTAGGAAATAAAGCATTATAGTCCCACTTGGCTTGTTCGACCGGTTCGGGGTGAATCGCTTCTAGAATATCTTTGCTCACCCAGTCCTGAGTCTCCTGATCGATTGCCAGTAGGACAAGCGCAAAACGTAATGCTGTTGCTGTAGTTTCATGTCCAGCTATGACGAAGATAAACATGTTGCCCTGTATTTCCTGGTCGGATAACCCGCGTTCCTGGCCTTTGTCATTGTACAACTGGGAGCGTACCATTTCCTCGAGCAAGTTGGGAGTGGACAGTTTGCTAGTATCGGCGGATGATACGAGTTCACGAAAATATTTAACTAGATCATCATATGCGTAGAAGTCTGTTTTGCAGAAGGGCAGCATCCAGCGGGGAACCCATTGTGGAATGACCCCGTTCGCGAAAAAGATGCTGATCAAATTCGTGTTGAGATACTCCATCACTGCTCGAAATGTGAATTGGTAGCCCGGCGGAGGTAACTGGGCATCTCGGAACAGTGCTTTTGTGTCTGCCATGGTCGCTTCCACTGCGTTCTGGAAAGGCAGCTTCACTCCAAACCCAGCACTACAGAGCACGTAAAGTGTTAGTTTGAGAATGTCTTCACGAGTGTTTGGCACGATAAACTCGGTCGGAGAAGATCTTTCAGAGTGTAGATTTCTCCAGTGCTCTATCATCTCTGTCGATACGCGAATCGCTTCCTGCCAAACTAAGACGTTGTTTTTTTCATTGAAAGGTGGGGCTGTGTGATGGCGATGATGAGCCCACTCCTGATATTCTGACTGAATAACTCTCAATACCGTTTCTAAATTATTCAGGGCCTCCGCCACTTACCACAACGACATTTGGCCCAAATAGATCGAGACCAGCTTTCCCGATGTACACCGTTAGTTCAACCGACGTGCACGGAACGATACTGCTCACAATATATTTGGACAGGTTTAGGAAAACTTCGACGGGCTTTGAAGATTTGCGAGACTACAGATGCATCGGAAACATCACAGGATATTGTTGTCGGGGTTGCGAACATGTGCACCTTGCCATATCGCTTACATGGCCGGTCCTTAGCCGTCCAACGCCCTCTGTATGTGCTGCCCGTGATGTAGTCCGCCAGCCATTGCGGCAGGCGATTATTCACCACGTACAGAAACGTGGAATTCTCGAAAAGCATCTGGTAAATGACGTTAAATTCCGAGACCGGGAATAGAACGCATGGCAGTCCAGTCGCTCGCGCGATACGTCGGTTCCGTAGAAGCCCCAGCATGAGCCGGCCGACAAAGGCTGCCAACAAGGTGAAGATGACAAGCCCAATCATGTCGAAGATGCGACAAGCTCTGAATGTTAGTACCCGGTGCCCGAGGCCTTTATGTATAAAATGGAAAGAGCGTTTGCGCTGGTTTTAAGTCACTCGGTTCAGGCGGGGCCGCAGGAAGTGAGCAGACGTGGCGACGGCGGTAAATGCGTGTCGGATGCAGTAGTATCATGCATGAAAAACCGGCGTCGTTTAGTGAGTTTCTTACGCCGACTCCAGCACGGGTGATGAACCCCAGCATGGGAATGGTTTATATTGTGATGATCTCTCATGGACCTGCAAGTTACTTCACTTTTCCAGTACCAGCCCGACGTTTAAATCAAGCGGAAAGTGTTTATTTACATGGTATCCTTGATAGGGTCCTTTTCCGCACCCTCGATCTTTTTGAGGAAGGCATCGGCTGCCTTTGGATCCCCAGCAAAGATATGCTCTGCCACCATCCGTCGAGGGGTCTCTCCCAGCCACTGGAAGAGGGAAAAGTCCTGATATTTATCGGCTCGAAAAACCTCCAACACCTCCAGCGGCTCGTCGTCACTCAAATTCTCGATAAAATGACCCATATTTCGCGGCACGATGCCGACATCGCCCGCCATGTAGTCGAATGTGCGGGCATTACCCTCTGACGCAAAGACCGTGACGCGAGCGCGGCCCCGCTTGAAATAGGTCCACTCATCCGCATTAGGGTGCCAGTGCATCTCACGCAACGCCCCGGGCTCGATCTCCAGATGGGCTGCCGCCACCGTCTTGGAGATGGGAAAATTGGTCGAGTCCGTGATGCGCACGTTACCCCCCGTAGTGCGGATCGGATCCTGGGCGTGCATATGGTGCGTAAAACGAAGTTTCGACTGTTTGAAGCCGCGAGGTTTCTCGTGCTCGATGTTTCCCGGCTTCGAGCCTTGGAAGATGTACTTCTCTGAGGTCGGGATCTTGTCGAATGCCTCTGGTTTGAGGCGGAAGTTTTCTGCAAGGACGGCTTTGGGGGTGTGCGCTAGAATTGCAGATTAGATGGCGATCTCGAGTAGTCGGAGTACGATACATACCCATCCAGTCCGTCAACAAAAACGTCGATTCCTCGGAAAAGTGGCCATCGTCAAAGATGAGCAGAAACTCGGTGCCATTGGGGCCCAAACCCTGGAGAGAGTGCGGATGTCCAGCTGGGAAGTACCACAGATCGCCTTCCGCCAGGTCGTCCATGAAACTACCCCCGTCTGGGTCCAGCGCGGTCACTCGCACTTCACCGGCCAGCACGTAGGCCCACTCGGCCTCCGTGTGCCAGTGCAGCTCGCGGATAACGCCTTCATCCAAGCGCATGTTCACCCCTGCCAGCTCGCGGCTGGTCGGGAGCTCGCGGATGGTCGTCTGCCGCGTCCATCCTCCTTCCTGTTGGAGTTGTGTTAAGGGAGTTTGTTTGTTGCAATCACGGAAATCGTACCTCAACCCGGATGTGACTATCCGCAAAGCTCCATCGCATGTTGGAGAGTGTTCCATGGTCCGTGCTGGGCGGGCGCACCAGGTCTGGATTCTGACGCTCACGATCCTTGTTTCGCGGGCCCATGACGGTCGTGCCATCACCATTGCGATACGGCAGGGGCTCTAGGCCTTCGCCGACCGAGTCGACTTTGTGGTCGTAAGGGTCACGATGGCCGGGGGTAAAAGGCGGACCGCCAAACACCTCTGCGGGCGAGCCGGCGGGCAATCGGAGAAGCTGTTGGAGCGCAGGGCCTGGGGCTGGGAGGGCAGTGCCTATGCCCGCGAGCAAGGCTAGGGTCAGTAGGCGGGAAATCATTATTGTGAAGCCTGGAGGCAGTTAAGATTCGGGGGTCCCAGGCCCTTTTTGAAGCGCTCGGTATTACTACGTCAACATGAATGCGCCGACTGATCCGGTCATTGCGTGATTAATCAGGTAGGGTCAATAGTTAACCATCCCCTCACGCGCTGATCCGTTTCCCCGGGGAAAGTCAATGCATGACGCCACTGCGGAGAAGTTCGTTGAGGGGAACAACAATAATCATTCTCGGATCGTGCACTCTTTACCCGTTCTCCCCCTTCTTTCAACCCAACCACCACCAACTATGCCCGACGAGACTCGGCCATTGCTGGGTGGAGATGCCCGCCCATCTCGCTCGCGTCTCTCGCGGCATCTACAGAGCGACCTCGATCCGCATCGGGGCGACCTGCTCCTGCTTTTCTGCTACATCATCACCGGGCTCCTAGATAGCTCGGCAGTGTTCATATGGGGCTCCTTCGTCAGCATGCAAACCGGCAATACCGTGTACTTCGGCTTGGGCCTCGTGGGTACCGAGGACGACCGCTGGATCAAGTCCGGGGTCTCCATCGCCGGCTTCTGCCTGGGCTCGCTGTGCTTCGCCGCCTTCCATCGACATTTCGCTCCACGGTCTCGCTGGGTGCTCTGCGCCTCGTTTGTGGCCCAATTGGCCTGTGTCTCGATCGCCGCCGTTATTGTGACTGTGTACCGACCGGCCCGGGACACGCCGCTGAGCTGGCTCGTTCTTGTTCCGATAGCTCTGGTAGCCTTTCAGAGCAGTGGTCAAGCAGTGACCAGCCGGGTGTTGAAGTATAATGGCTTGACTAGCGTGGTCCTCACCAGCGTTTACTGTGACCTGTTTTCCCACCCGGACCTGCTCTCGCCCAAGGTCTTCAGCAACGCCGAGCAGATGCGGCGCGCAGCAGCCGTTGTGTGCCTCTTACTGGGAGTCGTTCTCGGAGGCCTGTGGGCACACAGTTCTGTGGGGATGATGGGCGCGTTGTGGACGGCGGCTGTTCTGAAAGGGTTGGCGATAATTGGATGGCTCGTATGGAAGGAGGACAAGAGCGACCCATGACAGTGTTGTAGCCACCGAGCCGCGTGGGATAGAAGAGGGCTTAGAAGGACGGCAGAACAGAATAAGAATGCTCTTTTATCATGACTAGCCTATCACGGAGGACGCTATGGATCAAATCTATATACTTCTATCCGGTCATGGAATGCCAAATACAATGCAGAAGAGTAGAAAGACAATCAGGGACGAACTTAAAACTAGGGATGAATCCGAATCGCAGTCCCATACCGGGTAAGCAGCATCGGCCCGACACACATGGCCAGGGCGATGAACGCCAGTAGAGAGTTGCCCCATCCAAGACCGAGCGCTCGATACATCGATAGACCGGCCAGTGGAAGAACCGCGCCTACAAGCGAACGCATGGCTGCGCTTGCGGCAGTCACAGAGGCAACGTGCAGGAGATATGAGTCTATCAGGTAGGTATTCGCGGACATGAAGATCGTAATCAGGCCCATACCGAACACACCTGCCCCCAAGATCGGGACGGTCCAATGGGTGTGCGCTTGGACGGACCATCCGTACCAGAACAGGCCGATCGGGATGCCCCAACAGCCGTAGACCATGGGCGGCAGACGAGAGTCGAGCGTGCAACAGCCTCGAGCCGAATGGGTGACTGCATCTGATTGGTGACTTTTCCGACCACAGCTAGACTCAACAGGGAACCAACGCCAAAGCCCAGATATGACAAGCCGCTCAAGCCTGCTGAGAAGCCATAGTTGCTTTTAAATATGGACGTGATGGTCGTGAACATGAGGTAGAGATAACCGTATGAAACGGCCGCGAAGAGAGCCAGCAGGAAGACGATGGTTAAGCCAAAGAGGAGCTTCATGGGCCGTGCCGGGGCCGACATGAACAGTTCTCGAGGAAGGCGGCCCCAATCGTAAGGGGAACGCAAGTCGGCGTTACCTGTCTCCTTGCAAAGGTGCGCTGCTTTTCTTCGGAGTAGTAACGGCGCATATGATTCTCGATAGCTGAGCATCGTTCCCATGATCATGACGCCCGTCTATAGTCACAAGCCCAATGATGCGCCCCAAAATTGGACCCATGGCTCAAATGGCCATCACGCCGGCTCTCTTCTTTAGTGACCAGATCCGCCGCCGTCCCGGATTCAATTATAAGCGGGCAGACACCCGCAATGCCAGGCAGCAGCCGAAACACGACGAGCTGTGGGAGGGATTGGGCGACGGCACAGGCAATGGTGAAGATCAGGGATAGGATATTGCAGGCGTGGTATAGTGTGTCGCGGCCGTACAGCTCCATCAAGGGCGGAATCAAAAACGGGACAACCATATAGTCCAGCACGTAGACGGAGACCACCCACGATGCCAGCATCGAATTGGCAGACCCGAGTTCCGTCATCACGTCCGCCATTCCAGGCGTGAACATAGATGAGGCTATGGGATTGTTCATGTGACCGTTTAGTTAACCGAATGATGTCGGCCACACCAAGTACAAACACGTCACTCACGTCAAGAAGGTATTAAACGCCATGAACACCAACTGGCGAGCATTCTTGTAGGTTGACCAATTAAACGGATTCTCGGGGTCGTCCGGACCATCCCAGCCCACCAGACTGGGGTCCTGGGGGTGGCTGTGTAGATTCCCGGGCACTGCTATCTTTAGTTCGGCCTTCTGGCTATGTCTGTTCAGATTGGTGATCGACATCCTCAGTTTCTGGTTATGGCCATTTTCGAGATCGTGAGATCTGCCTGGGGCGATGCAATCAATGGTGTTGGTTGGCTCAAGGGCCATTGAAAATCTTCGACCAGATTGACCACCAGGGTGACGAATTTGGTTGTTGCTATGTTCGGCATGGCGAAGAAGGGGGCTGCTAAGGATTCAAAAGATTTCAACATTACTAGTTATTTCACAACAACGATATCCACACAAGTAGTATTCTCCGTATTCGGCTGGTGTTGGTGTTGGATGATGGGTATGGATCCCCACTTCAGGCTAATGCGTGCCACTAAGCTAAATCAAGCAGTCCCGCCGGGGCACAAGGTAGGCAGTGCATAAACTGGATGGACAGTCAGTGGCAAGTCGCCAAGCAAACCAGAGCTATATATTTTGTTTGAATAACCCGATATCAACAAGAGCAACAACAGAATCAATACATGTTCATTCGAGCTGATCCACTTTGCCTCTCCATATATATTCCACCCAACCTTCAACGAACCTATAATCATGTCCGACAGTAAATCGGCGTCCAGCCCACCTTCTTATACCAAGAAGGACAAGAAGGACAAGAAGCCTCTACCACATCCGTCGATGTCGTGGGGTATCACTCCGTCCGAGGAACACAAAACTGCAGAGAAGCCGGGCCCCGATCATCCGGTCCACAAAATTCCTCTCGAGAAGCAAGAGGAGATGCGACGGAAGGGTATCAACCCTATTTTGAAAGCCGAAATGGATGAGGGGACGAAGGGGGAGGGAGGGTTTTGGAGGAAGGTGGCCGGCACTGCGTTTGGCGGTGGATGGATTAAATGAGAGACGGAAATCGATTGGATTACGGATTCTTATACTTAGGCTTATTGAAAACCTCCGTTCCCTACTAGCCATAATCAGAACACACACTCGTTGAAGCCTACCAACGCACAATGAACAGACTATATTACCCGTTCGTGACTCTTTGCAAGTAGGATCGGGTCTCTTTCTAGTCACCAGATATTTGGAATTGCCGCAGAGAAATGTAAAGTTCGTATCTCATACCAATGATATCATCGTTAGTGCGTTATGCCTTGCCATCCGTAGAAAACGGACCCCAACTCTCCGGATCAATACCGCGGCTGTACCGTCACCACGGGCCCAACATACTGACGCCGACCTTGGAACATGTACATAACTAGACTGAGTGCGAAGACGGCAATAAAGATCACAACGCTCCAGTTAAAATCACGGGCTGCTGCAGATGGGCTCGGGGGCCAGAGAGACCAAAAGAGGGAAAACAGTACGTAGAGTAGCCCTATAATGTTCACGAGAAGGCCGAAGCGGCCTAGGCTCCATCTTCGTGGCGGGAGAGAATCGGGGCAATAGATCTTGCGATAGATTACACAGCTGATAGACACCATGTATGTGTACATTAGTGCGGCGACGTTAAGCGAGATGATAGCGTTGAAGGCGATCGGAGAACCAATGTTGATTAGCGAGAGCAAGGCACTAATAATGCAGGAGAGTGCAATTGCCCGCACAGGAATTCGTCGGCGTAAGTCGATGGTTGAAATCCAACGTGAGAAGGGCAAGCCCTTGTCGCGCGCGAATGCATGAGTCTGACGCGCAGTGGACGCGTTGAACAGAACGTTGCTAAAGATGGCTGGGATGAGAATTATCGCTGTGAGGCCGTTGACTCCAGCAAGTGAGACAATCTGTTGAAATACGTATAGAAAAGGAAACCCAGATTTGTCGGTAAGCGCATCAGGCACGGATGGGAGTGCAAGCACAAACCCAATGACCACGATAAGGGCCAGAATGCCGTTGCCGTAGTAGCCCCAGGTGATGGCAATGGGCACATATCGGCCTGCATCCTTGACCTCCTCGGCCATGTGCGCTGTCGCATCGGAGCCTACCAGTGGATTAGAGGAATTAGCACAGCAAGGATTCTGATAGTGGACGCACTAAGAGAGCCGTAGATGGCTGAAATTTGACGGATCATCAAACTTGTTCCAATTGTGGGCCAGCCTCCACCGTTAGAAAATTCCGTGAAGGCCGTCTTCGTAGAGTTATGTGGTGCCATGGCAAAGAGAACGACGACGACAATGACCCAGCACATGAGATGCAATGCTAGCAACAAGTTTTGGATCCGGGGCATCCAATTAGCGGCATAGACATTGAAGCAGTAAATTACTGCAACCATAGCAAAAACAAACAGTGTGCCATGCCAATTTTGCGGTTGATAGTTTGGGTCTCGAATGCTAAGCAGACCTTGGATAATGGTCCCAGTTAAAAATGACCCAGACGCGGCGCCAGCCTGCCAGGCTAGAACGGACATCCACCCTACATCGAAAAAGCCTCAGTAGCGTTCCAGAGAAGACAAAAGATAACAGCCCGAACCTGTCGTATAGCTAAGAAATTTTTGATAGCGGGGAGACGCAAACTCCGATACCCAGTGGTATTGTCCTCCAGATGTGGGTGCCCTATCATGTTAGATTATAATCTCGGTGGAAGATATAAGAAGCGTTGGAGGGCTTACATGGAGGCCATCTCTGCCAAAGAGACTATAATGAAGCCGAATCCGATAAATGTCCACACGTACGACCAAAAGAGACCCGCAAGACACCGTTCTGCAGTCCCTGCGAATTAGATCTGAGAGTTGTCAGTATATGGAGCGACTCTGTGACTTTGTAATTACTATTCTAACTTACATGAGAATGAATTCCCAAGTGGCTTGAAGAACGGCCGAAAAGCTCAGGGCCGCAAGTGGACGAAAGTCGCGCTGAGGTAGTCATTAACTCTTGAAACCGATCGCACCAACGCAAACTTGTACCTTGAATTCCTGAATCTTTCCCATCCGATGCATGTCAAATTGGTCTTCCGGGGTGCCATCTATCTCGGGCACACTTTTGCTAGTGCCTTCAGTATTCATTATTTGAAATCCCGCGACGGGGTCCCTGAGAGCCCGAGGCATGCCAGACGATGACCTAGAAGATGAAGCCATATAGAGAAGTTCACAATGGCATTGGATAGCAGAGAAAGAGAAACCCAAATTTTAGCGTGTTGAGCGCGAAGGATGGTCGAGGAAAAAGAACTATGGAAATAGCGAAGTGGTGAGAGAGATGGAAAGCAAAGGCCTGTCAACACATATCCCAAATAAGAGTGCACTAGTCAATCGTTTGCGCCGTACTGCAGCCTCCCTCCACCCGGGACTATTAATTAGTTGCAGAGTTGGAATAGTTGTACAGCATATGAATTCCTGGTTGACGCGCAGTATACGGAAACTTTTGCTTTCCATGTGTTGTTCGAAGTTTACAGCGGTGTTTTATATCTCGATGGGCTGACGCAAAACAGGAAATTCTGCGGTGACAGCACATGGAACCACATGGCACGTCACTTACATCGACCTGAGGCAAAGTGTTCACAAGAAAGTAGGCCTCGACCAATCTCAGCAGCGTCGGCGAGCACTCTGTGGGACAGCAATGAGCGGTGTCGACTGCCATTGAAAGGAATTCAATACAACTGGAGCCAAAAGTGACTTCTGCTTAACAAAATTGAGAGGGACAATGAATGGGTCCTCATTTGGCTAGGGACGGCGGGTGGCTGTCTAGGGCATTTCAAATCCTGCTCTTTCAACCTTAAAATCACTGTCTGAACTGGGCTCGGCGGACAAGCTTCAAATTCTATTTGATCTTTCATGGTTTCTGAGAACAGTTTGGATCATGATGTTGCATAGGCCACATCTCAGTCTCCTTCTACCTCTTCCCGCCTGGACGCGAGGGCGATCTGGATTACAACCGGTAGCCTTGGTAGGACTGATCGACGAAAGGTCGGAAACGCTTCCGGCATCCCCTGAAGGTTTTGTTTGCAATTGTCTTTTTCAAGAGCACCTGACATCTCAAGCTGAGTGGTAACTTGTCGTGCCGCCACTGCAGGCACTATTGGACGCCACGGGGCAAGCCTGGGTGACACCTCCGAATGCAAACCCTCCGAATGTTTGTGCCTGCCGATGAGACCAATGTGCAACAGCCCGGCAGAACCAGCGCTGAGCCGATCAAATGCCCACAAATACCATAGAGGCGTATTGGCATTTAAGAATTTATCGGCACGGTAGAAGTCAACGCGGCTTGTTAACGAACATCTGCAGATAAAAATTTGGCGTCAATTTGCGATCCAGGAAATCTGGAACTGATGACAGTCTCTATTCGTCTCTTGTAGTACACGGAGACGAAGAGCCCAGTATGAGAACGTGGTTTACTCCAGGATAATGAATTCATCTGACGCCGCACCGGGCGATGTTGGGCACTGCTGTGTACCATCAACCCCGACTTAGCAAAGAAGCCCCGAAACGACAACGAACTGTCAGTTCACGCTCAGCCTAGAGGTGCATGACTCTCCGCGATCTGAGATTAGGGTACCCTGTCCGGTCATCGAAGCCTGCGAGCAATTCTGAGACGATCTACTGTTTCCGAATATATCCCTGGCCCTTCCCAGGTCAAGCTGAAGGAATCCAGGACAGCACGTCCCCTGTCAGCCATGGAGTTAGTGCAGAGATCACTGCCGCTGGTACTTTCACCCCCGCTGACGGTGGACAACGATGTCAATCACAATGGGGTCATTATGGTTATCACATCTTTTGCGCTTTTTCTGGTGCTTGGGTCGTTGGGCATTCGGGTATACTCGGCCTACAGCCGAAGAGCCCGACAAATGGATGACTGGGCTTTTGCCTTCACTGTGGTATGCTTCTGCGGGCTGCCCTATATTGAGCACAAAAGTAACTTATGGTGGACTTTAGGTGTTTGCTTTGACCCAAATTTCCGTCGTTTTTGCCCAAATCAATTTTGGCTGGGGCAAAGAGGGATCGCTCATTGCCACAGGACACCGGAGTCAAATGGACAAAGTCAGTGGCAGTGCCGTCAACGAGATATAGATACTAACTATGCTTGCAAGTTAGGCTGTGTATAGCGCAGATATTCTCTACGTTTCGACACTCGTGTTGTCCAAAGCATCTACCTCGGTCTTTTATCGGACTATCACCACCCGGAGCTCCCAGTGGATAATCCATGGGATATTAGGGCTCGTGGGTCTGTGGGCGCTGATAGCGATTATCATGCTCGCTATCCGATGTGGCTCTCATCCATGGCAGGATATCAACCAAGAGTGCCCGAGTCTGGTAAAGATTGAACTTTTCAAGCCGTAAGACATTGACATACTAACATATCCTCAGTTCCCCCGGTGGCAGGCAACCGCTGCGCTAGACATAATTCTGGACACAGTTCTAGTATTATATCCTATGAAAGTGATCCCTCGCCTCCACACAACTCTCACCAAAAAGGTGACTGTTCTCTTGGTTCTGAGTTGCCGTGTCCTGTACGTACCAAGTCTCATGCACTTTTGGTGCAAACAGTGTTCCCTATCTGACACACTCTCGGCGTCGTCGCAGACTCATCCCCACTTCGGCTGTTCATCTCCATTATATGCATCAGCAAATCAATTCGTCGAACCCGACTCTCGTCGGGAGCTTCGCAACGATAGCTGCGGAGCTCCATGTGGCACTTAGTGTGGTGGTTTTGATTGCGCCTCTGATGAAGCCATTCATTGCAGCTTATATCGATGAGAATGGCTTTGCCTACACAGACTGCGCATCGAAATCGGAAAGTCCCAGCAGCTCCCGTTCTCGCGCTTACAAATTTCTTCCGCGGAAAACTCCTGGGCCCAGTCCATGCTCAAGCGAGCTTCAAGGAGGAAATCGTATAGTGAAAAGTGTTCAAATCTCAGTGGATCACGAAACTATGGAGCTCTCCGGGCAAAGTGCGGCGTTTCCAGAGTGCCAACCACCAACAGCACGATGAATAGTCATCCAGAATCGAGTGAATTCGGACTTGATAATCCTGAATACACATGCACTGTTTTCCATGCCTGTGCATTGTCAAAGGGACGTTGTATTTGATTCAATGAATCAACAAGACGCCTTCGGGTTTCCATGGCTAATCTTGTGCCAGTAGACTAGTTAATTCCTGTCCCCAACTGGAATACGGATAAATTCCAGGATACGAGTAGCTGAGTGCAAATCGAAGCATGCTGAAGTCAAGGTGTATAAATACAATCCGGAAAATCGATCAAATGATGGAAACAGGGCCCGCAGCCTCACGCAATCTTGCGTTTTTAACGCATGCCAAGCCGATGCTCCCGATCGTGGCGCGTCGCGTGGCTTTCGATGACCGAGTAGTATGCACTTAAAGCTCATTCTGAACAATCTACCTACGTAGCTATGTGGAAGGTTCCTGACAGTCGTGAACCTTCTCATCTTTAGAATTGCTGGTTGCTTGGTAAGTGTAATTTCATTCGTTTCTTTGCTGCAACTTCATGCATACCTTTCTGCATTTGGTGGCTCTTCGATATATGAACGGATAATGCGTAACAACTTCGTTGCTCTGGCGGCACCAAACCCTATAGTATCCATGATTTCAGTGATGACATGACACAATGCGCCGGAAATGTCACGGTTTGACAATACAGAGGACTCGAAGGCAGCGAATCGTGTGTCAGAGCCGGCTTGTTTCGCTCACCAAGACAACCCAAGACACCTACGTCCGATTGACATCTCCAGCACGCGCCTATGCCATCGTGCGGCTCGAGGCAGACAATCTGTGTTTTCCCCCGGGTGCGCAACCCTCCAAGACGTAGCCAAGGAGATTATCTAAGTATTCCAACCAGGGAATATTAAAGCGCGACGAGTAGTATAGATAAGTTCCTACTAGTATATATAGGGTGCTTGATCATTCTAGCTTTGACGGAGCAACAGTAGTAGACGGCGACATTAGAGGATTTAATGTCAAGGTCCCCGCATATAGAGATATGGCGTTCGAAGGGTTTTCGCTCTTCGCAAGCAAGAACTGAATGCTAAATATTACTGAACAGAAGAGTCGATCGAATTGTCCCAAGATAAAGCTTTCCGTACAGAAATTAATATTATCCGGAAGAAAACGGGCATTCGTCGTCATTTTTATCGGCTTTCAGAAGCATGTTACAGCATCAACATGGTCTAAGATTCGAGGTGAAGTTTTGCGTTGGACCACTACTTATTCCCGACCATAGTTGAACGTCCTTGCATCAATGATTTCCATGCTGTGACCATTTTGGCTCTGTCCGCATAAGCCTGCAGGCCTTCTGGGATCAACTCGCTTCGTCCGATATCTCTCATCCGTTCGATGAAAACAACCAAGTGCGCATCAAGTGCAGTTGGCTTATCAAGTCCAAATAGCCACATACCAAGACCTTTCTGGCCATCTTCCTGGGAAAGATACCGCTCCAAGTTTATCATTAATTCTCGTGTCTTCTCCACATTCATCGCAATACTGTCTGCCTTGAGACCCTCTATTTTTTCTCGTTCAAGACTGTAGAGAAAAACGTCGTTATTTGTCGTTCTCCAATACGGATATAACAAATTTTTCACAAGAGGTCAAAATTCCAAAATAAGGAAACCATTATGAGATCAAGGGTCATAAATCTGAAACTTACATTGACATCTTGTACTCCAAGGCTTTCTGATAGTTTTCATTGCCTTCCTCGATGGCTTGATTTAGCCTCTCCTGAACCTTCCCTTTCATTGCCTGCGAGGCCTGAGGTCGGCTTGAAAAGCTCAGACTAAAGAAATTGAGGGAATGTAGTGCGTTTAGGGCTGTGTTGATCTCTTCCGTATGAGATGCTGGAAGAAGTGACGGATAAATTTTTGACAAAAAGTGGGTGATTTCGAGAGAGTCTGCTATCGGTCTGGATATTGAAGGAGAAGTCAAGACGGGCACCTATCTCTTCGCATCAGTTTACGGTCGGGGACAACAGCTGACGGGGGAAATGTAGAGAAATACCTGGCCCTTCGGATTTATGTTCTCCAGAAATCTTTCCTCGAGTTGATCACCGTTGAAGAGATCCACAACCTCTTCAGAGACAGAAGCCTTTAAAGACGGATCTTTTGGCTCCCCACGGAGCGCAATTGTGTAGCGAACCATGAGTGAACATATGGAAAAAGGATAGTGGTATAACACATATGAAGGCATGTTCATTACAGAGCTTCTCAAGCTATATGAATGGCAGTTGTGCAGAACAATTCGAATGTGAGACAAAATTTAGCGGAGGGGTTTCTTCTCGTGAATTTGGTTAACAAAGGTGCGAAATCAGTGGGCATTTCCACGACCAAATATATGAAGAAGGCTTCTGCCCTCTTGTCTCAGTTGCCCCGCACTTACATCCTTGCGTCAGAACCCGTAGCATGTCAGGCTAGTCCCTCCGCGTCTCAGTTCCCCCAAAGCCAACCATTCATCGTTTGCATAGATATTATAATTGTCGATGGGCCATTAAGAGTTTTTGATAAGCACGGCGATATAGATGGTTCTGTTTGAGAAAATCCGGTGAGCACTGGTACAAACCAACGACAATCACTCGAGTTGATGAGGTCATGAAGCTTTGGAGAGCAAACTCTAGCTATACTCGTACTATACCCTTCCACCGCTTCACCCCACCATTTATCATTCCCCGTTTACCACCCCCATTTTCCACTCTCTTCTGTGAAACCAGCCCTGCCCTTCTTTTAATTATTCCCTCTTGAGGCACCCTAAATGTGTGTGTGCCTAAGGGGAGGAGGGCATCCCTGATATAGTTCGAAATGTCGAATGGGATCCGTCTCATTCATCGAGCAATCAACAGACGCGACGCGACGCGTACCTATAGACTATAGATAGAAGAAAGATAATATCAGCGAGCGAGATCCTTCGTTGTGGTCGCGTCTAGATCAGCTGGTTACTCAATATATACGAAGCCCCGTAGTTATTATGTATGAATTCCTGGCCTATAGGCTGTTCTTTCTTTGTTTTTGCAATTAATATATTGTCTGTTGGACTGACTCCCTGGATACGTAAGAATTGTGACGGTAAACCAGCCGCCTCCGGTAGCGATCGGCTCCGGGATCACGGGGTTAGCCGCTCACTGAGGCGCTCTGAGCGGTACCTAAGCTGGCCCTGAGGTGCTCACTGAACAATCCAAGCGCTTACCCCGTTGCTCAACCCCAACCAACCCCTTCAGCTCTTATCGTGCTTCTGGTCCTTCGCCTGCTCCGATGCTAACCGCCTTGCTGCCTACTAGAGTTCCTAGGAATCTAGGAGAAGGAAAAAAAGGTATTCTGATGTCATTGATGACTCTCGCCTTCCCCTCCTCCTTTCTAGTGATCAATTCGATTGTCTTGAACCTGCCTCGGAAATTAAACACCCTCATCTTTGCGTTTGATCTTTTGCATTGCCAGAACAGACCTCGAATCCCAGCCCCTTTTCAGCTAGGCTACGTAAACAGATGACTGCCTCCTCTTCCTTGCCCTCGTGGGCTGTGCTCAGCACTCTGTACCATCTTTGTCACTATCCAATTCCACTTTGGGCAAATCCCTACACTTGTCCGTCTTGGCTCTCAAACGCATAGCTCATCCATGTCTCCGCCGAAGATGGCATTAGCGGCCCGAAATAATTTATTATTAGGTCACGTCACCTATCCTCCGCACTGTGGAGTTAACCGAGGTTTTCTGGAGCTCCTTAACTTTTTCTTACCTCGTCCATACTGTTGAAATTTTCACCAATCAACGTGTTAACCCTAATATCAAAAGTTTTGGCATCCAGCGCCACAATACTCAGCTAGGTGTTTTGAGGTCTCCCGCCTCATGCAGCGTCTAGTAGTTATGCCAGAGGGCTTAGGCGCTATGCAAAGTAGATAGAAATCTTATGTCGCATTATGATTTCAATGCAGAGTATCAGGAACCCGAAACATCATGATCGTCTTTTCAAGATTTTCAAAACACTTCCATCATGAAGTGATACTCGATACGAGACCTGTCTTCGTATCCCCGCTGCGTCAACAACTTGCACCTTTCTGAGAGTTCATAACCCAGTGTAGGTGAACCACAGAAGAACACCCCGATCTTTACTTTCCGGCCTGTATCTTTGGCAGAAACCTGCATTAGATTGTAGTGTTCCTCCATAATTGTTGATAGACAAGGTCGACCAAAGTGAGTTGGATTGATAAGGCCAGTAAGTGGTGAAGCAGGATGCTCTGTTGTTCGGTGATTTTCCAGTAGATATCGGAATACATGTGTGCAGATGTCCCTCCGCTTTTGAGTCACATGCGTATGAATTCGAATATTCAACTTTGGGTTGTGAATAATCTCGTCGGCAGTTGAACATCGTAGACTGTTAAGAAGATCAGAGAACCATAGAAGATGATTGTGGTCCCTAACAATCCAGTGCAACTCAATTGTTCGCTTTTTATCAAAATCGACGCCATCCTTCGCAGATTGCATTCGTGCATGGCTTGCGTGGCGTGTGGGACCTAAACCAACAACTGTCTGGCCTGGTTTAGATTCAGTCAGGGAGGGCACATCGCCCCCTCGATGTCGGTTCCATTTATTCTGGAGATCTGTTAAAATTCCGGCAAAAGGTGTAATGCCAATCCCGGAGCCGATGATGATAGTATGATCAAATTCGTAGAAGCGCTGTGCAGGCGCACCAAAGGGACCGTCGATCCCTACGCATCGTAGCTTTTGACCGTTCTGCAATTTCCGCAAACTCTTGGTCCAATTCCCGTCTGTTTTGATGTGTATCTTTATTTCGTTGTCGACGCAGGAAGAGATAGTGAAAGGGTGCCATTGAAAGAGTGAAATCTGAGGCACTTGGACAAGAACGTATTGTCCCGCTTTATAGGGCCATATGCCTCGTCTCGGTAAAGTGGTTGTAATAGAAACAGTGTCTGCATCAAGAATTGTCATCTCCGCAGGTACGTGATGGAAGCCCAGGAAAAATCGGTAACCTCGTTCAACTACCACAAGCAAGGTGGGAAATGCGAGCCAGTATCCTAACATTGGTGGTTGCAAAAGTGCGTCTTGTCCATGTGCGATCAGTAAGCCAATCATAGGAAACATTAACAAATGAGCCCCTTGAAATAGCTCATAATTAAAATTTCTGACAGCTGGCAGACTGAAAATCAAGATAAGCCAGAAGATACCGAATGCTGTGAGTCCAGTCCAACCAGGAAGAGACGCCACATAGGCGACATATGGCCGAGGGACTGACTGGGGGCCAAATATCGCAGCTACGGCTGGCTCGTTTTGCGGCCTACTTCCATGAACGAAGGTCCCAGCCAGATGGCCAATCGTGTGGAGCACGGCCAAAAAAAGAGTCACCAAAGATATTTTGACGTGGAATGACTGAGACAGATCCCAGTTGATAAAGCGGCTTAGTACGACCGACTTTCTAGCGAACGTCGACAGATATCTCGACATCGACAGAATCAAAAAGAAAAGGGTTGAGTATACTACGTGGTACCGTTAGCTCGAGTCTGATCCGTTTATTAAATGCTCTGCTTACAGGCGCCGGCTGAGCTCCTGCTGAGGACCACTCCCCATCCTAGGGCTCGCCGCCACTGGGGTTCAGCGATGTATATCACCATTTTCCATACTGTAATAGCGACAGTAATTGATGTCACAAACAAGACAAACATCACTTCTGGACCGCGAACCGACCAGAATGCCCTTAGTCGCCTCCAAAGAGGCATGGAATTGACGAAAGTTTTGTTTGCTTCTTCGTCCTTTTTGTCTGGTTCTAGCGACGGGATTCTCCATCGATGGACGATATGCGCAAACTCTGCGGAACTGATCCGGTCACTCTCTGTTGATATGATCCTGCGCAAGAACTGATGCCGATCGATGTCGTCACGGCTATCGTGGTAAAGATGATGCGGTGTTGGATAGGCTGTTATTTCATGATGAACCTTGTCAAGCATAGATTCCACTTCGTTATATTCAATAAAGCCATCGTGGTTGGTATCAATGGCAGCGATAAACTCGTCAACCTCCTCCTGCGACAGAGGCTCAGCAGCCTCCATGATAGGACCGAACGAGATTAACTAGAGGAACGGGAAGCATATAACTCGCTGACTTTGTAGATTTCACGTTATGCAATTTTTGTGTCTTGAATACGCAGCAGTACTGAGAAAGATCAAGAGTATGCATTGTAAGCGAGCGCCTAAGACTACTCTTAATGTTAGTTCACCGAGCTCACTAAATTTCCTGAAAAAGGTCCGAGTATAAAAGTCATGATATCACGAGCCACACTGTGGAGCTAACTTCTAGCAGCACCTGTCTCTAAATGACTCATAGAAATGCTTCTCCGCGCATCCATTTCAGCGCGATTGAAACAGGGCTTGCAACTACCACTGATGCTGTAATGGCTCAATATTGAAAGTGCTTTCAGCGATAACCTATTCAAAGCCCTGACTAGGTGTATATTACATTCGTCTTAAGGGCGTCGAACAACTCATTCGCTTTGGCTGACGGGATAGTCTCGTCTTTTGAGGCGACGCGTTGCTTAAGTAACCATTATGTCATATTTCAGAAAAACTACAGGAATTTTGTTAAAGACCCCCCAATTGTAGTAGTTGGTGTATCCCTTAGGCTTTTCACGAACTTGGGTCGTATGCTGAGGAGAACGGAAGGCCTCTCGGATCATAAGACAACTTGTGACCCCACCGCCCCCTCTCCTCCCTCTCTGTGCTAGCTTCATTGAGCATATGATATACACATGGCAAAAGTGGGTCCGTGTATATCACGTGAGATATATGACTAAGATTTGGTAAAACGGACGCAGAAAATGGTGTCAAAAGTTATCCATTTTCGGTGTCCGATTTACCGTCACTTAGCGTTTTGGTGTATTCCAATACATATAAAGCAATAATAGTACTTTAAAGAGAGAGATAGAGAGCTAGGGACAGAGAAAGGATCCATAGCAGCTGTACTTAAGGCAAGCTAAATCGGCCAAATGAATACTACTACTAATACAATGAAAGAATTTCAAGCTAGAAGCAAACACCGTAGTATCTAAGTGCATACCTTCGATGGCCATGTTTAGCAGTTAAATACGATGGATTTCTGATACTTCATCATTAGCAGAGCACCACTAGGTGACGGCAAATTGGACGCCGGAAATTGTTATTTTTAGCGCTATTTTCTCCGCCTTTCTACCAGAATCTTAGTCACCGTTTACGTACGTAACCTTGTTCCACTAGGAGCCATATTATGGTTTTCCTGACCGAGCAGAGGCTGTTCGAAGAGACACCGGACTTAGGCGTCTTTGGTGATTTTTGGCGGCTCCTCATTGTGTCTGGCTTAGTCAGCCTCTCCAATACCGGCCGCTTCTGTCAACGTGGTGCCAAGAGTGGACTCAGTTCACCCTTTAGGTAAACGGGGTGAACTGAGGGTTCCATTTTGTCTTCAAGATAAATGTAACATTTCAGGTTCCGGCTATTACACAATGGATATATATATTCTTGCTTTTCTTGTCTGCCCAAATTCCAATTTTTGAGAATCGGTCGATACTACCTATTATCAGAGGTATTCTTGAAGTTTTACTTATCTTGATTTCTTTGATCTCCCTTTCTTTGTCATTTAAATGCGCTACCTTACCACCAATATTCCTCTGTTGCTCACTGCATCGGCTACTCTCATCTCCGCTCAAGATGCAACTATCACAGCAGCGCCGGCAATGAGCACAAGCGGCAACTCGAATTGCGCTAATCCACAGTACGCCTATATCTAATTTGAGTTTCTACAGTGAAAGTCCTTTTCTTACGGGCAATAGACTAGTAAACCAATGCGTCGCGGTTATGAAGTCGCAACTCGAGATATGCGGCACTGACGATTGGAATTGCAAGTGTACGGGCAGTGCAAATATTGCTAAGTGAGAATACCTCTTGCTTTACATTCCACATACATTCTCGACCACAACCTAAACCTGTACAACTACAATGCTAACATAACCGAAAAGCTGCTACGAGGACTGTCCCGATGATCCAGACCATTTCGCCGCTGAACTACTTAGTGAACAAATTTGCGCGACCGATAACGCATACAACAAGGGTCAAACGTCCGTGGCAACAACCTGGACCACCCCTGGCGCCAACCCCGCCGAGGCGACCGCCACAGGTGCCAGTACTACAACCGCAGGTGACGGCTCGTCATCTACTGGTGGGCGGACGAAAGCGGCGAGTACTTCAGAGGGGGCTGCGACTGTGAAGGCTGTTGGTAACTTGCTAGCCTTCCTAGAGTTGGGGCTAGTTATGGGCTTGGTTTAAGGGGCTTGTAATTTCAATTTATCATCACGTTAAAGTAATTAATTTGAAAATATTACATGGATTAAAATACCCCCTCTCGAGGAGATATATTGAATTAGAGGTAGACACTTAAGCAAGGGCGTCTGGTTGTTTGCTAGTTGCAATCGAGTTATTAAGGTTGCATTCCACCCGGACTTGGATTAACCCCAACACATTCCTCGGCCGCCGGTCCAGCTTTCCGTCAGCCTGGTTTCCATGGGCCTTCTGCCAGTGCCTGGCCCGACCGATTCACTGCGACCACGGAACAACAGAACCCCATCTCCGATTCGTCACACGCGTTTTCTGTATATCGATGATAGGATGATGTATCCTCGATCTTTCGGGGCAGTGTTACCGTCACCAATATTACGATAGAAGGCGGAACGGACATGGATGGGTGCGGGCCAAGGAACACGTTCGTTATGGCTAGTGTTATCAATCTGGTGGTCTATGGGGCGACCCTAGTCCACGGCTACTACCCAAGTCCCGTCCTAAACTTTCGCATCCGCCGCGTCCTCATAACCCACCGCAACCAGTAGACATACCTACCTTTCTAGGTCTCTGTGAAAAGTAGGTTCCGTCGGCTCTAGCTCTCCTCCTGTAGTACGCTACCGCTAAGGCCGCAGCCTCCCGGCCTTAGCCACATCAGCTCGTACACATCGGCATATTGGTGTGGCCATATCCGCAACCCCTCAGTCGAATAAGAACACACGAAGTCCAATTCACCCTATTCGCATCGGTATGCGTAGGGAAATCCCTGCTTTTCAGAGTCCTCCATGAACCGCAGCGCGTCTTCTGAAAGTGGACTGTCTGCCGTTCCTAGGACGATATCGAGACCTTGCGTAGGATCTCGTGACTGCTTCTTACCAACGCCACCATTTTGGACATGCATGTCTTCGTACGTTTAGTAATGGCGTATCTAATAGCTAGTTACAATCAATATTCCTTCATCAAATTAACGAAAATGTGACAGTTATGTCTCGAAAACGCACATGTCAGTCACCCCCTCCCGCGACGCGTTCGCGAACTGTGCCGCAAGATCTACCAAGCAACTACAAATATATTCCTAGACTATCTGACCAACAGCGGTTTGATATATAATGCTTCAGCAGTTGCATGAACAGCATCGATGGGGCCTCAAATGCCTTCTTTACCACCTAGTAACAGCGCAGCCAGAAGAGAAACATGCCTGGTCAATTGAGTACCGGGCACGGAACTATTTCAAGTCGTATATGAGCTAGAGTATGTGATAGCTGAACTGCACAAGGTCCCTAAGAATGCTGAGTCATTGAGACTCTCAAAACTGGTCAAGCTCATTCACAAGGAGCTTGCCAAGTTTGATAACCCTCAAGTTGGGCTTGGTCAATTCATCACATATGAGACAGTTGATCAACTGCATACAGTACATGATTTCCTCAAGCAAGTAAACGTCCACCAAGAACTTTCTTCACATTTGACATGCGCATAAAGAATAAGGACCCTAATCACTAGCACTTCCCGCTTCCTTCTCGATCAAAAGGAGTTTTGGACCCTCTGTCCGATATACCGAACCCCTCGAAGAAAAACCAATACCAAAAGACCTTCCACGCAAGCACGAATAAAAACTGCACTAGCACGCCAAATATTCCACCCATTGGTTTCCCCAGCGGCATCCTTCATCCCCTCCAAATAAACCTCCATTATTAAAGCCGCAGAGCAGAAACAGAAACCAAGCGCCGCCCCAAGGCCCCGCGCCTTTCTATCTTCCCAGGTCCGGTCATCAAACGGAACACGCTGAGATGAAGTTTGATCATGCATCTGTCGGTTGTGTGTCTCTAGATCGACTTGTGGCAAACATTGCAGGACCAATTGGCCAAATGGATAGCCCAGGTATGCCCCTAGGTGATAGATCACAGCAACGGCGGCAGCGAAAGTTGTACAGGCAATGGCAATCGCCCCGGCGATCTGGACCATTTGTATTGAAATATCCATAATTTATGAAAGGTAGGAGGCACTCAAGAAGGTCCTGAAACTTGATGGTATGAAATTAGAGAGGGGACTAAATCGGGGCCAGGCCGTATTTAAGATAAATAGGACAGAATAGGAGGCCCTAGCAGGCCCCGGTAGAGGGAGGCTCGTGGGGGCCAAAGGTTAGTGGGGTCTGAACTTGGACCACACACCCCACTGTTTTCAGGTTTCCTTTTCTTTTTTCTTTCCTTTTTTTACTTTCTTTTTTCGACAGAGTGACCATGTACCGCATAAATTGCACTATGCGTACCCATCTTTTGATTTCGGGACCGAAATCATCGATGTTCACGCCGCCTGAAGCCACGTCCTGAACAATAACTTTCTCCGTAAAATGCGAAAACTGCTAGCGTTACATACCTAAGATAGCTTCACATGTGCCCTTAACTGCTCCTAACTTATGGGCTTTACTTATCTGTATCATAGCACAGCAGCGCTCAAGTGCACGTGATACATCTCAGGAGTATCAGGGCAGTTGAAACGGATATTTAGCCTGAGTTTCTTTCCCCGACAGAATAGACGTGACCACATCACCAGTTGTTTTTCGATGGTAGTCCAAATGATGTCAGTCTTATCGAATCGCTTGGCCAGGTCACGCTGGGAACAATTGTTTACAGATACAACAATCGCAGTATCATTGGCCCTTACCCTTCGGTCGCGGGAGGCTTTGGCTTGGACGTTGTCTAGCTTCTTCTCCAAGACCACTTGCCTAGTAGGCGCCTGGCGCCAGAACCACGTCTTCTTCTGTGTCCTTCACCAGAATCTTTTTATTGATTGCAACTCGCCACTCTATCACATAGTGGATACACGTCCGGGGTTCCTCGTCGTAAACTCTTCCGTCTTTCCACTTGTTGAGATCGCATGGCCACGGTCATGTGCCACTCCCTCTCCAAGAGCCGTCTAGATAGTTGTTTAGATAACCTTATTACTTCCTACTCTAGACAATTTCAATCAATCAATTTGCACTCTTTCATTTTACTCCCAGAGCGCCAGCATTCAGCTCTCAAGACCACTCAGACAGCTGGAGCGGTCTAAAGGTATCTTGCTCTTGCCGTGATTGGCTTGTCAAATTGGGTCCGTTCTCCTGCACGGTAGGGCAGGGGCTGCAAGTAGATCGCGTGGCGTGGGGGCTGCGAAAGGACCCAGGAGTCGGAGCGTACTGCCAGTTGTGTTCCCATGATTCAGGTCCCTCAGTCTGAGAAATGTAATCAATATGATATGGGCTCGCCACTCCCCATGTTGTAATGAAAACTGCGGGGAAGAAATTTTCAGGAATCAGGTACCCGCCCCCAAATGTCTATATGAGAACGAGGCAGTGTTGATTCGGATTCTGGAGCACGACGGATTTTAGAACTATTGGCAGAACCCAGTGCAGCTACCCCACAACTACGTAAAGTTAGTTACAGCAGAGACGACTCCAAACAGACGATCTGGGCAGACCGTCGTGGCCCACTTGGCCAATGTCAACGCTTCACGTTGCGAGACCGGCATTATTCGGAGTTCGGGAGGTAGTCAAAATTCGCTCGTGTCAGGTTCCAGAACCTTTTGAGTGTGCCGAGGCGTTATCTGATCGAATGAGTGGCGGGCATTGGTGGAGCCTGAATAAACACACAGCCATACATAGCACAACGCAGCTTGGGGCTTACACCCACAAGAGGAAAATTCACCAGATGATCACCATCAGTCCGGTAAAACAGGCTCACTATCCGGAGCTGGAATACTGTCCAGTAAACTAGAATGATGCCTCCTTCTAGAGCGGCAGATCATCGGAATATAGCCGCCAGGTGAGCAATAGTGCTCGACCGTCGTGGCTGTCACTCACGCATAACTCAGGAATCGTACGGATAATAAACAGAAGAAAATAAATTTGGTTTCACACGCCAATGAAGTGGAGTCTCGCCTAGAGGATGTGAATTACCATTACGACACCCAGTGGGTCGTTTCGGGATCTCTCGCCTTATCTGATCGAATAATGGAACTGGAGTCCAAAATTCCCGGCCGTCCAGCTATAAACCCACTGTGCGCCCAAACAAAACCTTACTCTTCCCGATACTAACTACCTACCTCTTTTGCCTTGAAAAGACATGGCCATCCCCCGGGCCAGTGTGCAACGGCTGCAACAGACGCTTTCGCATGTCCAACCAGCGAAAGGGCCAGTGCAGCTCTCGATTGTCGAAGGTCCAACACAGCCAGAGTTGCTGGATATCACCCTTGGAGAGCTACTGACGCTGCAGGCGCTGCAGTATAGCGACTATGAATGCCTGGTTTTCCCCTGGACCGGCGCAAGGTGGACATATAGCGATCTGAAGGATGAAGCGGACCGCCTGGCGCGCGGGCTGCTGGCCATGGGCATCCGAAAGGGCGACCGGATTGGCATCATGGCTGGCAATTGCGAGCAGTACATCTCCGTGTTCTTTGCTGCTGCTCGCGTTGGGGCCATTCTGGTTGTGCTCAACAACACCTACACCCCGTCCGAGCTCTACTACGCGCTCAATCACGCCGAATGCCGTTTGCTTTTCATGACGCCTCGCATCGGGCGTCATGATCTGGAAGATGTTCTCGCCGAACTGGGTCCCCGCCCCAAACTGAATGCAACCTCCAGGGCACTGGAGGAAATCATTATTCTCCGCGGCGAATACAACGACTTTGACACCTACGACACCGTCATTCGGCGCGGTCTATCACAGGCCGCTCATGTGCTGCAGGACCGAGAGTCCGAACTGCGGTCCGGTGATGTTTGCAACCTGCAATTCACCAGCGGTTCGACCGGTAACCCCAAGGCCGCCATGTTGACCCACCAGTAAGTATGCCCGAGTCTCGTCTCCCGGCAAAGCCATGATTGACTGTGGTCTTCTTTGCCTGTAGCAATCTTGTGAACAACTCCCGATTCATCGGCGATCGCATGAACCTCACCTCTTTCGATATTCTCTGCTGTCCACCGCCGCTTTTCCACTGCTTCGGGCTGGTCCTAGGCATGTTGGCCGTTGTGACGCATGGGTCAAAGATTGTCTTCCCCAGCGAGGCCTTTGACCCGCAGGCCGTGTTGCATGCCATCTCGGACGAGAAGTGTACTGCTCTGCACGGCGTGCCCACAATGTTCGAGGCGATCCTGAGTATCCCCAAGCCTCCTCGGTTCGATACATCCAATCTCCGCACAGGAATCATTGCTGGTGCTCCAGTGCCGCGCCCACTAATGAAACGGCTTCTTGAGGAATTGAATATGAGCGAATACACTAGCAGCTACGGTATGGTTGACACGACATTGTAGATCTGATCTACGAGTTTGGCTAAAACCCAGCGCCAGGACTGACGGAAGCTTCTCCTACCTGCTTCAACGCCTTCACTACCGACAGCATCCATACGCGACTCACCACTGTGGGAAAGGTGTTGCCGCATGCACGGGCCAAAATTATCGATACACAAGGCAATATCGTGCCTGTTGGCCAACGAGGCGAGCTCTGCATTGCCGGCTACCAGCTCACCAAGGGATACTGGCATAACCCTGAGAAGACAGCGGAGACGCTCGTGACCGATGCCAACGGGGTCACTTGGCTGAAGACGGGCGATGAGGCCTCGTTTAACGAGCAGGGCTATTGTACTATCACAGGACGATTCAAAGACATCATTATCAGAGGTGAGTCCCGGCCATGCTTGCTCTTGATTTAAACATCCCAGCGTCGCTAATACGTACCACACTACCAGGCGGCGAAAACATCTACCCTCTCGAAATCGAAGAACGGCTCACAGCGCACCCACGAATCGAGCTCGCGTCCGTGATTGGGATCCCTGACCAGAAATATGGCGAGGTCGTGGGCGCGTTCATCGCACTGCCACCGGGCGATGGCGCTCGTCCACCGGATGAGGAACTGCGCGCCTGGACACGCGAGACGCTTGGGCGGCACAAGGCGCCACAGTATATATTTGTGTTTGGCGAGGAGGGCGTGTCGAGCACGATTCCGGTGACGGGCAGCGGGAAAGTGCGCAAGGTGGATTTGAGGCAGGCGGCGGCGGCGGTGTTGGCTCAGCGAGGCGAATAGATTTGACCGGTGTCTTGGCCGTCGAGTCAATGTCGCACATGAGTTGCGGCTCCAAAATATAATATAGATCTGTCATGCAAGAGGACTTATTCGCCTGAGGTATATTTCTTCGCAGTTTAACTCTCTAACCGATAGCTATCGCAAGTAGTTCACAGGCAGGTGGGCTCCAGGCAGAAAGCGAGTTCATTTTGGTTAAGCGACTTGGCAATGGCGTCAATAACAATCACAATACCACCAAGTCCAGTAATTTTTGTTTTTACCATCAGATTAGATCCGTCGGGCGATCATTACGACTTTGGGAAAGATCCTGTATTACCGGTGGACCATCTACAATTCTCGGGAACCATCCCCAACGCGGAGCAGCATTATGCCGTCGGCGACCTAGCAGCCCGATCAAGAACCACGGTGCCATGCAGATGGCCCAGTTAGCCGCAACCAACATCCGTCAACCCACGCTAGCCGAGTGTGGGTCTGGCAAGCCGACGTCCACCACTCTCGAGCCCTTTCCATCGGTGATGGCGCTGGCACTCAAACCCAAAGCGGTTGTATACACCCGACAGACGGAACGAGTGACAGCTAAGATCTCCTTGCGAGAATGTTTGGGTGGGTATGGGCAATGCCCGTGCGTGGTTGTGCAGAGTTCTCAAGTGACACACGCTGACTCGACTTGCAATGTACTGAAATTATACGAGGCTGAGCGAGCCATGCGAGACATAAACGATCTGCCGGGAGAAACCAGAGTTTTCCTTCCAATGAATTGGCATTGGTTTGTTTCTCAGGCTTGCAATGGTCAGCGTGATGTTTTGGATTCTCCAAACGGTTGGCTGGTCCGTTGTCAAAGTCGGGGTGCAAGTCGGGGAGCATTATGCGATTGCGTATTTATATGCAAGCGTCGATATATATTGAATGGGGCATGGTACGCCCATGTTCAATGATCAAGGGCTGTCAATGGGTATTGCCAGGTTCCTCCGCCCCTCCCACCTCTGCAAGCCGCGCTCCCCCCAGCACGATTCACACTCGGAAGTATTCTTCCCGTGACTGTCGCGGGCGCCCCGATTGAACTGGCGGCAGACCAGACAGAAGACAAAGAAGTGTCCCTGGACCGTAATCTGGGCCCCGGGGCCATACCGAGCCGTGCCGTCATCGTCGCGCGGCTTCAATCCGCACTCGATGCAAAAGCGTTTATCGCCGTCGCGAGCCCCTCTGCTGCGCCGCCGGCGCAGCATACGGTCTGCGAAGCGAGACGATGGTCGTAGCCGCAGGCAGTAGCGACAGGTGTAGACATCGCGGCGGCGGGCCCACTCGGTAGCCTCGGCTTCAAGCAAGTCGGCGTGGGACGGCGGCGGGGCAAGCTCGTAGAAATAGGTGCAGGTCAGACGCAGCTCGAGAGTATCGGGGACCGGTAGGTGCTCGAGGATGAGCTGGTGTAGCTCGGGCGGGAGGCGGAGGAGGTGCGAGTCAGGCATCAATGGGAAGAATCATGACAGGGGGGAGTGTGTGCGTCACTCAATCCACATTATCAGCACGGGAGTGGCTGCAGCCTGGGTCTGCCCTGCACTAACTCATCCTGGTGGTTTCATAAAGGTCAATAGTTGGTTATTGAATTCATAACTAGTTGATCTGATTAGAAATCGATGTTCCATTCGCTTCCATCCCCACCGGGCCATGACAAATGCGAACGAGGGGAAACAATGCTGGACAAGTATATACTTGAACAGCGCCATTTAGAGTTATCAGGAACCACGCTGCACTCGCCATCTCCAGACACAATGGCACCATTCGGCACAATCTACTCCTACTTGCCTAGCCCCCGGGTCATCAAGGTATGTTAACCCCGTACTCTTCCTGAATGGCTGCTAACAAGCCACATCCCCACAGGCCCAGGCGGCAGCCAACCTCAACGGCCTCGATCTCTCCGTCCCAGAGTTTGCAATGGGCAAGACCAACCGGACCGATGAGTTTATCGCTAAGTTCCCATTGGGCAAGGTGCCGACCTTCGAAGGCGCCGACGGCACGACCCTATTCGAGTCGGACGCCATCGCGGAGTATATCGCCCTGAGCGGCCCGGCAGCGGGCCAGCTGATGGGCAGCACACCCGCCGAGAAGGCCACCATCCGGCAGTGGATCTGCTTTGCTTCGGGCGAGGTGCTGGATGTGGTGACGCAGCTGGCGCTGTGGCGACTCAAGATTAGGCCCTACGACGAAGCTACCGAGACCAATGCCCTGCAGCGCATTGAACGCTCGCTGGCTTTCCTTGATACCCACCTCAAGGGCCGGACCTGGTTGGCGGGTGAGGGTAAGATTAGCATGGCTGATATTACGGTCGCGTCGGCGCTGGTCTGGGGCTTCTCGATGACGATTGATGCGGAGATGCGCACCAAGTGCCCGCTTACGGTTGCCTGGTATGAGCGTGTCCTTGCCGTGGATGGCGTCAAGGAGGCCTTTGGCGAGAAGAAGTTCATTGAGAAGCGCCAGGCTTATGAGGGTTAGATAAATAGATCGATAGAATACAGATCTTCGAATGACACGAAAAATGTTCTTGTATTCATTCATACAAAGGCATTGTATTACCAGACTAGGGATATCGTAAACAGACAGCACCGACATGGCGTAATATGGCCCGAACGAATATACTCGCTCGTGAAATTATTTCTCACAGTCGAGCCATCATATTCCCTGCAGTCCGCGATTTGCCCAGAACGCGCGCGATGTTCCGACTGGCCCAGTCCGCAATCGCCATGTTGGTGACCATGGGGTTCACGCCACTGGCACTCGGGAAGACAGACGCATCCACCACGTAGAGGCCCTCGGCGTCCCAGACTTGGCAATCCGGATCCACGACACTCGACTTAGGCGACGTGCCCATCCGACAGGTGCCCATCTGGTGAGCGCTGGCGAACGTGGCCTGCTCCGGGTTCAGGGGCGACTTACGTCGGAGCTCAGCAATCCAGCTCTGCAGGGCAGCGTCGTTAGTACCCTCAGGGGCCTCTGGGTCCGAGGCGCTGGGGCGGATGAAGGGCGGAATGTCACGGTAGGTCGTGTGGAATTCCTTGGCGCCTGAAATGTACGCAATTTTGGCACAAGCGATCAGTCCCTCCACGATGTGCTTGCGGTCAAAGGTGGAGACGGCGTAGTCGATACGGACACGTCCATCTGCTGGGTCTGGGTAGACCCGCCCAGCATCACGATCTTTGGTAAGGGTGATAAAGCTAGTGCTGTGGTTGAGGCTGGCCGAGAACAACTTGTAGTCCAACCCGTCCCGCCAGGGGAATATAGGAACCACCACAGAGGGCATCATCGATACCGATTCGATCTTCACACCGTGCCCTTTGCCATCTAGGTCCTCAAACTCGTTCACCACGGTCGTCAGCGCACCACCCTCCCACGGACGAGTCTCCTCGTCAAAAATAGCACCACCTCCGAGAACTATGAAGAGAAATGAGCGCTGGTGTCATATACTTCGAGCCACGAACACGTACCTGGATGGAGATAGAGATTTCGGCCAATCTGTGCGTTCTTCAGGCCGCTCCGCAGCAGTAGCAGTGGACTCTGCAATGTACCACATGACACGACAACCTTCTTAGCCTTGATGATCACCTTGCGGCGCACTGCTCCCTCGCCGCTCAATCCTAAATATAAATCGCGCGAGGTCCATGTTCCTTCCACTCCGGATGCAACTCGCTTGCCACCGACCTGGGTAAAGAGCACTTTGTCAGCGCGGAAGCCTTCGGCAAAGGTCGCCCCAGCCTTCGCAGCATCAGCCAGCCACGATTCAATCGGGCCCTTCTTTCCCGTTGAGTGGCAACCCATCGTGCAGTAACCACAGTAGTGTGTGCTATTACCCGTATTCTGTGGGACGGCTTTGGCGGCATAGCCTAGTTTGCGTGCGCCTTCTAGAATGACATTGTTCTGGCGGTTGTGGCGGATATGCTCAGTGTTCACCCCCATCCGATCGCAGACACGATCAAGGCTTCGCTGGAACTCGAGTGAGGTGAAGAATGGCAAGCCGGTGTTTGCCCACTCCTGCCGGACATATCCCTGCGTCTGCAAAGATGCAGCCCAGTTCACTGTGCCACCACCTCCCCAGGTTGAGCCTGCTAGGACGGCCATAGACCCATCGTCGCTGATAACGGCACCTCCTGCCTCAAACATATTCGTAAACCCTTCGTTGGGCCCCATAGGAAAGGAGTTGGTAGCGTATGAGTAGGACTTCTCTACCACGAGCACCTTATTTCCTGCTTCGGCCAAGTTCTTCGCGGCAACGGCACCGCCACAGCCGCTACCTACCACCACGACATCGATCTCAATCGTCTCTGGCTGGTCTCCTGGAGGAAATTGTAGAAACTCGAACGGGAACCCGTCGGCTGGCTTCCCATGAACTGGGACACGCGGAAACCCGAGCACTGGGTTAATCGTTGGGCTGGCAATCACCCACGATTTCTTGACGATCGCAGTAAGGGCCCGATACACGGCCCGGAGAGGCGGCAATCGCGATGCATCCCATCCACGAAAGATCTTCTCGCGGACGGCCATGGGCTGCTGGTGGATCGGTGTGATCGATCCGGTCAGGAGCAACGACCCAGCACGGGTACTGTTGCCGCGATTAGCATGCAGTCAATCGTAATCAGAGGTGGTAGTCACCTACTTGAGCGCATTGAGAATTAGTCCAATGCCGCCCCGCCCTTCCTCATGCACAAAGGCGCCGAAGATGCGCTCGATGCAGGCACGGAAAGCGGGATTAGACGAAACATTCTCTTCCAAGTACTGAACTGCAAGCTTCGCCGCATCCGGTCCCGGGATGGTGGTCTTCAGCTTTGATACAGCCGTATCCCACTCTGCCTGCGAGATAACTCTGTCATTCGACGACTTGGACGTGGATGAGGTGCGAATCGACGGGATGATCGCATCAGCCAATGCGAATAGGATCTCCCACTGGGCCTCCGAGAAGTACGAGGTCGCAGGGACTGGAGGCAGGGGAACCTCCACCGGCACATAGGTGGCAACAGCCAGGTCCGCCATAACTTGCCGAGGGTGGTTCGATATGAAGGAGTTCAGAGAGGACCAACAGTTGGCATAGGCCAAGAAGGGGTTTTGGTCAAGTTAGTGGAGAGGGTCACCGAGGCTCAGAGACGGCGCGAGACAGTTTATAACTGGGGACGTGACAGGTTCCCCACGGGCATCAGATCATTTCCTTCCAATTGGGGCTCCACAGCCTAGTGGTTGTTGCGCGGGGGCAATGATGTGCACAGGCGTCAAACCCAACTGCCAAGGAGACGACCGGGCAGATGAAGGGGGCCCGGCCACGCAGCAGCCTCGGTTGGCGATGGGGAACCATTTCGATTATCGTGAGCTGGTGGGTCTTGTAGCCTGGGCCACTCACCGTCCACGGAACCTGAGCAGAGTTGGAGTGCGGGGATCCAAGCGAGCCGAGTGCCAACCCCATGTGAAATCGGCAGGATAGCCGTGGTGATCAGTGCTGAATAGCCAATTCAGTTGTTGCTGGGGTGAGATATAGTTGTTTCCCAGGGCCGAAGAGTAAGAAAGGAAGAGGGAAGAACAAGGGGAGGGGTCAACTCGGAGCCGGTGACTTGCCAACAACAAAACACCTCCCTCATGTCGTCCACCCCGAACCAGACCGGCTGCACGTTGCCGCCTGAAAAGGTCTTCCCCATCCAGATCGGCTCCGATCTATTTCGGCTGTCCGGCGCCTCAATTGCCTCTGATGGTTCGTGTTCCTGTCCCCACTGCCGACCGATCGATGCTGGCCGACTCTGATCCACGGCCCAGCTCCATCCTACTTCTCCCAGTTCTTCGAGGAACAATTAGCCCAGGGCAATGCCTCCAACATTCGTACACTCTACATCGATCGGGATCCCGCAACGTTTCACGAGATCGCCCGGCATCTACAGGGTACACAAGCGCTGCTTATATCAACCCCAAGGACCAGGGAGCTAATGCGGGACTCCAGGCTACCATGTCCGGCCACGCGATGGCGCGCAGTTTGTCAAGCTATTTGCAGACGCGCAGTTCTACAGCTGTAAAGTCATATGCCAGATATCCCATCCATAACGCTAACTAACCCGCGACAGTGCCCCGGTTAATGTCTCAGCTCTTCGAGTCCGAAATCTTCATCCAGATCGGTGAACGCCACTTCGAGATCCCGCGCGACATCTTTTCCAGCCCCGGCGATGCGCCCAACTTCTTCACTCTCGGTTTTGCCATCTTCTTTGCCTCCCCGTCCGAGGTGTTCCCGGGCCTGGACCGCAAGGGACTCCTTCGGCCACCGGCCATTGTTCCCCCATCTGTGCCGAACCGGTCAGCAGACGTGTTTGCCGAGCTGCTACATCTCTTGCGAGGATATCCAATTCACATTCGAAACGAGGAACATCGCGCAGAGCTCCTCCGTGACTGTCGTTATTTCCACCTGCGGGGATTGGAACAGAGACTGATACCGTATCAAATCACGGTCAATCCTTTCACCCAGCGATCAGAGATTGCGATTCGTCTCCACGATGTGCGCCCATCTGGTATTCACTTCAGCCGCGATAGCGCCTCTGTGCCTGCAGGATCGGTCACGTACGCTCGACCTTTTGTCGACGAAGCCCCAGCCGACCTGATTCTCGAAATCGGGGATGAGTCTACCGTGATTGACCGAGAAAACATGCGCGCCGACTTCTTGGGTCTGGCCAAATCCCGCATTGCCAGCATGTTGCAGGTTGTGGCCAAAAAGATGGATGTGTCTGATGCGCCACCTTCCTTGAGCGAGAACTCCATTCAGATTCATTGGGGTCGCGAGACGGATTTCACAGTGGACGGGAAGCAAGATTTTCAGCCATTAGGAGTCGATTTTAACGCCGGTGATGGCTCAGAACCACCACCAGCCAAACGACCCCGATCCGACGGTCCTTCTGGGCGTCTGACGGTTCGCACAGGACAGTGGCGTGTGAGAGTGCGGCCTAGGCCTACCGGTGCATTCGAGGTGATCTTTGTCGCGGTCAAGATAGACGCGTTTACCAGCGCCCGTGCGAGGAATCGGTCGCGGACATTTCTCTAGATTTGAGTCCATTTAGCCATCTACCTACGACATAACGTAATGAGAGGCGAGTGCGCCACTGATGTATGAATAGAATTCCGTCTAATCTGAAAATCCCTCCCATTCATCGTCGTCATGATCATCATCATTATCATCCACGGATCCCTTCGCTGTGCCGGTTAAAGCAGGTCGTTCCTCCGCTCCAGAAGGATCACAGACAAACCCAGCCACAAAGAAACCCCCCAACCCCTCCACATCGCCCGGCCAGCAGCGTAAGCACGATTCCAAGTCTTCATCCGAGAGGTCAACTGTCGGGGTCGGGGTATCACTCGGACCAGCGACGAGGTTATTCTCCTGCCTCACACCACGAAGCCTCCACCGGCGCAATCCATCTGGCTGCTCATCCCGTCTTAAAAGGCGCCAGCCGCGCCGCTGGGCAACCTCGGATGCGAGCACGCGGGACACGACGGCCTCGTTTTCGATCAGGTGGATCGAACAGGTGCTGTACGTTACATGGGTAGCGTTGGGGAAGCTCAGTGCGTGCTCGACGATCCGCGCTTGGAGGTTGGACAGTTTGGTGAGTCGCTCGTGGTCAATGGCGCCTCCGGGGATGTCGTTCTCATCAGTGGTCGACGTGGACGCAGTGGTTATAACAGTCGTAGCCTTGGAGTGAAGGTCCTCGGACTCGTCATCTGCTTGGCGTTTCCGCTTTTTGGTGGCTGATTTGGTGTTGGTGGTCTTGGATGCCGTCGCGGCGGGAAGCGTAAGCTGAGGAACATCATCTCGGCCGATGATCCCACTACCTGAACAGCTAGGGTCGAGCAGGAGGCCAGACACATGCTCGAATCGGGAATCAGCCGGATCCAGGGCCAAAAAGTCCTGGCCTGGGAGCACGGTGACAATGGAGTCAGCTTTGGCCAACGCGACCATCTTCTGCAGGGTTTTGGAGCGAGGCGTCGACGCGTCCATGGAAAAGATGTGGTTCTTGGCTTTGGTTTTTGGTTTGCGTTTGGCTAGTAATGATGCCATGTGAGTGGTTTTATTCCCCGGCGCGGCGCATCCATCGACCAGGTCGCCCTTCCATGCTGTGCGCATATCACCTAGTAATAAGTAGGCGGGAAAGCAGGACGCTTTGTCCTGAAGAATGATCTCCCCATTCTTGTAAGCCGCAGAGCTAGTAAAATCAATGCCATACGGCACGGCCACCAGATCCGGGATGTTGGGGTCGATGTAGAGACGCGGCTCCGGCGTCCGACTATCTGGATCATTGGGAGACAGGGCAGCCAGCGTCTGCACGCGTTCATAAGAAGCGAACGTCGTTCTTAGCTGGTCCTCCAGCGTAGTGCAGATATTGTTAATCCGCACCCAGCGCGGATAGACGAAGTCGCCATCCTTGCCATCCGCCTGCCGTTTCTCACGCAAGACGGATGTCTTCAATGCTTCGATAGACGCGCATCCACGACGAACACGCGCCTTCACAAACTCCGCCTTCAGCCGTGTCTTGTGGCGCTCGATAGCCTGGCGAATCGGGTGTGCCGCCGGCGCGGCGATTCCATTTTTTGATAGCAGGAAGTCATGGACGAGGAGCAGAGCAAGCAGCGGAGAGAGCTAGGGATTTATTCACTTGGTCAGTCAGCGGAAGATATCTCTGGGGATAAGCTGCGCGGGCGCAAAACACACTCACCTTGCGCTCAAGGGCCAGGATGTCCGCACGCTCGATCACCTCGGCCAGCACGCGATCCCACTTCGACGCCTCGGTGATCAGCGCATAGATCTGGGCAGGCGATGCGCGCAAATTGCGAGCACTATAGATGCGCGACTTGAACGAGCCGCCTGTCGACGGCGCGGTTAGGATGGCCTCTGCGTCGAAGTAGAGGGACATTGCATGGTGGAGAAATTAAGAGTTGATCGCGGAGGATGAGAAAAAGTTGTAAGTGTTTGACATGTTTGCAGTGCTGGCTCGGAAATGGCCCGAGGGTGTCTTTGCCTTTGGGGAGTGGTTATAGCTTTCGAACTCTTCATATAGGTTTTTAAGATATATAGGTATTTTATAGGAAGGCAGGTTGTCTATTTCTCACGGTGATGACATTCAATGGCCATATCTCTCATCGATATATATCTGGGGAAACTCTCGTGCTCGTCCCCACCGCTCCCACCTTCTCCAATTCCTGCGCATCCGCCAACTTCTACCATATATACATACACCAGATCAATTCAAGACCATTACACACCCCCACACTCACTATCCCGATATTGGCTTTCTGCACTTCTCCCTTCATCCACCAGCCAGACAAGAGCCAGACACAACGATGTCAACAACACTCACAACAACAATGCAACCGCCCCCGGGCCCCTCCGCAAAACTACAACTTTCCACACCTGGCCAAGCAACCACGAACCCGGCAGTCTTCGAAGAAGCAATGGTAGTGCGCATGCGCGTCTTCGTAGACGAGCTGCACTGCTCCGCCGACGCCGAGATCGACGCCGATGACTCCCGCAGCTGGCACTGGGTACTGAGCGCATCGAGACCCTCGTCGACGCCCGAACCCGTCGGCGTGATTCGGCTCGTACCACCACCGCAGCCACCGCATGCCGCGCTGACGCACCCCGACGAGGCGACCAACTTGCCAGCCTACGACTGGGCCCATGAGCCGTGTATCAAGCTGACCCGCGTGGCGGTCCTGCCAGAATACCGGGGCCGGGGACTAGCGCGGCAACTGTTACAGACGGCGCTGGACTGGGCGGCCAGCCATGCGAAGGAGATTGACGAGGCGGCGAGACTGGCGGGTAGATGTTGCAATGCAGAGGAGACACCGGCGCCTTGGAAGGGTCTGGTGTTGGTGCATGCGCAGGTGGATGTGGAGAAGATGTATGCTGGGTTGGGATTTGTGACGGATGAGAGCCTGGGCCGGTGGGTTGAGGAAGGGATTGAGCATGTGGGCATGTTTCGACGGATAGCGGTGGCGCCATAGGAGGCAGCTAGAGGCAGTTTACAGATAGACAACTACAATTGACAGAATTATGAAGATAGAAAGATCAAAATCAACTGGATTCATCTCGGGAGCAAACCCGCGCCATTCCATCCGTGGCAGAACCAGACGAGTTGAGAAGAAAATCACACTCTGTAGAAATGACGGGGTATCTGAACACAAACACAAACAAGGTCTCGACGGACAGAAGCAGCAGAAAGAACACACATGTAAGCAATCTAGTCAGGAAACACAAATCAAGAAAAGAACCCAGATGCAGCCGTGGTAGACGACGGATGCCGAAATTAGTGCTATGCCCGTGGCGCAAAAGCCGAGAACTCCAAACCCATGGTCGCAAACGGAAAAAGAAGAAGAACCGAGGAAGATGGAAAATATCTAGACAGAAGAATCGAAGAAATGCCGTTGTCACAATCAGACCTGCTGACCGCGATGAAACAGAAGAGTCCACGCAGATCAAAAGGTGCTCCAGTTCCAGTCGCGGGGCACGCTGGCAGCGACATCGGCAGATTGGCCGACATTGGCCTGGGCATTCAGGGCGCCCGTCTGGCCCTCGGAGTCGCTGGAAGTAGCGATCTGCTCAGAGCCACTCTGTTGCGAATTGATGGAATTCTGGATCTTGCTCAGACGGTCGGTGCGCGTCTCTTCCCAGCGCTGGTAGGCGCTCCAGCAGAGATCACAGGCCCGCGAGGGGACGCCCTCGGGGTGGAAGCGGGCCTTTTGGTCAAGCGGGACAAGGTGGGGAGTGTGCGAGGAGCAGAAGACGTGGCCGCAGTGACGGCAGTGGTGGCGGCGCAGAAAGAGGCCAAACGAGGAACGGCAAGTGGGAGAATCACAGTTGGGGGAGGCCGAGTCCGCCTGCACGAGGCCGTTAGCGTGGTTCTTCACGCTGGATTGGCAAGGGGAAAGCAAAAGCGGTCGGACGGGGGCAGTTGAAGCAAGCACGCCATTCAGAAGAATGACGAGCTCGCATACGACATTTCCGACCGCCATGCGCCATAAGATCCGCCCACAGGTATAAAGGCATGCAGGGGGACGAGGGGAGAGCAAGACTTACTTTCCAGTGCTCACGAGTGGGCTGGCCGGTCACTTCACCCAGGTGCTCGTGCTTCATCCATTCATCCTCGGCGACCTTGCTAATGCCGCTGGATTTGCTCTCCATGGTGGAACGGCGGCTGACGGGTTCGGTGGCCTCGGTTTCGTTCAAGCTGTCCAGAGAGCCGTGGACGCTGCGCGGCGGAGTGATGGGCGGCGACGACGACTTTTTCTGGCGCTCGGTCGGGCGCAGTGCCGCGGGGACATACAGTGGGCCCTTGGGCGGGCGCAGCTGGCGGGACTGCAGCGGCAGCTGGTGCAGTTGCGCCGGGGTCAGACGGGGAGAAGTGGGAGAGTTGTTGGAGGGAGTGGTGGTCGCGGAGTTGGTGGGAGACGGCTGGCCGTAGACGGAGATTTGGTTTCCAGCAGGAGAAATGGTGGTGGTGGTCGAGGTAGCCATGGTACAAGGATAGGATTGAGGGGTTGTTGAGTCGAAGGATAAGTCAGGCTAGACAAAGGGCATTCTCTCAGGCCCAGGGTGGATGGTGAAGAAGGACTTGTTTCGAGAGGCAAAAACACGGAGGAGCCGGGTTGAATAATAGGAAACCGCTGCTTGGAGATGCACACGACCTAGCGGGTCCGGGAAAAGGCCGTTCGACCGTGGAGCGGCGTTGGAGGAGCCCAGGAGCGCGGTGAGTGGTTGCGGCTGTGGAGCCGTTGAACCGAACGGGCGGAAATGGAACGCTGATCGGAGGCAAGAGTGACCGGGATGATGATGATGATGGGAGCTGAGCGATGAAATCAGGATGTCAAAGGAAGCAGGACGGAGGGGAGTCGAGGGGCGATGGTGATGATGAGGAAGAAGAGGGAAACGGAAAGATGGGAGGGCGAAGGAGTAGTTTGTAGGAATGGTGGTGCAGGGTAAAAAGGATGGGATGCAGCAACGGGAGGCTTCCGGGGAGCACAGACTCGGATGAAATCATGACTATCTAGACCGCTCTTCTATTCCCCTTGACTCTTTGCAACATTCTTCTACTACTACTACGACGACGAGGACTACTACAACTGTCGAACAAAGGTTGACCACGATGAGTTGCCCTCTTCGGCCGGTCCACTTGGTCGGTGGGATCCCTCTCCACGGCGGAGAGACATGATTATTTTTGTCCAAGGCGGGAGGAAGTCGGGACGAAGGATGATTTACGGTGTACTTTTGTTCTGGGGCTAGGTCGGCCTAGGTCATACCTTAGTCCTAAAAGTCACTTAGTTCAGTCGAGACCGTACTTGGCAGACTCGACGGTAAGTAAGGGGATCGAGTAACCGGGATCGGGAGGGTTCGTTGGCGCCGATCAGGGGCCAATCAGCGCCCGACCGATTATCTGTGGCGTGGGATGGTGTGGGATAGGTGGCGCCCTAAATAATAATGGGAATGACACATACGATGGAGAGGAGGTGGTAGTGTCTCCTCGATGTCTCGCAGCCGTCGTGAATAGTGACCGATCTCCCCAGGATTGTTCCAGGTGAAGACGGGGTGAAGCACCGAACGAAAGGGGTCAGCAACCGAGTTTACCAGCGGGACCCTGATTGGCGGGAGATAAGGTGCCGTCCAAGCCAGGGGGTCTAGCCCGAAACGGAAGGCGTCCAGAAGGCGGTTTCAGGTTGATCGACAGTAGGACTAGGAGTAGTAGTACCGAGCATAGTGGCAGTAGTGCCTGCGAGCAGTAGTAGTAGTGGTAGGTTGTTTATACTGGAGGTGACTATGCTCAAGTTCATTATAGGAGGAGAAAGGTATGGATGAGAATCATTAACTATTTATTGTACTCTTTGACTCCACGGGATCATCCCTTGAGACCGAAAAGGAGGTCTACCTCAACCACCGTTATTGGATCAACCTTTATGGAACCGATCTCGCGTTACACCCGATCGGAGATCGCTTGAACAATAACAACAACAACAATCACCGTTTGCAGACATCTACTCCATTGTCCCCGATCAATGGCGTCATGACTTCGGCATCCCGATCTGTCCACCGCGACAGACATCGGTCAACATGTACCTCTCACGAAACCGCTCACTATGAAGCTAGCTGTCTACAGCGCCAAAACCTACGACCGCAACTATTTCGATGAAGTCTTAGCGGCCCGGTTCACCAATCTCTGCACCATTGAGCACCATGGATTCGCCCTCTCATCCGAGACCGTATCCCTAGCCCAGGGCTGTGATGCCGTGTGCGCATTTGTCAACGACACGCTCGACGAGCCCGTGCTCACCACACTACACGGGTATGGGATTCGAGCGATCCTCCTCCGCTGCGCGGGCTTCAACCACGTTGACCTCGCGACGGCCGAGTCTCTGGGCCTCTTCGTCGCCAACGTGCCCGCCTACTCGCCCGAGGCCGTCGCCGAGTTCGCCGTTGCGCTGACCCAGACCCTGAACCGCAAGACACACCGCGCCTATAACCGCGTGCGCGAGGGCAACTTCAACATCGAGGGCCTGCTCGGTACAACGCTGCACGGCAAGACCGTGGGCATCGTCGGCCTGGGCCGTATCGGCATGGCGACGGCGCGCATCTTCAACGGGTTTGGCTGTCGTTTGCTGGCGCATGACCCCGTCGTCGACAGTGACAAGTTTCGGCAGTACGGAACCATGGTTGATCTAGATACATTGCTGCGGGAGAGCCACATTGTCAGTCTGCACTGTCCGTTGACCGAGAGCACGCGGCACCTCATCAACGAGTGTACGCTGGCGCGCATGCGGCCCGGCGCGATGCTGGTCAATACCTCGCGCGGCGGGCTCGTCAACACCGAGGACGTCATCCAGGCGCTCAAAGCGCATACTCTGGGCGGGCTGGCGCTGGATGTGTACGAGGCCGAAGGCGAGCTTTTCTACAACGACCACTCCGGCGAAATTATCGAAGATGATATCCTGATGCGCTTGATGACTTTTCACAATGTGCTCCTCTGTGGCCATCAGGGTTTCTTTACAACGGAGGCTCTCACGGAGATTGCAGATGTGACGTTGAGCAATTTGTCTGATTTCGTGGCTCGGCGGCCGTGCAAGAATTCCTTGCTCAGCGAGGGACATGTCGTCGTTCCTGGGAATAAGGAGCCTGTTAGACTGTAGGTGGTTATGCTGCCTTTTTGTGTGATTGGAGTTTGGTTAATGTAAGCGTCTGCAAAGATACTGCACGGCGTCTTATATTCGTCTGTGATAATCGAATTGAACTTGACTAAATGATTGATTGGTCATTATCATCATAGACTCAGAATATGTGCGGAATATTTCCTTGAATAAAATATGTACTATGTCGTTGTCTCCCTCAATTGTGAGTTCTACGACCACAGCAGCCGAGCCGACGGCACAGCGCCTGCCACGCCCGAGGCACCATTCGATTGCCATGTACAATGAGAGGCACCACGGCAATCAGCCAAAAGAAGTAGACGACTACCACGGTGAACATCAGGTTCACTTGTTCAATAGCCGTGCCAATAATCCTCGGCGGCATCGTTGACCGCGACCCCTGCGACTCCTGATCGTGATGCTTCAAAGCAGCGGCCATCTGCCAGGCCGCTCGACGATTGATCTTCTCCCATGTTGTATCGTCGGCATACTGCCGTGCCGCCACAGCTAGCGTCTCTCGTCGCGAACCATCCTGCGAGACCTCTCGGACCAAGGCAGTGAATTGGTCCACGTCACTCGGGGGAACCAGGTACCCAGTCTTTCCATGACGGATGATATCAGATGGTCCGCCTTGATCTCGTGCAATGACCGGAAGTCCACTGGCCATGGCTTCCAGCACGACCAGGCCAAATGTCTCGGTGATCGAGCAGTGCAGGAAGATATCGGATGAGGCATAGGCGCGGGCTAGCGCAATTCCGGTCAAAAAGCCCGTGAAGATGACATGGCTGCGCACGGCGTCGAACAGTCGCTGGACCTTGTTCTCTACTGCTGGGTTTCGATTGCCTCCCACTATCAGCAGCTTGAAAGGCACCTTGGCTGCCGCCAGCCGTTGTGCAACTTGCGCCAGGAATTCAAATCCTTTCTCCGGAGCGATGCGGCAGACGCAGACGAGAATGATTTCTCCATTTGGCGCGATCTCGCGCCGATAGTCCTCATCGCGCTGCGCTGGTGTGAACAAGGTGGTATCAACGCCGCGACCCAGCTGGACCAGTCGGTCGGTGGGCGCACCGGCACTTTCGAGGTATCGGCCGATGGCCGAGCACGGATAGAAGATGGTGTGCACGGCTGCTGTGCGAAACAGAAACCCCTGCACCGTCGCCAACAGCCAGACACCGAAACGGTCTAACGGGGCCGGCAGCAAGATCTCCGAGTAGGCAGAAAGATCCGTTTGGAAGTTCAGCACGACCGGCGGCGGAGAGCGCAGCTGGCGGATATGCAGCAGCAACTGGAAACCCAGCGAGGCCGGGCTGGCAAGGTAGATCAAGTCGGGCACCGAGGATTGCGAGTACACCTCGCGCAGATGGAATGGGTAGACGACCGTCAGGTCCGGGTTATAAGGCAGCGGCGAGCCGGGCAGACGAAGGTCCTGCGGGTGCTGCTGCTCTTTGGACGTGACAGAGCCCTGGAACCGGGGTGCGACAACTACCAGGTCGACACCATGGGCGCGCAGGTACTCGACCAGGCTGCGGGTTGTGCGACTGACTCCGTTGACGGGACCCCAGGATTCGGTGGCTAGTAAGATGCGCTTGCCCTCGAGGATGCCGGGGAAGCTGTCCTCGGCGGCGTCAGCCTGGCCTAGCAGCGGCGAGGATTCCATGATGGGGTGACATGGTGGGAGAGAGGGGCAGTAGTATTTTTAACTGATAAGACCTAGCTTATCCCACGAACTCTTCTATTATCGTGTTGATTCAAGGGGAGAAGCGTAACCCTAACCGCGATCAACGCACGTGGTGCCACCGCCCGCTGACGAGCGCCGCCGAACAACCAGTCGTAACGCGCATTGCCAAGGTGTGCCCCAACGCTGCGAGAGTTATGGATGCGCGATAGGACACTTTCTTTGAGGTCGCGATAAATGATCAGAAGATCATGAGCCAGAAAGGAGGAGGGGGTGACCGAGGGGTTTGTTGGGTGCAAGTCCGAAAATGAAAGTCCCCTTGTCCAGCAACTATATTTCTCCAACCTCGACTATTCCCCCCAGTATCATCATGGCCGACGACATCCCGATGGACGTCTTGTCGTCGTCAGGTGCGTCCGACGCGAGCTCGTTTTGCTCAACCGGTCCCACGACCCCGGCCTCCAGCCCGCTGTTTCGTCCTTCGGGATCGGACGATCTGGCCGTGCTGACCCAGCTGGCGCACCTGCGGAGCATCGAGAGCGTTGCCAGTGAGCCTGTGAAGAGTGTCTGTGTTGTGGGCGCAGGATATGTTGGTATGTTAGTCAAACAAGAGCCGGAGAAGAGGACTGACTCTTTTGGTATACAGGTGGCCCAACGGCAGCAGTTCTGGCGCTGCACCACCCGTCCATCACGGTCGAGGTGCTAGATCGTGATCCGCGTCGAATCCAGCAGTGGCAGTCACCGCATCTGCCGGTGCACGAGTCGGGCCTGGAAACGGTTGTTCGGATTGTGCGAGACGGCGCCGACATGACCGGCGACGAAGGGCTCACCGATCCCCTTTCCGTGCAGAAACGCGGCCGGAATCTGTTCTTTACCTGCGACACTGCGACTATTGCGCGGGCAGATATTGTCTTCATGTCTGTCAATACCCCGACCAAGACTTTTGGTGTCGGTGCCGGCTGTGCTACCAACATGACGGCCTTTGACTCGGCCATGCGAGAGGTGGCTGCCCATGCTAAGCCGGGTGCTATCATCGTGGAAAAGAGTACTGTGCCTGGAGGCACTGCGGAGCGTGTGCGAAAGATGGTACTAGTCTAACCCACGAACCCCCGTTTTAGCCCTTCAAGTTCCTAACCTTGTATAGCTAAGCACGTACCGCCCGGGAGTGCCGTTCGAAGTTCTTTCAAACCCCGAATTCCTCGCCGAAGGTTGCGCTATCGACAATCTGACAACTCCAGATCGTGTGCTGATCGGATCCGCGGGGACACCCTCTGGCCGTCGGGCGGCTCGCACGCTCGCTAATCTTTACGAGGCATGGGTGCCACCATCCAAGATTCTTCAGACCAACTCATGGTCATCAGAGCTTGCCAAGCTAGTCGCAAATGCCATGCTTGCGCAAAGAATCAGCAGCATCAACTCGATCAGCGCTATTTGCGAGAAGACCGGCGCCGAGGTAGACCAGGTAGCGCATGCTATCGGGCTGGATGCACGAATCGGCCCTCAGTTTCTCAAGGCCGGCCTAGGATTTGGAGGCTCATGCTTCCGAAAGGATATTGCCAGTCTGGCCTACCTGGCCGAGTCTCTCGGCCTAGAAGATGTAGCCCACTATTGGCGACAGGTCAACGTGATGAACGAGCGACAGCGTGACCGATTTTCCCGCAAAGTCATCGACCGTTTTGATAGGAATCTGGTCGGCCGAAAGATCGCTATTCTTGGGTTTGCATTCAAGAAGAACACGGGTGACACGCGAGAGTCGCTGTCAGTCGATGTCATCCGCCAGTTACTGGAAGAGCGGCCAGCGGAGATTGCCATTTTTGATCCGTACTGCCGTTCCGAGGATATTCTGCGCGAAATCATGTCCGTCGCTCCAGAGGCAGTGCACCATGATGTGGTAAAGATCTCGTCGGACCCGTACCTGGCCTGCTCGCAAGCCCACGCGGTCCTTGTCGTCACAGACTGCGATCAGTTCCGCAACACCCCGCCGAAGAAGAAGCGCGCAGCAGCACAGTCTGTTCTGTTCACGCAGAAGAGCCCGGCATGGGCACCAGCACACAGCCTACTGTGCCACGATGCCACCCTGGAACGAGAAACATGGACGCACGACGGCGTGTCGTATCAACTGAATCCCCAAGACGCCTGTCCCCCGAGCTGCAGCGACTGTCGCACCACATGCGACCGCCCCAGCGTGACGGAACAAGTGGAATGGACCCGCATTGCCTACAACATGCTCGAGCCGCGATGGGTCTTCGATGGACGTGGGCTGCTGGATGCTGCCGAGCTGGAGAAGCTGGGGGTGCGGGTTGACACGGTCGGACGGCGAACGGCATAGTGCTAATGATATACGCATAGACTGGAGAATGTTTGGGGATGGACCGTACACGTTGTAATATGCAAGAGATTTAGGCGATACCCTTGAGAATGACTTTTTTTGTCCTTCGTTCGAAAATTTCTTTTTTTTTCCCTGTTGGCGTTTTGATACAATAGACTCACGGCTTTCCTTCGGTCCTACCGACAATATATATTTTGGCCAATACATACTACGTTGATATGGCTCAGGAGCGAATTATATATAATTCCATGCGTATTCTTCGACATTACAGCTTGGATGCTTCCTTCGAAGCTGGAAGCTCGCGGTCAATATGTACTTCCTGCCACCAAGGATAGTAGGGCGGCCCATTATCATGAACATTGGTATTGAATCTCGGCGGACGCTTTTCCAAAAACGAGTTGACACCCTCTTTGTAGTCCCTGTAACTTGTTTTTCAGTACTTTTGAAATTCCAACCGAGCAAGATAACATACGGTTGACCAGTCATATGGTGAAAAATCCGCGACTCGAGCAGATGAGCTGCCTCTGGCGACTCGGGCCCCTCCCACATCAAGGCCCGACTCATGGTCGATGCCAACGGACTGACATTTGCCGCCATGTCCTGAGCAAGCTCCAGTGCCCGGGGCAGCACCTGCGCGGCCTCTGGCAGGACCTCGGCAAACAGGTCCCCGAAATGCTTAGGGGAAGGAGGATAAACCCCACCTGTCGAGATGAGGTACATGGCGCGAGAAAATCCTAGTAGGCGGGGGAGGAAATACGAAGCGCATGACTCAATTGTCAGACCTCGTCGTGTGAACACAAAGCCATATTTGCTCTTTTCGTGACAGATCCTATGTAGGAATAGCAGTTAGCTTTTGTAATCTGCGACGACTCCGGGATTTGATAGATGTACCGCACAGCAGCTGGCAGAGTCATAGTCATACCAACACCTACAGCAGAACCCTGAAGCGCAACGATTGTCGGCTTCTGGCATCGATGCATCGCTATAGTCACTCGACCGCCACTAGAGAACCACGTCAGAACCAGAAGGTAACTCGACAGAATATCAAATATCCATGCACGGCATACATATCTCGAAAATCCACAGCCCTCCCCTTCCCATCCCCAAAGCCGATATCTAGATCCGACCCAGCGCAAAACATCTTGCCGGCGCCCGTCAAAACAGCTATCTTGACGCGAGGATCTAAATGGATCACTCGGAAAGCGTGCTCCAGGCTATCAGCCATCTGTGGAGTGAACGCATTGTACTTCTCCGGCCGGTTTAGGGTCACAACTACAACGGGCGTAGCGGTCGGCGCGCCGGCTGGATGATGAGAGAGTTTGATGTGGGTGAGATTGATCGTTTCGTACGAGTCGGGAATATCCATTGAGAGCGTTGTCGGTGCCATTTTTTGATAGGTTTGGAAAATAAGACGTTTCACATGTGGGTAGCTAATTATATGGCACGATATTTATGTGGGGATCGGGCCTTGTCGGGCTTGGTGTGAATGCTAACTACAATCTCCAGCTTGGCGCATGGGAGGGGGGCTGCCTCGGCTTCGGACGGCGATCAGTGTGGGTAGCCGGGTGGATGGCACTGACGGTATTGAAGATGAATTCAAAGTCCTTGAACCCTAAAACATCGACGATTTAATTCTTTTATGTGGATAGTTCAATAGGGGAATAAACTTGCCATTATTATATCTATGCATTCCGTGTGGTTTTGTTTTGTCTTTATTCAAGAAAAAGAGGGGGCTAGAAGGGAGGAAGATGCATGAATAGGGTCGAACCCTGCTCTGCTACTGAGGGAAATTAGAACCAGCATCTGTTTGTATTCATGATTGATTCGTCAAGTCTTCTTATTCATTTTTATATCATCCATGGTCATGTACCACAAGGCAAAATTCCACTAATAGGCAAGCCCATGAGCGAGAGGCGTCCACCGATATAGCGAAAGTAGCTCTCTGCGCCGCGCTTTATGTTCATCCCATGCATGAGGACCAGCCTGCTGGGCATCATAAAGCATCGAGCGGAAAACCTTACGGAAGTTTTTCTATTGGGATTAGCTTTGACTTTAAGAGAAATGCAAGAAGCATACCTGGAAAGTGGTATCCAAAGTGACGATGCTCACTTCGTGAGCGCGAATGATGGTCTCGCAAACCTCTTCCACAGATCGATTGGGACCAAGTTCCGGCATCCGATCCACGAAAAGAAGCAGAATAAAACTGCCTTGGAGCAAATAGATACCAAAAAGATAGGGCATGAACGTCATTTCTGGATCCAGAGAAAGTATCTGAGAGACCACACCCGTTGCACTCAGTGCGTGAGAGGCGCAAGTCAAAAAGCTCTCCGAGGTGATCCAGTCATCTTTGTCCTCAATCATGGATATCGGATCCCATTTGCCGTGGAGCAAGATATAAAAGACGTGAAGAAGATATGTACTATATGCCTTGAACAGTGGCAGCTTTGACCCTGGAGTCAGGCCAGTGGGAGAAGCAAACGTATCTCCGCCATGAGCCGGACCACCATTGGAGTGCGGAGCGAAGGAATTGATTCCATCCGGGAATAGGGCATCGCCTTGGTTCTCCAATTCGGCAAGCTCTTGCTGCCGCTGATCAATCATGGCCTCAACGCGCCGAATAGCGTCGTGGGGAATGAATTCGCCGAGTGAGGGGTGGTTGCGGTAGTGGTGCAAATCGATGATATGCCCTAGAAGTGAGGCTAAGGGCAGGAAATATTCAAAAAACCCACTGCCTGAGATGCGCGTCGGCGGTCCTAATGGGCATGCCGGGATGCAATTCAAGTCGGCTGTATCGAGAGATCGCCACACTTTTTCGGGTAAAGGGGTGCGAACACAGAATGTGCCGTCCGGGATGCTCAGTCGGCGATTGAAAGAGAGAGCCAAATGGCGGTCTAGGGAATAAACCAGCCAGAAGAGACGTCGCCGTTCCTCTTTCGAGATGAGCCACCGCCGAAAGGTGGAATCGCCATTGTAAAGACCGCGAAACACAGGGCCCAAGTCAAAATCTTGGTCTTCCATGCTGAGACCGCTGGCCCGGACCAGTCGCATGAGTTTATCTCGCCATTTGAGAGCATCCGCCTTATAGTGGCCTCCTGATATAACCAAGGTCAAAATGGCAACTGCCAAGATGATATCCGTTGACCCAAGAGCCTTGGGGAGCAATGTTGTCCCTGTCGCCTGGCGACCTGGAGTTGCATGTGAATTGCTTGGGGAGCTGGTGCCGAGATGAGGATGAAACTGCCACCCATCTGCAAGCTATTGATGAGCAATCCAATTATCCCATGTTGGTTGCTTTACATACCAGATGTCCGAAAATAGTTGTCTGGATCTTCCGGCTCGAACAGATCCATTGAAATACGATAGAGTTCCACGCTTATGCGCTCTCTGGCTCCCGGAGGGTCGAAGATCTTCATATCCGCCGTTTGTGCCACACAAAAGAGTATGACCATCAGCAGAATGGGTGATGTCGGACGCGGGTCGGTGGGATGCAGGACTGACTCGGGATGTAAGATATGAGCCAGAGCATAAGGCGAAGTCGATTTAAATACAGAGCTGTGCTGTTCATTGAAATAGATCTCAAGCATCTCGGATGCCTCTTCTGGGGTCAGAATTCCATGTAAATACGGCAGCACGGAATCAAGACAGCGGTATGGCTGTCGCAGTGAAATGTTATCGGGGAGAGTCGTCGGGACATCATCAAACGCCCCTTGATGGAGAGATATAGAGCCTCTGGGCTCAAGCGGCATCTTAAGAGAAATTTTAGCGCAAGGGCACACAATGGTCAATGGAAATTACGCACCAGACCCGGCGTCATTGCTGGCTGACTGGTCTCCAATTGAGCGTTGTTCAACGAACCCGGGAAAAATCCATCTAAAGGATTTTTACGAGCTGGGAAAGATGATCCTGCTGGTGCAAGAGTCTCACGCCCCGTGGGGCTTTTGAGATGGGCTGCGTCATTCGGACTAGTGCCAGGTATCGCTTGCGCGCGGCGATCTGGCGGTACCAAGTCGTACGGGACCTCCTGCGCCGACATGCTACTAGACATGGTCGTATCGCGAGGACTGCCATCTGGCCCCTGGGGAGAATCTAGGTCCAGGGAGACGCGACTCTCCCGTCTGAAGCTGCGATTACCATCTGATCGTGGGCGGCGACCACGCTTCCGAACCACTTTCGTGTAATTGCACGGGTCATTTCGTTCTAGATCATTGTCAGACTAACGAGTTGGGCCCAATATCTCAGGATCTCCCCACGTACCTGCACATCGACGGCTTCATGCAGCGCGATCATTAGCTTACGGGTTGGGCATTGGCCGAGGATCACTCACCATGGGTGCTGCCCATCGCAGCGCTGTTTAGAGCGGGTGCAAGAGTCGCAGGCTCGCAGCACCCGCGACTGGCCATGGCGAGGGGTGCTGGTGTCCAGCATGTCAGCGATCCTGGATCATGAAGAGGGAGGGTGAATGAAGAGGTGGAGACCGAAAGTGCGGAGAAGAGCTTGGCGGCTCACCCCGATCGCTCGGCTTAACCCGAAACAATCAGGAACGACAACGCCGATCAGGCTGAGAAACAAGATTATTCGTGGATGCTAAGTCGTACTCGACTGTATATTCAGGTATACTGCTAGTAACATATAATCTCTCTTTATCCCCAAACACCATGCACCATATGTAAATCATCATAATCGGACTTGCACTGGCCGTTTGGTTGCCACATCCCATCCATCACCAGGACTCGGAAAGCTATAGTTATGCCATGGACCTAAGATCTCCTGCACTGCTGCACACAATGATTCATCTTGGTCATTATGTACTGATTCTTCAGAAGATACATCTGCATTCCACAGCAATCTGAACTCGTCTGAATCTGCGAGAACTCGTCTAGCAGTCGCGACATTCTCTTCCAACTCTGTGACTGAAGCCGCTCCCGTGATAGTCGTAACACGGAAATCTGGAGTTGATACTAATTGCGCACGACGGATAGCATACCGCAGGGCCAACTCTGCCAGAGACTCGCCCCGTGAGGTAACATAATCAGCCGCTTTCTGTGCTACGAGTCGCAAGCCTGCCGGAGCCGGATGAAAGTCTCCCAAGTCGCCGACGGGGACCCCTCCGGCCCGTAGGAGACCGATTGCCAACGGACTAGAATTGCAGACACACGATACGCCAGCCTCTTGCAAGGCTGACAAACCCTCCTGCGCAAGTCGGTCGTTTTGCAAGGTCAGTTGGGCCCAATTCTGCACCACATCCAAAGGCCGCGAGTACTGCTCCTTGACGCGCCGAGCGATGCGCGCAAGGACATCAATTCGGTACCCCGATATACCAATATATCGGATGTGACCATCACGGACCATTTCTAGCAGGACCCCGACGGCCTCAAGGACCTCTTCCTCGGGCACAAATTCAACATCATGGCAGAAAACCACATCCAGATAGCGGGTGTGCAAGCGCTGCAGCGAGCGCGTGACAGATTTTCGGACCCATGCAGGCGAGTAGTCAAAATGGGTGGCGCTGATACGTCCCACTTTGGTCATCAAGAGGTACTGGTCGCGGGAGTAGTTATTGGTGATGTCGGGATGAGAGAGGGCTTCCCCTAGAAGCTCCTCTGAAGGATGGTAGTAGGCTGAGGTGTCGATGGCCCGTAGACCGAGCTGAAATGAACGTTTGAGAAGCTGCAGCGCCTGGGTCGAGTTAGGGTTTCGAAATACTTGATGGCTGAGCCCGGCACCGCCTAAGATGAGCGGGGGGAGCAGACGCGACAAAGGCGTCGAGGCTCGAGGAATGCTCATTCTCTGTGTCCGGCAGAATAAAGTTATGAGCACGTCTGGACGGGAGAGGAAGAGTTGCTCGACAAGTTCAAATAGTCAAATAGCCTGATGATCGGCCCATTCACCCGGCTATCATCAGCCCATGTGGAGATGTGGGGAGGGCAGGCACAAAGTGAAATTCTCCTAATTGCCTAATACCCGATCGACAACCAGCATCAATGGATCTTGGCATTATAATCCCAACTGTGCAGCGAGTCGGGCAATTACCCCATAGGGGTGAAATCTATCTTGATTCCACTGTGTGTAAACTGAAGTTGTACGAATTCTTGCATTAATTTAGGCGACTCTGTGCGATGTTACCTTGAGATTTTTGAAGTATAAGGTGACAAAGATGAAGCTACTCGCAGCAAGCCGGATTCGTAACTGATTACACGTATCTAGTTAGCATCTTTGCGGATGGCCCATATGAAATACGGGATTCTTCCTTTATTTATGTTCGCATCACAGGAGCATCCGTGGAGGAAGTTCACTTTCATAACCCCCGTTCGTAAGAGCACAAAAACGTCTTATTTTCTCCATGTGCTTGCAGAATAGAGCACATCTGAAAAATGGGGCTTTTTGCCCTTCTTCCGTGAGCAAAGAGGATGCCAGAAGAGCTCTTCTCGTTCTCTTGATCGCGCTGATAAGTTTGTAATTCATGGCGCCGAGGTGAGGTATCACAGAGAAAAGTCCAGGCGAGCAGTGGAAAAGAAGAAGAGTTCTTTTTTACACTGAAAACCATGTTAGACTAAGGGCATCAAACCCAAAGCGTAATGCAGCGAAAAGAGGGTGGATCAAATAATTGTGGCCCACGCTCTTCAGTGTGCCCGACCAGAGAACTCGCGAACTTGTTGGTGGCATAAAGTTATATGCAGCAGTGAACGGGATTAACTGATGACATAGACCTACTCATCAATTAGAGACTTCCGATATTTCATCTTTACTATACTACATATCGCGTGCAGACAAGCGCCACGTGATGAGTCGGGTAATAGGCAGAATGGAAGTCTAGATATCCAACATGCCTCAGAAGGAAAAAGTTCAAAAACAATGGAAGCAGTCTCTCCCTCTCTTGAAACTCATCAAATTAGCGCCACAATGACCACTATTACCAGCTTCACCTCACACGACGTCCGATTTCCGGTTAGCGCTTTTCATCATCATAGCATCTGTAAATCTTTGCTGACACAGCAAAGACGTCTCTGGACCAAGTTGGCTCCGATGGAATGAACAAAGGTCCCGACTACTCGGCTGCCTATTGTATTTTGCAGACAGATTCGAAGCATAGTGGGCATGGAATGGTAAGCACCGAGATTTCAGTTGCGATATCGTATGGTATTTTGACAAAATTCCAGACATTCACGATTGGTCGCGGCAATGATCTCGTCTGCAGCGCAATCAACCTAACCGCTCCCTTGATTGTGGGCCGCAAGCTGGGAGACTTGGTCCAGGACTGGGCTCGTACCTGGCGACATCTTACGTCGGATTCCCAGTTGCGATGGATTGGCCCGGAGAAGGGCGTGATTCACATGGCGCTGGGCGCGATCGTCAATGCGCTCTGGGACCTTTGGGGCAAGATAGAAGGCAAACCGGTATGGCAGCTGGTGGCGGATATGACTCCCGAGGAAGTGGTTGGGTGCATTGATTTTCGCTACATCACCGATGTCATCACCCCGGACGAAGCTATCCAAATGCTTCGAGAGACTCAGGCTGGAAAGGCCGAGCGACTGGCAGAAGTGCAGCGTAATCGTGCCGTATCGGCCTACACCACCAGTGCGGGATGGCTTGGCTATGGAAAGGACAAGATGCGGGAGCTACTTCGACAGAGCATCGCAGAAGGTTTCAAGCACTTTAAGTTAAAGGTCGGGGGATCGGTTGAGGAAGACCGGGAACGGCTAAGCATTGCACGTGAAGTGATTGGATATGACCAAGGGAACGTGCTCATGGTCGACGCCAACCAGGTCTGGTCCGTGCCGGAGGCCATCGAGCACATGAAAGCACTGGCTGAGTTCAAACCTTGGTTCATTGAAGAGCCTACATCACCAGATGACATTCTGGGCCACGCCGCAGTCCGCAAAGCTCTCCGGGGCCAAGTGGGCGTGGCAACCGGCGAGATGGTGCAAAACCGCATCGTATTCAAACAGCTGCTGCAAGCCGGGGCAATCGACGTCTTGCAGCCGGATGCCTGCCGTGTGGGTGGCGTTAATGAAGTCCTCGCCATCTTACTCCTCGCTCGCAAGTTCAGGGTTCCAATCGTGCCTCATTCAGGCGGTGTTGGTCTACCTGAATACACGCAGCATTTGAGTACAATCGACTACTTGGTGGTCAGCGGACAGAAAAGCATTCTCGAGTATGTCGACCACTTGCATGAGCACTTCCTCGAGCCTGCTCAGACCAATTCCGGTCATTATATCACACCACAAGCGCCGGGATACAGTGTACAGATGAAACCGGAGAGCCTGGAGCGATACAGTTTCCCCGGAGGACCGCAAAGCTGGTGGAGGGGTGAGGAAGCCAGTCGCATCCTGCACGGAGACCGTGGTCTGCCGTTGCTGTAACTAAATATCCCTGGATTGTCTATACTAGTAGAGAACTCGGCAGGAGCGTGCCGATGCAACGTCAATGCTTACTTACTGTGCATGATGCAACTAAGCTTCTCCAGATACTCCAAGTGGGTCTGCGGCCCCGGAATATTTGCTGGTTGGCTTCTCCAATTGAGGGGGAAATACCCGCTGGACTAAAATAAATAGTGAACGCCTCGCTTGCATTCTTTTTGTCCTGCATCGGTGTTTTTCTTCACATCTCAGTCAAAATGGGTGGTTCGTGGGTAAGCCGTGGCGCCAAATCTACCACCGGCTGCTCTAGTATGCTGACGGGACCTAGAAAATGTACCTTTACGGCATTGCGCCATGCACGGGAGGCGTGGCGTTCGGCTATGTAAGATGCCCTGGAACCGACCCTGGCACCCACAATCTAACTAGTGGCAGGATACCGGATCTATGAGTGAGTCGGGACAAGCAATAATTCGACAAAGCGAGTCCATTGACCTATTCCAGGCGGAATTCTGACCATGAAACAATTCCTCACTTATATGGACCATCCTGGCAATTTCCTTCAAGGCGGAATCACTGCTTCGATTCAGGCCGGTGCTTTTGCAGGGTCGTTGCTGACGGGCGCTCTGCTGGCTGATCGCCTGGGCCGCCGCAAAACTATCCTGCTTGGCTCTTTGATCTTCACTATAGGTGTAGCTGTCGCGACTGCGGCCAACAATGTCACGGCCCTTGTTGCTGGACGCGTGATTAATGGTCTTGGGAATGGTTGCTTAGCGATGATGGTAAGTATGTTCAGAAGCCGACCGAAAACAGCAATTAAGTGCAATAATAGGTTCCCTTATACCAAAGCGAAATTGCGCCTCCGAAGTCAGTATTGCTTTTCACATCTGCAGAAAGATACTAATTCCTGCCAGAATTCGCGGCCGAATCGTCTCCATGCAACAATGCTGTATCAATTTTGGTATTCTAATCGCTTTCTGGATTCAATACGGTGCCAGCTATCTCGACGGCCCTGCATCGTTTCGATTGGCAATGGGTCTCCAGATGATCCCCACAGTTACCCTGCACTTGACCATGTATTTCATGCCGGAATCGCCGCGTTGGCTTGCCCAGCGGGACGAAAACGAAAAGGCCTTGCAAGCATTAGCGCGATTGCACTCCGATGGCGACATTAACGATCCCTTTGTACAGGCGGAGCTGGCTGAAATTGTGGCCAAGATCAAGTGGGAGAGAGAAAATCCGCCACCAGGTTATATCGAGATGCTATTCGGCCGGGACCGTCGTCGGATGTGGCTGGGACTCGGTGTGGTAAGTTGACGAAAATGGCGATTGGGTTTATTGTCTAACCGACACTCTTTTAATAGCAATTCTGGCAACAAGTTACGGGTGTCAACGTGTGAGTCTATTCCCCTCAGAACACATACGGCAGCATCTCATACAGCCCTCAACCGCAGAATCATGTACTATGCAGTGTTCCTGTTTGAGCAAGCAGGTATTACCTCGAACAAGGGCTCGCTGTTGGCAAATGGTATCCAAGGTGCCGTCTTGAACGTTTTCACCTGGCCCAACATGTATTATATGGACAAATGGGGCCGCCGCAACCCCATGATCATTGGTGGAGTTGGCATGGCTATTTCCATGATGTTGATCGGAACAATCATGAAGACCATGGGTGAGTTCTTGTCCTTGGCTTAGTTTGACTTACAATTTTGACAAAAAGACCAGGCAATCCGGTGTATAATCCTCTCACGGACAAGACAAATTTCGCCTTTGCTAACCAGACAGCCTCTAATGCTACCATTGCCTTCGTCTATATTTATGTCATGACGTTTGCTTTGACCTGGGCCTGTGTGGCCTGGGTTTATCCACCGGAGCTATTTACCACTGGCTCGCGTAGTCGTGGTACTTCCATGACCTCGGCTACAAACTGGTTTGTGGTATGTTTTGAAATTTCCATTGCTAAAAGAGTCAAAGACTGATTTAGCCTAGAACTTCTGGTTCGCACTATATATCCCCACGGCAATGGAAAAGATTTCGTAAGTGCAGTGCCGGCTCAATAATATGCCTTTCCAAAACTTTTACTAACACATTGGATGTTTCAGATGGAAGCTGTACATGGTTTTTATGACTCTGTGCTTCGCAATGGCTATTTGCGTCTTCTTCTTCTACCCAGTACGTCTTGAGAGCATAATGAGCTTTTCTCTGCAAATAGCATGGCACAGTATTAACAAAAATCACAGGAAACAGCAGGGAAGTCATTGGAGGAAATTGATTTCCTTTTCGCAAAGAACCGCACTATCTGGGTGTTCAGTGACCAGAAGGCTCGCAAGGTCGGTGCCATCTTTGAGCGCGACATGGCTCACGGTGAGGCTCTCACAGAGTTTGACGACAAGGGCACGGGGGTAGTACATGTGGATCATGTTGAAGTTTGAGCAGGGACATTCGTTTCGGCACAAGGAGGACCATGTAGCAGCGGTTTGATAATTCAGGGCTGGTCGTTGCAGGGGGGCATGATCGCATCGCGTTTGATAGTGGAATAGTATAGAGTTGATCTATTTGATCCTCGTAACCTCCAGTTCGTCCTAGTTGCTCATCTTGTTAGCTATGTAAAAACCCCTTTTAAGCTGCAAGTACCCACATCAAATTCACCAGGCATAATAAGGCCCGGGATGCCCCAGCTTTCCATGCCGGAATGCTGGCGGACATACTCGCGGTACTGAGGCGCGCCGGGACGGACCACATTATCGGCCACCACCAAGGCCCCCGACTTGAGAAGGCCCAGCTGCTCACAGAGCTGCAGATCCTGCTGGTAGAGATCCTCGACATGGTCCAGGAACAAAAAATCAATGCTGTTTGCAGCCAACTTGCCTTCATCTTTCAATCTTTTCAGCGAATCAGCCGCAGGCCCCACAACGACCTTGACGACATCGGCCAATCCCGCCAAGTCGACCAAATTCATAGCAATCGACGCGATGAGGGGGTCAAACTCGAGACTCAAGAGACGAACACTCTGTTCGTTTCCAGCGGCCTTTCGCATGGCATCTCCGAAGGCGATGGCAGAGTAGCCGACATACCCACCCAGCTCGACGAGGACAGCAGGCCGTTCTTTCAAAATGAGCTGACGAACCTTCTCGCCCTTGTCACTTCCAATGTTAATCAGGAAGTCTTTTTGAGCGGCGAAGTCATCCATCATGCGCATGATGGCGGCGGGGTTGCCACGAAGCTCGTTCAACGACGGATGGTTGTAGATGTGGTCAAGGAGGGCAAGCTCACGGCCATCGTGGGACTCCTCGTAGGTGTCGTTGTCGAACTTGAGGATCGACGGGTACTTGTCGACGAGGGCTTGTCTGGAAGCAGAAGACATGGTGATGAGCTAGATAGCAAATATGTGGAAATAAGAAGAAGAAGAAGAATGGTGACAATGAGTAACTAGGTTATTGGAATGGTGGGCCTATTTATACTTGGATCTGGTTTGTAAGAGCTAGACTGTGTGGGGGCCGGGACGGGTCTGAGCGCCGGAGATTGAGCACAACCTTGGGGGGCTAATTCGCGTATTACGGACGCCTGAGACGCGCACAATGGGATTGAGGGCACCATAAATGGAGAAGTATTGGCAAATAATAGCTGAAATATCCTGCTGCAAGCTGATACATGTACAGGCAGGTTTCATCATACAACGGCTCAAACGATCAATTCAAAAACAACGATCAAGGAGAGATCGGGTTTCTACTTCCAAAACCAAGGCCAAGTTTCTATGACCAAAAATCGCGCACCATGTGATGAAAGATGTGGCAATTTCCAAGATTTTGTATTCTCAGCGAAGAAAAAAAATTGTAGCCTTCCTGGCGCCATGGTGAACAAATCCCGTGTCCTGTGCCTGTGGATCGATACTGGTGGATATGAATGAAATCCCAAGAGAATCATACCAATAAATCTAATGGCCAAGGGAAGATGACTGTCACGGAATGCTTTCGACCGCTTTTGTTTGTATAGTTCGGCTTGGGTAGCATTTGGGGGTTAGTGCTTCCGAAAGGGGCCTAGGGAGCTTATGGTGGAGCCATGCACTACTTTGCTCCTGTGTTGTATGTACTCGACTTGCTCTCTCCCACTTGCCGCACGATAGCATGGACAAAGGAAACCCAGTCACGGTAAAAAATATATGGCATTATAATTCTCGTTCTTATCTACTTGCCGAGTATCATGTTCTGTTGCCTCAAGCTTGCGTATCTCCTGCACCCGCTCATGGACAGAACCGTCCTTTCGTGGCAGAATACTTAATGGATAACACAATCCGTATTGCGAAATTTTCTCCTGTAGGAGCTCGAGATGTGGGTTGACCCTGTCTGGGATCGAGTTCAGGAAAGCAGCCAGATTATTTAATACTTCTGCTGGGCGAACTCGCATAAGTTGCCGGCTGTCGGGAACCCGTGGTGTACAAGACAGAACATCGGCAAGGGAGATAGCAATGTCGGCCAGTTTCATTTGCTAGAAACAGTGGTTAGCTTCTACAAAGTCAAAAAAATAAGAGTCCCAACTTACCATGCCGAGACCGTGGCCTTCGACAATACCTCGAGGGAACGTATCAAGATACCCCATGACGTTCCGAGCCACATTCTCTGGGAACGAAATGCTCAAATTCTCGAATGCGGGATCGGCCGACAACTCCACATGGAAAATGGCTAGCTTCCACAGAATAATTCTCATCCATTGCTGGGTGATGAGAAAGTCTGCTCGTTGGGAGTCGGGACTGCTGGATAACAGCCCTCGTGTATCTCGCAAGCGTGTATCCATGCCGACAAAGAAATCGGACATGAGATTAGGCCCCGGATCCCGGTCCATGGCGGAACCGAAAGTTTGAAATAATTGGCACATTCCAATAAATGGAAGCAACCCAGATGGATTTTCATGTTCTTCAAGTGCTGGTAGGTTTGGGTCCAGACGCAAAGTTCTTGGGAGGTCAAATCGGGTGGTGTGCCCTCTAAATGGCATTGTTAGTTGATTGGTGAACCAGGATTGGGTCATGAGGTACCTTTCTGTGATAAAGAGGAGCCACACAATCCGGAGATGAAGTTGAGCTTCTGATTTTGACAGATTCGCATAATGCTTAGCCTGGTCGAGGCCGAGTAACTGAGCAAAAGTGATGGCCTCGCGGAGAAGTAGAGTAGCCTTGCATATTTGGCCGCGATTGGAGCAGTGGACGTGCAAGAAAAACGAGGTCAACAATACGTCGGTACTTGGATTCTCCTGGTAGAGAACCTGGGCTCTTGCCTTCTCTGACTCTGTCACCAGCTTGTCGCTTTCCGCCCGAGGGCCTAACTCCTGGCTAATTAGACTTGGATGGACAACGCGAGCGAGAGTGACCGCGCCGAGCGCCGTGCAGAGTGCATATGCGCCGGCATCGGCCAATCGGCTGCCCAGATCCTCCACATCGATCACCGGCCAGAGGTAATATAACTCCTGCTGGTAGACGTCGAGATAACGTCTTCTCTTAGTGGTTGGCACGCCTTGGCGGATGATCGGTTGTAAAACCGGCGAGATTCCTGCCGCAGGATTGTCCGTCGCCTCTGATAGTGGAGATCTGTGCAGTCGAGCCTGGCGTTTTCGTTCGGCCCATGGCCCCTTGGGGCCGGGCTTGACACATTCCCTCAGGGCTGTACAGGCTATACCTAGGGCCGTGCACCGCCGGCAGGGCGATCTGCGATCACACTTAGTCTTGCGTGCGGCGCACCCATCGCATGCGCGATCCCGAGACATTGAGGTGGTGGTGACAGGAGTGGGAGTGGATCCGTGGGGGATGGGCGAGAGGAGATTCTCGGAGAGGTCCCGTTCCCACCAATTGGGTGAGTGTGGAGCGATTAAAGTCTCTCCGCGGCTAATGACCGTGTTGGTTAATCGCTCCGATAAATAATAAAGTCGTGCGTGCGGCTCTCCCTCTTTTTACCTTGACTCTCACACCATGTCTTCCCAGAAGAACGTCCTGTTGGTTATCGCCGACGACCTCGGCAAGTCGCTGGGTTGTTATGGCGAGAAGAATATCCAAACGCCGCATCTTGACGCACTAGCCCGAGAAGGAGTCGCCTTCGATAATGCGTTCGCCAGTACCGCATCTTGCAGCGGCAGCCGGTCCGTCATCTATACTGGTTTACACACACACGAGAATGGCCAGTACGGACTGAACCACTACACCCACCACTTTATGACATTCGACCATATTCAGACCGCGCCGCAACTACTTCGGGATCACAACTATCTAACCGGCATCATCGGCAAAATACACGTGGGACCTCTTTCAGTATACCCGTGGGAAGTGGTGGTCGAAAGTCCAAGTCGGGACGTGTCTTGGGTCGCTGACCAGGCCTCGTCCTTCTTCGACCAGGCCAAGAATGGCGAGCGACCGTTCTTCCTGACTGTCGGATACATGGACCCACATCGGGATCATACTCGAGGTGGGTTTGGTAATGGGGACAGTCAGGTTTCAGCTGAAGATGGCCTCTACGATCCAGCGACGGTTACTGTCCCGGACTTCCTGAGCGATGTCCCTGAAGTACGCCAGGAATTGGCCGAGTACTATCGGGCAATTGGTCGCGTGGATCGGGGATTCGGCTTGATTATGAAGTCGCTGAAAGAGCATAGTTTGGATCGCGAGACCCTGGTCATCTTCATGAGCGACAATGGTCCACCATTTTTGAATTCCAAGACAACCCTGTACGACGCGGGTATTCGCCTGCCTCTCATTATCCGCCAACCGGGTGGCGCTTCTGGGATCCAGAATCCGAATTTGGTCTCGTTCATCGATATTCTACCGACTATTCTGGACTGGACTGGCTACCGGGAGTCGCAAGCGGCCGAGCCACGACGAAGAGGACGCTCACTATTGCCGATTCTGGCCAATTCCTCGCTTGATGATGCATGGAGCCAAGTGTTTGGATCACACACATTCCATGAAATCACAAATTATTATCCAACTCGCTTCTTGAGAAATTCCAGATACAAGTACCACCGAAATGTGGTCTGGAAAATCGACTTTCCTTTTTCCACGGACCTTTACGCGTCCCTGTCATGGGAGGGCATGCGAAACGTTGATGGACCGGTTATGATTGGCAAACGGCCACTGGAGAGTTATATCCAGCGCCCAGCAGAAGAACTGTACGATTTGCAAAACGATCCGTTCGAAGTCACCAATCTTGCGTCCGATCCGGCGCATCAGGATCTACTGCATCGTTTGCGAGCGGAAATGGAAAACTGGCAACGGGAGTCTAACGATCCTTGGCTATTCCGTGATGGAGTGTCGTTGCTGGAAATGCACGGGCATTTGAAGGCTGGGTTGAAGATCCCAGACCGATTTGATTTTGATCTTTCTGCGCCTGGGTCAAGGGGCAATCAAAAAACCATCTAAGCTGGACTAAATCATAGATTTTATTTCCTAAATTCTCAGTATCTATTAAACCAATTGCAATTCTACTACTCAAACATGTTGAATTATTTTGCAGTTCTCTGGAGTACGGCTCTCGGCATACCTCGGCGTACCCCGAGACTCCTACCGGTTACCGTTACCCGAGATGGTAGGTAACAAGCGCTACCGGGGAGATTTTTACGCGTCTCCACCAAAAGTCTTCCCGCCAACTACCAAAGCGCATTCCAACTCCAGACAAGCACATCATGCGGGGAGATTATACTCCTGTTCGGTCTTAGTACCGATTGCGACTACAATGAGCCTTATATGGCGCAATGGATTGGTCCTGGCATATATAGCCGGAGCTCGCTAGCCAGAGGGTCATTCCAACAGACAGGCAAAAGTCCTGAAAATGGCGCCCTCATTTCTGAAGAACAACCACCTCGTGCAAAGCTTCACGCCGCGGCTGGCGGGTGCAGTCGGGCTCATTGCCCTCTCGACACTCAACTATGGATTCGACAACCAAGGCATCGCGACCAGTCAAGCGATGGCGGCTTACAAGAAACAGTTTGGCGACTACGACCCCGCAACCAAAACCTGGGCGATTCCAGCATACTGGACCTCCCTTCTCAATAGTTTAAACTTCATCGGATTTGCAATTGGTATGTTGACTGGATCCAGAACTAATGAGGGCCACATCCTGACTTAGATGTAGGATTGTACGTCGGCAGCATCGTCAGCGCTCGATACGGCCGTCGCATGTCGATGTTTTGCATGTCGCTGTGGGCGATGATGTCTGCCACTGTCCTTCTCACCTCCAGTCGGATTGAACAGGTGTTGGCAGGCCGCATCCTCAACTACGCCTACATCGGTATGGAGCTGGCCACATGCCCGCCGTTTCAAGCAGAGATTGTCCCGGCCTCCGTCCGGGGCTTCGCGGTGGGTGCCTACCAGGCGAGTATGCTGCTGGGCGGTGTCATCATCAACAGCGTGTGCCTGGGCACCAACGGGTTATCTACCAATGCCGCTTGGCGGATCCCCCAAGGTCTATTCTACGTTGTTCCGTCTATCGTGGCATCCTGCATCTGGTTTATTCCAGAATCTCCTCGATGGTTACTATTGAATGACCGTGCTGAGGAGGCGCTGGAGTCGCTCAAGAAGCTTCGCAGTTCATCTAAACGAGACTACTGCCCCGAGGAAGAGCTTGAGCATTTACGCGAGTCTCTCAGTCAGGAGCAAAACCAAGGCACATACATGGATTTGTTCCGGGGCAGCAATCGAAAACGCACCCTCATAGCCATAGGCATGAACTTCTTCATCCAAGCGACGGGGTCTCCCTTTACAGCTGCGTACGGCACGCTCTTCGTGCAATCGCTAGGCACGATTAGTCCATTCGATTTCTCCCTCATGAGCTCGTGCATCAATTTCTTTTGCTGTCTGGTTGCTATTTACATCACCGACCGAGTTGGGCGGCGGCCACTGCTGATGATCGGGTCGACTCTGCAAGTGATTTGGCTCTTCACCATGGGAGGAATTGGAACTGTATCCTTTCCGACAACGGTCCAAACCCAAGTCATTGTCGCTGCGACGGCCTTGTCGTCTGCTAGCTTGTGTGTGAGCTGGGATCCATTGAACTACGTTATTACCACGGAGCTCCCGGCGACTCGATTGCGCGATAAGACGCAGCGGGTAGCATCGATCGTGAACATCGCGACCAAGTATGTTTTGTCTTTGCTTCTTCTGTCCTTACATTGATACTGACAACCCATAGTTTTATCTTCTCTTTCTTCACACCCTACCTTCTCGATGCGCCCTATGCCGATCTTAATTCCAAGGTTGGCTTCATCTTTGGAAGTCTAGCGTGCTGCTCCTTTGTATTTGCCTTCTTCTGTGTACCGGAGATGAAAGGACGATCTCTCGAGGAGATTAATCAGATGTTCCAAGATGGTGTTCCAGTGCGGAAGTTTGGAACTCACCCTTTTGCAGCTGCTGCAACCGAGGAAGAAGCAGTAGAGAGGAAGATGGAAATAGACTAGCGATGGACCGAATAAAACTGGGGCTTGGAGGCCGCCGGAGAGGACGATGTAGCCTAATCATTAATTTATTCAATAACTTGGTACTCGTATGCATATATTCCCAAAACAGTACAGTAGATCAATTTCACCAAATAGCTATCTAGCCCTCATTCAATTAATTCGAAGGAACTATTTTAGGAATTATTAGAAAGCGTTGAATGATCCCAACGTTCACATGAAGTTCCGATCCGCAGATCTTGGCGCTTTGCCCTAATCAATCAAATCTTCCGTGCCTCGGCCGCCCTGACATCATGCTCCAAAACTACAAATCTGACCGATTAGGCACCGCTCTCTTCTTTACACACTTCTACCGTCATGGGTGACAACAACAAAGGAACCAAAATTACCCTCTACTGGTGAGTCTGTTTCCTTTGGTTCCAAATCCACTCTAACCCGCCACGCAGGCTGGAACAGTCCCGAAGCCACCGCATCCTTTGGCTTCTGGAGGAACTGCAACTGAAATATGAGCTCAAGACATTCAAGCGGCGGTCAGACAAACTGGCGCCCGCCGAGCTGAAGCAGATCCATCCGCTGGGCAAGTCGCCCTTGTTGACTCTCGAGCCGCCCGGCGCTGCTGATCCCATTGTCCTGGCCGAGTCCGGCACCATCGTCGAGTATCTGTGTGATCACTTTGGCAGCGCGAAACCGACGCTGGTGCCTGAGCGCTACAAGCCGGGCCAGGAAGGCCAGGTGGGCGGCGAGCGCGAGGAGTGGATGCGCTACCGCTACTTCATGCACTACACGGAGGGCAGTCTGATGCCTTTCCTGGTGATGACGCTGGTCAACGACAGTACGTTGTTGCCCTAGTCTCTCTCTCTCTTTTTCTTGTGCGTTTCGACTAATTTCTCCCTCCAGCTATCCGGAACTCTCCGCCATTCTTCGTTCGGCCCATCACGGGCATCGTTGCCTCGCAAGTGGAGTCGCAATTCCTGACCCGCAACGTCGAGGGCAACCTTGCTTTCCTTGAGGAGCAGTTGAAGACGGCGCCTGAGGGTGGCCCCTACGTGTGCGGCAAGGAGCTAACGGCAGCGGATATTCTCATGAGCTTCCCTATCATTGCGGCCAGCCAGCGCCTGCTCAAGAACAAGAAGGAGCAGGAGAAGTATCCCCAGCTGGCGGCGTACGCCAAGCGGTTGGAGAACGAGGAAGGCTACAAGCGGGCCGTGGCCAAGGTCGAGGAGGTGGATGGCAAGTTCTTGGCCTCGATGTAGTTATGGACAAGTATACCTATTTGTAAATAATTATGTACCTGGAAATAATACTATTCTGCCCTTCAAGATACCCGGCTACAGTGGATTACATCATCCGCTGACTCATTCTGTCATGTGACCCATAACCTCAACCTTCCGGCGACACACTCCATCCTGACCGACTTTGAGTCTGCGTCGTCGCCTGGAGTCCAATCGCAACCATGGCCGGTCCTAGCAAATGTGAGTCCGCCAGCTGCCCTGTCCCGTTGATTGTCACCAGCTAACCCATTGTTCAGCTCTGGTCCTTGACCCGGCCCTGCAGAAATACTACGGTACATGAACCTCCCAAACCCCGTCCCTTCGACATGAACCCCATCATCGAGCGGCATCCGCATCCCTTACCAGATTGCATAGCTGCAGTTTGAATTGCTTCATACCCTTTCTCTGCTCCTTCCAGACCTCGATCCGACCTCTCCGCCCGTCGCAGCCACTGACTGATCAATTCCACAGAACTCAACGCGAACCGCTACAAGTACTTCCGCTGGACCCCGCGCCATGCCTGGCTGTCTTTCGTCTACATGGCTCTGATCCCTGGCACGCTCGGCTACCTCGCCTACAAGACTGAGGTGAGTTATATTTATGGGGTTCCTCTACATGATGACAGACAATCTGATTACTGACGGACTGCAGGGCAAATTCGAACTCCGCGGCAAGCGCAGGGGAGACCCCATGTCGGAGTGGTAATTGTGACTGATGGGTGGATTTGGTTTCGTTTTGTTTGCAACGAGTTGTCCTGGATACGGTACCGACCATCCAGGGCGTGGGAGCTGTGCTAGACGCCGGTTTCCGGGCTGTGTACCTTACAAGCATATACCGCATGAATTTCCTTCTGTTTTCTGGATCTGTCTTCCTTGGGTCTCATCTGTTTTAACGGGCCAACCGTAGTGAAAAGGGGACACAGTTTTCTCCGTGAAATACAAACTATTGGTACATAATAATAACTTGGGCATGGTATCTCAGCACGACAATCTTTCTTCCCCAATTTGATGCTCCAGACTCCACTCCATTCGTTCCCAACCCTGCTAATAAGGTGCCCATCCACCACGACGTCGTCCACCCCGTCCACCTTCTGGAAGCCGCTCCCCACGCTTCCAGTCCCCTGCAGGGAAGTTCGGCGGACCACCACGATCGACTCGGGAAGGACCACCCCCACCACGGCCACGCCGTCCTCCAAATCCATTTTCCTGGAATGCACGCATCCCCCCACCAGCCTGGGATGGACCAGACGCACCACGGACTGGCGGCGCAACGGACCCGTCCTCGAGCGGGGGTAGAATAGCACATTCCACATAGTCACCAATAATGAAGCGGACATCCAGCAGAGCTCTATCGGCCTCAGAGCCCTGGAACCGAAGCGGGCCGGGGCGCGGTCGTGCCTCCTGCTTTTCATCTGCATCCTCCTCGCCGCGATAGGGGCTGTCCCTCGGTCCGACGACGACACTGCCAAGGTCCCTGCTCAGGTATCGGCCGCGCGTATCAGGGCCGCCGATAGCTGCGGCCTTCGCATCGGGGTAGATTAGTCGGAAGCACAGACGCGTGCCGACGGGTGGATCGGGAAGTAATGATGGGAGGGCGGAGGTGAGAAGCTGTGAGAGCTCGCGCAGGGTGCACGACTGCCAAGTATAGATCTCTAGATGCGGTGGGAGCGGCGCGGCTGTTGCTGCTGGGAGAGGAGGCGACGGCGCGCGGATGGCATTGGGCCCGCTCAAGGGCCCGCCGGGACCGCGGCGCGGCGGGGGCGCTGAGATGCTATAGTCGGAGAGAGGGTGAAAGTTGTTTTGGCGGTAGAATAGCTTCAGGTGGAAGGGCGTGGTGGTCTGTCGGTTGATCGCAGGTTTGGGACCCTCGCGCGAGGGAGCGGCCATGACGGCGAAGGGCAAGTGTCGCGTGCAGGAGTTCAGATGATGTTGCACAAATAGCTGGGAATAGTTGGGATCAAAACGAGCGGAGTGAGTGAATTGGTACGCTGTGGTGTGGGAGGTGCAACAACAGGGAGAGGAATGATGTCGAGAAGTGAAGTGGGAAACATCGAAGCTCCCGATCGCCGCATTCTTTCTTTTCTTCTTCCACTTCCACTTCCACTTCACCCACCGCCAACGCAGAAGCTCTACTCGACTGCACCACAATCCAGCGACCCTTCGTTTCTCCCTTCAATCTTCCCTCGTCCAGTCTCTGTACTACTGCAACACTTCGCCCGCCATGGATTTCGCCGCGCTGATGGCCAAGGAGATTTCCAAGGCCAAAGGCCCCGACGCAAAATCATCTTCTCCAGACAAGGACAAAGCCACCCCCACGGAACCAACAAAGAAATACATGCGCCGAGGAGACGTGGAAGCCGCACGCGTCGCTGCATACAACGAGGAGCAGGAGCGGCTGCAGCGCGAACGGGAAGAGCGCATGGCCAACAAGCGCAAGCTCGAGGAAGAAGAGGCAGACCGGCGGCGCGAGCGCGAGGATAAAAAGCGACGGCTGGCAGAGGAGTCGAGAAAGAAGAGAGAGGAAGAGGAGGCTGCGGAGGAGCGTGAGCGGCGGCGCAGACTTGGTCTGCCTGAACTACCTGACGCCGACGATAGCACCCCCGGCGCCGTGGACGCAGAGGGGGACATTGATGACGATCAACTTATACAAAAGCTACGGGATCTCAATGAACCCGCCCGGCTATTTGGCGAGAGCCACCGCGCCCGTCTCCGACGATACCGCCGCCTGGCGCAGCCGCAGAAGAAGATGACGGACGGACCGATTCCCACGACTCTGGAACCTGTGCCTGGTGGCCAGATGATCATTCCGGCGAAAATTCCCAAGGACCAGGATGGGCGTCTCTTCTTGTTCCGCCAGTTGGCATCCTATTTCAACATGGTGCTCTCGGAATGGGAGCTTGCATTGGCAAAGCGCGACGTCTCGGTGCGGCAAAGCTTCCAGGGAAAGCAAGCGTACAACGCCATGGTGCAAGCGCGCGAGAACATGACGCCCCTAATCCGACTATTTGAGAAGGCAGATCTGGAGGATGGGCTGTTGGAGCCCGTGGTAGAGATCGTCCACAAGGCTCAGAAGCGGCGATACGTGGATGCAAACGATGCATACCTGCGGGTCAGCATTGGCAAGGCGTACGTCTTTCTTTCCCTTTCTATCTGTGAAAATGAAGCTGACTTCAAATACAGAGCATGGCCTATCGGTGTGACCATGGTGGGTATCCACGAGCGATCTGCGCGTGAGAAGCTGCACCAGAGCGACCAGCAGGCTCATATCCTGAGCGATGAGATCACTCGCAAGTACCTGCAAAGTATCAAACGGTGTCTCAGCTTTGCGCAAACTCGGTGGCCCCCGGAGGACCAGCTGCAGATTATGGGCTAGAGGAGCCTGATCTTGAATGTTTCTATATATGATAAACTATACCCTCGGCGTTTCAACGAAGAAAATCCGCTCACTTCGTATTCATGATCTCTGTTCCTTCCAGCGTCTGTCTTCCTCTCTATGGCAACATGTTTCGCATTAAATACATATACATATATTTCATTCCATGCATCATCGCATAACCTATCGTATAATGTCATTCCACGCGCGCACAATGGTTTTCCACCATCCGCGCAAAACAGGCTGTTCTGTCACTGTTGACCTTTTGCTCAAGGTGTCTTCGCGCATCAGCTCCGATGCGTCACCATTTGGAATGATATGATGGCCGTCGATTCCGTTCATCACTGCAATAGAAGGAGTCGGTGTCTTGGCCGCCGATACTATGCTGCTGCATGGGCTGCGTGATTTCCGGTCTTTTTTCTGGGTTCCGATTAAATGGCCAGCAGCATAGACACAGCCGCCATACGAAAATCGAACCAAAGAGTCACCGGTCAAGCTTCCAATGATAAACACCCCCGGAGCGACCTCAAGGTTCTCCGTCGCCTTCGCACGGAGGGTCTGAGCAGAAACGATGGTTGCCTCGGCATTCTCATCCGGGCAATGCTGTCCTAAGACCTCGGACCGGAGTGCAGGGTCGAGATAATTGAGAGAACCGCGTCGGCCTGCCGCGTATACGAGGCCCCGGACAGGCCGAGAGAACGTCGACCCGTCCGAGCGGCGGAAAGTGACCGTCGCCACGCCATCCTGTACATCGACGGCAGTAACATCGACGTTGGACACGCCCTCATATACCTCTTCCCAATTCCGACCTTCGAGGAATGGGGTCGAGGAGGCACGCCGGTATTTCGGTCGCTGGCCCTTGGCAGTATTTTCAGCTTTGAGAGCAGCCCGTTTCATGAGACGGTACACGCCGGCATACTCCGGGTATGCCTGTTGGTGGCAGCTTCTAAGAGGCGATGGGCGGTCCTCCGGAGCCCATTTAAAAACATGCAGGATCTTTTGAGTGGGAGAAGCGGAAATAATGGCATCTGCAGCAGAGAAGCCAGATCCAATGATGAGGAGAGGAACTTTGGGAGTGGACTGCGTCTGCAGCAAGGGCCGCAACAGGGGGATGGTCGGGAGCACCTGGGAGAAGATTCCACTCGCCAGCACCAAGCGCTTGCAGCGAAGATCATGGCTTCGGATATAGAATCCGTCGGCCGTGCGAGAAATACCACTCAGTTCCTCCCCGCATCGGAAGACATCGTCGATGCCTGCGGCTTGCGGATAGACACGGAAATAGTCTGCGATCTCTCGCCGGGTCGGTCGAGTAAAAGGCGGCAGGTCCTGACCTGTGCTCTTCTTGTGGTGTTCGGCAAACGAATACCCGGGCAGGGAGAGCATCGCCGCATAGCTTAGGGTCTGGATATCCCAGCTGGCACCCCATGGATCTTCGGTCCATTGACCCCCCGGCCGGGCCGGTTTCCCATACACGAGATGTGGGATGGCATTGCGGGGCTCAAAACGCCACTCAACATTGGTAGTAGAGCCCATCTCGTCGATGTCGACACTCGGGCACACAAGCGTATCGAGCAAGACATTCACCGGCAGGGCCTGCGTCGAGTATGAGAGGCGCGAGGCGGCGAAATGCGCCGTGAGCGATTCGACGTTTGCATTTAAGATCTCCGGAGCGGCTTTCAGCTTGGCGTCTAGCAGATGATCGGGATGTGGAGGATCCGACGAGTAGAATGGTATATGGCCGTGAAGGATATACGAAAGTATCATGGCCGACGGCCCATTGCCTGCAAGGACAGTCCATCGTGTCAGTCAAGGTATGGGGGAGGGCCAAAGAGTCCAAAGCGGCGGCTGCGGCGGGAACTTTTGCCCACGGCGGGAGTTCGGCCAAGGACAGGGAGGACAACGGCACGAAGATGGCAGAAAGGATACATACCGACGATGACGGTGTCGGTTTCCATTGAAGGGGGTGTTTGGCCTCTTCGCATGGGGGATGTCGGTCAAGCAGCGGCGCAGGGCATTCTGGTGCAGAGGACCCGGAATGCTCATCCGACCAGAACAGACTGACTGTCCTCGGGTGTCACACTGCCGGGTCAGAGAGAGACAACGGAGCCGCCATGGAGGACGGAGTTTGAGGGAGAGAAAAGTGGGAAGACATGGCCGGGACAGTCAGGCAGCGCAGACTTTCCGGAGTTGATCTCGCTGACAAAACAGAAGTGGGGGGAGCGGAGGATGGCGTTTGGGGATGCTGGTTATGGTATACCTGGTATAGGAAATAGTAGTAGGTGAGGAATTGATTGACCAGGAGAGAAGTGAGAAAGTAAGGACTTGACAGAGATACCTGCAGAGACAAGCAGAAGATAACAGAACCCTTAGTATTCGCAATGCGCGCTGCGACTGACAACACAGCCCTAGCCCTAATCGCCCCGATCGGGATCAACTTGCCATCTACTGTACAAGTCCGTGGCAGCTATCATGACCATCGGTCCGCCTTGAGATCATGTACCACCTGGCCAAGTCGCTGTATCTCTACGCCACCAGCAAAGAAGGTATGCCGACTGCCCATTTTTGCTCACCCGCGCGCTCACACCTAGCTCCCGCCCCCCAGAATATTCCGTCCTGCTACTCGGCCTCGACAATGCCGGCAAGACCACGCTCCTCTCCCAGATCAAGGCAATCTACCAACCCCGACCCGACGGCGCCCCAGCACCTAACCCGGGCAAGACCGTGCCCACGGTCGGTCAGAATGTCGCGAACGTCGCCTTACCAGACATGAACCTGAAGATCTGGGATGTCGGCGGCCAGATCTCCATGCGCGGGCTGTGGCAAAGCTATTACAGCAGCTGCCACGCGATCATCTTCGTCGTCGACAGCACAGATGTGGGCCAGGACCCCGATATCACACGCCTTCCCTCCGCGTCGACACGGCGACAAAGCTCCGCCGCCTCGGGCGCCGTGCGCCCCGGCGCGCGCCCCAGCGTCGGCGCGGAGGCCTTCTCGGAGCAAACGGTCGGGATTGATGCTGCGGGCGGCGCGTTTGGACGGCTAGACGAGTGCAGCCAGGTGCTCGAGGACGTGCTGCAAAGTGCCGATGTGGCGGGGGTGCCGATTCTCGTGCTGGCGAACAAGCAGGACCGCGAGGACTGCGTTGAGGTCGTCCGGATCAAGGAAGGGTTTGTGCGCAAGGTGTTCGAGGGCGAGACGGGTGGCGGCGTCCGAGACAGCCGTGTGCTGCCGGTCAGCGCGCTGCTGGGGACGGGCGTTGAGGCGGCCGTGGAGTGGGTGCAGAGTCGTGTCAGGTGGAATAAGGAGAGTCGGCCGCCGCTGATGCGGTGATTCTTGTTTCTTTCCTTTTTTGGTCCTGCGATATTAATTTGGGCGGGAATTGCATGATGGCGTTTGTTTTTCCGATTTAGTTCATATACCAATGGAGCTTATTGTCTGGTTAGTTGTCGGTGCTGTCCCCGAGATATATTACATGCTTCAAGGACTTCATATTGCAAAAGTAAGAAAAAGTCTTTGACTGGTAGATTCTCCTGGTGCCAAACCAGGAATTGACATTTGTTTAATCCCCTATTTCACCCGGGAAGCCTGGTCCCTGAAGTATATAGTAAGTGCTGGCCTGGGAAATATGGAAGCCACATTCATCTACACCGTACTATGAATGAACATCGAGCACGCGACAGCAGATCAGGCATCCTGGCATCTAGAGATCCTTCCAGATCCAAGGAATTAATCCCAGTCCATCCTGCTGTTTGCGGTGGCCGGTCCCCACATCTGTGACATCAAGACCGTGGATCGAGCGCAAGAAAACCTGCCGCCAACCAGGGCGGAGGCACAGCAGTCACTGACACCGTCGTCTATCTCAACGATCTTGCCACCGAACTTATGTGAATGGCGAGGATGAAGTCAGGGATAGTCAACTTGACGTCATATGCTCTGTGTGCCGGCTGGCAACCACTGCAGCAGTATAAAGCTAAAGAAAGCAAGAGTTAACTTTCAATTCCAGCATCCAAAAATTTATCCATCATGAGTACTCTAAACAACGTCGACTCAGTTGAACAGGGCAGCGCCATCAAGCCCTCTGTTGCCCCCGACGGGCCAATGACCACCAAGGGCGTATGTTCCTACCTATTGTAAACCTTCCGCGAACCCAACTGACTCCAGACATCAGCACCAACCCGGTCGCAAGGTTAACGAGGCTGACCAGCGGCCCACCTTCGAGGCGCAGACTTTCCCAGAGGGCACCGCACCTGCAAGCAGCTCACACCAGCCGAACCCCGTCTCCAACCCAGGAAGCCAGGCTCTCAACCCAGATGTGCTCCGCGCCCACGGCAAGGAGTCCGTGTACACAGCGCCAGGAGACACGTTGATGGGCTCCACATCGGCAGACGTAAACCGGGGCATGGGCAAGCCGATGCAGGGCCAGACGAACACCGAGATCCAACACGAAGGCGCTCACGGCCGCAAGAAGCAGCCCTCCGGCCTGGAAGGGGTTGGGGCCACCAATGAGGATCGTGGAATCGAGCGCCAGCTCCCGGACCAGCGCGGGCTGGAGAAGGAGCAAAATATGAGTGGTCTACGAGGGAACAAGGCTGAGCGAGCGGCGGAGGATATGGAACCCAATACAGCATAACGAGCAGTCCCAGTATGATGCGTGCTGAAAGCGGAAAAGGTATATCAATTATGTCTTCTAGTCAAATTGAGATAATCTGTGTTTGAAATATACAGTTCGTGCCGAATAAATATATGTGGTTGTTAGCATTGTTTCATAGTTGACGTTTACTAAGCTTGTTTATCTCCATAACTAACCATCAATTCTTTCTTCAACACCCTCTAGCTACTGACTGTTATTACCTATTCTACCAAGATGGACGACGAAGCCCCCTCCGAACCGCTCGATGGTATCTGTCATTTCTTCCTCCAAACATGCACCCTTCCTCAGCTAACCACCTAAATAGCCGATGCGTGACTTCGAAGGCATCCTCCAGCTCTTCCCCGGGCGAGCTCGTGGCGCGTTCGAAATTGAAGGCAAATGGTACATGCTCGCCTGGTCGTACGACCCCTCGCCACCATCCATCTCTGACGCGATAATCAAAGTGACCCTCAAATGCCACGGCACGCACGAATTGAAGGGCACACCCCAAATGGACGGGTCCATCATCATGGATGGATCAGTTGGGCCCCAGAAGCTGCGCATGTGGGGGACGCCGGAGATTTTATTGAAGGAGACTTGCCTCATCCACTGCCGGAGAAGATGTCGGTGGTTGGTGCTGCGAACTGGGTGGTTCAGGACTAGGTGGTTGATTATTCTATGGAACTAGGTTTGTTTATGTACAAGAGAAGATTGCTAGCTAGCTAGCTCATTGTGCCGCGCCGTCAAGACCAGATCGATCCTTGGCCCGTTTCTTGGGCCAGCTGCGCGCAATGTCGATGTTGGCACGCGGGAACCACATTTCCAGGAAGACATAGATCAGAAAGTCGATCACCACACACAGACAGAACAGCTTGCCGGCCCACACGCCGCAGCCGTAATAGCGTTTCAGGCGGTCGATCAGGGCAAAACTGCGCACGCGATCTCCGCTGCCGTCCCAGCCCTGGCCGGGATAATAGCCGTAGAAATCCTCGGCGCTGATGTCGCCGGTGATGCCTTGGTAGACGCGCTCAGTACGTTGGGCCACGTCGCGCCAGGAGTACATCATCTTCACTTGGTCGTGGAACCGGTCCGTGCGGACTTTGTTCGAGCGCAGGGCGGCGATCGCCTTGCTGGTTGCAACCACCAAATCATCTTCTTCTGGTTTGGCGAAGGTCGTCATGTGCTGGGGGAGCACTTCTGGGATACCACCGACTCGCGTGCAGACCACGTACAACCCGCAGCTGGCGGCCTCGACAATAACTGTCCCGAAGGCCTCGGTCAAGCTGGGATGCAGGTAGATGTGGCCGCGCACCATGACATTTCGTACTTCTTCGTGTCGGACCGATCCAAGCATTTCGACTTTGTCTTGGAGAACATTGCGTTCCAGCATTTGCTCCAGGTCAATTGCTTTGGGACCTGAACCGGCAATGATGAATCGGGTATTAGGATTGGAGGCGAGGATCCGCGGGATAGCGGCGATCAGCAGATCAGTGCCCTTGTTGTAAAACAGGCGAGAGATCACTACAATGGTGATCGTATCGTCTGGTCCAATGGGCGTGGGGGAGGGCCGCGTATCAGCTGGGGAGCCTGGTATGTGATCCAATGCGCGGGGGGTATAGGAACGGGGGCAGAAGTTCTCCGCCACCACGGCATTCGGGATGACTGAGACCATCAACGGATCCAAGGATGCTCGAAGGACCGTGTTTTCCTTGCAGGTATGACTGACGCAAATGACATGGTCGATATCGCTCAAAGCGAACTTCAGCATCTTGTTGGTTAAGATCGAGGCTGCATCGGCGAATCCGAAGAGGGAGTGGTCCGTGAAGACAGTGCGCAGCCCCATTGTCCGCGCATGGAGAATGGCTTCATGACAAAAACTACTCAGACTAGCATGACCGTGAACAATCTCAATCTCCTCGCGAATGACGATGTTTCGAAAGATGGGGAAGAAGGAGAAGACGGTGGGGAAGGTGGCCTCGCGGTGGACGACAAAGAAAGGGACGTGGTAGATCTTGAGGCCGTTGGTGAGGTAGCGGACTCCAGTGCGGCCTTTGTATGCGTGGGTGATGACGATAACCTTATGTCCACGATCGATGAGTTTCTTGAACAGTTCGTTAGCACGGTGCTGGAGATGGAGTAAGGCGGAGGATGCTCACCGAGGACAGTTGGTAGATGTGACTTTCAATCCCCCCTGGCTGGAGTCAGTACTTAACATCAATACGGCGCACCATCTCAGAACATACCCGGCTGGGGGAAAAAGAAGTCACTGACCATGCTGTTGCCGACAAGTTAGCTATTTGACTATCCGTCTTGGCAGGGATCCAGGCAATGATACTCACGCAATATTATACGTCATGGTGGCAATTATATCCAGGTCGAGAGATCCCAGACAAAATCAATTGACAAAGAGACCAGTCCATGGCGAACAGAGACTGTTTGCAGACACTGAGCACAATCACTTGTTGCGGTCAAACACGACAGGAGATAAACCAGGGCGGTGGGGAAGCCGGTCGGGAATTCTGCCAGCTCTAACCCAAAATTTGATTTTGTTCCGCTTCGAATCACTCCGCGTTTCCAGTACCGACTGCTCGCCTGTCCTTGTGAGAATGGCTGGCCATAAGGCGGCTTCTGCGTCTTCAAAGAAGGCTGCTGCTACCGAATCTTCCACTACTCACAAGCGAAAGCGAGACGTCGATGCTACGCACACTGCCTCCACGCCGTCCCCGACGAAGAAGCACAAGAAACGCCAAAGTCTGTCGACCACGCCAATCGAGAACGATGATACCACCAAGAACCGAAGAAAGCTCAAAGACGCGCTTCAGGGGGATGATTCTCCGAAGAAGACCGGGGAAGAAAGTGTTGTCTCGCCAAAGCGCAGCAAGGCGCGAGCTGCAGACTCGCACGACCGTGTCTCTGAAGCAGGAACAAAGTCGAAGAAAAACAAGCGAAAGACATCTGAGGATGACTATGGTTCAGCTCATGAAACTGAATCTGTGAATGGCGAGCCCGTGGATATTGATGGGGCAGACACGAAAGAACTTTCAATCGATGATGGCGAACCCCAATCCACCAAGAACAAACACTCCGGGATTTTGTCAAAGTTTGAAAGAACCAAGACGGTAGCAAGTGCGAAGGCGAAGAAAAAGCCACGAACTCCCGAGCCCCAAGAAGAAGTCACGGTCGAGCCGGTCGTTGCCCAGGGCCTCGAACCCTTGCCCCAACCCGAAAATCCCCCAGAGATCGTAGAGGCTCCCACTTACTCTTCGCTGCCCGCCTGGTTGGCAAACCCTTTGCGAACATCTGCAGCCGCGCGATCCAAGTTTGCGGATCTAGGCATTAAAGCCGATCTTCTACGCATCCTCGAGGAACACAATTACAAAGAGGCGTTTGCCGTGCAGTCGGCCGTCATCCCGCTTCTCCTACAAGGGAAAGAGAATCATCCGGGAGACTTGTGTATTTCTGCTGCTACCGGTTCTGGGAAGACGCTCTCTTACGTGGTTCCAATGGTTACTGCCCTGCCAGCGAGACCTGCCCCGAGACTGCGCGGGCTCATCGTGGTTCCGACTAGAGAGTTGGTGAAACAGGCCCGGGAGACCTGTGAGCTTTGCGGGGCTGGCTCGCGACTTCGTATTGCGAGTGCTGTTGGCAATGTGGCCATTAAAGATGAGCAAAAGTTGTTGATGCGAATGGAGCAAGTCTACAACCCGGCCATGGTGGAGCAGCACCAGAGAGGGTTGCAAGAGAATGAGTGGATGGATTTCGGCATTTTGGATTGTATCGATGAAGCGATGAACTCGGGCAGTACTCTTCCGGGCCATATTCGGTGCCCAGAGACGAATGTTGACATCCTCATATGCACTCCGGGCCGCTTGGTCGACCATATCCGCTACACCAAGGGGTTTACTCTCAAACATCTGGAATGGCTTGTGATTGATGAGGCCGATCGGCTGTTGAATGAGAGCTTCCAAGAGTGGGTGAGCGTGGTGATGGACTCGTTGAATGAACGATATGCCCCGGACGCCTCGGGGCCGGCTGGGAAATTTTTCGCTCAGATGGGCCTTCCAATCGAGACAAGAGCACCACAGAAGGTGGTGCTCAGTGCGACAATGACACGGGATATCTCGAAGCTCAACTCCCTGCATCTGGAAAACCCCAAGATGGTTATTATTGGTACCGAGAAGGCTGTGGTCGATGAGGACCCATCGGCCACCAACCAAGACGCCAATTTCACCCTCCCGCCAACATTGCACGAGCATATGGTTGCTGTCGGGGATGGATCGCAGAAGCCTCTTTATCTGCTTCGTCTCCTCCTTTCCCACATCAATATCAGCACAGATTCGCGTGCACCTCAACCTGCATCCGACACATCCGACTCCGACTCCGACTCCGACAGCTCTAGCTCGGACGATGAGACCAGCTCTGATGAATCGTCTGATGACGACACTTCCTCTTCAGGATCCGACTCGGACTCGGACTCGGATTCTTCTGATTCTTCCTCGGATGAGTCTACCGATGCCGAAGGGTCAGACGATGACACTGTCGCTCTCGTACCCAACACAGGGCCCCCGCGCACCACAGTTTTGATTTTCACCAAGTCCTCTGAATCCGCGTCACGATTGTCTCGCCTGCTTTCGATCCTGCACCCACCGCTAGCCGGCCGTGTGGGAACCATCATCAAGTCAAACAAATCATCTGCATCCCGAAAGACCTTGACTGCCTTCCGCCGTGGTCAGCTCTCTGTGATCGTGGCGACTGACCGTGCCTCTCGAGGACTGGACTTGCCCTCTTTGACTCATGTTATCAATTACGATGTTCCGACCAGCGCAACGACTTACGTGCACCGGGTTGGACGGACGGCCCGTGCTGGCCGAGAGGGCTCAGCGTGGACTCTGGTGGCGCACCGTGAGGGCCGGTGGTTTGCCAACGAAATTTCGAAGACGCTCGACGGTCGCATCGTTCGTGCATCTCCAATCGACCGCGTCCAAGTCAAGGTGGATGCGCTGGGTTCTCTCAAGGCGAAGTATGCGGCCGCGCTGGACGAGCTGGAGCAGGAAGTTCGGGCGGGTTGAGCTTTGATTCTTGTATTCATTATTTTTATTTCCACAGATGTATGCATAGCGACTGTATCTTACCTAGCAATGTATTTAATGAACATTATTCACTGCTTAAAAGGCTTAATTAGTCGCTAATCCAAGCCCCCGGCGTTCCTCCGCGATTTTACCTGGAATCCATGTGGAGATGTGGAGTCTGGGGAGGAGGAGTTGGAGAATCCGGGGCCTGTGCTCCGTCGGAGCAAATCCGACAGCGAGTCACCTCTTAAACGGGACTTCACTCCCTCCTCCTCTCCCTATTCAATAATAATGTCGGAGAAGTCCGCGGTACAGACCATGTCGCCGGCCGGCGACCAGTCCATTTTCCGGCGTGAGTGTTGATTGTCTTGCCCTCTTCCCACTCGCTCTAACCCTCAATCAGCGGAACCAAACTTTGCGCGATATATCCCCGGAGGATACTCACCGTCCAGATGTATCAACTTGCATGGCAGATCAATAACCTATGCGATTTTTGGCTTTGCGGGATGCGCGATCACTTTCTTTGGGTATGACACCGCGGTCATGAGCCAGGTCAATACCAACGAGGACTATTTGCATCGCATGGGCGTGGCTAGCGGTAGTGGTCGAGACGCCGCAGCTATCGGAGGAATGGTCAGCTTGTGGTTTGGTGGCTTTGCTATCGGTATGATCGAGGCATTTCTTCTTGATTGAGGTCTCATATATTGACCGACCCACCCCGCAGGTGCGTTGATTGTCGGAAACATTGCCGATTCGATTGGCCGTTTAAAGACCATCCAACTAGGCTGTGTCTGGGGGATGCTGGGGGCAGCTCTTCTAGCCTCAGCACAGAATATGACATGGCTGGCATTTGCACGAGTCATCAGTGGAATCGGATGTGGCCATTTGAATACAACTGTCCCCGTGTGGACGTCGGAAATAGCAGATCACCATCTACGAGGTGCGTTTGTGGCCGTTCAGTTTACGCTGGCGATGGTTGGCTCTGCCATGTAAGTTTTTTATTTATGTCGGACTATAACTCGTTACTAACCTATAAGCAGAGCATATTGGATGGAGTTTGGCTGTGTCAAAACGCAATCACTATCTTTCGCATGGCGGTTCCCACTTGGCTTCCAGGTCGTCTTTCTCCTGTTTATCCTGGCAGCCGCCCCATTCTACCCAGAGTCACCGCGTCACTTGGCCAAGATAGGCGATCTGGAGGGTGCACGTTCTGTCCTGACACAATGTCGTATTGACACGGACGAGAACACCATCGACGCAGAGATGGACGAAATTGTATCTGCCATCCGCGCCGAGGCAACTTCAACCTCGCACAGTTTCTACTCCATGATATTCACAAAAGACAAACTGCACACCCGCCGGCGGGTCCTCCTCGGATCTGGCGTCCAGGTCATGCAGAAGCTAACCGGTATCGATTTCATTGCCGTCTATGCGCCGAATATGTTCGCACTCTCTGGTTTTAAAGGCGACAAGCCCGCTCTGCTGGCAGGAGGGAATTGGTTCGGCTATATTGCCAGCCTAGCACTTTCAATCTACCTAGCTGATCGGGTTGGTCGACGAAAGATGATGCTGATTGGGTGCTCACTCATGGGCACTGTGTTGATTGTGGGAGGTGTGTTGTCGCACGAGACAATTTCTCATTCGGATAGAAATCCATCGCTGGCGACTCAATACGGGTCTGGTGTCGCTGCTATCTTATATATTTACACGTTCATATATGGTAGCACATGGCTGACGACTTGGTAAGTCTACCCTCCCGACTGGTCATTTCCACCGCTAATGGTATTATCAAGCTGGGTCTACCCAACCGAGGTCTTTCCTCTGGCCAGCCGCAGTAAAGGCGCGGCGCTGTCGACTTTCGCCTTCTCCATTGCCGGTGGGACAATCAACATGATCATCCCGTACCTCATTCAGGCCATTAGCTACTGGGTCTTCATCCTCTTTGCCCTTATCAACCTGGCTATGCTATTGCCCATTTACTTGTTCTATGTTGGTTAGTATTACTGTTAACTCCGCAGTTTCTCAGATATCTTACTGACAGCTTCCAGAAACCGCAAATCGCCACCTTGAGCAGCTGGATGTATTGTTTTCGGGTGATAGCTGCTTGGCATGGAGAGCAGAAAAACACTTTGCTCAAATGATGAATGAGCATGGTGGTATTCTTGATGAGGACCGAGAGAAGGCGACAGTTCTGCAGGTGGAGTAATGCCGTTTATAGATGACCTTGTAGACAATATATTTGGCGCGAGGTAGTGTATTATATCTACCTCGGGTTAATCTACTCCTATATACCTGAGTGGAGCGAATTAGAAACATTCAATAGTCAGGACGATCTATCCCAATGCTTCCTTTCGTATTCCAATATTGTCGCTTTCATTTTGCATGGAGTTATTTAATCTACGGATCATTTCGGCAGGGCCAGGGCAGATGGTAGCGCTTCGGAGAAATGCGCCACCTCATTGACAACTGATCTACAACTCCTTTACCTCGCTCAGCTTTTACCCGAAACACGGGTGTTTAGTTCATGATATTATCTTCCGAGATGCGGGGGTATGACACCGCAGCTGTTATTAGCATGCGTTTATTATTTATTCTGGGCAAGCTCTCCAGTCCATGCTGAATGAGTAAACATAGCCACATGTCTCTTGGCCATGACATTTCGCAACATCATTTGTACGCTTCTGGCGGTAGCCTCACTTGGCGAGGCAGTGCTATTCAAGCCTCAAAATGAATATCAAGCTCTGTCGGGTGCGAATGCCTCGTTCCCGGTGGATTTGAAGCCATTTTACAACAACCGTGCTTTCGGACTTTACCCCAACGACTCTAGCTATGACGGCCAGGGAAGTAAGTAGCTTCCACCTCAAATTGACGCCCTCAATTGATTGAGTATAGATGCCTATCCGGCGAGCCAAATGCCTCCGGAGAAGTTCTCCTATGGAGGATTCAACTATCGATTTGCTACATACAATGCCTCTGGGAATGACAATGTCCGGACGGAGGGCCAAGAGGTCCACGTTCCGCCTGGCAGGTACTTCAGCTACCAAATGCTGGCATCCGCAGAGACTGGAATGGCCAGCGGTTCCATAATAGCCAAATATGCAGACGGCAGCACGACTTCGGGACCGCTCCTGGTGCCTGCCTGGTGGAGCTGGCCATATCCCGCTGGCGGCGACCTGATCTTCACGAATTATCTGACTGATAGCGCGACCAACTACAACCGGTCAAATATCTTTCAGACCATCAACTGGCTGGACTCTTCAAAGGACCTTGTGTCTTTGACTTTGCCCAACTCCACGACAGGGTCGTCTACCTCGCCTGGTGGAGCGTCGATCAGCACTGTGCTGCATGTTTTTTCTCTGTCAATGTTGCCAGTTCCCAAAAAGGTGCAGCATTCTGCTAGCTTAGAGATACAGTATGCTCGGTCCACTCAGAAATGGATGGAGGGGACGACAGACAAGACTCAAATCGTTGAAGTCCTTGTCAACAATGTCGGCACGTCCTTCATCCTGCGCAACAATACTGTTCGGGTTCATGTTCAGTCACCACATTTGGAGACTGTGTCAGAGGGTGTCATCAAGAGACTGGGTCCTGGTGACCAGGCCGTCGTGGAGGTTGGTGTTCGAAACCGACCCGGAGTCCAAGCCGGCAGCGCTGGTCCAGCAACCGTTGTCATTGGTGGCCATCGGGTTGCGTCTAGCCCGTATACTTTCGAAGCGACCTATGGCATCAAGCCTTACGAGGCAACGTATGAGTCCGTGTACAGCCACGAAGCACCCAACTGGTACAACAATGCCAAGTTCGGCATTTTCATCCACTGGGGGTGTACTCCGTGCCTGGATGGGGCAACAAGGGATCGAAGGAGAACTATGCCGAATGGTCAGATACTCTCTTACGGTCAATTGTCTCTCACTAATGGTCGAGACAGGTACTGGTGGTATCTCAACCAGGGACCCAGCAGTCCAACTTATCAGTACCACCTTGAGACTTATGGACCGAATGTGGTTTACGATGACTTCATCCAGAACTTTACAGCAGACGCATGGGATCCTAAGGAGTGGGTTGACTTGTTCGCCGACGCTGGGGCCAACTATTTTGTTCAAGTCAGCAAGCATCATGACGGTTTTGCACTGTTCACTGCGGGCTCCGACGTATCGAAGAGAACAGCGGTGGATCTAGGTCCGCAGCGAAATCTACTCCAGGTGAGCCATTCGTTCAATGACTATCGGACCCGAACTGACTATCTCTGCACCAGGAACTTTTCGACGCGGCAAAGGAGCACCAGCCGCATCTACATCGCGCGACGTATTATTCTCTGCCCGAGTGGTTCGACCCAGACTATAAGAAATACGGGTTCGCCTCGTGGCCCGGAGGTATTGATTGCCCTCCCTTTACGGAACTCGGCGATGAGAATTGCAAATTGACAGCAGCCTTAGGCAATGCCACGGATCCTTTCAACAATAAGACCCTTCCGTACGCTGGGTATGTCCCCTTAGCCGATTACATCACGGACAAGATTGTTCCGGAGATGAACACACTGGCCGACATGGGCACGGAGATTATGTGGTGCGACATTGGAGGCCCAAACCGGACAACGGAATTCGCATCAGCGTGGTTTAATCGTGCGGCGCAGGAGAATCGACAGGTCGTTATGAACGCTCGCTGTGGACTTCCCGGCGACTTCGACACGCCCGAGTATGCAAGATACAATGGTGTTCAAGTGCGTAAATGGGAGAGCAACCTGGGAATGGACCCATACAGCTATGGCTACAACCGAGACACGCCGCTTGCCAGCTATATGAACGCAAGCACCATCGTCACGTCGCTGATCGACATTGTCAGCAAGAACGGCAACTTTCTGCTTGATGTTGGGCCCATGGCAAATGGAACTATCCTCGATGTCGAGCAGCAGCACTTGCGCCAGGCGGGTAAGTGGATCAAAAGCCATGGAGAGGCAATCTACAATACCACTTACTGGTTTGTCACTCCCGAGGAAGGAGATAATATCCGCTTTACTATCTCCCAAGATGCATTTTACATCCACACGCTGGCTAAGCCTAATGGCACGCTGGCGCTGACCAGCCCAATCCCGTGGGTGGAGGGGGATCAAGTGACAGTCGTCGGCGGAAAGAAGCACGGCGATGTGGTGCCGAGCCACAAGACTGCCAATGGCAGTGTGATTCTGTCTGTGAGCGAAGAGGTGGTCAACGCTGATGACTATGCCTGGGTGTTCAAGATCGCATACTGAGCGACTCGGAGATAGCGTTGGTCAGCCAGTTAATACAGACTCCAGTTGCTATTGTCACTGCTGTGCCATTCAATAAAAGCCCTTATGTAAACAATCAGTGCTTGTACTGTTCTATTATACAGGAAAAAGGATAAACACGGGAAGGTTAAAAAGAGCTGGTCAATTTTTCCTCCGCGGAATTAGCTTACGGCACTTTTCATACTGCACCTTGCATTATTTCCGATAACTCCCCATTCCAAGAAACAACCATTCAGCCAATAATTAAAGCCTGCCTGCACATCTTCGGCAAAATTGTGGCTTCAGTGGAGAACCATTCTGCAGCGATCGGCGTCAAGGGGAAACCCGGTACTGTTTCCTTCCCCGTTCAGCCTGAATCAGTGATGACGTTTAGCTCTACGAATTAACTAGAGCTTCAGAAGAGAATATTATTGGTAGGCTTTTTTGCTCTTAGTGCCGTAGATATTTCCGTCATTTAATCTCCAGCTACTGTGAAACAATCCAGGCACTCCTCGAGGTTTCATCCAGGAGCGAAGTGCGAGGTGGGTCCGAACGGAATGAAAGCGCCTCATGCATTTGTTGGTCAGGATTATTCTTCATCCATCAATCATAGCCATTACGTAGCACCCTTAACGTTTCACAAGTATAATTACCGCACTGACCAACGTCAATTGATTATTCAGGCTAAAATGGTCTACCTCCCCGAGCTCGCAGTCACTTCGGAGAATCTCCGCCTGAAAAGCCCCGGCCTAAACTCAAGATCGACTGGGGGACTTGCTGAGTCTGGGTGGCGTTGTGGGGACGGCTGCTTCCCCCGGCTTGATCCCGGATTCCGGCCTTGGTGCTGCGCATGTTTATAAATGAAGCTCGTCGGTAGCCAGGGGAAAATGTCATAGCGTGTGAACACAAAGAAGCCCTCAGTATGCCTTCTGCTACCTCGGTGCTCGCTGCGTTGGCGGCGTTGACGCCAACCATCCTGGCCCAGGATAACTCGTCCTATCGCGACTACAACACATGGCCCAACCCCGACTTGTATCCTCAGACTCTCGCCCATGTTCCTTATTCTTTCCCTAGCTGCACAAGCGGGCCACTCAGCAATACTCTGGTATGCGACACGTCTGCGAGTGCCCATGACCGTGCCGCCGCCCTGGTTTCCTTGATGACCTTGGAGGAGCTTATCAACAGCACCGGCAATGTCATTCCGGCTATTCCTCGGTTGGGTCTGCCGAATTACAATGTGTGGAGCGAAGCTCTCCATGGACTGGACAGGGCCAACTTCACTGCCGAGGGCGACTACAGCTGGGCGACCTCATTCCCGTCACCCATCTTGACCATGGCTGCCCTCAACAGGACGCTGATCAACCAAATTGGCGGCATTATCTCTACCCAAGGTCGGGCTTTCAACAACGACGGCAGATACGGGCTGGACGCTTACGCGCCCAACATCAATGCCTTCCGACACCCTGTTTGGGGTCGTGGCCAGGAAACTCCCGGTGAAGACGCCTACTGCCTATGCTCGGCATATGCGTACGAGTACATCACCGGTATGCAAGGCGGCGTGGACCCGGAGCTCCTCAAGGTTGTGGCAACTGCCAAGCACTATGCCGGCTACGACATTGAAAGCTGGAATAACCATTCGCGGCTGGGCAACGATATGACCATCACGTCTCAGGACTTGTCTGAGTACTACACACCTCAGTTTTTGGCTGCTTCGCGCGATGCGCGAGTCCACAGTGTGATGTGCTCTTACAATGCCGTCAATGGAGTCCCCTCGTGCTCCAACTCGTTCTTCTTGCAGACACTGCTTCGCGACTCGTGGGACTTTGTCGAGGATGGGTATGTCTCGTCCGACTGCGATGCTGTGTACAATGTTTTCAACCCGCATGAGTACGCCGCCAATATGACTAGCGCTGCAGCCGAGTCCTTCAGAGCTGGCACTGATATCGACTGCGGTCAGACCTACCCATGGTACCTCAACCAGACCTTCTTGAACGGCGAGATCTCTCGCACAGACATTGAGCGCGGTGTGATCAGACTTTACGCCAACCTGGTGCGTTTGGGCTACTTCGATGGCGAGGACAACGAGTACCGGAAGCTTAACTGGTCCGACGTTGTTACCAGCAATGCTTGGAATATCTCGTACGAGGCTGCAGTGGAAGGCATTGTGCTCTTGAAAAACGACGGCACGTTGCCACTGACTAAGGAGGCCAAGAGCGTTGCTTTAGTTGGGCCGTGGAGCAACGCAACGACCCAGATGCAGGGCAACTACTACGGCACGGCACCGTACCTCACCAGCCCATTGGACGCTCTGCGGGGCTCCGATATGCATGTCAACTGGGCTTATGGCACGGGAATCTCGTCTGAATCAACATCAGGGTTTGACGCGGCCATCGAAGCAGCAAAGAAGTCTGATGTGATCATCTACGCTGGCGGTATCGACAACACCATCGAAGCAGAGGCCATGGACCGCGAGACTATTACTTGGCCAGGCAACCAACTGCAGCTCATCCACAAGCTGAGCGAACTCGGAAAGCCACTGATCGTCCTCCAGATGGGCGGTGGACAGGTTGACGGCTCGTCGCTGAAGGCCAACAAGCACGTTAACGCTTTGGTCTGGGGTGGTTATCCCGGTCAGGCTGGTGGACAGGCGCTGCTGGACATTATCACCGGCAAGCGAGCTCCGGCTGGCCGTCTGACGGCGACGCAGTATCCGGCTGAATATGCTTTGCAGTTCCCTGCAATTGACATGAACCTGCGACCCAGCGGCAACAATCCTGGCCAGACATACAAATGGTACACAGGCAAACCGGTTTACGAGTTTGGACACGGCTTGTTCTACACCACTTTCAAGACAGCGCTATTCAGGATGGAGCCCAAGGGCTCTTCTTTCAACATTGACACGCTCCTGGCCCGCCCACATTCCGGCTACAACGTCGTGGAGCAGCTGCCATTCCTCAACTTCACCGTCAGTGTCACCAACACCGGACATGTGACCTCGGACTACACAGCCATGTTGTTCACCAGCACAACCGCGGGTCCGAAGCCGCTGCCAATCAAATGGCTCATTGGGTTCGACCGTATTGGTTCTCTGAAGCCCCGCGAGTCGCAGACCATGACCATTCCCGTCTCGCTGGACAACGTTGCTCGTACGGACGAACTGGGCAACCGTGTCGTTTATCCTGGACATTATGAGTTGGCTCTGAACACCGACCGCTCTGTCGTGCTCACGTTTACGTTGACTGGAGAGGAAGCGACTATTTCCAAATGGCCGCTGGCTGAGCAGCAGATTCCTCCTGCGTCGTAAGGTATCTGTCCGAGATTTCTATTTCATGTGTATACTTTTTCTGTGTCAACCCACATTTGACAATACAATTCTCCCTTCCCTATTACCTGAATTAAACAAAGAGCATATCATGCGATTTCCTACTATATGCCACTATACTTCGACAGGTGTTTATAGATCCATAGCCTAATTTAGAAAGAGGTGCCTAGTCTAAACCTTAAAATGGAAGCCCCGCCGAGAGGGGCGATTCTTGCTTTCTTATATTAGACATTTATAACAGGCTGATCCCGCGACACGTCAGCCCGCAGACTCGCTTGGATTTTCAAACCAAAGCGAGATCCCGCTTCACTAGTTAGTTACATTTCAGGTAGATTAACTCTGTGGTGTTGAGGCTAATTTTATCGTCCATTCCTAGCCCCCGTATTGTCATTGGCTCGTCTGTGTACTGCTTTAGCATACTCCGTAGTGTAATACATTTAGTCAACTTGGACTAGTTGGTCCTTGTAGTCAGTCAGACTTGCATTCCTAAATTGTCAAGTGAACCACTGAGCTTTCCTTTCGCAGTCTGAATACGCAATTGGTTGGGCTGACCTATGCCACTGTTTTTTAGAGTCTTGTGATGGTATGACGATAGTTACTGTTGAATCTAGCACGTACGACGTCCTAAAATAGAGGTGCAAATAACGAAGAAGTAAATCTCGATTACAATAAAACTGGGAATGCCCAACGTTTTAAGGTGCGAAACTAACTAACAATAGACTAGTATAAAATAGGGCAAATGCGGTAAGGGGCACATTCTTGACAGTTACACAAATCAATCGAACTGCCAAGTGCAAAGGAGCAATACTATTCAATTCCTGTGTCGACATGTAAGTTGCCCTTGGTCGACCAATAATAGGATTCAACAAACTTTGAAGCCATACAAATTCTATAGAAAGCTTTCACAATGATGTTGCATTCAGAGGCGGCTAAGGGGCCAATAATCACAGCAAGTCTTTCAATTCCCGATCATCAGGCCACACAACCGGAAAGCCTAGCTCCTCTCTACGAGTAAGAGTTTGTTTTTTCCACTTCCAGAACGTAGAAAGGCGATCTTCGGGCCACACGTCGCCAAAGGTATCTTGCGGGTTAGTAAAGTGCAGCGCAGCTAATCTACTAGCGAGGTCGATCTCAGTCAAACTTTCAAACCAGATGATGAGGATGGTTCCAATTCTCTCAAAGAGGATCTTCCCATATGATGCAGTGTGGTATGACATAGCCAGAAGATTATAGATCTCTGATAAAAAATATCTGGCGGGCCACTCTGGTCGCGTCCGGTACTTCTCAAGTTCATTCGGACTATCGCTTTCGTCAAAGATCAAGTCAGAAGCGAAATGTTGATTTTGCCATGCATAATAATGGATGCTGTCCGGGGGAAACGGAAGCACAGACTCGGCTGACTGGAAGTCAAGAGTAAGGATCTCAACGGTTATATCTCGATCCTCGAATTCTGACGATGGGACTTCATGTTGATCAGAAATTTCACTTTCGCTAAGATTCGGATTTCGCCTTTCTTTCTTTTTATCCACAGGTCCATAGCGGAGGAAGCGTTCAAGCAACGCATAGAAACTTCAGTGAAATCCGAGGCGCCCCCCATCCCCAACAAGGCGTTTAGCTATCCTAGACGGGATAATACTGCCAAAAAGGCGCACATCGGCAGCTAGTGCGTATATGCGATTCGTGAGGAACGGCACAGATACCCAAGTCGGGAACACATCGTAGTCATTCAAAACGGAGATGTCCAGAACATATGTGAATTTTTTGCGATTGAGGACGGATTGGGTTTCGTCGTGTATTTGACGATTGGCCAGAAGAAGAGGGAGACAATTGGATGGGCAGTGCGAGCTGCGCTGCTCATGGTAGATTTTCGCTTTGCTGCGCCAAGCCTGGTAATCAATATCATAGAAGTCGATTCTGCCTGACGTTGATGGATAAGCCGGCGGTGGATGACAGGTTCGTAAGACTTCTTCAAGAATAGACTCCCGGATTTCCTGCGGTAGACTTAAAAAGGAAGGCATTTCCAGTCTGAATTGAGGTTTCAATCATTGACGTGGCAAGGGCGAGCAGGGCCAGGGTGGCTTATTGATCCCGACCGGGGGCGCTTCCCACGTTAGTTAAGCAGGGGTGACGAGTGGGGAATTTGATCATGCTGGTGTGGGAATGAGCACGGTGGCTGGCAAATATCGGCCACCGCCTCCCCGTTGATCATGGCCCAAGTTGGATTTCATAGTTTTAGCATCATACCATTACGAATTGAGCTTCATCAGTTTCTATCGCTTCCTGAATAGCTTCGCGATTACCGCATCCGGCAATCCACTGCCAGCTTGGTCCTCATACAGCTGCCTGCAGTGGAATCCTGCCTCTGTCTAGTTTCGATACATACCAACCCCTGGCCCCGATTTGGGCTTGTTGGTTGCCATCCACGAAATCCGCATCAATCCGCCAGGTCCTGTGGGCCAGATTGCACTGTATGCAGTCACGTGATAAAAACACTTGCTCACTGAGTGCTAACTGATTCCTGAGTAACATTCAGGGTCCAATCAGGGATTACTCACAGCCCGATCATCTCGAGGCAGACGATACCCAGAACACCGTCATTCCCTAACATTCTCTAGCGAGTTTGGAATCTTCCACATGCCGTTGAGTATTTGAAATCTCCCACTTCGAACCTTCGAGGATTTGGAACCTCTCGGTACTCTAGCTGCCGCCCGGATCACCCTCCAAACTCCCTACGTGTCAATGTGCTGGGAATTACTTACTGCACCGACAGCAAAACGCGTTAATGTTTCGTCCTCAATATACATGTCTTTCCCAGAGCAGGTGCCGTCGAAAATGTGTATACGTTGGTGGGGGGGATCTTGCAGGAGAGAATGACCCAAAAGACATTGAGCAGAAGGTAATGACAGTGGGAGCAACTTGATACATCGATGAGAGTATGTACACCTCGCTGTTTCCTTATATCAGAATCCAACCGCTCCCCACGAAGTGGCCTCATAATTTCCTTGGCCGAATTCCCAGCCTGCCATAACACTAGTTAAGTAGTCATCCCCACTGTACCAGCCGTTGCTAATGCCATGCTGGAAGAACGGCGTTAAACTACCCGAGAACCAACCTGCGTTGCTCGGGTCGACGTAAGTCATAGTCAAATCGCCGCCGGTGGGCCAGCTGTAAAGTTGAAGCATGTGTCAGCAGCGTCGACTTTAGATATAAGTGATGTAAAAGAACTTACTGATATAAGTAGACGTCCCACTCTTTGCCTCCAATATTCACGTTTCGCGCCCAAGGTACCGAACCGTTTGAGTCATATTGGTCGGAGAGTGGACTATTCGGCGTCTGATGACCGACCCATATCATCACCTCGTACTGCGAGTTGCGGTCAGTGGGAGCGTAGCTCGGATCAATAAAGATGTCGTAGCTAATCAATGAATCTCAATCAATCTTCTAGCTCGGAGTTATGTCACAGGACGAGGAGTCTCACCAAGCATCATATCCTTGACCCTCTGCAGGATAGGCATTCTGACTGAACCAGGTATTGTGACCAGGATTCAGGTCGTTGATCTTCTTAGGCAGTGTGTGAACTGGCGACCAGGTGCCCCAGTCTTCGCCAGTGACCATGACAGTAAATCCAGTACCAGCTGGTGCATTCACTCCCCAAGAATTGTCGTTGTTATACCATGGAGAAATGCTGCCAGAAGTACTGAAGTACTTGAAATAGTAGGTGCTCGAATCAGCGCCATTGGCGGAGTGACTGAGTCCACTCAAGAGAATAAAAGAGGTAGAAACAAAGCGATGGAACCAGTTCATTGTGACTGTCAGAACGTCACCCTTTGGCTGATTGCAAGGCTTGAAGGCAATCGAATTTAGGATTTCTACCAGATTGCAGGGTCTATTTATGCTTTTCAAAATCCAGTGAAAGCGAGCTACGGGCGCGAGGAAATGGAATCTGCGAATCTGGTAGGGTATTTCTCCGACGATGTAAACAACCCTATGCGGTAGTAACCAGCGAGATATGCTTCTACAAATCAACTGGCAATTCGCCAGTCTCAGTACCACTCCGCCGAGGGACTTTATCCATAATTTTGGGTCTGATCTACGTGCCTTAGAAACCTGGGTCTACAGATATGGCAGGATCTCCCACTAGGTGAGAACCCCATGGGGTAGAATGCGGAAAATGCTAAGGTTGCGGAAAACAATAAGGTTCAACCAACCAGGTTTGCTGAATTCCGAGTCTAATGATGGAGAGCAATGAGGCGGATTGGACAGTGCGGAGTGGATAGTAATCAGTGATCGGTTTCTGAAACTCAACTGGCCATTCACCAGTCTCAGTATCACTTCGCTTATGAGACTTCACCCATAGCTTTGGGTATGATCTACGTGCATTAAAGCCTCTCGAGATCTGACATGTTCGGGCGAATGGATCGTGGCTTGAAATTATCCGATATAGCTGATTTAAAAGAGATTCGCCAACGTCACCCCACCTTCAATGGTTCTTTTCTACCCGAAACATGCAAATAGACAAAATATGCACTCTCCTAGTTTTAAGTTTACACCTGCTTCAGCGAGGTTAATGCGGCGCTGGTTATATCCTAGGCCAATGCATTATATTGCGGCCTAAGATATAAGATCATTCTAAGATAGAGATGAAGAAAAGTCCTGTAGGTTCTATGTAGAATGTAGGGAAATCGTAGACGATGAAGTAGTCGATCTCCTCGCCTGGCACAGAGATGTTGACTTTCGTGGTCCGTTCGGACTGCACCTGAGACCAGCCGGAATCGGAATTTGCAGAAAATCCATATAAAAAGCGATAAATAGCAACAAACCCCCGGGGTTGATGCATGGCGTGTAATGCCGCACAAACTTTTAAAAAATGCCCAGGCGTACCAATTGCTGCACAAATGCAGCGATGTCGTCCCACAACACCTCCGGCTGCTCAATTGCGGCGAAGTGGCCGCCCTTATCACGACATTAATCATAAGTATATTTGAATTGAATAGATAAAAAGTTCAATAGAGTATTAAACATACCTTTTCGTGTCTGCGATAAAATATTAGATTGCCAGTTGTACGTACCCAACTAGCCGGCGTAGGAGCAATCTCATGCAAAAAACTGGAGAAACCAAGAGGTTTGCCAATATACCACTCTGGGTTTGCGTGCGAGCCAAAGGAACCGGGTTCAAAGAGCTGGATGGTAATTAGCCACAGTGGTTTGCCACGAGTGGCAAGTTGGATCTTTATACCTGCCGATAATGATATAAAGAAGAGGGCAGCGTTTCCGTGGCCCAATATAACGTGGCCGTTTGTAAGATCGTGTCAAGGTCGGGGTCTTCATCAGACCACTCAAGGTACTTTTCACCAATCCTGAATATATTAGATATGAATTTACATGGATTAGAGGCGAATCCGATACTTACCAAGCTAAAAGACTCAGTGGGTTAGAGGAAACCGCAATGCCAACTGTACTCGGTCGGGTTGCATGCTCCTTCGCATATGCATTGCCCACACTCTCAAAATTACGGGATCTTTCGATGCCCACTCGGTCAAGGTCGTCAACTTCCAGTGGCTTCTGCATTGACGGTTCGGGCATGTAACAGAAATTGACTATGATATCTAGTTAGCAGCACGAACCGTCATATATCGGTAACATACTGTGAACCGCTGTAGTAATATCGGTTAGTGGACGTGGATATTTTGAGCAGACCCTTCCTGGACTCACCTTTACAACTCGCGTGTGTCGCACCCATGACTCTAGCTGTATCGCTTCCTAAATCCCCGCCATGTACGACATACCCGGTACCGAAGCCCAGGTTATCCATGAATCTATCGAGGATACGAGCACCATTTTCGATTCTAGAATCTTTATTCAGTGGAGGCTTGGAAGAGAATGCATATCCAACAAGCGACGGCGCGATTAGGTGATAGGGCGATTCGGATCGTGGTAGTCGCCTGTTAACCATGTCCAGCATCGGCAAAAACTCCAAAAAGCTTCCTGGAATTTTGTCAGCAAAAAGCCGACTTCACACATCGATGGGCACGGCGCGTAATACCGGGCCAGCCGTGTAATAGAAGAATCGGTATTGCTTTCTTCTGGTCTGAAAACAATGCGGCGAAGTGAATATCATATTCACGGCCGTCATCGTCGACCACTCTCGTAATATACTGGGGAAAGCGATTGATGCATCTCTCATGCTTACGCCTGTTGCAACGAGTGTCAATTTCAGAGCTAAGAAAACTGCGTCTAGATCATCGTTGGGCCGCTCAGGTGCTCACCAATCAAAATGTGTTTCCCAAATATCTTTGGCATTCTTCATCCAAGGAAGCGTTATACCGTAGCGACGATCAAGTTGAAGATTCTCAAATGACTCTTCAGGCAACCGTGAAAGTCGTAGGAGAGTTGACAAATTTTGCAGCACATTCTCTGGTATGTCAACCTCAAATCGTTGGCATGACCTCCATTCTGGTGAGCACATCCCGGAAGTTAGGTGGCAAGCAATGTGCCTGTTCGTCAAGTATCAAGAAATTCACAAGACTGGAGCTTTGAAACGCGTCTTGTTGGAGCGGTGCAAGAATTATTCAAAACGTTATCCTGGCATTCTAAACAGCAGACACACAAAGGAGGCACACCTGGGTGAGGTGAAATTGGACGATTGGTCAAGCAGCCAACTCACTCCGGTCGGAACGGCTTTATTATAGGGAACTGCAACTTGGCCCACCACGTCTGGTGGGGAATGGTTGTCGGAAACTCTTGATTTGGTAAGGTCAAAACCGCAAAGTTGGTTTGTCCCAAAGATTTTCAACCCAATTCGCCGGATCTGTTAGACATACCACATTTCGTCATGAAAAGCTGAGCTGAATAACAAAGTTCCCCTATCCAAGTCGGTCGAGCTCAACTCCTAGTTACTTAAAAACACATACGTGTAGTCACGGCATGCTGGAAGAAGAGCGTATATAATATGGATGCAAAATGTTCCTAGAGTACATAGAGATCGAATAGACCAAAGTTTACTTCCATCGGGGCCGGCCTGTCAAATTCAATGAAGATTCCATTTCACATTTTAGTAGCTCGATAGAGATTAAAAGGAGTGAGTAGTAGAATGATCTACTTATGATCTTCAGGACCCAAAGGTTTCTGACCAGCCTTCTCTACATTCTTTCTCTTGGCCTCTGTCGGCATGGCGGGGTCATTCTTGATTTGTGCATCGGTTGACGTTTGTTCCTCCCCTTCGTGTGTCTCGCTGCCGAGTTCCTCCTTATTCGAAGAGGAAATTGGGGACTGGGTAGAACGAGTGTCGGCATTGTCGGAATTTCGACCTTCCAGGCCTCTAGACTTGTTGATGGCTTGAGATTCTGGCGAGCTGGCAATCGGATTGCTCACGTTGGATGACTGTCCAGGCTTGGCGGAGTTGGCAGAGTACCTCGCTGAAGGGGTGTTTCCTAAGTATTATATTAGTTAGGTCCATTCGAAAGATCAAATAATCTTACGCGAAGTGCTTCGAAGTAGACTGCGCGGGACGGCGCGCATAAGGCGACTCGCCATTCTGATGGTATAAACTTGGGATAAGTCAAGGGCTTCGGGAGGTAAATCATCTAAATGGGCAAGCCATACTTTTATTATCTTTCGTCTATTATGAGATCGTTCAATAATTTATTCCTCCTATATAGTATCAGCCAATGGAGCGTGACGTCAAGTCCCAAGCTTGTTTTCCAATCTTATGATGTAAGACTGTCCCGTATCCCAACCTGCCTTTTTAGTACAAGTAATCGAGTCCCAATTGTACGCCAAACTTGAATTTGGAATAAACAGCAAAAGGATGCAGATCATGTCATCTGACCTATAGGAAGAGGTTTTTATATCTTGTTTCCTAAACGCGCCCGTGATTAATGGCTTGATTTGTTAAGTTACCGAAATATCTCAAGTAGCATTACTCAATTGCATCCGCTGATACCCCGAGAGGGCCCACTCACATTGTAGCATGGAGGTAGCCGCCGTCCGTGGCGGACCGTATAGCATCTTGTAACGTTGCCTCTTCGTGAAGCAAAAACATTCCTCTGAGCTGCAGGGCATGTTTCAAGTTGGGTCTGCATCGATCTTTCGTGTTTCTATCAAGATTCACGTCTTCAGTGCCCGGAATTATTAGGCAACGAAGCCGTCTCCTTGAGTTGGATGAGGCCGCTTCATTTGTAGCTGGACGATAACGGCAGTTTTGGTTGGCCAGGAGAAGGCGAAGTCCGGGATACAGAATATCGAGGGTAGCTTCTAGCGGGCCAGAGTTGGGATGTCTTCGGCATACGGGCTGTAGTGAGATCACCGCGAGAACGGACGATGGTGATTTAGTTTTGGAAAACACTAGAATTTAGAGAACGGAGTACATTATACGAGGACACGGTGAGCGGGGCGCCGCTTCCGGGTCATGCGCTACTCTACTTAGGGAACGACGGGTGAGGACTAAACAGAAAGAGAAAAGCCAAGATATGCTAGGCATTATCCAGTCTACGTGCACCTTTGACACATTCTTGACGCTAAGCCCTGTAGTAATACAGGAAGACCGAGCACGCATCCGGGACACGTATGATCGTCCGCTGTCCAGATATCTAGAAGATCCGGGTACCTATCCGACTGCCGAGTACCCCGTCAAAGAGTTCAGCAGGCCAATAGGTGGAGGTGCAGCAATCGTGGGATTATCCTCGGCGTGCTAAGCAAAAGGACACCCCAAATGCTTCTGGAAAGGCAAACTGTGACATACGTTTTGACTTCGATATAGGACCGAGTGAAGGTTGCTTGGCCAACTTGGACCCGATAAATGGGTCCTTTCAATACCGTTGATAAAATCGCACCGTTAATTATGGTTCACATCGGGTGGCGAGCCTCCATTTCGGTACTGCCAGAGACGGCTGAAATCTTTTACACGCAGAACCTTACTGCCACGATTCGCCCGAGGTGTTTCGCGCGCCGGTTCTCCGTTGGACATGTTCGGAAGCAACGCATCGCAGGGTGTAGAAGCAAATCCTGGCTTCAGACTTGTTGTGTTGACGTGTGCTGTGCCTTCTTGCATATCCACTTCCATATCCATAAAGGGATTTGAGTCTAGAACCTTTCGATCAGGTCCGAGCGTGAACATATTATCCATATAATGTTGGTTCATCAGATGCCCGGAGCCGGGACGGACAAACAACCGGCCCATGTACCGATTCGGGATGTTGATGTAGTGCAGAACTCCCCACACACTGACAAAGTCAACCGCATTGGCATAGTGTTCGATGTAACCGATGGACTGACGGTGCTGCTGCTCGACGTTGGAATTTTGCAGGGTTGCCTGTTGAGTCGATTGCGATTGGCTGGGGTTGTTGAAGTGGTTCGCAGCGCTACCAAAAGTGTATACTTCGAGCTGGTGCAGCAGGTTTTGAGGAAGCTCGTCTAATAGCCAGTCGATGACAAGACCCCCTTCAATTGCTCCTTGGCTGTGGAGTATGAGAACGACCTTGTCATATTGGGGATTCAAAAGAGCCTTCTTGATAAGCACATATTCGTCTCGAACATCCTGAGTGGCATATGAGAAGTCTCGTTGAATTAGACACTGAAGAATATCAAATATTATACCAGAACTATGGGAAACGGATCAGTCTCGTCCATCACGGAGACGCGTTGGCTACTTACGTGGGGTTAAGCACTCCGGTTACCCTTCGGCCGAAGGTGTATGAGAGCAAATCGACATTTTTCTGTAGCCAGTGCTGGCTGCTTGGGGTCAGTTTCAACGCCGGCCCAGTCTCGGTTTGCATACTGCTTACCCTACTGCGACCCCATTCACGTAGATCCAATGCTCCCGCTCATGGCCCGGCCGTTCGGCGACCGGAACTCGGGACACTAAAAATCGCTTGAAGCCACTAAGCGTAGTTTTGCAGATGGCATAGTTGAGTAATAGAGCAGCAGCGATGTATGCAAGGACCCAAAGCGTCGGGATCAAGAAGATGATGACGATCGGCAGAGACAGGAGAAAGAGCAACTGGTACACGACGAGAAAGGCGTGGATGGTGGCATCCCCAAAGTCTCGCCAGGATGGATAGAACTCATCCAGCGGCCATGCTCGACCGAGGTTAAGTGGAAGGAAAACCCTTGGCAAGGCCCAGGCGCTCTGGAAGAAAAGGCAGATGTCGCTCCACAGCAGCTTCAGGGGCGATGCGGTGTACGGCAGTGGTCTCACGTCGCCCAGTTGGGCACGCAGGACAGTACAGAGCATGGATGCGTGAAGTCGACTATATTCATCTAACGTTGATGAAGGTAGATTTGACGAGGAAGGGAAAAACAAGGAATGTTGCGAGTGTCTGTCATGTGATGCATCCATCAGGTGCATTGACAGTAACTATACAAAAGCAAAGAGAGAAAGAGAGAAAGAAACCGAGTCTATCGACGCAGATGAACAAAGAACGGGAGTGCCACAAGAACAAAGTCGAATTCTATAAAAGACCCTAAGACCCAAAGAACGATGTTCAGCCGGTAGATCCCTGCAGACTCACAATGCCTTTGACGATGAAACGAAAGAAACTCCCGGCAAATTCCTACAGAAAGACCAACGGTTCCTCGATCTATTGTTTCAGATCAACAGTTAAATAATTCGTGCATGCCCTGGTCAAGATATCATCATCGCCAACTTTGGATGCACATTCGGTCCACCGACCTATTCCAAGAATACCAATCAAGGACTCTCTTCTCCAGAATGAAGCGACACGGCAGCACAAAAAAGAAAGAGCCTCCTCGGACCTTCATCACCCAAGAGGCCAGACACGCAGCCCGGACATCGCCAAACGTATACCCGCGGTTAGTCACTGAACTGACGCGGGCAGAAGTGAAGCAGCTAACGGAGGTTCTACACCTAGACAACACGCACGACCATGCCTCACAGCAGGGATGCAACATTCAAAAGATGATCGAAGCACTGCCGAAGCGTCTGCGCAAGGAATGGTCCTTCTCCATGCGCTCGATCCAGTCAAGGTGGCAGCCCAGCACGCTGTGCGAGGTGCATCGCTCGCTGAATCCGGACTTGATCAACGACATCCTGCGCCTTGTGCAAAATGAGGTCACAGTGCACCTCCGCAAGTTCGAAGCATTCCCTCAACTCGTCGGGTCCGTTGAGCAGGAGATCCTGTCTAGTCTCCAGGCCCTGAAAGGAATGTGGACCAGACCTGGGGCTGGCCGGCCTGTGGCACCCATGGCATGGGCGTACCAGATCAACGGCTGTGCGGCATGCATTGTGGCGCGCATTGCGGCGGACAAGTACACGGTTCGCAGCCTGTTCGTGGTGCTGCAAAGCCGGACCCGTACTTGCAAGAAGCACCGTCTGTGCCGGCTGATGCCCTTCATCGATGAGAGTCTGAATCGTTTCGGCGCTGAATCTGACGGATTGCACGGCACCGCCAATCAGCTGGCCAACACGCTCAAACTCACCCGGAAACGCTGTATTCGGGCCTGGCACGAGGATCCCAATCGCGAGCACAGAAGTCAACATCACAAGAATGGGAAGACGACTTCGAAGCACCACAACGACAGTCATGCTCTGAAGGATATTCTCCCTCGACCAGATCCAAGCTCGGTAGTATCACCTCAAATCACCCCCGTGCCAGTGAAGAACCCTGGTCGCTCCGGTCAAGCAACGGTCTCGTCGTCTTCTCAAAATGGGGGTGCCCCCAGGAACATATTCTGGGACAAGCGACCCCAACGATCCATAGCTGCTGGCCCAGCATCCAGAAACATCAGCCGCCAAACTATTCCAGAGCGACCCGTAAACCCGGAGCCTCCAAGGACGATCCCAAGCCCAGCGGTTCCCAACCCACGAAGAGCCCTATCGCAAGCCCAGGCGCACAGCAAATGGGGCTCCGACATCGACGAGCAGATCGATGAACTGATCCAGTCGTACCAAACACTCGGAGTGCAAGACAAATCCTTGTCTTCACGGAGCAGGAATCCATCGACGATTACGCCGGCCGAACCCAGGATGGGCGAGCAGCGCAGATGCACCAAGACCAGTACGAAGCGATGCAGTGAGTTCCCCAGTGCTCAGCATCACCAGTCCACGGGCTCTGTGGAGGTTCCACTGGTTTACCAGTACTCTCCGTCTGAGTACTCGGACAGCGACTGGACGGATGTGCCGTGTGAGGATGAGGGCTATCAGCCGCCACGGCGACAGTGGGATCCGTCGCCGGCTATGACGACCTGGAGTTTGGTTTGTGATGAGGGGAATGTTATTTGAGGTAGATTGGAGAGGTGTGGTTAGGTGGGAATAAATGATGTTAAGGATCTCTTTTGGTCCCAAGTTGATGTTATTGTGGTTGCACGGGGATGGAGGACAGTTGTTGGTGCTCTAGTTCCTATATAGATTGGCATAACTCCAGATTGCTTTATTATTTTTGTTATCTGTATGCCTGAGCAAGTAGAGATAGAAAAAGAATAGACATTAGCGACAGTAGGCCGTTCAGGAAGGCATATACAAAGCATGACTCGAACATTCTCAGAGTATTAATACACCGGAATTAGCGATTCATGGACATTAGAAAAAAGAACGATTGAAACCACCGACAAGGAGATGACCAGCAAACTCCTATAGGATCAACAGAATGCATTAGGAAGTATTTTCTCAGCTTTGGAGGACGCTGCCGGACATGCCATGGGTCGCGCCTTTGAGGCTGTCAACCCGCGGCGACAGCGTAGCGGTTTTGCGGCGCAGGCGTGTACGGCCTGCGGGTCCTTCCGATGAAACAACAGCGGGCTCATGTTCGTGGGCTTTCGAGCTGACAGCGGGCGGCGCATTCGCAGCGTCCATGTCCACCTGTCTCTGAGCGGATTCGCGGGATCGCTCATAGCGAAGCTTAACCTCGCCTTTCCACTGAGTATTGAGCAGACGGTCCCAGAAAATGAAGAACGGCTGCGAAAAGTTGTTCTTAATGCCCCAGCTTTGGTGGTGGATGTCGTGATAAGCTGCGTTGTTGGATGTGACGTGCTGCAAAGGATCCCAGGGGAAGGCGTAGCCACAGTGGTCATCGACGGTCTTGATGGTCGACAAGGTAAAGAACCATATAGCCTGGCGGTTGGTCATGCAGGAGACCAAGAAGCCCACGCCCGTGCCCGCCGTGTCCAGAAGGAATCCCTCAACGGGATGGTTGTAAAGGGCCCCGAAAGCGTAAGGAACGTAGAGACGATGGTGGCGGGAATGGAAAGTAACTTGGTTAGGTCAGCTAGAGTCCGAATCTTTGCGGGTAATTCATCTTACCATAGAGCCACCGGTTCAGGTGCATGGCACGGTGCCAGAAGTACTGCCAGGTATCGACGATGCAGACTGCCAGTGCGAACTGCAGACCGGGGATGAGATACCAGTAGATGAAACTGGCGACCGACAATTCCCAGCTAGCAAACGCCGGTGCCACGACTTCCGCTCCCGTGTCAAGAAGCAGGGACTGTGTGACACCGGGATACGAGCCTCCAGCCAGAACTCCCGCCAACATCGAGTGTCCATTCAGCGACAAGGACTTTGCCAGACCGAGAGAGTCGACTCCAATAAGAGCCAACAAGCGGGGCAAAGCTTTCTGGACGATTCGGAGCCGCTGTGCCCACACGGCCACGTCGTACTCCTCCCGGCCAACCACTTCCTCGGCGTCGAAATATGACATGGACATCCCAGCGATCGTTTGGATCACCTGCTGCAAAATAACATCGCGCACAACCTCCCAGCGGCTGACATGGTTTCGCTTTAAGACTTCGGCGGGGGTGTGTAGACGGTACTGGACGAAGTATTCATTGACATCGAGGAAGTGATAGAACATGGACAAGACCCAGTAGGCGACAATGGGCAGGATGAGGGCCAAGATATTATCTGGGATCGGAGCAAGCAGCGGTTCTCGGGGGGTCAAGGTGTATGTCGGCAGTGGAGGGAGCTCGAACGTGACGGATGTGTTGAGAGTCATGGTGGGTGATTAGTGGCGTGCTCCAGCCACAATAAGTACTCTGAGAGGTGAATTTCAATGCGCAGTCAAGGATCAAGGTCGCAAATATTAGCACGGGAGCTATAAGGCGAGACGCTCGGCAACTGGAGTGGTAAAGGAGTGTCGGGGGAAAAAGGAAGCGTCTCTCGTCAGCGACTGCCCAGGATGAGTCGGAGACTAATGGGCAGGCACGATCGAGGAACCGGATGAGACGGAATCACACATTCAAGAACAGATGGAAGGAGAGTAAGAATAAGTAGGGAAGGATAGTGAGAAAGATAGTTGTTTAATGAGGGAAGTAGGAGAATGAAGAAAGACCGACCGTTCACAGCCGCTGATCAGGAGAAAGAAAGTCCGGTGGTGGCGCCAGCCGGAAAGGGCCGCGTGACAGGCTGTGACGGTATCTGCCGGGACTGTGAGGGAGATGATGTATTATATGGTATTGACATGTACTAAACGGTATCTGGGCATCTACAGAGCAATATTGACCATAATTCAGATCCAGCAATCCTCCTAAGCTATAGCTATGAGTAGTTCTTTCCCGAATTATCATACGTGATCACTCAATGGTTCTTTGTTGTCCCCAGACTGAAACAAACAGAGCAAAACCCCACTACGGGACCCGCCACTAAGGAAAAAAACTTCCCCTCCTCCTATTTTTCTTTTTCTTCCCTCCTAATAAGCCCGCTTTAGCCCTTCATCCCATTTCTTCTGTTCAGTTCAGTTATTCTCCCCCTCTCCCACCGCCACCATGATCATCTACGAGGACGTTATCTCCGGCGACGAGATGTTGGCCGACACCTTCAAGATCGTCCCGAACAAGGACGTTCCCATCCTGTGGGAGGTCGACTGCCGCAAGTACATGAAGTCCGCCAACGAGGACTTCGAGCTCGAGGGTGCCAACCCCTCGGCTGAGGGTGGCGAGGAGGAGGGCGGTGAGGGTGAGACCAAGATGGTCCACGATATCGAGGACCAGTTCCGTCTTGTCTGGCTCAAGACCGAGGAGGGCCTCAAGCCCTCCAAGGATGCCTTCAAGTCTCACCTGAAGTGTATGTCATTAATTGCCCTTTCGAATACGCACTGTAAATTTGCTAATGTTGGCCATTATAGCCTACGTCAAGAAGGTCCTCAAGAAGCTCGAGGAAAAGGATGACAAGGACGCCATTGCCGAGTTCAAGGCCCACGCCGCCGCCGCCATCAAGAAGATCTCGGGCAACTACGACAACTACGATGTCCTGATGGGCCAGTCCATGGACGGCGATGCCATGTATGTTCCGTTCTTCTCCACCACCTAAGCACTATCCCAAACTAACTGTCTGTCCCAGGCACATCCTGATTGACTTCCGCGATGACGGCGTCACCCCGTACGCCACCCTCTGGAAGCACGGTCTGAGAGAGAACAAGGTCTAAACGGACCTTTGTTCTTTTTCCAGCGCGGGCGAGAAGAAAATGCAAACACACGAAAGCTATGAAAAGGGGGAGGAAGGTAATGCGGGTCCTACATCGCTTCACGGGAGACGGACTTTCAAGATATCCTCCCGCCAGGCGGTCCGGGTCTGTTCTAGCTATCCTGCACGTCGCATCTTTGCGATTGTCAAGAGTCACGCCTCATGAATCTACCATTGTTATGTCGGGTCTATACCTTTCACACGTAGTCGTCTCGCGTAGGATCTGAGGATCTCGTTGCGCTCATTCAATCTCTGGAATGATAAACACCTGTAGGCTGGAAATGGAGATATACATGTATGCATGGTCCATACTACAAGTGTAATCGATATTATGATAATTAACAATACCCGGGCCAATCACTCGGCGAGGCACCCATATTCACGCCAGTCGCGGTCCACGGCGCCGGAAAAGCTCCACCATTCGCCTCGACTGGAGGCACGCCGGGCATGGCATTGGCATAGACGTCCGGCACGGCCGCATTCCCAATACCGACATCTGCGGCCGATGGAGCAAAATCCGGGAACTCGAGCCCTGCAACGGGGTCGAGTTCCATCAGCTCATCGGCGACGGGGAGATGCTGACCAAAGACAGCGTCCCATTGGTCCCAGTCGAAGTTGAGGTTGGGGTCCACCATTGAGGGAGGGGTGGGGACATGGACATTCATAGGTAATACATTCTGCGGAGTGGGATCTAGGAAGGACATGGCGGGGGAAGAGTTAGGAGGTGGTTGTTGTTGTGGTTGTTGTTGAGGCATGGGAATGGAAGAGGAGACTGAAGGGGAGTTGGTTGATGCGGCCGCGCCTAGAGATGATGAGACGCCGGGCGAGTTCGAGGCTGTGGAGCCAGATACAACGGAGCTGCCGGGCTTGCTCATTGTTCCGGGAGATATAGAATATTGTCCGGCGACGGATGGTGAAGCTGTAGGGACAGAGGTGGAACCGGGTGGTGGGAACTGGTAAGAGTACCGTAGAGGACTGGGGTGAACCAAAGGAGAGGAGGGATCCATTTGAGAGCGGGTCATATTGTAGAATTTGCGTTCAAAGTCGGTGGGCTGACGATTCGGCAGCAGCAAAGTCATGCCAGGCGTAGACGATGATCCGGAGTCAGAAGGCCCCTTATTCAGGTCACGCTGTTCAGCTGCTGGGGAAGTAACGCCTGCTTGGATCTGATCTTGCTCGGTCCAGAGCATGTCCGGATTCAGGCCGGCCTTTTGCCAGGCTTTCTGGCGCAGACGACGGATCATGCTCCACGCCTCCCGGCCACCATCTTTCAGCGGTCGTTGCGCCGAGACACCATCCTCGCCACCGACCACGCCGCCATCAGGCCCAGACAGCGCCAGGATCCGGTCGATGAACGCGCGTGACTTGGAAGCCTCGGGACTGTAGGGTCGTTCGTAGAGGTCAATGAGCATGATCATCGTCGCATGCATCGGTTGATGGTTGCCGGGCCAGCTCCAATGGAACGGCTGGAAGTCTGGATCGGTTGCCAGTTGGATGAATTTCCCCATGAACCCGTGGCAATGCCGAAGGGCACTTTGTCGTGCCGCGGGCCAGATTCGACTTCGGGCATTTTTGAGGAAGGGCTGGTAGGCAACACAAAAAGCCTTGTCAATGAATAGCGACAGAACGATTCTAGCCCACTTGTGGAAGGACACAAGAACGGGGGAATGGTATTGCTCGGGACATCCATTGGGACCGTCACCTGGAAGTTCGGTTTCAGTAGACTGAGACTCCACCGGCGATTTGGACATGGACAAGTCCCGCTCTGTCGAGACATTCTCGGGGTTCCTGCCCTCTGGGATCCGGTTCACAATGGAATTAAGCTTGAGCTGCAGGTCAAGCAGAATTGATCGGAGCTCTTCCATATCACTCCGAGTCAAGGGCTTTATGCCCAATTGGATTTTGAGGATTCGCCGGACGGCACCTAGTGACAGTTAGCATTGATCTTTATTTGGACACGAAATAACTCACGAGCCATGATGTATTTCCCTCTTGCAGACAGGTAGTACACATTCACCATCGACGGCCCACCACACAGCAGTGGATCATCGGGGTTGTCAGGTGGACGGCGGTTAGAAGCCACCTGCTGTTCATACCGTTCAGCCGCAGGGGTACCCAGCAAGGTATCTTTCACCTCGCTCGTCTCACGAACGTCCCAGTAATTCTCGTCGCTAACCAGCGGCGGCAGGCCACTGGACATCGCGACGAGGCCGTCCATATGCATGATATGCCACCATAGTCGGCGTCGGTACTCTGCCTCGGATGCCTCAATCCCAAACTGAGCTGGATCTCGATGGAGACCCATAGTCTGTGCCACGCGCATGGCAAGGCTGACGAATAGGCTGCTCGTCAGGGGTTCTTCCTCTTTGGACAGAATAGTCTGCACAATAAGGTAGGCTGACAGGCCCTGGAGAGAAGGGCTGCGAGGAAAGGCAATCTTGGTCAACCAGCGAGTGACTTCTTCGCTGTACATTCCGGACAGAGCAAATCGGGACGAGGCGTTAAATTCAGCTTTGATTGTTCGGATCGAAACGGTGACGGAGCCGCCATACCAAATGGCATATAGAAGTGGAATAAACGAGGGATCAGGGCACGGGTCCCCCGAATAAGATCTGTAGTCATACCAGTCCCAGAAGGCGTTGTAAAGTTTAAGAACGCTTGGTGGGTGAACGACTGGACTGATCGCGTGGACCCCAGACATGAACCCCTTGTAAAGAATATGGCTTTGACGTCTTGTCGGGACGTGATCAAGCATTTCGGGTTCCACGACTCTGTCATTTACCGAGGGAGAGTCGCCGGAGGGGAAGATGATGGATTGCTGGAAAGAATCTCGGGATCCAGGGGATGCAGTCGAACGTGAAGCCGTACTATCAATCGACTCTTTCCACGTCCTTCCAGCGCTGGCTGGTTCAGTAATGCCCGGGCTAGTGGTATCGGAAGCAGCCGGTTGGTCATGCGAGCGATTCTGGTCTCTGAGGAGCTGGTTCAGCTCGTTGATCTGTATCTTCAGTCAGGCCAGAGGAATCCGTAAAAGGAGGATGGGGGGACATGCCTCGTGGGAGATGTAAGCCCAATATGTGGTTCCAACATATCTAAGCTAGCATTAGCAATGGCATCTCACCATCCATGGACACAACCCACCTCGACCTGCCACCATCCTCCAAGCTCAGATGGCCCAAATTGAGACTCCCCACCGGATCAACGAGGTCTGTCGCTTGTCCCGAGGGAATCGGAAACTCATCACCACTCGACTCTGCCGCAGCTCGACGCGGGCTCGCCGACCTTTCCGAACCCGACCACTTCCCGCCATTGTTCGGCAGCGGTTCCTCCTTCACACTTGGATCCAGACTGGCCGCATGTCTCTCTGCAGCTTCGACAGCCTGATCCCCACCAATGCGCTCAATCATCGACATGAGCTTGTCCAGCCGGGCTTCAATGGCTCCTTTGTGGGCTGCTGACGTGCCCGCCTGTTTGAGGTGCCCGTAGATCGACTGCAGCTCATCCACATCCTCCTCGAGTGGGCGCGGAGTCTCTCTCCTCCGCTTGACTCCGTGCCCCGGCCGGGATGAATCGCGCGTATTCTCATCACTCTGCGATGACACATCGTACACGCACTCGGTCCCGTTCTTCGCGCAGTTTCCGCATACGGGATGAACCTGGAGTGAGCCCAAAGATGTTAGCTAGCAGCCCACGTGCAGCGAGTCAAGCGTAGGTATTACCTTGTTGCATTTCACCTTGCGCCGGCGACACATGTGACAGCTATAGCTCGCGCGATTGCGAGTAATCTGGCGCCCGCCTGCCATTCCACCCCCACCACCCCGCTGGGAGGATGACCGAGGGCGGCCGGGGTCGGCGTGAGCGATCTGGATGTCCGGAGTGAGATTCATGATCAGCCTAGACCTGTCAAGGGAGCATGGCAACGAGACCAGGAAATGTCGTTCGTTGGTCTTGGTCTTTTATCAAATGTTCTGCGGGGAACGGCGATCGGGGGAGCCATCGTCGGGCAAGACCGGCCAATGACAACATTGACTCTGCGTTTACTCATCAGGCAGTAAGGCATCATTGAGGACGACTTTAATTGACGACATGACATGATGATTGCATGGAGATGTGAATAGTACATCGGATTCAAGTATCTATCACAGAATAACTATCCACAGGAGAAGACGGGAGAAAGCAGGTCGATCCGAGGTATTCAGGAGCCTCGATTCTATCCAAAAGCAAGAGAACGCCCATCGCCATGTAATGCAAGTCAAAGGGTAACCTAGAATATATCACGCCTTGCCCTTTTTCTTCTCCTTCTTTTTCTTTTCCGCACCACCACCAGCCCCGGATGGCCCGCCCATGTCCATCCCCGGCATGCCTGGAATCGCAGGCATTCCCGGCATTCCCCCCATGCTCTGCATCTCGGCCATGGCGTCCTGCAACGGGTTGTCACTGACCCCGCCACCACTGTAGGCGGGCGAGTGAATCGGCAGGATCTTTCCGATCTTCCAGCCGCGCGGCGCAGAGGGAGCATCGGGGAGTCTGTCGGGCACTGGCAGGCCGCGGATCCGTAATCGGTACGGGGACTGCTCGTTGGTCGGGTGGGCTTTCAAATACTGTGCGACAAGGATGTAGAGATGATGCTCTGAAGAATAGCAAGTTGTCAGTCCGCTCCTGCGGGACCAATTGATGTGCAAGGAGAGAGAGAGGAAGGGAGAAGGAGACACGCACTATTCTTAATCTTGGGATTCATTGACTTCCCATCCTCATTCTTCAGCAGCACACGCACGCGCCCCGGATTCGCCCAGTCCTTCGGATGCAACTTCTCCGGCTCCAGACCGACCTGCAATCCAAGCGTCTGCACCGCATCGGCGATTTCGCGAGCCAGCGGATTTTCCACCGCCAGCTCGGCGCCCACCTTGCGGCCCTCGGCGCGCGAGCGGGTCTTGTCAAAGTAGATCGGATAGAGGCATTGGAAGTGTTTGGGGATCTCGCGCTGGGGTTCGGCCATCTGGGCTTCATTGGCGGCATTGGCCATGTTCGCCATGTTGGCCATGTTGGCCATGTTGGGCGGGGGGTTGCTGGTGCGCGCGAGGGGATGTTGGCTGGGGCAATGATGGCGTCGCCAGCATCAAAGTCGGAGGGGGCGACCTCATCGGGATCGGAGTCGACCTCCTCGACGCGGGCGTGTTGAGGCATGGTCGGTGGTGTTGAGCTGGTCCGTTATGACCGTGGAAGGAAAGCAGAGGCGGAGTTTGTGGGCGGGGCGCACGGGCCAGTTGGCGGGATTGGTGCGACATGGCCACTCCGGAGGGATACCATGGACTAGTTCGTCTCTCCAACTTGCAGTGCCTGTTCAGCCCTGAGATTGATCTGCGTATGAAAATAAACTATTGCCCAGCAAAATGTCCAGCGAACGATCATAAAGCTTATCTACGATGGGACTAAACATGTGTCTTTACAAGGACGACAAGCCGCTAAACGAATGTGATCAATTCTCAAAACGAGCCTAGAAGGACACATTGATATGGAATTGGCTCTTTACCAGCCAGCATCCTCACGAGAAACTTTCTCAATGTGCTGGCGGGCGCGATGCTTGGCCTTCTCTTTATCGACGAAGTCCAGACCCCGGGTCTCAACCTCGCGGTCCACGAAAGCACCGGCAAAACCAGCCATGATCTCCTTGGCCTTCTCGTGGCTCTCCGGCTTGCCTGTTCATATCACCAATAGATGAGCATTCATTTCTTCGGTAGCTGGATGAACAGAGTCGTTTCGCTTACCCTCGCGCTCCTCGTGCTCCTCATAGGCCTTGGCAGCTTCATAGCTAGCGGCGCCGGCAATCAGCTCATGGACGAAGCTGGGGTCATGCTCCTCGGGCTTGGAGTTCTTCCACTGGCGGTGGCAGTTGGCCTGCTCAGAATCGTCTATGCAACTTACGGTAAGCCAAGACGCTAAGCCGAGCTTGGCATGCACCAGAGTATAACTCACCATCGAACCAGCCCATTTTGAAAGATTGGTTGCTCGGAAGGTTGAATTGAAGTAGAGAAAAGTTGTAGGTTGTAAAGATGAGGAAGGGCAGAAGAGGGGAGGAGGGGTTTATATAGGAGGGGCATCCAGCGTAGTGCGAAACGGAGCCAATCACTTCAGGGGCTAGCCAGTGCCACATCACGCAACTTGCACGTTCCGTCTATCTATAGGATGGCAAGCTTTCAGGGGGCGAATTATGAAACATTCTTTGGGGCATGATCCACGTCAGCTCCTTACTCAATTGTTGAGACGGCAGATGTGTAGGTGGGATTCAATTGAGGGGCCCGTGGGTGTGTTTTGCCTCGGTGGGGTACCAGTGTCTCCTAGGCAAAACTTCCCTTTTAGCGCGGGGTTCCCCGAGGAGGGGTAGAGAGTTGGGCGAGGAACGTGGGAGATTCGGCTGTCTTGTAGCAATAAGGCAAGGATCCCACATGTTAGACCCAAATGCCAGACATGGCGAGCGTAGTAGGAGGTCAACGAGTCGATTTGGTACTATCACATGTCTCAATGGATCAGGGATTACTGTGGGCGCTATGTTCTCTATCTGTCGTGATACATCATATCTGATTCAGTCTCACTCATCTCTATCTTGTTTTGATAAGTCAATGAGGGTTGTGGGCTTGCACCTCATACAGAGGGTTCCATGTTGTATCACAATGTTATTCGAATGCCCACGTGGTTTTTATAGATCTGAGAACTGCTAGTGGGCCTCCCTCTACACTGTCAACCACGACTTGCCTCTTCGTATAGTTGCATATACCCAATGCAGGTACACGAATCTGTGAGGCTGTGATTAATCACGCACTCGGCATGCCGAGCCCACTCTCCCCGCACATTCCAAGAAGTGTGTCACGCTTTTGATTTCTAACTTCTCCATCCACCATGACGCCCCCACGACCTAGTGCCGTCCTTCACCGGGACACTCGTTCCATCCCCAAGTCGGCGGTCGGTGGCAAGGGCAGCTATCTTTTCCTTGAGGATGGGACCAAATTTCTCGATTCAACCGGCGGCGCGGCTGTTGCATGTCTGGGGCATGGCCACGAGCAGATCAAGCACGCCATGAAGGATCAAATCGACACGATCTCATATTGCCACTCTGCCTTCTTTGGCACTCAAGTAGCCGAAGACCTAGCTCGACTGTTGGTAGATTCCACTGGCGGAAAGTTGTCCAAGCTATTCGTCGTCAGCTCGGGTCAAGCAGCACCTCAATAGACTCATAGTCCTATCCACTGACGAGCCATTCAGGTTCCGAGGCCGTGGATGCTGCTTTAAAGCTAGCCCGCCAATATTTCCTCGAGCTGCCATCCCCCCAGCCGCAGCGAACACGGTTCATATCCCGTCTGCCGTCCTATCACGGCGCCACTCTGGGCGCTTTATCGGCCGGAGGCCATGTCCTTCGCCGACAGCCCTTCGAGCCTCTTCTATCCAAAAACACATCGCATGTCTCTCCCTGCTACGCATACCGCGGCAAGCAAGACGGCGAGTCCGACGCACAATACGTTGCTCGTCTAGCCGCCGAGCTGGACGCGGAGTTCCAGCGCGTGGGACCTGAGAATGTGTGCGCGTTCATCGCAGAGCCCGTCGTAGGCGCAGTACGTTATTCTTATATCCCCCTAGTTTATTCCTCAGAATCACTAAATCAAATTCTTGAATTCAGGCCCTGGGCTGCGTCCCCGCTGTACCGGGCTACTTCGCCGCCATGAAGGCCGTCTGCTCGAAACACGGCGCACTCCTGATCCTCGACGAGATCATGAGCGGCATGGGCCGGTGCGGGACTCTGCATGCATGGGAGCAAGAAGATGTCGTGCCCGATATCCAAACTATTGGCAAGGGTCTGGGTGGAGGGTACGCGCCTGTCTCGGGGATTCTGATCGCCGATCATATCGTGCAGACCATGGACAAAGGCACGGGCGCTTTCCGACACGGACAGACCTATCAGGGCCATCCGATCTCGTGTGCTGCTGCGTTGGCGGTGCAGAGGACTATCCAAGAGGAAGGGTTGCTGCAGAACGTGCGGGATATGGGCTCTTATCTTGAAGAGCGGCTGCGGACCCGGTTGGAAGGGCATCCGTATGTAGGGGATATTCGAGGGAAAGGACTGTTCTGGGGGGTGAGTAGAAAAATGCACAGATATAGACGCCGATTGGAGGGATTGCTGACGCTGCGTTTCCAGGTTGAATTTGTCAAGGACAAGGGTACGAAAGAACCATTCGATACCGAGACGCGCTTGTCGTTCTTGATTCAAGAGAAAGGTCTGCAGCCGGAGTATGCGATCTCGCTATATGGTTGCACTGGCACAGTGGACGGCGTGCGTGGTGACCATGTCGTGCTGGCTCCGCCCTACAACGTGTCTAAGGAAGAGATCGATACGATTGTGGATGTGATGGCTAGAGTACTAGATGCTGTTTTTGCGGACCTGGAGATGTCCAAAGAATAGCTACATAACCCCCAATTCTTGATCAACGACATGTCAATTTGAACTAAACCGTTACATATATCGCAAGTTGCTTCGAGTAATTCAATCAATCTACCGCACAATTTGTCTCCGCAGAATGCCCATAAAGTCATCTCAGATCCATTCGAGAGTAACTAGCCATTATTGTACAGATGCAACCCCAATCAACCCTTAGCCTCGATGGCAGCCACCTGTTTCACGTCGACCTCCATCTGCCCCTCAGCAGAGCCATTGGGCGCCGTCACCTCCCGGGGCATCGAGTCCTCAGCCCACAGACCCGCAACGGTCTCAACAGCCCGGTTGACAACGACGCGGACACGATCCCGCAGGATAGCATTGGCGCACTCCACCTCCAGGTTCTCAAGCCAAACACGGGCCACGTGCTGGTCAACTTGGATCTCAAGACCGGGGACGGGGATACCCAAAGCGTGAAGCCGATCAAGTTCTGCAGACTCGATATCAGCCATTCGCTCGGGATCTGTCGTTCCGTCTGTGTCGCCATTTTCTAATTTGCCGTTCACGAGCTCGGTCGGCACTCTTGGACGTTCGATGGGGGCAATGCTAGAGCCGAATTGCGCTTCCAGCATCATCAGAAGGCGTGTCAGCCGTTCGTCAGGTGAGAGGTGGGAATGAGGGTTCGGGGGAGCGGCGACGTCATCACCGCCATGATGATGATGGTGGTGGTGCTTGTCTTTTGCGGATTCTAAAGAGAACAGTCAGCATCTTGTCGGAATTTATTAGAGCTCACATACGTTTCACCGAGGCTGGGCTGCTCTCGACTGTAAGAAGAACAGCCATGACAGCGTCGGCGACACCGTCGTTCATCATGTTCCCTTCCCATTCCAGCTCAACCTCGCGGGTTCGTGGGTGGTAGCGGAGAATGACACATCCCATAACAAGGAAGGTCTGTGTTGATTCCATCGGGATTTCCTCATCGGCAGCCTCCTGTTTTGGCTTGGAGTCTTCCGAGTCGCTACCGGTTTTCTTAACCTGGTTTCCGACCTCCTCGATCGCGCCAAAGGTACCCTCAAGAGCCCATCGAATCAGATCCATGCTGGCGGAGCTGAGCGTGATGTGTTGCTTGCACGTGATGGTTGTCGTGGTGAGACCGGCATATTCCTGGAGATCCTCGGGAGCAACCAAGCTTAAATCGAATCCATTTTGGACCAAGACACCCGCCATGAGCTGGCTGTCACTTTCTTCTGTGGGAGGAGCAATCTGTGCCAGCTTCCCGACGACCTTGGCAATTTTGTCTTTCTTGAAGGGGATGCGGACCTCGTCGCAGTTGGCAGGCGTATATACTTTGACTTTGACGGTCTTGTCTGCGTTGAGGCTAAGTAGTTTCGACTTGAGTCTCATCATCTGGTGCTTTTCTCCGTGAACAAGAATCTTAGGGGAATATTAGTGACAGAAATTTCAGTAAGAAGGAATAAGACTCACCACTACTGGTGCAGCGACCTCTTCGATAAAGTTCCGGTTTTCCACGCCGTCAACATGAGCTGCGAAACTAACCTCATCGATCGTGCATCGGCGTGGGATCATCACTTTCTGCTCCTCGTCATTGCCTCCGGGGACCCGGCCTCGTCCATGACCAGTGGCCACTTTAGACATCACGGCGGGAATCTGATCTGGCTCATTGAGCAGTTGCTTTGCCATGGTGCCTTCCACACTGTAGCCGGTCATGACCACACCGTTCCGGTCACTGGGAGCCCAGCGTTCGAGCAATTCACGACTCGTGCCCGATTGCAGCATACCCGGCGAAGCCAGCATTACACAGCCCCCGACATCGTCGAATCGGTCCAGGCTTCGCAGACTTCGTACGAATCGGAAATCCCACGGCCCCACGCTCACGCTCTTATCGCCAGACGCCTCGGCCTCAGCCATCCGGAGCCTGAATAAGCGCTTAATGTTGTCGTTCATGGCGCCGATATATGTCTGGTAGACGACCATGCATCGACGGGCCATGTTGCCGATATAATATATGGGGATTTTCTGCAATTCCGGGTGTCGTTCCCAATATTCGTCGAGAATAAGAAGCAGTTCCTGCGCACGTCCGAGGGCAAACACCGGCATCAGGACCCGACCACCACGATTTAAAACGCCCGTGATAGACTTCATCAGCGCCGCTTCACGTTCCAGCCGAGGCGGGTTTGATGAAATGCCGAATGTGGATTCGGTGATGAGAACATCAATCTTGATCCCCTTGGGCACCTCGGCCGGAATCAAGTGTCGGTCCTCTTCGCGGGAGTAGTCGCCGGTGAACAGAATATTCAAGCCCGCGATCGAGACCAGGAACATGGCGGCACCGAGGACATGGCCGGCGGGGAATGGCGTGATTCGGATACTGTTGATGGTGTGGGTGGTGTTGAAGTCGATGGTCTCGATGAGAGGAAGTGTAGAGAGGTGGTCTCGTTCGGTGTATAAATTTGTGCGCTGATCCGAGCTGGATGATGTGTTGCTGACCCGGACGTTGTCTTGGATGAGCCATTTGTAGATAGCTTTTGTGGCGTGTGTCATAAAGACACGGCCCTTGAAGTTGGTCTTGCTAAGGACGTATGGGAGAGCGGAGGAGTGGTCGACGTGGAAACTGGGAAGCAAAAGATTAGCCTGCTGCATAGATGGACGTAGATACAAGTACAGCAGGAACTGAACGGTTTGTGTTGGGCTCTTCTCATATACATGCAACCACTGGTCCTGCTCCGACTGAAAACACAAGGGGGTCCGACATACTGGCTGATCAGAAGAATATCCACTGTGCTGAGATCGAACTCGTCGAAGAAAGGTAGGGCCGAGAATCCCTCTTTAGCGGGATGCATACCGGCGTCGAGCTATCGGCTTCGGTTATTATCCGGTCTGCCCCAACACACATGAAACTTACCATCACCGTCTTGCCCTTGTACTGGATGATATGGCATGACCGGCCAACCTCATTGCCTCCGCCCAGGCAGTAGAACGCCAGCTCATCCGACGGGTCCACGGGCTCATCATCCACGGCGCCAATCGCCGAGGCCTTGCGCTTGGCCGCCATGATGAAATTGAGGATTCACCTGGCGAAGGCGCAATCTGGGAATTGTTTATGGTTCTGTGAGCGCGTCGCTCTCACTGTGTATGGAATCCTCAATGGGGCCACCTGGAGATGGCTTAGTATTCTGGGAATGTAGTCAATTGCCGCCCTATGCATCAATCAATCAATACGCGCAAGAAGGAACAGCCATGACTGGGCGCGACAAGACGCCTGAGAGTCTCAATCTTGCCGAGAGAGAATCACGACAGGCAGAAGGGATGCATGACATAATATCGCACGTGACCGCGCGGAACAAACTCAGGATGGGCAGGAAGCTCGACCCAAGTTATCCCCCCGTCTAACCGTCACCTCCCTCCCTCCATAACTACTTGTCCTCCCTGTTCACTTGGTCCATCGCTTCTATGCTAGACACTTCGTCCTGAGATGGTCACACTAGGTGGAAGCTGGCGGTGCGATCAATCCGCTCACTTCAACCACGCGTGGTCGTCTGCCTCCCTTCATATCCGTCGTGGGTGTGCGCAGTAGCCTGTTGTATCAACTGAAAGCACCTGTCGGATTACTCTCACCATGGCGCAATCCAGGCAGCAGCAGCAGGCTCCCCCGCCACAGCAGTCCCAGTTCTCTCAACCATTCTCTCCTCCCGTCTCATCTCCCTCTCCTAACTCGGGCTCTCCTGTGAACGGCGGACCAGCCCCTCCACCATCCAAACGACCTCGTCTGTCTCCCCTTCCTCCGTCGGGCTCTCAGTCACCCTACGCTTCGCCAAGTTTCGGCTCGCTTCAGTTGCCCCAAGGTCAGCCATCGATGAATGGATCAACGATGAACAGCATGCCGTCCACTCCCGCTGCCCCTGCTCCTGCGCCCCCGGGCGCCATGGGCCCACCTTCTCGACCGGCCGACAAGGTGACAGATGCCGCGGAGCTTACGGATGTTCTGGCCTCATCCGGTATCGACGTGCGCGAGGAAGAGGCTTTTCTCACGCGCAGCTTCGGAGGGCCCAATACAGCATCGCAGCCGACTCGATCGTCGCAGACGCCCGCACCTCTCCCCCTCAGTACTTCCTTTTCCTCTCAAGTGTCCACTCCGGGGACACTGTCCGCCTCGGCTAGCTTCAACGAGCTGCCTCAGATCAAACCAGCAACACCGCAAGAATCCTTTTCCACAGAGCCAGCTTCACAAACTTCGGTTCCGTTCAAGGATCCCAATGAGCCCACTCGACAGGATACCGAGGCTGCGCGGCGGGCGCAGTACCATCTTCAAGAACCGTTCTTGTTGACCAAGCTCCTTGAGCAAAAGTTGCAGAAGCGAGGGTTTGAGCTTGGAGTCCGCATCCCGTCAGAGGGCCTGTTCCACCCTGTCCCCGGCCGGCCGCAACCCATCGAGGTAACGGGCCCAGATGGCAGCGCAGTGGTGAGAAGTGGGAAAACCATTCTGAACCAGGAAGGTGCGCCATTGGTTGACATTCTGAATCTGTTGTCTCTCTCGTGTGAAGAACGCCTGCGGGGAGTGGTCGATTATTCTTCGACACTGTCCCGCAGCCGCCGGGCACACTCGCATGGTGCGATCCCATCTGAATGGGGGGATGTCGCGCAGCCTCTTGGTCCGACTGCCGGGAATGCCGGAGCTGCCAAGGCTTCACTGAAGCGTATGTTACTATACCCAATCTCTGCGTCGTTTACTAACAAGCAATTCAGGTCCGTACGAAATCTATCGGGCTATTGCCAGAAAGGAAGCAGCGCAGGAGGAGCGGCGTGAGGCCAAGCGCAACAAGCGCGGTGCCAGTGCCATTCTAGGCGAGGGTACCCCTCAGCGATCCGATTCGATCGACATGGGATCTGCGCCCTCGACTCCAATCGGCGAGCGAGCACCTAGTTTCAACCCAAAGTCTATAAGCAAGAAAGAACAGAAGAAAATGATGGATGCCAAGGCCAGCGAGGTTCAGCAACATCAACAATCCGTGGAGACCGCGCGATTGGCCACCAACAGCATGCTTTCAACCCGCCGGTTCGGTGGCGCCAAAAAGTCATATTCATGGCTCAAACCCGGTGGCTCCTCCAGTGGGTTCACTCCCGTGCGCCCCGCTCCTTCAACGCCGACTGCTACGCCCGACAAGCCCACTCAACCCGGAGAAGCTACGCCCAGCCAACCCAAGCGGCGACTCGGAACGTGGCGCGAAGATCAAGAGAAGGGATTGGGAATTCAAGTGCGAGACATTCTGTTCATGCTCGAGGTGGACGGCCGAGGCATGAAACATTTGCAAAAGGGCTATCTGAAAGATCCGAGGGAGGATCGTGATCGGGGGGATTGATCTACATTTGTATCTTTTCTTTTCTTTTTCTTGTGCCTCTAATTCTTTCTCTAGGGGGAGTATGGTTCCACCTTCCAGAGTTCTTGCATTGCCTGCGTGAGTTTTGGTTTCGTGGCGTTCGGCGGAGAACTTCATCGTTGGGGTTGCTTCGGTCTCTTGTGTATTCCTTGTCCACCTATTGAGAGGGTCCGCATGTTCACAAAGTCGAACGAGGGGCGGTCTACACTGCCTCGTTCTGATGACTTTTCATTCCCTGCCTACGGACTGGTCTCGTTATCCACCTACGGTCAAGATTGAATGTAGTCCAGACTAACAATGCATGAAAGACAAATTTCAAATACGGGGTATCTCAAATGTATCATAACAACTATCTGCTCTTCTTAGGCACTCAATCCCAGATCCGCCCGTGCTTGAGCCATTTCCTCATCCGACGGCATGTCCACAATAACCAGATACAACACTTTCTGCTGATATAACTTCTTCCCTTGTGCCAGCAGGCCGCCCCTCTCTCCTCGTCGTCCAGCAGGGCGAAGACCCTGCGTGGATGCAGACACGCGAGCCTTGCCTGAATCAATCCGCCTTTCCACCAGTCCCCGTCGTCGACTACCGTATGGAGCATGCGGTGCAGGCGGGTTCGAACTCGAACTCGAGCGACGTTGATAGTCATTTGGATACTCGCTGGAATAATCGCTATCCGCGCGGCCGAGACCCATCATCTTCTCACGGCCAGCGGCCCTCCAGCCCCGGATCTTGTCTTTGCCATTCTCTCGTGTGAGATACCCGCCGGTAACCAAGCCGAACAGATCACCGCTGGCTGCAGGGTGGGTGGGATCCGCATAGCGCGAGGAAAACTTAGGTTCGGGGCCTTGGTTCAAGACACTGTCCGGGTTTTCCGCCCTCTGGAATTATTTCTGTTAGTTCCAATGTCCGAAGATTGTGGTTGACTTTGTGAATAAACTCACGAAGGAAGCCTGGGCCCGTCTGTCTAGGTATCCAGCCACGAATTGCTGGCGCTGCTTAGTCTTGGAGATCTTCTTCTCTGCGTCCTCTGCCGAGGATAGCTGATCAAGCGATGGGAAAATCAGCGGCGCAACCTCTGGAAAGAAATCGCCGTAGGATTTTCCATCGGACGACTTGAACTTGAACTGGAGACGACTCAGCATATCTCCGCCGCCGCCGCCGGTAGCCTTGGCGACGCTAGTGTTTAGATCGACAACTGTCGATGGATCCCCTGCCAATTGCGGGTTCCAGGTCATGACCAGGCAGAACAGGCCGCGGGGCTGGAAGAATTCCTTGTTGATTTTAGCGAAGAAGCGGCTCGATCTGGGGACCAAGGGGTTAGTTATTGCAGGTAATAGCAGGGAGAGAAAGGAACAAGCTCACCTGTATCGCGTGTCCACCGCCATCGCGACGTCGGTCGCGATCTGGATTGCAATCCCGATGGCCATTCCCGTGGCAGAGGGCAGGGCTATGGTAGCTAGAGAAGCCAAATTGATAGTTTTCATCCAGCGAGCCGACTTGGTCGACTTCTCGGCCGTATCGAGGAAGTCAAGGAACATAGTCTGGTCAATGCCATAGTTCTTGAGCACGGGCGCATACGCGCGGATGAAGCCGCGGTCCAGGTTCTTCGGTCTGCGCTGGGGTAGAACAACAGGGGCAGATAGCTTTGGGGGCCTTGCAGATAGCCCATCATAAGATACATAAGGTGGGGGCGCTGGGTGGTCGCGCACGAAGTCCGTCGCCAGAGCAGCTCCGTCTACCTCCTCGGCGGAAGCATCGGAGGACTTTGTCTCTGTCAGATGCTGCTGCTGCAGCTCTTCCTGGGCTTCATCGAGCTCCCATTGTTCTTCGAGTGTGTCATTTTCGTCGTTTTGAATGACCCCCGTCGTTTGGGCGGGGAGATGCTCTTCAGATGTATATAGCTCGGTCTGGTATACTGGCGGCTCGTTGTTGTCTTGCGACAAGCTTCTCTCTGACTGAGCGTCTTCTGATGACGATTGGGCTTGGTCATTACCCTCTTTCTTCATTTTGCGAGCATGCAAGCTCTCCGAGGCCAGGCCGATGCCCGCCGCAACACCCTTGACGGCTCTTTTGACGATTGGCATGGTATGATACTAGGGTAGGGTAAGGATCAATGATATGTTTAGATGGGAAGAATCAAGTGGGAAAAGTGGGTGAATTTATAATTCTGGCTCAACCTCCTTCGCGATGCCTACCTAAAACGGTATCCATCGAGAAAAGAGCGCTGGCTAGGCCGCCAAAATCCGTGGTGGCAGAACAAACTTATGTAGGGCTGACGGGTTGAGCTTAGCAGACCAATCCGTGGTAAGATCGGCTCAGCCACACCCGATCGGGACACCAGCGCGAAGTCAAGGCATCCAAATTAAGTCGCAGGAATTCCTTGGCTCAAGTCAGAATCATTTTGGGAGGGCTCTGAATTCGTTAATTGGAGACGAGAGTTACGCGTATATTCTGGCTGTTAAGTCTTTCTTGGCTACATGGTTGTCTTTTGCCTTTTTGTGTTCTGCTTTATACCGGGGTTGGCTGGCTATAGACAGGCAGAGTGAAATAAGGTTATTGACGGGCGTGCCGATTCAAAGTGGGAAGGCGCACATCGGCAATTTGCTCGTGTCTTTGATTGGATTGTTGAATTCATTGAATGGAAGTGTGGCTGATGTCTATGTCCATACATACTTCAACTTCGGTGCGCCTCAATCCCAATGATTGATGTTACAGGGCCAATTTACACCCAGATATTACCCAGAGCCAATGCAAATGCGTCCTACCAGTGGGAAGTTGATACAGAGTTCAGGAATTGGCATTATCTTCTTCGCTCTCTGTATCCTTCACGATCAATCGGGACACCTGCCGCGATATATATATCTTCAACCTATATTGTCTTCGTGCGGGTCCGAATAATAGGCTGACCACCGTGAACGGATTCTTCTCGATAGAGCATCTCCAATGTTGAACGCTCCATTGAAATATTTCATTTCATCTTTGCTCAGGTGTTCATCATGGCTTAGGGACAGACAAGGAAAGAAAAGGGGCCTGGCTGATAATAGTGAAGATTGATATAGTCCATGTATCGATACACGACAGGTACTAACTCCGACTACTGGATGAGTTCTGGCCAGTCACGTCTGCGATTCCTACATGGATTTTCAGCTGTCCGAGCGGCACCCCTTGCGCTGGTAGACGCCTACCGCTGCCAGGAAAGCTCCTCGACCTGATCGACCCGTGTCTCTGCACTGCCTGAGACATGCAGTGCAGCGAAGGTTCTGCTGTTTCTCAACCGCTCAAGAGGCCCTTTCCAGCCACCAGTACATGTAACTATTACTGGTCTCCGCATGTAGATTAGCTGAGTCAGCTGGAATCCGGGACCGGTCAGGTGACTGGCAGTCTGTGACTTGGAGAAGAGTTATGAAGGTAGTGGTATGAGAGATAATTTTGAAGGAGGCGAATTGTTTCTAGGCTAGCAGGAATTGTGAGAAGTGGAAGGACCAGAGGGGACTGGGATTGGCGCGCAGAGTCCGTCCATCGTTGCCGGTGGCGGGACCAGACCAGACTCGCCAGGGCTCGGGAATCATTCCTCGCAATTGGAATGGTAGTGGTGTCTCCAGAGGGTGATTCGGGCAGTCAGTGAATTGCCTACTACTATTATTATTATTGATCGGCATAATTAATGTTATAGTCCTATTGACTACCTAGTAGGATTATTATCGTAGTCCTAGATCGGTGAATGTAATGGTGTTGTTGTGGTGAAGAGACGTTGAGCCAGGATCGCCAGTAGCATCATCACTCATCTGCTGCTGGCTTCGACCCTTCGCTTCTTCCCCCCCTCCCCTCTCTTCCCGCTGCCACAGACTCCGTTTTCAACCCTACCCCAGATGTCAACCGATTCCTTTCCGATGTATCTGCTGCCTCCGCTCTCCTGATCCTTCCCCCCCCGAGGATTATGTGTTTCGCTTGAAAAGCCCACTACCGTACCCCCATTCGATCACACCCCCGACCGCCTCCACCCGTCATCCTCACGTCTCTGGTGTCTGTGCGAATTTCTCCCTTCTTCCCACACACTCGACGTCCGTCTCCCGCTCCATTCTTGCGCGGCTGGTCTGCTAGACCCCCTGGGAGCCTCCGTGGTCGCGAGAAATCGAGCCAAGAGAGTCGCCGTGAGACTCGCCCTCGGGCGATACCCATAAAGCCCTCTTTGCCTTCCACAACCCGCCTCGACCATCTGTCGAGTGAAGCGAGAGCCCGCGATTGGTTTCTACAACATGTCTACACCGTCTACCGCTACTGCCACTCATCCAACTCACCACCAGCACTACGGTTATCCACACCACCAATCCTACCAGTCGACGACGTCGTACCCGACCACGGCCGCCGCCGCAGGGGCTCGCCTCGCGAACTCCTACACCTACAGCGTACCCTCCCCGACCACTTCCACCATTCCCTACACCCAACCCTCCAGAGTCGCTCCGACCACCTCGACTCCAACCGCCATGGCGTCACACCCAAGCGGTTCTAGTGCCGCCCCGTCCCATGGGGGCCGGAGGAAGAAGCCCGACTGGGGCGAGTTCTACAAGAATGGCATCCCAAAAGAAGTCATTGTGATCGATGACAGTCCTGCTCCCGAATCTGGCAAGGCCGCTCCGCCTCCCCCTGCCCACGGTGTCCCCGTCACCCAACCGCCTACTTCGCAGCCCGCCGGCAAGAGAAGACGTACGGGAATCGAGACCGCGTATGACCTTAGTTACTACGATCGGCCGTCATTCTCGATCAATCCTCAAGCATACGGAGACGACTCTTCTGGACACTCGCTGTCGACGGACCGGACCACTTCCTTACATACCACCGCGCCGACATCACTCGGTTCGCAGGGCAGCACAGGGGCCAGCAATGGTGTCTACTACGAAGATGCCAATGTTGGCCAAAAGCGAAAGCGAGTGACCACGCGGAAATCTGCCCGAGATGAGCAGCAGAAGAAGCGAGAACTGGAAACCGGAGGCGACGCTTTCTTGAGCTACGTTCCGCCGCCCAAACCGCCCATCAAAGCCAAAGATGTGCCAGTACCCGTAATTCGCGATGTTTGTGTCTCCCTCTTCTTTCTGTCTTGTCTGTTATTGACCGAGTCTTTTGCAGTGGACGAGTGCACGACACGACAAGTTCGACGACGACGATGGCCACTACGTTGTGACCCCCGACACGCCGTTGACAGATCGATGTAAGTTGAGGATCACTCGGATTGGCGCGGCGAACAGGACTGACGTTAGGGACCAGATTCCATAATCAAACTACTTGGCCAGGGCACGTTCGGAAAAGTGGTGGAGGCGTACGACAAGCACCGAAAGGCCCGCTGCGCCGTGAAGATCATCCGCTCCATCCAGAAGTACCGCGATGCGTCGCGGATCGAGCTGCGGGTGTTGTCTACGCTGGCCTCGAATGACAAGCAGAACCGCAACAAGTGCATCCACCTCCGCGACTGCTTCGACTTTCGGAATCACATCTGCATCGTCACCGACTTGCTGGGGCAAAGTGTTTTTGACTTCCTGAAGGGCAATGGTTTTGTGCCATTCCCAAGCAGTCAAATTCAACAATTTGCTCGCCAGCTGTTCACGAGCGTTGCGTGTAAGTTTCCTATCATGTGCCACAAAACATTTAGCTGACAACCCAGTCCTTCATGACTTGAACCTGATCCATACCGACCTCAAACCCGAAAACATCCTCCTCGTCAGCAATGCCTACCAGACCTTTACCTACAACCGCACCATCCCTTCATCCTCTCATGCGACGTCCCGCAACGCCCGCCAGCGCCGCGTCCTTCTCGACTCCGAGATCCGGCTCATCGACTTCGGGTCAGCCACCTTCGATGACGAGTACCATTCCTCCGTTGTCTCCACGCGACACTACCGCGCGCCGGAAATCATCCTGAACCTCGGCTGGAGTTTCCCGTGTGATATCTGGAGTATCGGGTGTATTTTGGTGGAGTTCTTCACCGGCGATGCGCTCTTCCAGACGCACGACAATCTCGAACACTTGGCTATGATGGAAGCAGTCATTGGATCTCGGATTGACTCGCGGCTGGTCCGGCAGGTCATGCAAGGAGGGCGGTCGGGCAGTCACACCAACTCCGCAGCGAAGTAAGTCCAGTCATTTTTTGTCTGCGTGAACTGAAACTCACCTTTATAGGTACTTCAACCGGAGCAAACTGGACTACCCCAATAATGAGACGACGCGGGCTTCGCGCAAGTATGTGCGAGCCATGAAAGCACTGACAGTGAGTTTTCTTTTGGATGTCTTCTCTATCTCGACGTTGGCTGATCCTTATGATAGGAGTTCATCCCCACCAATACCCCATACAATCGTCAGTTCCTCGACCTCCTACAAAAGATCTTCATCTATGACCCCAAGAACCGCATCACGGCCAAGCAGGCCTTGAAGCATCAATGGTTCAAGGAGACCCTCGTCGACGATGGGACAGAAGCCTACCGGATCGGCACGGGGCTGCACCGGCCGCGTGCCTAGTTATTGTTAGGCATTTCCTCCCCTCTCTCGACAACACCAATACGGAGTTCGCTGGCGCTTCGTCTGGTCCCACGCATGGATAGACGGTTCATATTATTTGTTTGGGTTAATTTCTCTTATCATGGGCGGGATGGTAACGGGATGGTCGGTGTTGTCTGTTTCGTCGGAAATATCCTGATCATGATGGTTTTCTGCTTGTGATCCTTTGCCCCGAGGGCACAATACATATGCCATTCCTTGATTGTTGTTATATTTCGTGGTGCTGCTTGTTTCCCCGGGCGCACAGGCTGCATTTACGAGCTCAGCATTCTCTGCGATGATTGCAATGCTGGTTTTATTTATTTCTTTTTTCCCCATTATTCTTCTTTAAGCGGGGAGGTTTTTAAGGTTTTAGGCCCCGGGTTCTACTTCCTCTGGCGTGGACTGTTTTTGGTTGGTTCTGGCGAAAATTCCCTTTAGGCGCATTATTTGGGCTTGTTCTACCCAGTGCAATTTTCGAGTGTACATAATGATGAAGCGTCTCGACTCGCCTCGAGTCTGATCAGTTGGTGCAATCAACATTGTATAGTATCGGAGGCGGAATAACCCGTTCTCCACCTGACTCATCCCACTTTCCTCTTCGATCCATCTTTTCTTCCTCTCCGCCATAGTTATAGGAAAGGAAGCATACGCGCAATCGTTTCCTGAATCGCTGAATCATGGCTGTCCCTATGTCTAAGGAGGCCAAGCTGGCTCTCATTCAGGTTTGTCAAGCCCGAGAATGAATATGGAAGGATTGGCGGGGTTTGTCCGAGAGAAGTCGCAACTCTCGTCGAGAACCTTCTTCGTCGTCTTCTGTTCATGCGACTTCGGCTTATTCAGTTCCCAAGACTTACTGGAATACAGGAGAACATTGCGGAGACATTGAACCCGGAGCTGATCGATGAAGTGCTCTCAAAGAATGAGACTCTTCGCATCTACTGGGGTATGTGCAACGCAACGCAACGCAACCTCTGCGCGAAATGTATCAATTTCTGACTTGATGAATAGGAACCGCTACCACTGGCAAGGTACGAGTGCTCTTCCGTGGAAATTCGGGATGAAACATCCAGAACTCTGTCTTTTTGACATCTCGTCGCATCGTCCCGCCTCATTTCCCTCACTGTTTGTACGAGAGACAGCTACTAACATCGTCCGCACGCTCTAGCCACATTGTGGATACTTTGTCCCTGTATGTTGACCTCCATACATGGACTTACTCTGGGATTCGAGACTAACCATGCCACTTCCAGATGATGAAAATCGCACAGTTCTTGCAAGCTGGAGCCAATGTCAAGGCAGGTTCTGCGTGCTTGCATAGATCTATAATGCAATGTTCCTAATCTTATTGCAGATTCTGCTCGCAGACGTGCACGGATTCTTAGATGGTAAGCGCCAAATCGCCTTCCATAATACAGGTACCAATCTAACCCTCCGCAGCTGGAAAGGCGCCTATTGAATTGGTGGAGTTTCGCGCGCACTACTACCGGCATTGCATCGTGGCCTTGCTCAAAGCTGTCAATGTCCCGATTGACAAGTTGGAGTTTGTTCTTGGCAGCTCGTACCAATTGACTTCGGTATGCATGCACTTCAGTCTTTTTTGGTTACGCTATTTGCTAATCTCGTGTTAGAAATGTAAATATCGACATAACATGTCCTGCCTCGACACAGATATTAACAACATCGTCAGACACCATGGACGTCTACCGTCTCGCCTCCATCACTACCTCAACCCGCGCGCAGCACAGCGGTGCAGATGTTGTGAAACAGGCTGCCGCCCCCGCTATTAGCTCTCTTCTGTACCCTGTTAGTTTCTTTCTCTCCTATCCTATACCATTCACGTTATATAAGCTAATCACATCATGCCACCAGCTTCTCCAAGCTCTCGACGAAGAGTACCTCGGCGGTTAGTACCTCTATAGTACCCCCAAATTTTCTCAGCCAGCTAACCATCTTTATCTAATAGTACACGCGCAATTCGGGTGAGTTAATCTGACTGAAGCAAAGAATAAATAACTAAAGATTCAAAGTGGTGTGGATCAGAGGAAGATTTTTGTGAGTGATTCCTCTCTTTCTCTCTCTTCTCAACCATTGAGCAAAATCTAACATTCCCCGCAGACACTCGCAACGGAGGTAATACACCATCTTTCCTAACCATAATTATCAGTCTAACGCAACTCGCATTTATATAGCTTCTTCCGAAAGCCGGCTACAAGTCTCGCGCTCGTGAGTACACCCAAAACCAAAATCTGCCTACTAGGATATGCAGATACTGACATACCAAGACATCATGAACCACATCGTGCCTGGTCTTACTGGTGTGAAAATGAGTGCTAGCGAGTAAGTGCTACTATCCCAGACACCAAGAACCAAACTAACAGTATTACTCAAGTCCCAACTCAAAAATTGATCTTTTGGAAACTCCTGAAAATGTGGTGAAGAAGTAAGTTTCGAGCTTGCGCGTGCGTTTCTTATTAATATGCTAACGCATCCCCCAAGAATCAAAAAGGCGACGTGTGTGCCTAAGGTTGTGGAAGAGAATGGACTTATTGCGTTCGTCGAGCATGTGTTGCTCCCTGCTAGCTCCCTGCTTGACGGCGAGCGGCACTTCACGGTTGAGCAGCGGGATGCCGAACCGCTCATATATAGGGACATCGAGGCCGTGAAGAAAGACTATGTCGCCGATGTGGTGAGTACTCTCTTCTCCAAAATAAAACCAAAAAGAACCTATCTTGCTAACAAAGTGCTGTCTATAGCTTACACCCCAACTACTGAAGCCGGCCGTCACCGCGGCTCTCAACAGACTTCTGGCACCTATTTCGGCCGAATTCCAGGCTTCAACCGAGTGGCAGGAGGTTGAGAAGAAGGCTTACCCCGTTGAGGCACCCAAGGAGAAGAAGCAGAAGCAGAAGAAGGACAAGGGCAGCAGACACCCCGGCGCCGGAGCCAAGCCATCCGAGGTCCAGGCTGAAGAGGGCAAGGATTTGCCAGCTCAGGCGACGAAGGAGGATGTTGGTACAAGTGCTGCAGATGCCATGCAGAAGATGTCGGTCAACTAGATGCGTCGTTGATAGCAATGTAAAAGCCATTGAGATCTACATTCGTGCCCTAATTGCAGTGCAGTAGAAGTGGATCCATGCATCCACCCCTCATAGTACCCATCTCTACCCCGAGGTCTTTATCTTCACCTCCGATAATAATTTAACAGACACACCGGGGCGCCATGTCCCCCTTTCCCATCTCCGAACTAACCATCTTCGGCTTCCATGATGCCCTCCGCCAGCAGCAGACAACCTGCGCCGCCGTCGTTCGCGCCTACCTAGCACGCATTGCGGAGTACGACCACACCCTCAAGACACTGCTCTGCCTCAATCCAGACGCAGAGCACCTAGCCACCCAAAAGGACATCGAGACTACAGAACTACTCAAACGCAATGAACCATTCCCACTTCTCCACGGCGTGCCCATCGTCCTAAAGGACAACTTCGGCACTTGCGGCCTCCCAACCACCGCCGGCACAAAAGCGCTAGCGAACATGCGCACCCGCGAGGACAGTGACGTCGTGGCACAGCTACTCCGCGCCGGCGCAATTATACTTGGAAAGACGAATCTGCATGAATTTGCCCTGCACGGGACAACGGTCTCCTCGCTCGGTGGCCAGACTCTCAATCCCTACGACTTATCGCGCACACCCGGCGGCTCGTCGGGCGGGACAGGTGCGGCGCTAGCGGCGAATTTGGCGCTGGTAGGGACGGGGACGGACACGAATAACTCGCTGCGGTCTCCGGCGTCGGCGTGTGCGATTGTTGGATTCCGGCCGACGTGGGGGGTTGTCTCGACGAGGGGCATTGTGCCTGTGTCCGAGACGCAGGATTGTGCGGGGCCCATGGCGAGAACGGTTGACGACGTCCAGGTGGTCTTTAACGTTATGCGAGGACAGAAGCAGACTCAGATGCAGAGCGGTTCTCGATCGTCTGGGCGTACGCTCCGGATTGGTATATTGGATGCATACTTCGGGGTGGAAGAACCGGATCACGAAGGCACGGAGCTGCAGGCTGAGAACGAAGAGATCCAATCGACCGTCCGCAAAGCACTAGCCTCTTTCCAGGAAGAGAACAAGGAAACAATAACCCTCGTGCCCATTGCGGCATCGAGCCACGAAGACTGGAGCTTCGCCAATCTCCGCGAAAACGCCGACACCCAACGCTTCGAATTCAAGTTCTTCCTCGATGAATTCCTCCAGTCGCCACTAATCGAGTACTCAGACCACCGCTCATTAGAATCAATAGCTGATAGCGGCGACTACCACACCCAGGCCGTGACCGCTGCGTTTGATGCGGGACTGAAAGACCCAGTGACATTCTCGCGCACGAGCGAGGCATATCGCGAGAGGTTACAGAGAATCCATGCCCTGACAGAAGAGGTCCAGCGGGTTTTCGATGATAACCAGCTTGATGCGCTGGCGTACCCGCATCAGCGGAGACTGGTTGTTCCCACGGGGGGACGGCGCAGGCGGGTAGGAATGGGATCTTGGCTGCTTTGACTGGGCGGCCTGCGATTTGTCTTCCAGGTAGGCTTGCTAGCACCTCTGCGCAAAATGGTTTTGTCAATATATGCTGATTATTGAGTACAGCCGGATTTAGCTCCCCCTCTGCATCGGCTCCGAGAGGCGTTCCTATTGGGTTGGAGTTTTTGGGCTACGAAAAGGGAGATGACGAGTTGCTGGATCTCGCGGCGAGGGTGGAGGGTGTGCTGCGTGCGAGGAGCGAGCCAGATTTGAATGTTTTGTAGCATCTTTCTAGCAGATAGATATATACGGGGGAAGTTTGGAGGGTCCCCTAGAAGATTTAACTTATACATAGCGCATCAGCATAATCAAGACGTACATCTCTGTCTGAAGATTATACCCAGTAGCTAGTGGTGAAGTCTGGCGGGCTATAACCAGATCGATGGAATAAGTCCGATCAAGTTGTATGCTGTCCAGCATTAAGGAACGAATACAATGCAAAGACCGTATATTCATTGTGGATATATACTATACGCTCAAACCGAAAGACAGGATTACATGCCCCGATTAAACTCCACCATGCCATCATGCCCACCCCGCTCCCAAAACTCCTCCTCCAAACTGGCCGCACTAATAGCCTGACGCTGCGGGAAGGCCGCCAGGGCCAACGGCAGCGCAAACAGCGACGTGGTCAAGATAAGGCCCAGATTCACAGGCGTAACCATGCGCGGCCGCGCACGCAGCCACTGCGTCTTCTCAAGCTTCACCAGGATAAGCGGCGGCACGACCATGATCGGGGTAGCGTTGAGAATGCGGCTGATAGCCGTCTCGCCGACGGCAATGGTAGCCGCCTTTTTGGACTTGCCGAGAGATTGCGGGTTGCTGTCTTCGCCGGCCTCTTCGCGCTTCTGTCGCTCTGCATCCGACAGGACCGGGTAGATGTCTATTCCGCGGCGGATCTCCTCGCCGCGCATGAGGAAGACGTTGAGCGCGGAGGCGCTGGCGACGGCGGCGAAGGGGACGAGCCGCGAGAGGATGAGTTTGGTATTGGGGGAGACCCGCTTCAGACGCGGGACGAGGGCGTTTAGACCTAGCGCCACGGAGCAGGAGGCTGACACGGCCATGAGGTAGGACTTCGCTATTTGAGACATTGATAGCGGGGTCGATTTGTTGGCGTTGGCGTTGTTGATTGCCACGTTCAGTGACTGGTTGCCGATTTGCCAGAGGAGGGTCCCCGTTGTCTGTAGGCCTGGAGTGAGCATGCCGGCCGTTACGACCAGGTTGGTGATCACATAGCAGGACATGCGGAAGGGAAGAAGGACGGGCTGGCCGGTGTCTGGGGTATATTCATCAGCATGACTGACCAAAATTCCAAAGGCGGGTTCGTCGCGCTCGTGGTTAATTACCTGGGTGTAGCGTCGAATCGACGACCTTCTTTGCCCGCCACAGCTCGGGTGTCATGACGGGGACGTGGTTCTGCTTGTAGGAAGCAATGAGTTGCTTGGCCTGTTCCAGACCCGCGGACGAAACGAGGAGAGTCCTATTACAGTCAGTCGGTTAGAAGCAGCTCATGCTTGATTCAGAGGTACGGAGTTAGTTTGACTTACCGCGGGTCGGAAATGTCCGCCGCATGGCGCACACGACCCCAGTAGGTGGTCAGGTCATACTGCGACACGGGTAGGCCCCGGCTGCCGGGCAGAGAGGCGGACATGAATAAGTTACAAATGCAGTAAGACAGAGAAGCCGAAAGAGTGAGGCTCACTCCGTCTACGATGTTGAGTTGAGAGAGAGTATGACAAGAGAGAGAGTGTGTGTGTATGACAAGAGAGGGAAAGAGTGGGCGGAGACAATTTTTTGGGCGATAAAAGGGCGGTGTGGCGATAAAGCCTGGATGGGCCTATCAGGATGGATGTTTACTTCAGTGGTTCCGTGGTCGAAGTATTCAATTTTCAAGTCCTCGCGGACGAATAGTGTAGTACATTGGTATCATGATAAAACAAAAAGAAAAAGTGGGATACAGAAGAGAAGAGGGCGATTAGGGTTGTGAGGGATCGAACATGAAAATCCCCGCTATGCAGAAGATGCAAAAGAGGAACAAGCACAGAGGCTTGGAGAAGTGACAAAGGAAAGGCAGAGATGATGGTCATCGAGAGGCATCGACAAGAACGATTATCGAAATCGGAATGATTTATGTGCCAGAGGCGACGGTGGCCCGTTATTCCCGGTCGGATTCATGCCTCGCGGGCGGTTGCGCCGTGTCGGGGTTTGGGCACAGAAGACACACACGTACACCGAGGGTAGGTTGGCACGCTCGAGGCCGACACATCTGGTGTGCAGCCAGAAAGTACACGATTCACTGCCATTCTATTAGAAACGGGTCATTCTTTTGTCAATAGGCAAAACTCACCATTGGATCATGAGGTGGCCGCCATTGTCCATCGAGTTGCAAATGCAGCGCGTGGCGTTGCTGGGATTGCTATGGCGCTCGGTGCTGGGCGTGGTCAAATCAGGATCGGTGAGGGTCGTAGGCGAGACATTGGCCTGCCGCGGATTGATATCAAAGTCGCTCCCTAGGTGCGGAGGCGACGAGTGGAGGTGGGCAAACGACTGCGAGGAACGACTGATTCGACCCCCGTAGCCGCTGGTGGCAGGGCGGCCGCCCCGGCTGCGCTCTTTGAGGACTTGCCGGAGCGCATGCTGCGCATCGCCGTGGTCCTCATCAGACTCGGGGAGTAAGTCGGAGGCGATGCTGCCGCGCGTGTAATTTGGGTCGGAATGGAGTAACGACGAGTGTCGGCTAGGTGTACGCTTTAGAGCTTCTGGAGATCCGCGATAGGTCGACCGGGTCGCTCCACCACGAGAAGAACCCGCCCAGGGAGATTGGCGGCCGGATTGAGACGAAGCCACGGTGGAGGCATAAGACCCTTTCGACAGAGGTCGGGAGCCTGAGTCGCTGCGGGAGAGCCGCCGCCGACCACCATCCAGGTGGGCGTAGGAGGATTGAGGACGAGGGAGAGCAGGGTATTCCGAGTATTCAGCCGGATCAGCCTCACTTTCGGTGGCTGAACCGTCCAGGTCCATCCCCCTCAGCGGATCAGTGAGTCCGGTAGAAGCCTCACTCAGCGGTTGCATTTCAGCCTTTGCTCGGCCATCCCGGTCGATTTTGAGGACGACCGACTGTGAACGAGTTGGGAACCCAGTTGCAACGGAGTTGGACCGACCGAAGGTGCCAGGCCGCATTCCTTTGGCCGGCGACGCACGGCCTTTCGTAGGGCTCTTGCGGATACCGCTCGTGGAGGCCATTATGCCTCCCTGACTGAGAGGCCGATAGGAAGAGAAGGAAGAGGAGGTGCTGGGCATGGCGCCGTGGGTCATACTCCGGGTCAATCCTGGCCGGCCACCACGGGGCGTGCAATCGTCATCTTCCTCATCGTCTTCTTCAAAGGAACCGTGACTCTGCCCGTCCGGGGCGTGTGCACGGCGAAGCTCTTCCCGCCTCGACTCCTCCATTTGATGATGGTAGGGCTGTCGGCCAAACGACTTCTTCTCTGGAGTCATTGGAGGGCCACCGAATCGGCGAGCGGGCGAGCTCAAGAACATGGCTGGATCCTCGGCCTTTGCGGAGGGACGTCGAGGGGACGTGGAGAATGGGGCGGGAAAAAGAGCGGCATCTGTAGGAGGAGGAGCCGAGGGAATCCCAAAGCCCGGGTGACTGAAATCGGGCAGATCCATGGAGCTATCAATTGAGGGTAGTTGGGGAATGTGCTGTGAATTGGTGGAGGGATTGCCGGTGGGATTGGCTGACATGCCAGCGCTGAGGTGAGAGACATCGTGGACGGGCTGTTCCAGGTCCTGATCCCAGAACAGGCGCTGTTGCGGGAAGAAGGGCGAGCCCGCAGGGTCCAGGGAGGCGAGTTGAAAGAGATCGGGGGAGGATTGGAGGTTGGCGAACATGCTGGGTGAGGCCCCCAGCAGGCGACTGGGGGTCTCGAGGTGGGTGGTTGTCCTCGGCGTAGCGTCCCTGCTGGCGAGCCCTTCGAGCTGGTCGAACTCGGGGGCCTTCCGCCGCGAGGCACTGGTGGGCGGCGGGGTCTGCATTGACGCCGCGGACTTGGCTGAGCCCAGGGTCACGTCCTCGGTGACGCTGGGGAGCGGCTTCACTGCGCGGATGCGTTTGGTGGTGTCCGGGTGGTGGTGGTCATGCCGCCTCAGCCCGAACTTCTGGGGGGTCCGCAGGGACTCGGGGCTCGAGGCATAGGGGTCGGCAGTATCCCAGGTGACTCGGGGGTCGAAAAAGGACGACTCGAGTTTGGGGGTGTGGAAGGAGTCGCTCGCGGTGATCGGGGTTCTTGTGGGGGTCTGTGGCTCGAAGCTGAACATGGTCAGCATGGTGATGGTGAGTAGGTAGCGAGCCTGACATGAACGAAGTACAAAATCACTACATATCGACGACTAGGCCCCGCACAAGGGGAGAGTCAAGGGGCATGCATACCTGTGCACAGGGTCGTCCCAACTCATGTCACCCAGGGTCGAAGCTGCCAGGCAACCTTGGCACTGGAAGTATTTGGGCTGGAATGTGAACAGTGGGATAGGGGTTAATTCATGATGCGTGGGGTGGAAGAAAGAAGCCAAAGAAGAATGTCGTAGTCGTCAGAGTGTCGATGTAGGTAGATGTCTGTTTTTCTTTTTCCCTTTTTCCTCCGAGCAGCATCTACCGATCGATCCACACTTCCCAGAGTCGAGGGGCTCCACCTTGGGTGCGTGAGATCGAGCCGTGTTATTATAGTACGGACTAGACGAGGTCAGGATGACGTTGGTGTATCCCTGAGTGACCCTCGCAACCAAGTCCGTTACTTTCGCTAAACAATACCTGGAAACAAGAAACAATCTCGTCTACTCCGTAAAGGCAATCACTTTCTACCTACGATTACCCCTGCATCTCAGTGCACCACACCAGCTTGGCAGGTCGTGCGCCCAGTCCAGCACCCCGGCCTAGTCCGATCAGCCCTTGCTCCATTCTTTTTTATCCCTCGGGTTCCATTGCTCCTTTGATCTCAGCTGAACTCCACGCTAGATCGGGCTGATCCCAATTTCGCTCCCGGTGGTCTAGAGCGAGGTACAACCAGCCCTTCACGATTTATTGATTGCAATCGCGCCCAATGGCACTGGCAACATGCATAATGATAAGGTAAAATGGAGAGAACATTCCATCAAGGGGGAAACATGTAAATAATTAAGCTCGCCGAGTCGGAAACTGGTCCTGCGCAATCATGGTGGGGACCCGATAAGAGAACTTCGCCCTCGGCCTGGTTCCTCTTGACCCAAAGAATCCATGCGTATGGCACAAACAAAGAAACAACACCGCCGCAGAAAAGTCGGCCGGCGCACTGCGCGAGTGCTCAAGCGACGCAGCTCGGGCCCGCTATCTGATCTCACAAATGGCAACCTGCGTCAAGGGGTGATGCCGGTGTCTCTGGATCCCCTCGAAAAGGTGGGTGGTCCCTCCAGGCACTGATTATGGACTGTGTGCTAACCACCAAAGCCAATGTCTAGAACATCTTCGAGCGCCACCCGCTGCAGCCGGGGTATGTCTTTGTTCCCAAAGGCGACGTCTACGTCACGCGACATTGTCGCACTCGGACCAAAGAGGCCGGGCAGACGGTTTATGTGGTCTGGGTATGTGACAGGTGGCGTTTATTTATGGTGTATCTCTCTCGCCGGCGAATCATTCTAATGGACTCCAGAACCACGCGGCAAAACGCACACGCGGCATCCGCGTCCCATCAGAAATCCACCACCAAGTCCGGGAATCTGCCGCCGCAACAGCATCGTCGCGCGCCAGCGCCGTGCAAGTCCGCGATGCGAAGGACCTCTCGCGCGCGCGGGAGCTACTGCAATCCCATTTCCCCTTGATGCCCGCTCCATCTCTCGAAACGATCCTGGAGCATGCGTTCCTCAAAGGATCCGGGCGGGTAGGGCGGACGTCAACGACGACGGAGGAGCGCAAGGCTCTCCTCGCTGTTGAGGCGCATATTCGGCATACGCAGACGCCGTATGAGAAATTGCTTGAGGCGGGGATGGAGCGTCATGACGCTCGAAAGGCGGTTTGGGAGACTGTGAAGAGTATTAAAACGGCGTGGGCTGGCGCCGGTGCTGAGGAGGAGCGGATGCCTGAGCGGCTTGCTTTGAGGCCTGCGCCGGTCATTGATCTGATGGGAGACAGCGATGATGATGTGTCGCTGGCTGGCTGAACGGACCTGACGAGCTTACGATTTGATGACCGGAATAGAAATGTATGTATATTAGCCCGAAACGCAGTGACTTGACTTCAATTCTCTCGCAACCATGCTACCTAATCTATGGACTGTATCTACCTCCTTTCCATCCCATGTGTGATCCCTCCCACCACTAGGTACAAACCCAACATATCCCGACTTCCTTCTCCCGCCCGCCCACTACATCCATCAGTCAGTCACCTCACCTTGGCGGCAACACCACAACCTCAAAATGCTTATGCTCCCACGGCAGCCCAGTAAACCAACCCAACCCATCCCGAATCATATCCTGCATCGCCGAGAGCCGAAAGACAATATCCGCCAGCGCACCGCCCCGATCATCAGAGCGCGTGTCAATGGCAATACGCAGGCGCCAGTGCTGATGCGGGTTCGAGAGGATGGGGTCGGACAGGTCCCCCAGTCTCAGGCGGGCGTCTAGGTGCAGGTGCACGGCTTCCAGGATGTTGAGTTCGCTGGGGTTCCAGTTGTAGAGGTCTGTGATGTCGACGAGGAAGATGTGGCGGAAGATGCCTTCTGCGGTGCGAGTTGGCCATGTTGTTTCTGCGGCTGCTGGTGCTGGTGATGATTCAGTTGGTAAGTTGAGCATGTCTGCGGTGGAGTCGATGTCCATTCCGTCCATGTCTCTGATCTGATCGGTTGTGTTGACCAAGTCATTTTCCCCGGGGTAGACGACGGTGCTCAGGTTAGACGGGGGGTGGTTACGAACCGTCGAAGCCATGGAGTGTGGACGGGACCTGTTGCCTGTGGGAGAGCGAGAGGTCCCTCCCCGTGTGGGGGGTGCATGGAGGCTGTTTCTGAAGCCTGCTCTGGTGTTGCTGTATCGGCTGTTCTGTAACTCGTAGAATCTTCTGTCTGCCATCACGCTTGAAGTGGTTGTTGTTTCTTGTTTCTCTCAGATATTCTTCACCCTGATTCTGGGTCAGATTGGTTGAGGGAGTGAAGAAACACGCCACAGCGATTGTTGGGTAAGTCTCAGAACTGATGTTGGGAGATGTTGCCTTTGGCCAGAGGACCGGGTAGAGAGTGAGTGTCCTGACGCTCGGGGTTGGTGATGATAAACGGCTCAGGTGTGAGTATACATGCGAACGACCAAGCCTCAAAGATGGCCACAGCCATGTCGGGCCTCTGACCCCCATGACGGATATCTCCATCCAAACAAGACAGGGTCTGAATGGTCAGACAAAGAAGAAGCAGCCGATGAAGTATGCTTCATCCGAGTAACGATATCCAAGCTACGGGCGCCTTGATGACTACCGGATAGGGCTGCAGGGAAACCTGCCAATCAGATCCCGTCCTGATCATTCGTCACCTATTCCACAGGGTTTCAACTGCCAAGGCTTGGCGAGTGTCGTTAAACCCGAAGACATGGGGACGGATGAAGCGTTAGGGCCCCGGCACTATACCGCATTGATCAAGCCCTGGTTGGACCTCAGTCTAGGGATCTCACCTACGCATGGTTATGCTTCACCACATCAATCACCGCTGGCGTGCTGGCCATGCCCGACGGTGCCCTAAGATCCCCGTCCGACCTGCCCTATAAGGCAAGATCCACCTGGCGGAGTCGCTTGGCATCCAACGGGAAACAAAATTGGCCCCATATTATGCATGAGTAACCAAGTGGGCAACGCTGCGTCATTCCAATAAAAATTAGGCACCAAGCCAATCCTCGTCTTCCTCTCATTCTCAACACTGCAATGGCATTCCAGAGCTACCCGATCTGGTAGCGACCATGTCATTGAATCTAACCCGGCCCGCCTGGGGATCCTATCTGAACCGCCGCAAAGGGGTCCTGTTCCTGGTCGTCGCGCTGGTCTTTCTCCTGTTTCAACTTCTCCCGTCCTCCTCCAATCTCGCTCGGTCGGCCTCGGAGACCAAGCCGGAATTCCTCTGGCATTCCCCCTATCGCGATAACCCCGATAAGGACTACGAGGATCGAATCAGGGATGCCCTGATATATATCGAACAGGTGACCGTGGAACACGGAGATAACAAGGCCATCCACAAGATATGGCAGGTCCTGCTCGGCACCGGGGAGAATACAGACGGACGGGGCCAGGATTCGCATGATCTTCAGGACAGTAATAATGATTGGGACCATGAGGTGAGTGCCCAACACTGGTCTTTACGATCGCTTCCCCTGACTTGACCGGACCTGACCTGACCCTCCATCGCAATAGGTCCTTTCGAGCAAATGGGCGAAGTGGTTTCTCGGCGCATTCCTGAACCTAGTGCCGGACCTAGAACACTATTGGAAATCATACCCAGACGAACAGCTCCGCGCCAACCTACTCCGGTACCTGGTGATGTGGTACCACGGCGGCTACTACGCAGACCTGGATGTCGTCCCGGTCCTCCCCATCCGGGACTGCCCAGCGCTGCAAGAGACAGCTGCCGTGAAAAACCCCAAGGCCCACATCTCGCTGGTCGTGGGCATTGAGACCGACGAGCCATTCGCCACCCCCGAGATGGGGGTCCAATGGCGGGGGGCCCGGAAGTACGGCTTCATCCAGTACAACATGTGGGCGCCGCGACGGTTCAGTCCCCTGCTGCGCGAGGTGATTGTGCGGGTGCTGTCGCATACGAAACAACATTTCGACCGCCAGCGGTGGTTCTTTGGCGAGTTCTACGATCATTACACGCAGAAGATGACGCATGAGATCACCGGTCCTGGCGTGTTCACCGATGCCATTCTGGACGTGCTGTCGGAGAATCTGCCGTCAACTCACCCGCTGGTCGTTCAGTCCACGGAGGCGGAGAGGCGATTCACCACCAGTCCCCCGAGCCGGGTGACATGGGCGCCATTCCATGGGCTGCAGGAACCGGTCTGTGTTGACGACTCAGAATCGGCGATGGGCAAGCATACGGGCGGGCTGTGTGTGCTTCCTGCTAGTGTGTGGGGAGCGGGCCCGCGAGATTCCAATAGCCCGGAGGCGTGTATCGACCATCGACTGAGCGGCAGCTTGAAGAAGGGTTGGCTTACGGGTCTGACGGGCTGAACGGGACGCCATATTCGTATTCGTGATAATTATAGACTGTATAGCGAGTTTATTAGTTGGTCAATGTGCATATATCTCGGTTTGCAAATGGGTTCCAAGGGTCTGTGGTTAGGGCATTGCGCAATTCCTGGGTACTCTCAACTAATAGCGTTTGGATTTCAGCCTGGTAGATCAGGCACCAACAATACAAGGCTCTCGGATCAACGTTATCCCGGCTCAATCTTATCGCATTTTTTGTATTTGCTTCGCTTTTCCTGCCTGAACTCCACGTTTGTTGACCGCGACAATGGACAGGCCAGAGCTATTGGAGTCGCCCCGAAAGCGGCAGAAGACAGACGATGTTCCCGTGAACGATGCCGCTCTGTCAACTGACGGTGCCGCGGACAAGCTACCAGAGAGTGTGGGGTCCAGCGAAGATGCTCAGGCATTGAAGGAGGTCGAGGTGGGGATCACCGAGTATGTGAGCGTCGACAATGAGGGCTTCACCGGTATTTTGAAGAAAAGGTGAGCGATCCAACTCTGTAGACACAAGACAATGGCTGACTGTGCCAGATACACCGACTTCCTGGTCAACGAGATCATGCCCTCTGGCGAAGTCCTCCACCTCCGAACCACGAAAGATCCGCATGCGAAGAAGAGCAACGAGACGGCATCAGATGCTGCACCGGAAACTGAAACAAAGGCTCCCCAGGAGCAAGCTGAAGCTGCTGAACCCAAAGAGATCAAAGCCGAAGAGTTCAAGGTGTCGGAGGAGGACAATGCTCTTTTGGTGGAATACTTTGGTGCTGAAAATGCCGTGAAGATTGTGGCACTCCACAAGCGTGCCATGACAAACCCCAAAGCCAGAGCTGCTGACCTGGGCAAGGTCATGGCCGCCGTCTCTGACCGCGACTTGCGCACCAAGATCCACCAGGCCATTCGCCGCATTTTCAACTCGCAGCTGGAGTCTAGTACCAACGCTGAAGGTGTGCTGACGATCACTGCAGCTCCCAGTCGCAACAAGCGCAATGCTCAGGGCGGCGGCGGGCGCGGTGGACGTCCTCGAGACTCCCGGCCGAACTGGGACGAGCTCGGCGGCCAGTATCTGCACTTCACCATCTACAAGGAGAACAGAGATACCATGGAGGTGATCTCCGCTCTGGCACGCATGCTCAAGATGAGACCCAAGAGCTTCGAGTTTGCGGGTACCAAGGACCGACGAGGCGTGACCGCGCAGCGCGCCTGCGTTCATCACGTCCATGCCCATCGCCTTGCGGGTCTGAACTCGAACCTCCGCAATGTTGTTGTGGGTGACTTTGAACACCAGAAACATGGTCTCGATCTGGGTGATCTCAAGGGAAATGAGTTTGTGATTACTCTCCGCGAATGCGAGATCCCCGGTGTGGATATCAGCGATCCACAGGCCGCTATCGCCAAGGCATCGGAGCTTGTTGGTTCATCGTTGAAGAATCTTCACCAGCGAGGATACCTCAACTACTACGGCCTGCAGCGATTCGGAACCTTCTCGGCTCGCACAGACACAATCGGTGTCAAAATGCTGCAGGGAGACTTCAAGTCCGCCTGCGAAACCATTCTGCAATACAGCCCTCATGTTCTCGAAGCGGCCAAGGAAGGTGAGGCCTCCAAGGCGCTGATCAGCACCGACGACAAGTCCCGCGCTGAAGCAATCCACATCTTCGAAACCGACGGAAGCACCCACGAGGCACTGGAGAAGCTCCCGCGGAAGTTCTCCGCCGAGTCTATGCTGATCCGCCACTTGGCCCGATCCAAGAACGACTACAAGGGAGCACTGCAGGCCATCCCACGTAATCTGCGCCTGATGTACGTTCACGCATACCAATCCATGGTCTGGAACTTCGCCGCCGGAGAGCGCTGGCGGCTGTACGGTGACAGTGTAGTGGAAGGCGATCTGGTCATTGTGCATGAGCACCGCGACAAGGAAGCCGAGACTGAAGCCGAGACTTCCAACGTCGATGCAGATGGTGAGGTCGTCGTGGTCCCCGAAGGCGAGAACAGCGCTTTCGCAGCCGAGGACATGTTCACGCGCGCGCGAGCCTTGACCGCCGACGAAGCCGCCAGCGGCGAGTACTCCATCTTTGACGTTGTGCTGCCCCTGCCGGGCTTTGATATCATTTATCCGGCCAACCAGCTGACGGACTTTTACCGTCGCTTCATGGGCAGCGAGCAGGGCGGACACCTTGATCCGCTCGACATGCGCCGCAGCTGGAGGGATATCAGTCTCAGCGGCAGCTATCGCAAGGTCCTCAGCCGCATGGGATCGGACTTTTCCTTTGATATCAAGCTGTACTCGAATGACAACGAGCAGTTTGTCCAGACAGACCTCGAGAAACTGAAACAGGGTGATAAGGATGCCTCTGTTCCTTCTGACGCGGCTGGTGATAAACTTGCCGTTGTCCTGAAGTTCCAGCTGGCTTCGAGCCAGTACGCTACCATGGCCCTCCGGGAATTGACCAAGGGGAAGGTCACGGCATACAAGCCTGATCTGGGCGGTGGAAGATAGAAAAGACACAGCTACAAGAACAGGGCACGAGCCATGATATCATGTACTGTACATAGACCTCGCATAGCGAAACCAAAAAGACTACTGTGCTTAAGCGATGCAGAAGTGCTGTAGAAGTAATAATGGATGTAGCAATATATCGACGCCCAAGTATATGTTCCAATCTCGTAAAAGTAGACTGGAATCTGTCACTGACCGTTTGCAACGACATTTCGAGGGCCAACCGTGACAAAAAACCCCACCGGCGCACGAAAGTTAGCACAAATCTCTCTGCCGGTCTGCTTAAGCTGATACTCCTCGTCCACCGGTTGCAGGTCAACACTCCTAAGCACGGTGGCCAGAGTGATCATCGACAACTGTAGGGCAAACCTCTTTCCGAGGCAATAACGCTTCCCGTTCCCGAAACTCTTCTTTACTCCGGCGGGTAACCTCTCGTAGGCTTCACCTAGCATTCGCTCTGGTCGAAACGCATCCGGATCCTCGAAAACGTCCGGATCACGATTCACAGCTGCCAGAAGGACCATGAGACGTTGGTTGTTCGGTATCTGGTATTTCCCACCGGCAAGCAAAACAATTTCTCCGGGGTTGTCTGATGGTACAGGCTCCAGGAGGAAGCCCGGTACTGTGGCAGAAAGACGCAATGTTTCCCTTATAACTGCTTCGAGATAGGGTAACTTTGCCAGGTCTTCGACAGTGATCTTTGCACCAGGTCCCAAAACCTGGTCGAGCTCTTGGCGAGCTTGGATTATCTTGTCGGGATTCATTAGGAGATAGTAGAGTGCGAATGACATGAGACCGGCAGTAGAGCTTGCAGTGACTATTATTGTGAGTATTTCATCAATAACTTTCTCATCATCAAGACATTCACCCGTCTCTGGATCTTTGGCAAACAAAAGTGCGTGGAGCATGTCTTGCTTGACAGGCTTTTCGGCCCTTTTAGAGGCAATGAAGTCAGCGGCTATCTTGCGAAAGTCCTTGATATATGCGTCAAAGACGCTATCGTAGTAGAGCCAATTCAGGAATCTCAGTCTGACTGGACGATCGACTGTTTCCCAAGTTGCGAGATCCAACAATTCGACCACACCTGGTCCCTCGCCATTAAGAAGATTATAGCGCTGATTGAAAAAGTGATATATGACGGATTGCACATTCAAACGCTTCATATCTTCCGTTAAGTTGACTCGTTCACCGAACCGCGAGGTCCATTTGGCTAAAAGCTCTGACGCCATCTCGTGCAAGTCTTCAATCATCATATCATCACTAGACGGGGCGACAGAAGGTGCCATGATCCTATGAGCAATTCCCCAGATCGGCTCGTTGTCGTAGGCCGTGAAAAGGGCATCATTGGTTGCCCGACGCAGTTCGCTCATCACTTCCGTCGTTGAGCATCTACGAAAGCGTCTTTCATCACAAACCTCCTCGGTAAGCGAGGCATTGTTTATCACAACAACATGCTTTCCGAGGGCGTCAATCTTGTAGATAGGTCCTTGGAGGCAAGTTAGGGATTATGTGTTGATTAGCGAATAGGCTTATCACGAACCATATTCGTCCGCAAGCCGCTTGAATGACCCCCAGGGATCATTTGAGTCGACATCAAGGATATTTCCCAGGAATGGGAGCCTAGGAGGCTGTGGAATGGGAGATGACATCGTACCGTGATGAGAGTCGAACTCTTTGTACTTCTAGAGAGACAGGAGTGTGAGTTGTATTTATATTTCATGGAAACTGTTGAGAGGACTCGTAACAACAAACTACTATAAACAGAACCCCGGGGGGGGGGGGGCATGCAATGGAGTCCCAGGGTTACACAAGTCCCGCATCGCAGAGCAAACATGTTCGAGAAACGGATGTATCACAGGCTTTGTGTGACATGAAGCTGCATGAGAGGGAAACGCGCAAGGTATATATTCTCGGAGGAGAACCGTGGCTCGGCCAGATCTGTTTGCCGCAACGAAATGGCGGATCTCCCGCAGTATCTGGTGGGGTTTGGCTAAAATTTAGTCTGTTCTCTGTGACGACGGATATGCAGGTCAGAGAAACCCCATGATCATGTACGGATCTCTGGGACCTGATAGGCGGGGTGGTCGGCGAAAAAATCGCAATCTAATATGAATAGATCCAGATGGAGCCTATTATCGAGCGACACGCCAGCGGAGATTCTCATCTTCTCATATCCTTATCTTGTACAGTTCCAGACATTCTCGTGATGGGGTTTACATGACGGTACATCGACCAGGCTGACAAGATTCCCTGTGGATACGAGATGCAGAAGTGTTGTATAAGTAATAATAGCCGTAGCAATATATTGATATGGGTATGCACAGAGCGAATGACAGGTATATGTACCGTATGATGAGACCCAATCATCCCAAAAAAAACCCAAACGACCAAGGTAGCGAACGCCTATGCTGAACGGAAAACACACAGTAAAAGTCCCCAAGTCATCAAGACTAGGGTTTCATCCCCATGTAATAGATAAAATCGGCATTAAGCATTTATTTACAGCGAGCGCTCAGCGACCAAGAAACCGGTTCGGGCCGCGAGGTGAGCGCGGGCTACCCTCATCAAACGACGAGACGGACGACATGTCATCCAGATCTCGCTCGCCGCCATCTATCCCGTCGGAGACTTCGGAGACGCCGCTACGCTGGGTCGGTCCACGGCGTAGTACGAAGTGCGGGTCTGATGATTCTGATACACGGGGTTGACTTTGAGGTGAAGGTAGAGGCGGACTTCGAGATGATGGGGTTGTGCCACGCATGGCCTCGTAGCTGCGCTGTAGTCCGGAAGTGCTGCGGCGATGTTCCCCCGTAACTGCCACACCCGCAGCAGCGGCACCTGCCGGAATGCCCAGATCCTGATTCGAAGCAGACGAGAGGTCTCGTGCCGAGCCTGGGGTCAACGCAGCTGGCACGGAACGGGGGCTTGCATCGCGGCTTTGCGGTGCAGTGGGGACCGAGAAATTTTGTTGACGGATAGGTACAGCCGCCGGCTCTGGGGAACTGAGCTTGCCCGCGGCCATAAGCTGAGAGGTGGAGCCCGGCCCGGGCAGGAGAGTAGAGGTGGTAGGTTGGGCCATGTTATGAAGAGATCGGTTGGCGCGCTGGCGGCGCTTGGAGCGACGGCAGCCGAGAATAATGAAAGCTAGGATGATGGCTAGGCCGACGACGCCGACTGGAACGGCGATGGCGATCTTGGTCTTTGTAGAGGCAACTCCGCTCGAGGATGAGCCGCCGTCTGTGGCCGAGTTTTGGGTTGGTGCTGAGGTTGAGGTTGAAGTTAAAGCTGAGGCCGAGATCGAGGTTGGTTCTATGGTGCCCGTGTACGTCAACAATCCGTCCGCTGTCTGCGTCTGCGTCGAGACGGTCGTGCCATCGGTACCCGGGGCCGGTATCTCCGATGTTACTTGCTGCGACTCGTCGCTCACTGTCTTGGATCCCTTAGGAGAGGCTTTGTCTGCATTTGTCGTAGTTGTAGTCGTGGTCGTGGGGTCGGGCTTGGACGTTTCTCCCGATTGCGCTAGAGTGCCATCTGATGTCGTTGGACCTGGTTCCGTTTCCGTGCCTTTTCCCTTATGATTTGGCTCCGTCTCTTTGGGAACATTCTCAATGGGATTAATCTCAATGGGAGCATTCTCACTGGGAGTATTCTCCCTGGGAACATTCACCAAAGGCCAGTTGGGGGCGAAGTCGCCCATGATGGCTTCAGGGAGCGGACTATCGATTCCAAAGAATCGTTGTCTGAGCGTCTGCGGGACACAACAAGAATCTAGTCAGACCTAGCCTGCGGCGAGATACCACACACATACAAGTAATTCGCAATGAGATGAGATGAGCTGGACGCAGAGAAGATGAAAAGCAAAAAACACGAACTGCCCACAGCCTCGCGGACTCGTATGGGTCTTAGCACTGCCCTCACCCGCCTAGGAGGAGCCAACAAAGGGCCGATGACGATCGCAGGACCCTCCAACCGCTGTGGTGTTGGATCATCCACATGTCTTGAAACAATGAATGAAACCCTCGTCTACGTTAAGCCCCTCCCTCCTCCTAGTAGCCAAGTCGGCGTCGCACAGTGGCTTCCTTGAAACCAAGCATGAAGCCCGCCTTCTCTACTCGGCGGCTACGCAATGGTTAACGCCATCATTGCATCAAAGAAACGGAAAGAACAGGGTGTTGTTGGTGGTTGGGGGCCATTCGCGCCCGGTGGGGAATCGGAAGCCCTAATCAGGGAAGAAGACTCGTCATTCGATACCTGAATTAGAACACCCGCTAGAAAAAGGAAGGCCTAGCGTATGCGCTAATAATAACTTAGGCAATTAACAAGGCTGATCATGTAGCCTCAAGAGAACCCCCCTTTCTTCGTCTCTCGCAGTGTCTACCTCATATATCCGCCCGCTGGTTGCTGAGCACCTGGAGTTTTCCCTCACTATGTTCGGTCGCATACTGCATATGGCCAAAGGCCCAAATTGATACATTCGCCCAGTCGGCTCCCGATATCAGCGCTGTGGCTCAGGCCGCGCTATCTTCAGCGATATTCTCTGGCCCCAAGGATTTGGAGCTCGACGGCACATGGGGGTCACCACCATGATTTTCCGGGGTGACTGCTCCTTTGCTTCATTGTTGATGAGAGAAACCCGCTGCCGTAACCATCCATTGTCCGCTGCATGAGCAGAACTGTGGTTTTTGATGCTCCATTGGAAAATGTGCTTGGACTCGTCCACACTGGCGAAGCATAATTGCTCTCTGCTGGGTGGGATGTTCGACCATGCACGCCCAGGAGAATAATATTTGACCCTGGAAGATCGTATTGATTGCGGTCCAGCAAAAAGCTTGTTCTGCAGCAACGGCTCGGCCATCAGCTGTCGGGCCCTCCTTCGCCCTCGTCGTAAGTAAGGCCGTGGAATTCGGTTACCCTGAGGACTCAAAATATCTTCTCGAAGCGCCCGGCATGGCGCTCCAGGAACTGACGGTAGCTGTTGTAATATTTCATACGGCCAACTCCACCCGCAAGCACCAAGTACGGTGCCGAAGATGAAATCTCATAGTTGGCGTATCGTGAGTCAGCCTCTATATGGGTCTGTGACAAGACCTGGAAGGAGTGCGTGGGGTGCGTCGCGTTGGCTTCTCTGGCAGCCTTGTTGGCTTTGTGTTTCTTGACTGCGCCGTAGACAAGGAAAGGCAGCACCCTGAATGCAATAATAATAGAAATGAATGTTATATTTTCTTCAAGGCTGGGACTTTTCTTATGGTTGCTATCAAGTGGAGATGACCCCAAATTAGACGGCCATAATAAGGCCGAATGTAGCCTCAGATGGTAGGATTAAATGTCCAGCTTCGCCCCATTATTTCCCAATGTAGATGTTAATACGATACCGAAGCGGACATCTTGAATTGAAGCGATAGATAGTTAACCTAATTAACTAACTAAGAAAGACTATAGAACTGAGTTCTCTATATAACGTATGATGTCGACTGTTCATTAGGGGTATGCCCTACTTCCTTGCAAGTGATTAAAGAAAGGAAGAGCATCAGCGGCCGTCATTCGTAAATTCGGATCCTCCACCAGCATAGCTCGAGCACATCTAGCCAACGGCGAGTCTGAGCTCTCAAGACGCTGGTGATAATATACAAGATCCTGGCCGGGCCATATCCTCTCCCGAACGCTTCTCTTCTCGAACAGCTCCCATCCAACTATACCACAGCTCCAATAATCAACGGCTCGACCATGTCTTTGTCCTTCAACCTGCTCGGGTGCAAGGTATGGCACAGTTCCTGGGTGATCATACAGGATACTTGGATTGTCGGATGCGCATCCAAAATCCGTAAGCATTGCATCTGGGGGATCATAGGTTCTCACAAGTACGTTGTCGGGCTTGATATCTCGGTGCCAGATGCCATGGCTGTGAAGGAAAGCAACTGCGTCCAAGAGCTGAGCGAAGAAAATGATTCTGCCTTCAAGCGATACATCTGACGTGTATATTGAGCGAAATGTTGCATTGGACAGAGGAGATATGATGATATATTCGTCCGTGATAATGGGCTCCCAGGTTTCATCAAGAAGAGATCTCATTCTGGCCTAAAATATGAGATTGAGTATAGTCTAATGGAAGGGGGTTCCATTTGACTTACGATTTCCGCTTTTCCCTGAGCTGGTTGGTTGATGATCGCGAGAGCGGATACGATTCGTCTCTGACTCATGTTAGAAGAATGGTCCCCTGGAAGTAGCAACTAGAACTAACATGGGCAACCTGAGAAATCCGCCTGGTCATCTCCATTTCTCGGTCCACGCTAGGCGCATTTCTCCTGGACTTGAAAATGCGTTTTGCTGCTGCCGGATATCCTGTCCGAAAATGGACGACCATGTAAACAATGCCAAATGCCCCTTTTGAAATTGGGTACTGGACTATCCAATTGCCGAATCGACCATAATTCTCAGGGGTAGACAATATCAGGGGGTTCTCGTCATGGTGGAACTGACGAAACACCTGGGCTAATTTAGCTTGAAAGTAACCTTCTTCTCTATGAGTCCGATTGACGTATTGCAATGTGAAAAAACATCCTCCAATCAGGATGTCGTTTCTGGGCTCGTAAATAAGGCGCTTATCAGCCCTGAACGGTTCCCCATTAACCACCACTCTCTTATTCTCGTTGTCAGAGATAAGAAAGAATCCACCGGCCCCCTTCACCCAGTTAAACCGAGCATGAAGGCCGGCAACACGATCCACATGGCCCTCATCTGCGACGTACAGGAGAAGATCCACACCACCGTTTCTAAGCTTCCTACAACCCCGGCCAATCCTCCACCCAATTTGGGGAAATTCAGGCAACGTGTTCAGAGACAGGCTAAAGCATTTTGTGGCCCTGTTGTCCCAAATTGTTTCGCCTATGAACTTCCGATGATGCTCCACGTTCGTCCGCGCTGTCGCCTCGACAGCCACCCGTGCTTCTTCATTGACGGGTATCAATCTTGCAAATTGGTAAACATGTTGTGGAACTTGTTGTAGAGGAGGTGTCTCCGGTGCAGCTAGGTTGGTTGGAACATAGGGCTGTGTTGCAGTACATGGTTCAGTTGTTATCCATCCGGCGGAGCGGGAGAAAGATTGGCACGGTACTGTTGACATCTACCCAACCTTGGAAGTTATAATTCTTCAACTAAGTCTCAAGTCTTAACAGTTCATTTTACATCTGTTTGGCTAAAAATAAAAATAAACGCTGACAAAAGATCATGAAACCTTAGCGTGGAATGAGGGCGTTACCCCTACCGATAAAGGATCAAGGTGTAGCAAATGACAGATGACCGCTCTCCGCGCGCTATTCTTATGCTGCATACGCACCGAGTAAATGTTATTAGGAGTGGCGTCTACTGCAGAGACATCGGTTACACGGTGGAGACCCCATACTCCAACCAAGGGAATGGCGGATCATGTGACCAGTACTCGTGCTGATAACGGGAGGGGCTGACTAAGTTTAAGGTTAAACCGGTTCACGATCTGTCATTCTCCTTCACTGCTCCAGACACACTCTTCTGACATCATGAGTGGGTTCAACAACATTATGAAAGAGGGCTGGCACCCTAAAAGCAGGGATGGCAAGAAGGAGAGCTGGCGCGGCGATTTCAAGGGCATCAACCAAGTGGTAAGTCGCGCATGCCGATCAGGCTACTCGGCCAAGGCTGACACCCCCGCAGGCAGGCTGGATGGGGAAGGGCAAGGATCCAGACTCCGATCGCGTCGAGCACGTCTCTCAACCGCTGTCGTCGCTAAGAGACCCATCATCCTTTGCGCCACCTCCGAAGCGCAGCCCTGCGGGGATAACCCCGGATCGCCATGGCGTTGGCGCACCGCTGTCTCAGGACCAGATCAACAGCCAGAACGCTCATCTACAGCAGGAGGCCGAGGCCGAAGAGGCAGCCGCCCAGAAACCCGCTCCGCCCCCGGTACCCTACCGCGTGGATACGACCGGCCTGTCTACGAACAACCTCCCACCCCCGCCAGTGCGACGTCTCGACTCCCCGGGCAGCGGTTCGCTAAGCTCGACGGCGAGCGCAAAGCCCAAGCCCCCACAAGTTCCGCCCCGTCTGCCTCCCCGAGATGGTCCCGCGTCGCAGACTCCTCCCCGCCTACGGCATCTCCCTCTCCGTCCCGAGGGTACATCAACCAAGAAGCGACGTCTCGCCTCGCGAACGCTGGCGTGTCAGTTCCCGCGCTGGGGATCGGAGAGACAGATGGCCGCCAATCCCAGCCTGTCAATGAGCTGCAGTCGCGCTTCTCGCAAATGAAGACCAACGATTACAACTCCGCCGGTCCCCCTCCGCCATATCAAGCCACGCAGCAAACCAGCAGCCCCTCGGAATCTGCCGCTGGCGGCAGGTCCTCCATCCAAGACTTCCGGGAGCGCCACGCAGATAAGATCGATATGGGCAAGCAGAAGCTAGGCGGCGTGACGTCGCGGGTCAACACTTTTGTCGAGGACCGGCAAACCACGCGGCCGACCTCCAATTCCTCGGAGCCAGCCGCTGGCGGCAGGTCCTCCATCCAGGACTTCCGGGAGCGTCACGCGGACAAAATCGATATGGGCAAACAGAAACTGGGCGGCGTGACGTCGCGCTTCAACACATTTGTCGAGGATCGCAAATTCTCAGCCAATGCCAACAAGCGCATCCCCCGACCGCCGTCGAATTATTCTTCTCCGGTTGAGTCGAGTCCCAGCGGTGGTGGCCTTGAGAGCGCAGCGCGCAACAAGAAGCCCCCTCCGCCTCCGCCCAAGAAGGCCGAGATACGTGCGCCGCCCGTTGCATCGTCGCCGTCCTCGGCGTCTCCCGCGCCGCCGCCGGTGCCTCTGAACTCCAAGCCTCGTTGATTAGAACTGTATTATTAACTGCGGTAGCATTGACTGGTCTCAATGAATGGTATGAATGACAAATGTGAGGATTGCGCCTAGCCAGTAGTGACTGTAGTCTGTAGACAGTGTGTCCATATGCTTACCGAGGCCGCATGTGAAGCCCGGATGGCCGAAGTGTCTACTAAATTCGCCATCCATCGCCGAGCTGTTGGGGGAGTTTCCTGCAGCGCTAGAAGGGGCAATCCCAACAATAATGATAATTCGTTGCTGCTGCATGTGGCGATCGACTGAATCGCGGTGTGCTGGTGCGGGTGTATGTGGACGTTTTGTGTTACCCTAGGGAGGCAAAAAAGAAAACACCTAGATCGAAAGTAAGGGGGGCTGATGGTGCATGAACATCTCGTGGAGGTGATTTTGTGGTACGGTATATAGTAGAGTAGACACTTAGTGAGTATTCTAGTGATGGTAATTGTGTTGTCATTATTGCCAGGAGATCGCGTGCTAGAGTATCGTCAGATCGAACCTAGGGAGACAGCTCCCGCTAGTCAGTGTGGTCATCACGATCTATAGAAATAGACCTAGGACCTAGGATGCTATCATAGGACAAATATACAACAAGTAAATGGAAGTAGGAGTAGTCAAATGTACGAGGTCGCGCAGACTACATCATAATCCCTACCTCGGTCTCTCTGTCCCAACAAATCCGGGGCTCCACTAGATGGTTGAGTTGAGCCTTATCGGTGGAGCCACTTTTTTTTTCTTCTTCCTCTTTATCTTCAACTACCAACACACACAATTCTTCCCAACTCTGGTCTCCCTCAACATACGGCGAGCACGATGTACGACATCAACGTGCCAAACTCCGAATTTGGGGCTGCTACAGTCCGCATTGCCCTTCCCCCGGCCTCACTGCTGAAGTTTCCCCCTTCCGCGTACCCGGAGACAATTCCGGCGCCACACACTGCCCACCCGACATGGCGACAGCCCTTCAACATTCCCAATGATCTCTATACCCAGGTTCTCGACGTGCGCGTGCCTATCACTATTGCTAGCGTCTACGCCGTCACCGTCGTCCTGATCAACCGCCTGAACAAGCGCCGGGGATACAAGCCATACGCCTTTAGCAACACCCCACTCTTTAAGTTGTTCGTCGTGCTGCACAATGTCTTCCTGGCCGTCTACTCCGCCTGGACTTTTGCCGGCATGCTCCGAGCCTTCAGCAGCTCCTTGCCGGACCGCGATGATCCTCACGGCCTAGTGGGCGTCGTGGATTCACTGTGCAAGATCAATGGGCAGCGCGGCTACGGCAACGCTGCCACATACAGCCCCCTGACGAACGAGTGGTCCACCCCCAACCCAGCTCTGAATCTGACCGGCGGTCTGCCGGGCGCGGACGCCGGTCGCCTCTGGAATGAGGGTCTGGCATACTTTGGCTGGATTTTCTACCTATCCAAGTTCTATGAGGTTGTCGACACGGCTATCATCCTGGCCAAGGGAAAGAAGAGCTCGACTCTGCAGACTTACCACCATGCTGGGGCTATGATGTGCATGTGGGCGGGCATTCGCTATGTGGCTGCGCCAATTTGGATCTTTGCACTGGTCAACTCGGGTATTCACGCGATGATGGTATGTTTTCCTAATTCAATCCAGCAAATGAACCAAACACTAACGTTTACAGTACACCTACTACACCCTGACTGCTCTCCGCATTCGCGTGCCCCAGGCGGTCAAGCGTAGCTTGACCACTATGCAAATCACCCAGTTTGTTCTGGGAACCAACATGGCTGCCGCCTACCTGTTCCTCCACTACACGATCCCTTACCCGTCCGGCAGTGCCGCTCTGCGCCATCTTTCAGAAGCGACCACCGCTGCCACCACCAGCCCCAGTGCCGAGGCCGGTGCCGGTTCCTGGTGGAAGAAGATCGGTCAGGCGAGTGCCTCGGGTTACACCCAACAGATGGTTACCTGCATGGATACTACCGGCCAAGCCTTTGCAACCTGGCTCAACATTACCTACCTGCTACCTCTCACCTACCTCTTCGCGCGCTTCTTCGTGCGGTCGTATCTGAAACGCACGGACTCGCGCATCAAGCAGCCGACCCACATGGAAGCCGCCGAGAAGGCCGGCATGGACGCTCTCAAGAGCCTTAGCCGTGAGATCCAAAAGGCTGCTATTGAGGGCGAGAACAGTGAGGTTACGGATGACGACGTGGTTCGAGCACACGTCCTCAACGCCGCTCAGAAGATTGCCGGAGTTGATTCTTCGCCAGCACGGACACGACTGTCCGCAGCGAACAAGTCTGCTGCTGCTTCGGCCAGCCGATCAGAATCCGAGGATGGATTCTCTGCGGTGCCTGCGAAGAAGGGCGCTAAGAAGCAAACTCGCTCGAAGAAGGCGACTCCGAATGGGAATGCGAAGGGGGAGAATCCCTTTGGAGTTCTCGACAACGATGCATGAGTATTGTTGTTGAAAGCCACTGCATAATTTTTAGAGTCATAAAAGAAATCTATCGACCGTCTTTTTCAGCCGGCTAGCTACTGATGAGCCATCCCGTCGTCGGCTTATCTATCCTTGCTAGCGATGACCGGCTTGCAAGCTGGCGCGCCTCTGCATCGCGCAACTACCACCACGAGGTTATGGGGATGAATGAATGAGAGGCCAGAACCAACCAGCGCCGTTAACACCGGCCGCCTTTTGGCTTGGTCTCACTTTTCGGGGGTTCAGATGGATTGCATGGACATCACATTGTATATTTTCGCTCCAGTCTGGCTAGACTAGAGATGTCGGGCTGTATAATAAATACAAAATTCATACTAGCTGAATACTCTCTCCACAATTAAATCGTAACTAGCACGTTTCCACCAACTACCGTGATGGATAAGCGGGACACGGCTAATACCCAGCGCGTCTCCGAATGGAGGAAAAACACTCCGTGGAGCCAACGCCTCCGCTCGACCACACCGGGATTTGCACAAATCCAGCGAAGCAGCGCGTCGTTTGCCTTGGCTTAGACCTCCCGCAGACCGACCCCTGCCGAACTTAACCCCGGATGAGGCTAGGTCTATGGGAGTCCGGTATAAATTAGACCCGGCTCTACCAGGATGTATTCCCGCGACAATTCCACTCCCCTTCAAGCAATTGCGCAACAATGGCCGGGCTAACACGGCTGTGTACGTGGTTCTTCCTCGCTCTGCTGGGATTCTCGCTATCTTCCGGCGCCTCAACACAGGAAGAGACAACGCAATGGCCGCTACACAATGACGGCCTGAACAAGGTTGTGCAGTGGGACCACTACAGCTTCCAAGTCAATGACCAGCGCATCTTCATCTTCTCCGGCGAGTTCCACTACTGGCGCATTCCAGTCCCCGGTCTGTGGCGCGATATCCTGGAAAAGATCAAGGCTGCCGGATTTACGGCGTTTGCCTTCTACGCGAACTGGGCATACCATGCGCCCAACAACCACACCCTCGACTTTTCAACAGGGGCGCACGATATCAGACCTCTCTTTGAGCTTGCCAAGGAGATAGGTCTGTATATCATCGTCCGTCCGGGTCCATACATCAATGCTGAAGTCACCGCTGGGGGGTTTCCCTTGTGGTTGACCACGGGAGACTATGGCTCACTGCGGAATAATGATACGCGGTATACGAAGGCGTGGACGCCGTACTTCAGTGAAATGTCGCAGGTCACGAGCAAATATCAAGTGACAGATGGCGAGAATGCCCTATGCTATCAGATTGAAAATGAGTATGGTGATCAGTGGGTTGGGAATCCCTCTGAGCGCGACCCGAATGAAACGGCTATTTCGTACATGGAGCTACTTGAGGCGAATGCGCGCAAGAATGGGATTACCGTGCCGCTCACGTCGAATGATCCGAATATGAATACTCATTCCTGGGGGAGTGACTGGTCCAATGATGGTGGGAATGTGGATGTATCAGGCGTCGATTCGTATCCTTCCGTATGTCCATCCACACAGTGAAGTAACTATGTATTTGTTGCATACTAACTCGGCCCTAGTGCTGGACCTGCGATCTCAGCCAATGCACCTCGACCAATGGAGTCTACGTGCCCTTCCAGGTGGTGGAATACTACGAGTACTTCCAAGAGAACCAGCCCACGATGCCGGAGTTCATGCCCGAGTTCCAGGGCGGCTCGTACAATCCCTGGGGCGGGCCCGAGGGCGGTTGCGCCGAAAACTCAGACGCCGAGTTCGCGAACCTGTTCTACCGGTGGAACATCGGGCAGCGTGTCACGGCCATGAGCCTGTACATGCTGTTCGGCGGCACGAACTGGGGCGCCATTGCTGCTCCCGTCACGGCAAGCAGCTACGACTACTCATCTCCCATCTCGGAGGACCGCTCCATCGGTTCGAAGTACTACGAGACCAAACTGCTGGCACTATTTACTCGCGCCGCGAAGGATCTGACTATGACCGAGCTGAAGGATAATGGCACCCAGTATACCACCAACAGCGCGGTGAGAGCGTACGAGCTGCGGAATCCGGAGACGAATGCTGGATTCTATCCTACTTTCCATGTGAATACGTCGCTTTCCACAAACGAGGCATTCCGTCTTCATGTTGATACCTCGGCCGGTGCCTTGACTGTCCCAAGACACGGAGGCACGATCCGATTGAACGGCCACCAGTCCAAGATCATCGTGACGGATTTCACATTCGGGTCCAACAAACTGCTGTACTCGACCGCCGAGGTGCTCACCTACGCCGTCTTCGACAAGACCCCGACCCTGGTTCTGTGGGTTCCAACCGGCGAATCAGGGGAGTTCGCCGTCAAGGGCGCAAAGAAGGGATCTATTAAGAAGTGCCAGGGATGTTCGCATGTCGAGTTCTATCACGAAGATAACGGGTTGACTATTACCTTCACGCAGTCGTATGGTATGAGCGTTGTCGAACTTGACAATGATGTGCGAGTAGTCCTACTCGACCGTACACACGCCTATCGTTTCTGGGCGCCTGCGCTCACTAATGATCCATTGGTCCCTGAGACAGAGAGCGGTATGTACTGTTTCAAGTGTATAGCGGAAGGAAGTATCTCACATTTTACTACGCAGTGCTCATCCAGGGCCCATACCTCGTCCGAGGTGCTAAGTTGTCAGGATCTACGCTGGCCGTAACGGGTGATGCCATCAACACCACGGCCCTGGAAGTTTTCGCGCCCCGGCATGTCAAGACAATTACGTGGAACGGCAAGATGCTTCACACACAGCGGACAGAGTATGGCAGTCTCAAGGGCTTGCCTGCTGCACCGGCCTCGGTCAAATTGCCCTCCTTTGGAACATGGAAGACCAAGGATAGTTTGCCGGAGAGATTCGCAGATTATGATGATTCCGGACCGGCATGGGTCGGTATGTATCTTTATATCTTTGGGTGGCCTAGCAGCGTAACTGACGATCCAGATGCCGACCATATGACAACTCTGAACCCGCATACTCCGACCACCCTCCCGGTTCTATACGCAGACGAATACGGTGAGTCCACCCCTGACACTTGATATGACCAATAGCTGATAGCCCAGGCTTCCACAACGGCGTCCGTCTCTGGCGCGGCCACTTCACCGGTAGTGCAACAGGAGTTTCTCTCAACGTGCAAGGTGGATGGGCCTTGTAAGTAGCACCCTTCCCAAATCAGAGGATAGGCTATCAAGGCTAACTCCCATCTAGTGGCTGGTCAGCCTGGCTAAACGGCCAATTAATCGGCTCATACTTCGGCAGCGCGGCCGCAGAGCAAGCCAACCTAACCCTCTCATTCGCAAACGCCACACTCCATCACAAAGAACCCAACGTGCTCCTCGTAGTCCACGATGACACAGGCCACGACGAAACAAGCGGCGCGCTGAACCCGCGCGGCATCCTCGGCGCAAAACTGCTCGGCTCCTCGGACCCCACGTTCACACACTGGAAAATCGCCGGCACAGCAGGCGGCGAATCCAACATCGACCCTGTGCGCGGCGTCTACAACGAAGATGGCCTGCACGGCGAGCGGGTGGGATGGCATCTCCCCGGCTTCGACGACAGCAAGTGGCCGTCGTCGTCCACGTCCGCAGAAAGAAAATCGGAACCATCAGCCCTCCTCAGCTTCAAAGGCGCAACAGTCCAGTTCTTCCGCACAACTATCCCCCTCAACCTACCACCGGGACACGACATCTCCATCTCCTTTGTCCTGTCCACCCCCACAGGCTCAACGAAAGCGTACCGCGCCCAGCTCTTCGTGAACGGATACCAGTATGGCAGGTATAATCCGTACATCGGGAACCAGGTGGTATACCCTGTTCCGGCGGGTATTCTGAACTACAGCGGAGAGAATACGGTGGCGGTTGCGGTGTGGGCGCAGACGGTAGAGGGGGCTAGTATTGGTGTTGATTGGCGGGTCAATTACATCGCTGATAGCTCGTTGGATGTTGTGCAGTTGGCTCGTGAGGAGGAGGCGTTGAGACCTGTTTGGACTAAGGAGAGGGAAGTGTACGCTTAGTTGGGTGGCGGGTGGTATATACACGTTGAGATGAAAAGGACAAAAAGAACTCGGTGAAGAATATATAAGTATGCGCTACATTGATGGCAAGGCCACCTCTGTGAAATAAAGGGTGTCAAATGTAGCCAAGTGCGTCTAAATCTAGTAACACCACCGGAGTAAACATAGTCACTAAATCGTAATCGTAGACAAAACAGCAAATGCATCTTAAACCAGGAAGCGGAAGCCACGGTGGCTCGCCTCGCCCGGAACACCACCGCTAACAGCACCCTCAACGGACTCGCCGCGGTCAAGCTTCTTGTTCAGGCGGACCAGAATGAAGCGGAGGACTGTAGCGCTGAGGATGGCGATGACGGCGGTAGCACAGTTGACGGACATGGCAGGCACTGGAAGAGAGAGAAGGTTAGGTATGAATCAATGATGACAGAGAGAGGCAAACATACCGAACCGCGGAGCATCGCTATCAGGATACATGTAACTAGCATAGATACTGCTTGCGTTGCTAACGCAATTGATAGCCGCCAGCGCAGCAGCACGCTTCGCAGCGGGACGGGGCAGAGTGTTCGAGATCCAGCCCAGAGCGACGACGTAGCCGGCGTAGAACGACGGGACCATGAGCATCATGGAGACATAGCGGGGCGCGACGCTGGTGGTAGTCGCAGCGATGATGAAGGCCACGACGGAGAGGTACAGCGGCAGGGTGACGTGCCAGTAGCGCTCGCCCGTTCGGTCAGCATGCCATGCGTTAGCGAAGGCGCTCACCACGGCGAGACAGTAGGGCGGTGCGGTGAGAAGGAGGGTGTCGATGTCGTTGAAGTTGAGGGTTTCAACAACTGTTGGGAAAAAGTTTGTGACGGAGGCCGAGGAGACAATGCAGAGGATCATGAGCATCTAGATGGCATTGTTAGTTGGGTGCATGCATTTCGGAAAGGCTTGACGGACCAGAATCCACGTCTTGATGTCCATAACGGCTAGCTTGGCGCCGTGCAGGAACGACTGCTGCTCGCTGTCAATCCAGTCGTCTTCACCGATATCCTCTTCCAGTCGCCAGGCAGCCAGTTCCTTCTCCTCGTCCGAGAGCCAGGGGGTGGTGCGAGGGAAGTTGGGCAGGACCCAGATGGAGATGAAAGCGACGACAATGGTGATGGCACCTTCGATGATGAAAAGCCAGCGCCTAGGGTGGATTAGCTAGGATTCTTTTTTCCGAGAAGGGCAGCAACGTACCAGGCCCGAAGTCCCTTGACGCCGTCCATGCCACCGGTGATACCCGCCGCGATCAGACCGGAGAAAGCGCCCGAGATCAAGGAGCCCGAGTATAGAGCGGCAGTGCGGAAACCGAGTTCCTTGCGCGTGTACCACGCACTAAGGAAGTACAAGCAACCGGGCTAACCACGAGTCAGCTGCGGCAATCCAAGATCAAAGTCAAAAGACATACAAAGTAGGCGGCCTCGACGAAACCGAGGAAGAATCGGGTCACCACCAGACCGGCAAAGTTCTCTGCGGCAGCGGTGCAGGTGGAGATGACGCCCCAGAGCATCATGGCACAGGGAAGGTAGATAGCGGGCTTGCCGAATTTGTTCAGAAGCAGGTTGGACGGGACTAGCAGGGTCAGTCAGGTCTGATGCGAGTTATTTGTTGACAAAAAAACTTACTCTGCATCAGCAGGTAACCGACGAACAAGATACTGACACAAGTCTAAGGAATACAATGTCAGCCTTCCATCCTGAGCGTGATCCGCTTTGGAACAGTACTTACCGCGTATTGATTCCCCTGCAGATTCAAATCCTGCGGAAGACCAGCCAACCTCGCCGCGGCCTAGAGGGAGAGAAGTAGTCAGCACAGATAGAAACTAATGCATTGGATCCAGACTGACGATATTGTTGCGATCCAGGTAATTGAGGATATACATGATGATGATCATGGGCAGCAGACGGAAATCAATCTTGCGGACGAGGGCCTTCTCAGCCCTCTCTCGCTCCTCCGGCGACAGACTGGCAACATAGGCCGGTGCCTCCTTGCGAGGATTGGGCTTGTCGGCATTGGCCACAATCTCGACGTTGTCGACATGACTCTTGTCGACGCCGATGGCTTCGAGGTCGCCCGAGTTCCTGGGAGACATAGTGCTTGGTGGTGTGGGTTTTATTTCAGGGTTTTGAATGAGTATAAAGAGAGAGAGAAAGAGTAGTAAATAACCCCGAAGAGGCCAGGAACGAAGATGCCACAGCAAGCAAGGGAGGATGGGAAGAATGGAAAGAGAGAAAAAAAAGTTCGGAAACGGACCGGGACTCGGGAAGCCTGTCTCTTTTTGTTATTGTGGGAAGACAAGACGAGAAGACGGAGTGTGGATCAAGCCGAAGCAATAAAAATCAAGATCCCGGGGTTGAGAGCAAAGTGAGCACAATGTGGGTTCCCCACGGGACTCAACAGTCTTTTTCGGCCAGCTGGCCATTGAGAGCGAGTGCAACATGGAGAAGCCGGCCAATAATTGAGTCGAGTCGGCTGGGGAAGCGAAAAAAAAAAAGAATGGACCCGATGCCGAGAAGGACAGGCCGAGGGTTGCGGGGAGCAAAAAGCAGCGAACAGGCAGGGATCCGCGCCGACGTGGGGGCTAGTTCTCGGCGCTAGACCGGGAAGGGCAGGTCTCGCGGCGTGGGGGTGCCATGCTGCAGAGCCTGGATTTTGGGGGGTGCGGGTGGTGATGGTGGTTTGGTCCCTAAGCGGACGAGAAAATTAGTTGAAAGCACTCGGGTTGATATTGAAATGTGCATCGGATTCTGTCTGTGAAGTATACGCTCCCAACTCGCAGAATTGGTTGATCCCGATGAGCCAAGGCCTCCCCGGCCCGATTGTAACCAGTCTCATGGGGGTTGCAGCTGTGGAGCAGGCCACTGGACAGCCATTGCCATTTGTCACGGATTCAGGAGCCAGCAATAGTAAGCCAATCAACGTGACGCAAACATTCTATAATGACCAAGGTTTAATGACCACCTCGGCAGACTCCCGGGCTATGTTGTTATAACGCTAGTCTGTTTCAACTATCGTGGATGACACACAGCATTCCACTTAAGAACTAGGGACCAGAAACTGACCCCCACGTCTTCAGAGAATCATCCCACCCACCTAGGGTTGCCGATTCACTGATGTAGTGCCGTTACTGAAGAAACATTATTATTCCCGATGCCGGGTCTACTTCGGCCCCTTCTTCACTCGGTGAATGCCGACCGATCAGCTACGCCAGGAATCTACAAATGCCGAGTGTCACATAATTGAACACAACTCCATTCGCACAGAGAAGAGAGAAAAACAGAACGAGGAGACGATTTTTGCGCATATATGCCATGCCTTCCGCCCACACGCAAACACTATTACCGATGACACACAGCACAAGACAACACAGAAGCATGCAGAACGAGATGCCGAGTGGAAGGAAAGGGAAGATGCGCGAGGGAGAGAGAAGAACTCAGTTGTTGCATTCGAGTGAGCTCAGTGAATGATAAAAGAACTGTAAAGGAAAAGAAAGGGCCAGAAACGACCAGGAAGACTCGCCCGAGGACTGAATCGGAGACTGAGTGAGAGATGTGCTAGAGAGAGAAAAAAGTAGACAAAAAGAAAGAACTGCCAGTGCCCACGCTCCCAATACTCGATGACAATGATTCAAATGTACGATGCAAAAAAAGGAAAATCGGGAGACAAAAAAAGAGAGAAAAGTGAACCTCCAAACCCAATTAGATGGCAGGGGAGGAAGAACATTCGTTAGATCAGCGCCCAAAACAATCGAGAGTCGACTGGAAATAGTCCAAGCTGCGTGCACACAGCCAGTGCCGCAGGGAAGTCGGTCACGAGACAGGCCACGTTCGTTGTTGTTCAATTTCGCTAAATGTAGAACACCAAAACGGGAGCCCGAGCCACCAATGCAGAAAGGTTGAAAAAAAAGAGTTCGTCGAGGGTTGGAAATGTGTGAAGAATGCAACGCCTTGCAAATCGCCGGAAGTGATGCAGATCTATGGACAAGGACGGAAGGCCCGGGATATCGGTCGAATGCTCGACCAAACCTCAAATGAAGTGTGTGTAGATCTTAGAATTCTCGTGAACCTCCATCTCCTGCACAGGCTGTTAGAAATATGACCGTCAAAAGACGTCGGGGGCAGACTCACCATTTTAAAGTTGTTGATCTCTTCCCGAATCTGCTGGGCCAGCAGAGGCGTCAAGCGATTGCAGGTCGCGATCTCTCCGCGTCGATCATACTCGCCACTGGGCCAGGTCTCGTGGAACTGAATACGAGGGCTGAACACAATGTTCCTTCCGGCCACCGCCTGGGGAGTGATGGGTGCACTCTTCGCCTCCGAGGCCGTGTACCGTCCCTCGCTCGAGAGGAAGTAATCTTCTCCGGCGATTTTCACCGAGTCCGTGTGACGATGGACGGAGCGCGTGGATTCATCGGGGGTAGTCGGGGCACTGGAGTGCGGCGAGTCGGTGGTGCCGTTGAGTGCATGGGCTGCTGTCGTAACATCCAGGTCGGAGTGCGTTTCTATGTGACGAGTTAGCACACGATTTCAAGGATATTCTGGAAATATCTCACTCTTGAGGATACCCTTTCGGACAGCCGCCAGAACCTCCGCACGCTCCCGATCTCCTCCCATGATGCTTTTACGCGATTGGGAGTTCTCCATAGCGATTCTCTCCTGGACAAAGCTGGATCGTCCATTGTCCGACCCACTGCTCTCTACTTTGGGGAAGACCGTACCGCCATGATGCATGTCCTGAGGGTCAGCGTTAACCGCCACGCTCTCACGTTCAGCTTCAACATTCACCACAGAAATCTGAGGCATCGAAGGCTCCATCGTTGCACCCTCCGTCGAATTGATACTGGCGATAGACTTTGCCCGGAACAAACCAACGAGAGACCGGGTGGACTTTTTCATGCCCTTGCCCATTTTGCGAAGCATCATCGAGGCCGAGGAGGCTGTCGATGAGATCGATAAATTGTCGGTAGATCCGGCGAAGAAGTGGCTCTGGTGAGAATAGATGCTTTCGCCCAAGCCACCAGCTTCTTGTTGCTCGGCAATCGCAGCCTGCTCTGGACCAAGTTCATCCTGAAGCGCTTCCCGGCGAGCCCTCTCCGCAGCAACTGCTTCACGCTTGTTTGCATTGGTCTGTGCCGACGCCTTAAGAAGTTCCGACGCGCTCCCAAAGGAGAAAGCCCGTCGCAAGCGTGACTTGCCGGGCCGCTTGCCCTCATTCTTCAGCTCGGTGAGACGTTTCGCTGCGGGAGAATCCAACGGAGACGGAGACGATTTCTGTTCAGGATCGGTGGCGGTTTTTGCGGGTTGTGGGGATTGAGAACTCGTAGAGACGGGTTGAGACAGAGGTGACGGCTTGCGTTTGATCTCTTCGGACTTCCCGCTCTTAATATTGGCAGAGGACGAGTCTGCAGCAGCCCCTTCACGCACCGAGGAAGTCGAGGAGTGAGCAGAATGGATGCTCCCTAAACTCTCTCGCTGCGAATGGGCCGATTGGGGTCGACGGTTGGAGTCAAAAGAGATGAAGTCGTAGGAACCGGATGGGGGTGTGGTTGTCGGAAGCTGGAGCTGCAGGTTGGGATAGGCCGAAGAGTCAATGTTTCCCAAACTTCGGCGACGATACCGCTTGGCCAGCTCTGGCTGCGATCGGTCCACATAGGACGAATCATCCACGCTCGAAACCCGACTATGGCCATTCAATCGAAGAACGTTTGGAGTGGAGCTCACCGCGGCCGCCTGGTCCTCCGGTGTCACCACAGTCGATGCTTGAAGAGGTGATCCAGTTGCTGAAGACTGTGATGGAGAAGCAGCCTCCGCACGTTGATTGCCGCGGCGATATCGATTTGGGGAGGGCTTGACGGCGCCGGACGGAGAGGAGATGTTCATGACGGAAACAGGAGAGGGGATGTTGGCGGTGGACAGCGGACGCAGCTGCTGGTCCCCCCTAAGCTGCCTTGAAGGGAGTGCACTGTCGTCCTTGGAAAAGTGGGAACGGAAGGAAGAGTTGGAGGAAGACGAGGTCGATACAGAACCAGCTGCAGGGTGAGGTGCGACTCGGGGATGGGCACCGGCATAGGCCGGGTTCATGGAGCCCGGAGGGATCGTTGGGGCAGAGAAGGTGCGGTTCTCTGGCCGCATGTGAGGCGACCAGGACTGGCGGTGTTGGGCATTGGAGGAATGGCCCAGGTTCGGAGCCGCGTAGCCGTAAGGAGCGACCACAGGGTAGCCTGCTTGATAGCCCCCGGAGTTGGCCGCATTGAAGCCACTCCACGACATCGTATGGGCCCGAGAGCTCGGGGCTGTGGACTGGGAGGCAAAGGTGCCGGAGGAAGAAGAGGGACGCGTCGGGAGCACGGGAATCGTGCCAGTCTGTTGAGGGAGTGTTTGAACCAACGCAGCCATTGTGGTTCTCTCCACCGAGTATGAAACGAGGATACACGAGTGTCCGGGTCGGCTAGGATCTCGACAAGGCAACTCGCGGTGGATGGATCAGGAGGATCGTGTCAAGACGGGGTGGAAGAACGAAACGCGATGCTAGAAGGGTTTCAGGAGAGCTGTCAGCCAGGTTGTCCACCACGAAAGATTTTGACGGCCGTCAACAAGGTATGGACAGGTGGAGATCGAAGGGGAAAGGGGGCGTTGTGTCTTTTTTGGGGGTCGGGTTTTTTCTTTTTCTGCACCCGTTGGGGTGGCAGATTGAGACCGCGTCAGCCAGGGGGGAAGAAGAAGAAAACCGTACCTGTTCTAAGGTGGAAAAGGTATAATGATACACGGAATCAAAACGGATGCTCTGGATGCCAGACAGGGAAATGCACAAGAAAAGAAAAGAAGAAGCTCGAAACCAGGCGAGTCGACGAAACGAAGGTTGGCAGTAAGACGGAAAGGGACAGATGACCCCAGGTATGCCCGGATGCCTAGAACGGGAGAGCCATGTACAAAACAGGGGTAGGGGGAAAGGGGAGGACAGAAACAAGAAAAAGGCAAAGAGAGAAAGAAGGACACCGGAAGAAACGGTGCCTGTGGGGGGGGGGGGGAAAGAAGGGGAAGGAAGGAAAGGGGTGAGAGAGTGAAAATAGGAGGGGCTCTGCGGTCGGATAGG